CCAGGTCCATGTAGACACTCTTGAGCGCAGGATCAAGCGCTTAGAAGCCCAGAACAGAAGTCTGGTGCAGCACACTAGGACTGACCCAGCATCTTGCACAGGCCAGAATACTCCCATCGTTGTTCAGGATAATCTTCCTACAAACGAGAGTAGCAGTCCGCAACACCATCTGTCAGCCGACGTCGCCGGGGAAGTATCATACCTGTCGATTAATGCGTCCGGAGAAAGGAACTACCTGGGATCCTCAAGCGGAGTTCTTCTAGCGAACTTCATCAGAGCCAATGTGAACATCGAAACTTCGACGCGGTCGATAACGCCAGTTGGCGATGACGAAGCTACAGACTCAACGGCTTTGGCTGCAGAGCTTGCTCGCGACCTACCATCTGAACAGATAGCAAGACGACTTGTATTGTCGTATCTCAACCATGACCACTTACGCTACCCCGTGGTTCTCCCTGCCACCCTCTTGTCAATACTTTCGGAAACATATAGCACAAACGGGGCTCTCTACACGCGGACCACAAGCGAAGCTTTCGTCTTCGATATAGTGCTTGCTATCGCCACGGCTAGTATCTGTCGGTCTGACTGGCAAGGGCTGCCAAGTGCGCATAGTCATTACACGCGGGCGATGAAGCGGGGATCGACAATCTTGGAGAAGGGGGGACTTGCCGCTCTCCAGGCAATCATCCTGTTGATTCAATACCGCATGAGTAGTTCCATGCAAGACACCTCAGCCAGTATGTTGCCATATCTCCGTCGAATAGAGGAGTCATTTCGCTGCAAGCATGATCTAAAGACTATACAGGCATGTGGCATTTGGTGGGAGTAGGGAGCAGAATTGCTCTCGAGATCGGCCTTCACTGTGAAACTGCATATCCGTACAAACGCTCCGATGACTCTATAGGAAACGTAGAACCGAGTGCCGACCATGTCCAGCAAGAAGTCTCCCGGCTTTGCTTCTGGAGCATCGTGGCAATGGACAGGTGCGTTTGGAAACTCCAATACGAAAGTACGCAGGAAGGAATACCAGCTGATTACGCAGCAGAATAGTCAGCAACATATTAGGTAGGCCTCTCGCCATTCGCGACGACGACATCGACACAGCGCTTCCGTCTGATCTATGCGACAAGATCCTGCTTTCTGGTGTCGAGACACCCATGGCCGAGCATCTGGTCGCATGCCGCCGCGTTTCGATCTTCGTTCAGATCATCAAGTATCGCTTACTGTGCGGTGACATTATCGAGACTCTGCATAATCAACGTCGAAAGAATCTTCCAGACGATGAGCTCCGCCACCGCAGAGATCAATTTGCAGCCGACCTCAAGACTTGGCGCTTGAACGTTGAAAGAGTCGTTCCTCCAAGCTCGGTCAATGACATGACGCCTTCGTCTTGCTTCACATCACCTACGTGGTTCGAGATGATATATCATAACGCTGTGCTAATGCTTCATCGGCCATCCCCTAAACTGGACACATCAAGAGACCCAGTTGCTGTACAAGCAATCTTTACCTCCTCTCAGGCTTCCATATCCTCATATGCAAGTCTCCATCGTATGGGGATCTTGAACCACAGCTGGCTTACACTACAAGCTTTATTCATGGCAGGATTGTCATATGTGTATGCTGTAACCATGCACTGCCAGGCCAATCGTAGACAACTAGGTGGGCTGCTGAACAAAAACCCGAGCACCATGGAAGTTATCAGCGACACACGTACGTGTTCAAATATCCTCGTAGCGGTTTCGGAGAGATGGAAATCGTTGCAACGCTGCGTCGACATCTTCAATAGATTGAGTGATGCTATTCTGATCGACGTTATCAAATTCAGCACAACCCCCATCAACGCTACTCATTTGCCGACCAACGATTCGAGAAATCGTGACGAACAGTACAGGGATAGGTCCGAGTCAGCGGCAGAAACAAACTTAACCGATTTGGTTCAGCACCCTCAATGGAACCACGCATCATATCTCCAGCCTATGGGGACTGATCGAGTAGTATCTAGCCTATCGCCATTGGCTATCGAGAATGAGTTCAGAGGCTCAGCGTTCGATCTGCAACAAATGTATGATCAACAGCAAGTCGATATGTCTGTGTATCGATTCTCTCAGGCTTGGTTCGACAGCTTCGACTTCTATGGTGGTATTGGGCCGCAGCTCAATGACATCACGATGGGTACACATCTTTGATGTCGGCCTATTTTCACTGTTGCGGAGTCTGCATTCAAGTTCATGTACTCCCTATTCTATATGCAACCCCGTTGGAGAAAGCTCGTTGGCACGTCTACAACCTTGCTGCGCAAGTATTCCCCGATACCTTTGCCGAGCCCGTCAATGCGCGAGCTACTGGCAATGCCACCATCCAAGAAGTCGAGTACTCGGCTGTACCGTTGGGTCAGTGAAGCAACTTCTAGCATGCAAACCGGGGTACTTACAAGTGGACTGCGAGAATGTTTGGAAACTCGCACCTTTCGACTCTACACCCGTCCTTCCAGTCATCCTCGAACAAAGCACACAGCCGCTCCACCGTCAGAAAGCTCTGTAGCCACGGGTACTCATCAGCATGCCTAACAAAGAAACCAACATTAGAATTGTTCCCTTTGTCGCCGGATCTTGCATGCACAACGGCCCCTAATGGGGCTTTTGATGTGAGGCCGAATGACCGAAGATCTATGGGTGTTTTGGTCTCGTATGACAGTCGCAGCTGTGGGTATTCGGCAGATCTGGGTGGAAACGGGGCGTATATCATCGGTTCATCGTCCAGTCGCACTCTGTGGTTGATCTGACTGATCGGTATTGTTGTGGGGAAGATTTCCATGAAAGGTTTGGGATCCATTGAGCGAAAGTCCAAGTTCATGTGATAACCTACAAGTGATTAGGTTACTAATCTCGAGAGACGTGCGTCCTGTGCATTTTTGACTTACCAGGATAGCTTTGCATACGAAGGGAGTAAATGGGTATTCGAAATTTGCTCGCTGCAATATCTTCTTTCCTCTTTGCTTGCGCGAAGACTCGCAACATGGCTGTACCCGCTGCCTGTGATTTCGGATCAAGCGCCTGCCCACCGTAAAGCTCCATGGACAGTTTGCTGAACTGGTTACCCTGAAAAATGCTTGTCAGCTGTCGCTTCATCATCTCCGCCTTTTCAGAAATATCCAGGCCATTGAGATAATAAATAGTTTCAGCTTGATACCCTCCCGGAGCTGCAACCATGACCTTGGTAGTAGGTGGTGGCGGAAACCCCTTCACTCCGCTGACGAGAACTTCCCGCCGCGGCTCGCCGGTGGCCGTGATATTTACGGTGCGTATATCAGCGACTACATCAGGATTAAGATACATCTCACCCTGGAGCTCGTACAACAGCTGCGCAGTGACGTTTGCAGCAGTAACTTTGCCACCAAGGTCTTCCTGTTTTGTTATGTAGCTGGATCCATTGGGCATGATTTCAGCAATGGGAAAGCCGACGTCGACCAATCCTGGAAGAAGGTCTTTGAAGCCAGAAAAGTTTGCACCGCAAACGTAAGGTCCGCATTCGATCAGATCTACAATGGAAGTTAGTACGGGGAGAAAGCACAGAACATGGCCGCTATGGACTTACGCCCCGCAATGAGCGCCCCAGCTAGTTCATCGAACGATTCCTGTTTCCAGTTGTACCACCACGCTGCTGCACCAATCTGCATCAGCCGAGTCAGCGATCTCCCACAAGAGACAGGATGATTATAGCCAAACATACCACTGGAGACGCATCCGTAACTCGCCCACACAACACAATATCAGCCCCCTTCTTCAATGCCTCCACAATCCCCCAAGCCCCGATATACGCCACCGCACTCGCTGGATCCTCGAATCCCTTTGCCCATTCCACAAAGCACTGGTCACTATGATCCAAATGCCGAAACCCACTTCCCTCGCCTGGTGCTCTCCGCAACATTTCTGTGACCTCCGCTGTGACATCGTCGCCCAGTACCGCTGCGATTTTCAAATGTCCATATCCCTTTCCCACACAAAGCCCTCGCACCTTGTCCCGGAGCGCCTCCGTGTTCAATGCGCCCGCATTTGTAACAACCTTGATCTTCTTGTCGACGATGACATCGATGCTTTCTTCGAGCTGGGACAGAAAGCCAACTTCGTAGCCTTGAGATGGATCACTGGCTTTGGCTATGGCGTTCCAAGCAATGTTCATCTCAGATAGCCAGTCTCCGGTGATGAAGTCGACATCGCCTGTTTGTGCCATGCGGAGCATGGCGTGGGGAGCATCACCGGTCGCGCCAGAAACGTTGCCTATGCGAATGCCGCGCTGCGGCGCCGGTCTTGTGCGCATGGTAAATATAATATGGGAAGTATAGGCTGGAAGTACTATTATCGTGTAGGTCGTGAATCTTGCCTTTGAACGTTCATTTAGACGGAATACAATGTTGCCAATGTTTTGGCTAGAAACCTTTTTGCACGGAGGCAATCTTGAGTCAACCTAGCTAATGATCTCTCCATGTATCTGCCCAGCCGATTACGCGCTTATTCCTATTGCAGCGATTAAACGACAGCTTCGAGGATGCCGACAACCGGCTGCGATCAGTTAGCTGGAGTGATTCGCACCCCAATAACCACGCTTCGGACGCGTTGCCATCTCTCGGAGGACGTGCTAGCTGCGGAACAGTTACATGGATGTTTTTCGGCGTAAGTACGCCGATTGTCATTATTGCCTTACACGCAGTTCTGCTCGGGGCGGCGTCGCCGAGGGGTAGTGGCCCACCACTGCGAGTCAGTGCGGGGGAGCAAGCCTACCCAGATTAGGATCTTAGCGCCTCAAGCTTCTCTTTAGTGTCTGATATTCTGTATGAGGACACCATTATCCGGGGAAACCCCATGGGGAGAGAGACTAGCATTATGATGCGTAGGGTAAATGGTCCAAGTCCGATATAAACCATTGCGCCGTCGACAGGGCTTTTCATCCTGACCTTCTGTTCTCCTCCCCTCATTGCGAAACCTCCCGTGAACAGCATTATGTCGGTACCGCAACCCGAGCCAGTCCAGGGTGTAGGATCTCCATTGCCAGCTCACACCATGGACCCTATCGATGAGAAATACCAGAGCCAGCACACGGAATATGAGGAGAAGGTTCAACCTAAAGTCGACTACTCTGGAGCTGCGGCTAAGACGAGCCCTGAAGAGAAGAAGCTTGTCAGGAAATTAGACATCTGGATCATGGTGAGTTAGCCATCTGCATGCCTTTCAAAAATCCACTAACAATCTACTTCAGCCCATGCTCTGGCTCATGTACTGGCTCAACTACCTGGGTAAGAATTTGATACCATGAAGCTGTCATCAGGAGACCTCATGCTGAATGGATACCTAGATCGCAACGCCATCACTCTCGCTCGTCTGAATGGCTTCCAAAAGGACCTTGGACTCACTAGTTCACAATACAGCACTGCTATCTCTATCCTTTTTGTTGGATACATCCTCGGACAGGTAAGTTGTGACTACACGAGAACCATGTGAATGATCCACTAACTTCGTACCTCTACACCCACAGATCCCCAGTAATATGATCATCACTCGGGTCAAACCTTCGTGGTACATGGGTATCTGCATGATGGGCTGGGCAGTCGTAAGCGGGCTCACTGCCGTCGTGCATAATTACACAGGTATTGTACTTGTGCGCTTTTTCTTGGGTGTAGTCGAGGCGCCCTACTACCCAGGAGCGCTCTACCTCCTGAGCATCTTTTACACGAGGAAGGAGATTGCGACACGCATCAGCATTCTCTATTCTGGCAACATACTCGCGTCGTCCTTTGCCGGACTCATTGCCCTTGGCGTCTTCAAACTCGATAATGTCCATGGTATCAGGTATGGCCCTTTTGTACGCAGCGAGCACAAGATATACACTAATCCTCGTCGATATAGCGGATGGCGTTGGCTGTTTATAATTCAAGGTGCCGCCACCTTTGTCATCGCCGTAGCAGCCTGCTTTGTCCTCCCCGACGAGCCTCTAACTACATGGTGGCTTAACCCCGAAGAACGCCAACTTGCGCACGCTCGGGTCGCAAGAGATACTGTTGGCCACTCTGCCGATATCTCCATGCTTGCCGGTCTCAAGGAAGCTATCCGTGACCCCAAAGTGTGGGTATTCGTCTACATGCAACACCTACACATGTAAGTTCCAACGACCCCGATAATCTACCGTCTCTGACAACTTGTAGCGCGACTAACGGCTTCAAAAACTTTATGCCGACGATTGTCAATACGCTAGGCTTCTCGCAGGAAGTCACACTTGTGTTGACATGCCCACCATACCTGATAGCAGGTGCATTCTCCATCGCATGGGCGATATCATCCGGCCATTATAACGAGCGCACTTGGCATATCACTATCGCTAAAGGCGTGGCTATCTTTGGGTTCGTGCTCGGCTGTGCGACTATGAACGTAGGCGCAAGATATTTTGCCATGTGCGTCTTCACAATCGGCACGTATGGCGTCAACAGTATTATCCTTGGGTGGGTATCTTCAACATGTGGGCAGACAAGGGAGAAGAAGTCTGCTGCTCTGGCTATTGCCAACGTCGCGGCTACCCTCAGCTTGATCTGGACTCCTGTAAGTTTTGCAAATCGGTCGCTTGTTCTGGATGAAGTGACTGACGTCGAATAGTACATCTGGCCAGAGTCTTCGGAGCCGCGGTTCGTATTTCCGTTGTCCATGAGTGCCGGTATGGCGCTGATGTGCGCGGCTGGCGCGTGGCTCATGCGGTGGTGGCTGATCCGGGAGAATCGAAGGATCAAGAGCTCCAACTCCGAGACTACGATGTTCTACGCTTATTAATCAGGTAGATGGAGATACTAAGATACATGGACGTTCTGCATACTCGGTCTTATACATGCGTATTTGGTAGGCAGCTTAGGCCCGATGGTGATTGATGTAATTACATCTTCTACCTTGTGGACATGGTCATGCCAAACCAACGATATATCATTTGAATTTGGTCAGAATGATACATACGACCATAGGACACTGAAAATTAGGCTTCCCGTCCGCTCAGCCATATACAAGCAGTGTACCGGCGGATTAGTAGTTAGGTGGGTGACCACTAGCGAATCCCCGCTGTTGTATGTTTTTGTCTTTTTGCTTGGACGAACCTTGGGGTGTCTTTTTTGGTACCAGCGTCGAACGAGCGGAAGAACAAGTATGAGTAGTGATCGGTAAGGTGAGACCAACAGCGAAATAACGACTAGGTAGCCTCAAACTATGTAGTTAAATAGGCGCATGGCAGACTGCTTTGTGCAGCCAAAGCCGCTTGTGTGAACAGGCATACCAAGGCAGTATGGTTTAGAATAAAGATAACATATCTATCTTGCAGACTTGTCAGTAATGCTTCTACGTAGAGAGAGTGGCATGACTACCATTGATAGATGGTTGAGGTATCTTAGAACGCCGTAATCCAAGCTTTTACTCCCATCGCGGCTCTGAAGATTGCTGCCGCGACGCCCAAACTCCATGCTCCCTTTTTATGCTATTCCGTGCGATTTCTTCTTCCCGTATATTCGAGCTTGACCTATTCTCGTGTATTCTTCAATGACACATAACCTGCGCGACTGCACCAAAACCAGCTGCCCAAGCTATGTCATTAGTGATTCCTGAAATTCTTTTTCTGGTAAAACAGATCCGTCCTACTACTACCCAGATTTATAATCTTCGGGCACCCATCGCGGTCCTTCTCCAGGCGCGTGCACTCGAAGCAGTAAAAGGCGTCAGAGATGCCTTCGCCACCGCAGACGACGCATTTGTTCTGGTAGTTGCCGAAGGAGCACTCGTCGCAAATGCGGGCGAGGGTGGTCGGGCGCACGTAGGAGTCGCATACGGGGCATTTGCCGTCGCACTTGTCGCAGAGGCGGCCGATGGAGATGCCGGATTGCTTGCGGCACATTACGAGATCGCTGCGTTGGATGTCAGTGTAGGCGCGTATTTGTGTTGGGTGGAAGTACCTACGGATGATGGCGAGACATGGCGCGGAATTATAGATGTGGCACAGAGGACCGACAGGCCGTATTGAAGCGATTTGGGCAAAAGTGTGTGTCTTGTGTAGGTCTGGGAGCGGTGGTGGTGTTTGTGGTGGCGCGTGGATTCGGGGCTTTAGATTCGTATGCAGAAGAAAGACAGTCGTGACTTGACCTAGGAGCTTCGGGGGTCCGCTGAACCCGTGATCCGTGCGCGAAGCTTCCATCGCGTCACCAAGTTTCCTTGCATTACAAACAACGCCAGCAAACAACCACACGTGATTTCTCGTTTCTGCCAAAAGCACCGTAGAAAGAACCAAAAACAGTCATAGGCTGCACGCGGTACTGCCATGGACGGGCCCATTGCATCAGCTGTAGTCCTTCCGGATGACCTACTACAGCCAGCCTCGCCCCCTGTGAACGGCCACAAAAGACGCCAGGAATCACTATCAGAAGACACCGCAAAGCGACCGCGACTCGACGATGACACTACAACTGGAGACAGACGTGACTCTATTACCAAGGACTCCAAGGACCCCAAGCCCGCTCCAGTGCGACGCGAGAGGGGACGAGAGCGCAGATTGTTTGGCGCCGCTTTGGGTGCACTCTCACAGAACACTACTACTACAGCGCAGAAACGTCGTGCCGAGATCGAGAAGCGTCAACTAGCTCAGCGCAAACAGGACGACCAAGAGAGCGAACAGAGGAAGGCAGAGCGAACAGCCAGGCGCAAAGAGCAACGATGGAAGGAGCAGAAGCATTTCGAGAAGCAGTCGGTACGGCTTGCCAATCTGCGTACGGGGGTTTGGCCGAGCGCTAACTATCCACAGATGCGCATCCGTCATGAAAATCTACTCGCCATGGCGCACTTCCTCCAGACAAAGGCCGAGCCACACCTCGTACGTGTTCTGCTATCAACTCGCGTCCGTCACAGCTGACTTTGCCCAAAGTTTTACAAACCCTGGGAGACTAGTCCCGACGAAGAAGACCGTATACGCGATCAAATAACCGAAGCCAAAGAGACCATCAAACGCGAGGTAGAGGAGTTCGAGGCACGACAGCAGCCGGATAATCTGCGGAGGCGGGATACTTCCGACGGAAGGATTGGTGATGCAGAGGGTTCGGAAACTGGTAAGAACCATCATGCAGATGCACCTCCAGAAACAACCACAGCCAATGGCGGGACTAATGGTAGCGCCACTTCCCCCAAGGATCTGGACAAGGACCTGGACATCAAAGATCATCCTTTCGATACCGCTGATGCTGATGGGAAAGCCGAGCGCGCCACTGAGGATATGCAGACCAGCAATGTTGCAACTCATGGAACTGTCGCTGACCCAACCATCAAGGAAGACGACGATGAGAACGGAGAGGATGTCGTCGAAGAAGCCGCCGAGGATACTGTCATCTATTGAGATCGCCAGGAATCCTTTGCTTCTGCCTATGCCCGTGGCCGGGCCGATAGATCGCTGTTGGCAGGCCTTCATTGATACCCTTTACAATGCTGCCCTTGGACCGATCGCCTCTTTGCCATCCGATCGCCTCAACTCGCAAAGTCTGGCCCTTCATTCTTGAATATCCGACCGTAGCATCACGAAAGCCCTAGTAGCGATAGCAAACGTGCTTCGCAAGTTAATCAATGCCCGGCCATTTGTGCTCTACGAGCTCTGTCCTAATACAAACGATACATCATTCATTGAGTCTATTTGCAGGATGTAGGTTGTCGCATGCGCTGAGGGTCGCACAGTATTCTTTCGAAATCTTGAGGCAAGTACGATCGTTTGCGCTCACCGTTCCGGCACGGACGCTGGAAAACAACAACGTACGGCACTCGGTTACGGCTGTGCTCGCCTCACTCTGGTTATCCGATGCACGTATTTACCTAGAACTTGGGATCATATAGTTGGACCCCATGGTGAGTGGGGCGCTACACCACTATCGCCCACTTCCGATCATAATAGTAACACTATAGCCAACATCATCTCCAACGCTCTACAGAATGCTTGACATTGCGCATCAAATGCGAAAGTGACGTGCTGGGCAAGCAACAAAGAAGAACAGGACAGTGATGTCAGGGTCGGAATGACTACATACCCCACAGTTTCAGTGTACCTCGGCATGCACGCATCTAACAGCCCATCATGAATCTACAACTTCATCGCTGAAACCGACTCGCTTACTCACCGCCATCATCACACAAGAGTGACCTTACTACTACTGTTATACACCCCAAGCTTCTCCCACACCCTCGCCGCAATATATTCTTCTTTTACCCTGAGTTTCATACACGTCACGTCATGTCCGTCCAACCAATTGACCCCGTGTCAGACCCTCGTGTCGAGCACAGATATGCGACACTCAACGGGCAGAAATATCATTACCTCTATGCAGTACCTCGTTCTGGCGACTACCAGCACACTGTGTTTTTGGTAAGTCTTGTTGGGTACCTTGTCATGCTTTGGCGGCATATTCCGGATCTTGTCATATTAGCGAGCATTGGACATCTAGAGATACTGACTGCCTTGGTAGATCCATGGTTGGCCCGACCTATCAATAGGATGGAGGTATCAGATCCCACTCCTAGTCGATATGGGAATGCGGGTCGTTGCGCCGGACATGATGGGATATGGCGAGACAGTAAGAAAGGCCCACAACTCATGCTGCCCCAGAAGAACGCTTAACATGGGAATTTTTAGGACGCTCCGAAAGTCCCGCCAAACTCCATCAAGCTCTATGGACTTAAGAGAGCATCAGATGACATTGCTGCATTGGCGAAAGAGGTCGGCGCGCCGAAGATCATTCTCGGTGGCCACGACTGGTAAGCCATCGCTTGCGTGATTCAAATAAAAGGCTCGTCGACTAACACTTTACCTAGGGGAGGTTTTGTCGTCTGGCGGGCAGCTCAGTGGTATGTTTCTAGAGTCTTAATGGCTGTGATCACCCATACACAGCAGCGACTCACCCCTTTCGTAGGTACCCTGACCTTGTCTCACATGTCTTTTCGGTCTGTACACCATATACTGCTCCTCATGACAAGTACATGTCCACTGAAGATCTCGCCAATGGTCCCTTGCCCCAATTTGCTTACCAAATTCACCTCGCTTCAGGTGAGGTGGAAAAGATTGTCAAAGATGAGCAGTCGATCAGGCAGTTTTTGAAGGGTATGTATGGTGCTAAGGGGCCGAAAGGTGAGATCGCCTTTGATCCTGAGAAGGGCGTGCTGGGAGAAAATCTGCCCTCAATTGGGGAAAGCAAGGTTTTGAATGGAAAGGTACGTGATGATCTTTCATGTTGCAACACGTGTCGAGCGCGAGATCGAGGAATGAAAAGAGTGGGGTTATATGATAAGCGACTACGATACCGCATTTCAAAAGTGCACTATGATATGGTCGGATTTCTGGACTTGTGCATTATCACCTCCGTTGTGTCGTGCAGGAAAGACGGGAAAGCGTTCCAGATGATCGGCTTGCCTCGACATGAACACACCATCTCGTGTGTAGGCCACGTTGAGGTCGCATGACAGCAGTGCACTGTTTCAGAAAGACAGCTTGAGACCTATTCTCAGCAAGCGATGGTGTGCTAACAGCGAATCAGTACCTAGACTACTACGTCAAGCAGTACTTGAACCACGGCATACACCCCACTTGTGAGCACTCCTTCTCCCTTACTTACCCACTATTCATCCGCACATTAGCGTGTGTACACATATAACCGTTGTTCTATCCACTAACTCTCTATCCCAGTGAACTGGTACCGTCAACGCCGCACAAACTGGGAAGAAGACCAAGCCCTCCTCTCCCACAAGCAAATCGTCCAACCCGTCCTCTTCATTCAAGCCACGCACGATGGCGTTCTCAAACCAGAAATGTCAAAGAGCATGGAAAACTTCATCCCCAAGCTGACACGAGGAGAGGTAAAGGCGGCCCACTGGGCGTTGACCCAGAAGCCCGAGGAGTGCAATACGATTATCCGCCAATGGTTTGAGGGACAGGGGTTGGTGGCGAAGAAGAAGCGAGAGAGTGCTTTGTAGGATTGGATTCAGGATGAAGCGGAAATGTGCGATGGGATGGACAGTCCCTTAGCGGTCGAGTTAAACGTAGTGTATGTAGTGTGGATGCGTACGTCGGCGCCGCGAGCAACTAAAATTACAGCATGTTGTCTAGTGGGCGGTGTGTCTATGTTCAATCGCTTTCGTATACGTATACCTGATTACTCTTTCATGCCCGTTGATCGAGGACGGCAGATCGCTTTGTACCTACCGGGGTAAGGCCAGGAAAGCATGGAGATTGCGGCTCTATCCGTAATGGCCTGAAATGTGCTTCGCAACCCCTTGGCTACACAGCGATATCGGTAATGTCTTGCGCTAGCGAGATCCTTTGCACCGATGAATTGCTAAGTGCTTACTACTGTAACCAAGATAGCGGTTCGCTCGACGGCTGCCAAAAACGGCACTTCGACGACGGCAAACGCATGTATGCGTCAGCGCACCGATAACGTTATTTTGTTGAAACATGACCTTATGCCGACACTCATCATCTATTCTGAGGGTTCGAGGAGGGATGGTGTGTGGATACTAGATCTGCATCGCCGGCCTCATACCTGTGGGCCCATCAGCACACCACCTGCTGGAGTTATCATTTGGGCGCTTCCTTCCACAGTATTTTTCGCTTCGCTTACGATCGAGAGCAGATGTCAGGTACCTTTGGCTTGAAAGTGAAGCGTGTGATGCAGGTGGTATCTCGGTATCTCCGGAGGTTCTAACCACAAAAGTACCGGCAAAAGTAGCAGATACGCCGTCTTGGAATTTGGCACCGGGTTGTGTGTTCTGGATCTTGTCCCGTCTTAATCATAGCAGACGGATTAGCGCTCCTTGATATTCTTCCATGCGAAGACCAGGTCGAGAAGATTGTGACGATACTTCCAGCTTTTCTGGTAAAAACAATCTGGAGATATGTCGGATGCAGGTCCCTCTGTCCGTGCGCGATTCCAAGGCACTGGTACCCCGCTGTCAGATACAGCCAGTAAGGTAGCAGCATTAAGCCCTGTGGCGGCTTCGTGGTTGTGAGTAGGTAGCGAGATGCCACGCTTTCTGCGGAACAAAGCTGATGCGGAGAGGTGCCTCCGAAGACTCTGCAGCTTCTTCTGGTCGGGATACTACGATAGGGGATGCGGTGCCTTTACATCCGGCAGACCGCCTCTGCTAAGGAGTACGTACTCAAAGTGTCCAGGATGGTGGTGGTTGGATATGCCGTGTGGCGCTGACCAGCTTTCGGGAAGCGACTAATGTGAAATCCCTCACCGCTGCATCACCGAGATGCAAGCGCCTGAGATATATTCAACGTAAATCGCGAAAACGTGCGCAAGTTGGTAAACGGTGCGGAGTGCATTCAAACTGGGTATGATGAACCTTCCTCACCGCTTACCGCTTCTAGAGGCCCATGCATGAGGGTCGTGGAGTCGGTCGCTTGATGATGCATGATCCCGGCGTTCTTGTACGTTCATTGACGGAGTCTATAACAGCGCTGAATATAGCCAGGTAGTCCGTCGAGAGAGGCGGCATGTGTAATGTAAGTGAGGAGTTGCTTATCGGTAAGTCTGTTATTCGATTACATCCCGTAGCTTGTTACGCCGGAGCAAGAAGCGGACTGGCTAGACAGGCACATTAGGTATGTTCGTTAGTCCAGTCGTAGCGAATGCGGGCCCGCAAAGAAGTTAATCTCAACATTGCTGGGTCACGGTCTGATCCACCATGGTGCTCTGCCATGCAACGTTGATGGACAAAGGACGACTGGTCCACAACGTCTCTTTTGCCGTCCCGCTGCAGCATTGTGCTCGGCTGCGTGCCAGATGGTTGTTGTCGAGTAATAGACCAGGTTGGTCGGTCGGAGAGATACGTACACTCCCGAGGCCTTCTTGTGGGACGGCTTACCAACGACATCTCATCTTGCTCGTGGCCGCATCCTTGTCAATTGCTGGGTCTGCCATGTACCCGCGATCACCGTTGCTCCTGCCAATCCTTCATGACAAGTGCTCGACCTCATTTTTCGGTCAAGGTCGTAGATCTGAGACGGCATTGCAGCACGCTACCGGTGTTTCTTCGCCATGGTCATGCAGACAATAGCACATGTCAATCTCGATGGTCTTTTGGTGGCCACACCTCGGTCGGAGGTGCAGCTGTTGACTGTTAGCTATGCCTTGGGCCAGTCGTTCGTGCAGTTGGCGTTGAGGTCGCTCCGATAAGAGGCCCTTGTACTTTCCTGTCCCGACAGTTTGGTTCTGCGTAGGACGAATTTCGTCAATGGGCTGCTCCTCGGGAGCCAAACCACGACCCATGTCTGACCTCCAACCGACATTCAGCCAACGGGCCTCTTACCACACCCACCACTGTTGCCCCAGAAGGATCCCGCTAAGGGGCCGCACTACGGGACTGACACCATGATCCCCAGAGTAGTCCAGTCTGAAGGCGCGCCGTTGAGCGTGAGCCGTTCGCACATGGGCAATATATCCGGGAATTTATATTGCAAAAGTGACTTCCGGAAGTCTTCTGGAAAATCACCCAAGTACGCTAGCCAGTCAGCGGTCGAATTTTCCCGTCGGCATGCAGGCCTAGAGGGTCCAAGATTGAGAGTGCACCGGGGGTTGTGGACGACTTATGGTTTGAGCTTTGGCTTAGCGGTAAAGACGTGCTAACGCCGAGACAGGACAGCCTGCATATCAGGCTGATGTTTCGCGCGTCGAATCCAGGGATCCATGACTCTGCAGGGCCACTACAACCGACAGGTTCGGTGCAGCAAATTCCAATACAACCTTTGGAAGCGGGCTCCACAACCGCGCAGACTGCCTTATCGCTGTTTCACGACGGCGCCGGGTTTTTGATAGACGGCCACTACACAAGACGAGACGTGGCCACCACAGACGCCGCATCATGACCGTTGCTCCTATATCGCATCCTGTGAGTGCACGTCCCGGAGCTACATGGTATTGATCCGGCAAAACGAGACTGAGGATGCTTGAGTTTCTACCAGCTAGTTCGCTGGGCAAATTGCAAGCCTTCCCGGTTGTGTATCCACAAGAAGATCTAGCCTCATACATACACTCAGAGTAACGGGATAAAGAAAAGACTACGCGATGCCTACCATACCAAGTAGCTCTGGTCGCGCATCCCTATCCATGCTCGTCCCGCCAGTATGATACGCCTAGCAAATGACGTGGAACCTTGAAGTCTCTCTCATGCGATACCATTATCTTGCCGATTGCACCAACCTCAGGCAAGCCCAGCTTGTCCCAGGCCACCGTTGATCGAAATGGGCCTTCTCAACAAGTATATCAGCCTCCACGTTCCCGTGGGGTGCTCTTCTGCTAGCTATCTCTCCCTCACTTTTTCCCGCTCCATTGCCACCATCCCCCATACTTTCAAATCTTTCTCGTAATGGCTCCCTCAGCTCTCGCAGATATCTATCCAATCCCAGCGAGGCACTACTCTAAGTCATCGACTGTAGTAGCTTCGGTCCTACACGGGCCAAGGGATTTGCGGCTGGTATGCCTTCCTCTTCTGTTACACATCCCACGTCTACCCACTGTTCGTGGGGGTTTTGGTGTATATCGAACACCTTAGATCTGAAGCTAACGAATCCAAACAGGAAACTCGAACCATTACTGACCCTGCCGCCAATGAACTCCAGATCGCTATCAAGGCTACTGGGTTGTGCGGGAGCGATTGTTCCTACTACAGCAAGTTCTGCAACGGGGACCTGCAGGCTTGTGAGCCGCTATCCTTGGGCCATGAGTCTGCCGGAATTGTGGTCGCCATAGGCCAGAGTGTCACCGGTTACCAGATTGGCGACCGCGTTGCTCTGGAGGTAGGCGTGCCGTGCGACAACTGCAGGTCATGCCAGCGCGGACGCTATAATCTGTGCCCGAAGATGAGGTTCCGGAGTAGCGCCAAATCGGTACCTCACTTCCAAGGAACGCTTCAGGAACGCATCAACCATCCTGCAAAATGGTGCCACAAGTATGTCGTGCATGATCGACCCGAAACCCGAATCTTAGCTGACAACTCTATTCAGACTACCTGCCCATGTGTCCATGGAATCGGCTGCGCTTTTGGAGCCTCTTTCTGTTGCTATACATGCAACAAGAAGAGCCCAAATCGAGCAGGGTGACACGGCCATTGTTTTTGGTGCAGGCACAGTCGGTCTTCTTACAGCTGCGATGGCCAAGGTGTCTGGCGCCACAACCGTCGTCATCGCAGACATTGATTATGGACGTATAAACTATGCCTTGGCAAACGGCTTCGCGCACAAAGGTTACATTGTGACCCCACACAATGCGACTGAGACTGCCGAAAAGTTCGCGGTAGCTAAGGAGTTGGCTGCGGATGTCATGCAGATTGCTTCGCAGAATGAGATCGATTTCGAAGGTGCTGACGTTACATTTGACTGCACTGGAAAGGAGATCTGTATGCAGGCTGGGTTATACGTAAGTATCTTTCGAAGCGGTATATGAGCGTGGAACTAACCTCCTGCAGGCGACAAGGCCTGGTGGCAAGCTCATCATGGTTGGAATGGGCACGCCGATCCAAACACTGCCCATGTCGGCATCTCATCTAAAGGAAGTCGACATCCTGGGAATCTTCCGCTACGCCAACACCTACCCAACCGGCATAAAGATCTTATCTGCTGGTGTACTTCCAAGTCTCGACAATATGATCACTCACAGGTATCATGGATTGGCATCGACAAAGGAAGCCTTCGAGCTCGCAGGCAAGACAGTCGACAAGGATGGCAAGCTTGTCCTCAAAGTTCTTGTTGAGATGTAGGAAAATCTTGGTCTACGAATGACTGAAAACATGTGCATTCGCTTTTTCGGGTATGTATAACGACATGATAGAAACGACTTAGAAGATGGACTGGAAAACATCGATCCCGGTCAGGCGTTTTAAGGGCAGCTCTCGGATTCTGGATCAAGACAGAGATACCATTCGCTTTTGGGTTATTTGTGCTTTGGAGTTGGTTGTGCTGGAGTAATCAGCTAGTGTTGGCGATTAATGCAAAGATCTGGAGGTCAGCCCAGACTGTAGATTTTAATGCTATGATCACCCTCAGACGAAGATTACACGCTTTTTTTTTATTGTCTGTTAGTGGAATCTCGTGATGAGTGAAGTAGTGTAAGCAGAACAGCCGCCAATCTTCTAGGAATCGCGTCGCGCTGCAGTCGCGTTGAGCTAGCGCAGAGTGGTAAGCGCCTTGGCACAACCCCACGAATTGTGGCAGCTGCAGCCTAGGCAAGCTCCCCACCAAGACCATATCATCGCAATTGCAATTCCACCTTCCCCAAAGGCTCTCACCCACCTCCTCGACTACCGCGAAACTCAAATAGGGAGACGACAAACCATACTCGAGCAGACATGGCAGAGTCATCAGGGAACCCACTCGTTTCAACGACTCGCGCCTCTGACGCAAGTCCGACAGTACAACTCCATCCGCTAGTACTCCTCACAATAACAGATTGTGTCACACGACACACACTACGACAGCAGACAGGACCAGTGGTCGGAGCTATATTGGGTGCACAAGATGGCCAGAACATCACCATGGAGGTTGCTTTCCAAGCAAGACTCCAGTCGAACCAGGATGGCGAGACGGTGCTTGATGACGAGTGGTTTAGCAAGCGTATTGAGGACTGTAAGCTTTAGTCTCCATTTTCTGCATTTATGGCTGAATGAGGCTTACGAATACACAGTCAAGGACGTACACAAAGAACCCCAATTAGATATCGTCGGCTGGTTCACTCTCGGTCCCGCCTCCGGCCCAGAACCCCACATCCTTCCTATCCACTCGCGCATATCAGAAATCTACACCGAATCTCCGCTGCTCGTTTTGTTCCACCCCGAAAACGCATACTCCGAAGAAACTGCCGCTGGAAAGCTGCCCCTCACTGTCTACGAGTCCATCTCCGTCAATGTGTCGAGCGAGCCAAACGACAAAGCTATGGACATCGACGGCGCTGTACAGGCTAAGTCGACCAAGTTTAGGGAGCTAGTATACTCGATCGAGACCGGTGAGGCGGAGATGATATCTGTCGACTTCGTTGCCCGCGGTGGTGGCAACGCTACTGCAGTAGAAGGCACAGCAGATGTAGCGGGCGCAAAGTCCGAGTCTTCCAAGACCGACGAGGGCACCGGCAAGCGGAACACACAGGGAAAGCAAAAGGAGAAGGAAAAAGAGAAGGAGACCGACGCTCCTATCGACGAGTCTGTCATCTTGACCCCAGACGACGACGAGGGTAGGACCAAGCAGTTCGATCTTGATCTAGTGCCGGTATACTGACATTTGCATAGTTCTCTCTTCACTCACAGCCAAAATGAATGCTATTCGCATGCTCAGTCGGCGAATAATGCTTCTCCGCGCGTACCTCGACTCCCTTCCAACGTCGTACCTCTCCGACCCATCACTGCCGGTCGACCCTACACCCGACGCGCAACACCCCCTACCTCTAGATCACTCAATCCTTCGCAGTGTATCCGCCATGCTCGCTCGCCTCAATATCCTGGGCCCACCAGACTCTGCCGCTTTCACACTCGAGTCCCAACAAGAAGCTTCCGACGTGCAGCTAGTCAACCTACTAGCATCCATCACAAACTCCGTTTCCCTGGCCAAGGACCTTGGCCGAAAGAGCTCTATCGTTGAACATGGCAAGAATCAGGGAAAGAAAATGATGCACGGTGGCATGGCCGACTATGGTGGCTATAATCCAGGACGCAACTACGGTGGTGGCGAGGGCAACTTCTTCAATACTGTTATGGGCGAGGGATCTGGTGGCGACAGGTGGTGATCCCTATCAATTCATCTACGCTCTTCGCACATGACGAGACTGCGTTGCTGATGACGCTCTAGACCAGCAAAACGAGGGATCGTATGCCTTGCAGATGGTCGTCATCCTGATGCGCTATTCGATCCAGAAGATCTTGATATGATTTATGTAGAGAGGTGGTGGCATTTCGTTCTAGCAATTCTTAGCATGGGGCCAGCCTATCTCCTCTTGTTCTTTATGAGCCCGCTTATACTGGGTCTTTTCGCAGTAGGGTTTGGCTACTGGACAGGCTGGGGGACTTATAGAGCTGTGCGCTGGTTAGGGAGAGTAATGCTGCAAGCACTGAGAATTGCTTTCCAAGCTTTACGGGGTCTGATTCGTCGAGTTCAGCGATGAGATTTCTGCATAGCATTTGGCGCATGGATGGTTCAATAGACACATGGGAATGGAAGGTCATGTCATGACATCATAGCCGGTACACGAGTAATGAAAAAGGGTACTTCGATACCTTTGTTTCTATGACTTCTTAAAGCCTCATGAACTTAGCACATGGAATTCTTGAAACTCGAAACACCCATCGTCTGCACGCTTTGGTTGTCCATTTCTTCCTGGAATTGCCCGTTTGCTGTCCTCATGTACGCTAACCATCGGCGGATCAGGAATGAATCTGCCTTCTGGTCCTTCGAATGCTCGTGCTTCCCATCGTGAGATTAGAAGTAAGTCACTGTAGTACTTTGTTTTGTCAGCATCTTCTTGTAGTCGCTGTTCGAGCAACTTGCGCTGTCTATTGTAGGCTGTTCTTGTTGAGTTGAAACTTGACAGTTTTGTGGGTGGAGATGGAGAAGAGGCTGGAATTGTCGTGAGTGTATGTATCTCCGACGAACCGTCAACCCACTGTGACGGCAATTCAGTCGGTGTGGATGGCGAGGAGGGTGAATTTGATGCTCTTGTGGTGATATCGAGGTCACAGAGCAGTATACTTAAGTCTTCCATGGTTTTTTGGGGCTGATGATCCGTGTTAATTGTAGAATCGTTGACCACTGTCCAGAATGCTTCAATGGTGAGTTCAATCTGCTCTTTTTCGAGCTTCTCTCTCATGATCAAGCCGTTCATACTGATGTCTACGGACATGTGAGGGGCCTCCGCTCCAGGCCCCCACGCAGTGAGGTCCTCCTTGTCAATCTTTAGCGTATGGTTCTCCTCTTGAGATCTCAAAATCGGAATCGAGTTCTCGCTGTTGTCGTTATTCCAACTCCATCCAGTCTGATCAAAGTCAGGCACAACCCCCTCATCGTTTGAAGCCTCCAGTTCTTCGCTCGAGAAATGGTTAAAGATCCAACTCCCGTCATCGTCGTCGAGTGGGTGTGAATAATCGGTACTGACTGGGTGGATCGGATCGGTGCTCGCAATGTAATCGCCATCATAATCATGATCGTCCATCTCAGCCCAGTCCTTCTCTTTCAAGTCAACGACATCTTCCGGCTGTACTTCTTGTTTCAACGGCGAGCATACTGTCCTATAGTCGCTAACGCTGACCCGCGCCACACTCTTCTTGAAAGCGTGTGAGATGTTGCGTGCACCCCATGAAGCCATGTAGTATTGGTCTTCGAGCTCCTTAACCAGAGCAGAAACCTCCGGCGTCCCTAGCATCCGCCTTTCAATCAGCTTAGATAGAAATTTTCTTGCTCGCTCTAATTTGCATGTCCAGTTGCTCTCCCAGCTCGCGTGCTCACAGGTATTGCATTCAGTTCGAGCATACACAGTGAGGAACGATTCCGCCGTGCACGCAGCTTTTATACTCGTCCGGGTTATCTTGTGTTTCGTACCTTTGCAACGCGATCTCCGTAGGCGTAGCGTATGCTGACATCTATAGTAGAGATGGATGACGTTGCACATGATTATTGGGCGTTGATTGCAACTGGACTGCAGCTGCTGACTTCTTGTACCACGTAAAGTTGATGATTCAGAAGACAGTCAGGAAGTTCATGGGTATCTTGTGCACGTACAATCGTTTTCGTATCTGTGGTGGTACGAAATTGCTGTGGACTGACGGGCACAGTGATGACTAAGTGTAAAGCGTTGCCATAGCTATCACCCAAATTTTTCGCATATTGCTGCTTGAGGTGACGTGGAAAAGGTGGGGACGTCTAGGTAAAGGTAAGATAGTAGCTAAGACGCAGTCAGTCATCGCCTTTGTGCATTCATATCTAGCTACAGACCTATATCGACAGTGAATGAACGTTTTGTGAACAAGAGTAGAAGTAGGTGCCTAGCGCATATATGACAAGCGAAATCATAATTGAGGCAAGAGCTACTGGCTTGACGTGACTTCTCAGGGCGTGCATTCACGTGCGCCAGCGTACGATGGGAAGTACGGCAACGCCAGAACACGTATGCATGTAGGGAGATAAGGAACTAGGAGTCGCGGAGCATTGACGCACGATTAACATATAATTTATGCAGGAAGAAAGACCAAACCTGTCCCATTACCCCAATCCGAACCTACCAAATACCAGAAGAAAAAGATGCATCCTTTTCATGACCATGAAGTCCAATGCAGAGCTTCCCAGAAGCCCAAGAAAGAAGAAAAACGAAAAGTAACGTTGCGTCGTTACACATTACGTATGAGAGTCATTACATGTATACAGAAATGTCCCAATTCGGCATAAACAAGTATCCCAAGATGGAAAACGCCATCACGAAAGCGACGAATAAGAGACTTTAGTATCGCACCACAGGCGACGCGCTTGTGCTGCCTTCTTGCACCAAAACGCCTTCTTTGACACCTTCCTTCTCCATCTTATGCATCCAGTCCTCTTTCTTGTCCTTTTTATGCATCCAGCCACTGAAAATCTTCTTCAACTTCGATTTTTGCTCTTCTCGGCCTGGAGTCTTGGGCTCGTTCGAAATGGTTTTCTGCGCGGATGATGTGTCTACGCTCATCTTGCGCGAGAAAGTGGACGCGTCGGCACTCCTATTGCCGTTCGAGGCAGAGCCACTGTCTCCACTCCTTTGGCGGGTATGGTTGCTGGAGCCCGGTTCGAGACGCTGGTCGAGGTTGCTAGTGGAAGACCAGCCAGTCATTGTATGCCCGGCATTTGTCGGACTCCCTGGCTGTGTTCGTACGTGCTGGGGGATAGCTTTGGTTTCCTGTTTACGGGACGACTTCCGCACAGGGAAGGCATCGTTGGCATGCATGGCCTGCATATCAGATCCGCTCTTCCTGTGTTTCTTCGCAGCAGAGGGAGAACGCTCTTGGTGCTGTTCTTGCGGACGCATTAGACTTGCAATGTGTGTTTCAGCAGTAGGAGACATGGGCGACTTTGGCGATGCCACCTTCTCCTCTGTAGGCTCTTGGAAATCCTTCCAAGTGTCTAGGCTGGGTAGTGGTGGTAGCTCTTTGGTCAAGTTAATGCCACCAGACTCTGACTTCCTTGGTTGAGCCTCTTCTGACTGTCCCTTGGAAGTACCCGGTCTGCTGTTGCTCCTTGAACTCAACTTGCGGGCAACACCCCAGCTACGCCATCCTGATTTCGAGTCACTACGTGTGAGACCTTGGTCATCGTCGGCTGAGGGACGAAGGGAATCCTTGGATTGCGCGCGGCTCAAGGCCCGACTGCGGGAGCCGGGAAAGACGTATTCTCTGACACTTTCTTTGATGCTCGCAGCACGACTTGGCGGTCGGACCGAAGTGTTGGATCGGCCCCGAGGTTCTGAGGCTTCTTCCCGTCGCTTCTTCTCAAGTTCTGAACGCATCCATTCTGCGGCTTGTGCGTCTGCGACTGCAGCAGGGTTGTCAGAATGGTGGGATAGCCTGTTCATACTCCTGTAGTTGGGCAGAGATGCTGAGTTGGGCACTGAAGACGACATCTTGGCATTGGCAAAGGTTGATGTCACGGCCACGGGGAGAGTAACATCTTCATCGGAGTCGTTACGGAAGACAGCCGAGCGCGGTACGTCCATGGAAGTCTTGCCATATGTTCTTAACTTCTCCTCCCTCTCTGCGTCCCGTTCGTCGAGCCATCCAAAGTCAGCTCGCTTACGACTGCTATTCGCGCGCGCGGGCATGTCTCCGTATGTCCTGTTTCTGATCTCCTGGTCCGCCTTCGCTCGTGTCCGGGTCTTGGTGCTGGGCTTTCGCATCATAAATGACGTCGATGCCGCCGACAGCTCTGGGGGCGCGCCGGTGGGCATGCGGACACTAACCTCAGCAGCCTGTGGTTTACTCTCCTTCCGTCGGGGACCAAGCCCTCCAAAGTCGAGCTTCGGGTCTGTGTTCTCCATGCCATGATCGGAAGGCTTGAAGTTTTGCAGAATATGCCGACATGCTAGGCGCAATTCGAGTTCGGTATGCTCATCGAGGACACGGCGGTTGATCCAGGGCGACGAATCGCATATACTGTCTTTGGAAGTATGTCTCTTGTGTGACGACGAGGGCTGTGAGGGAGTTGGTTCTGGCGTGGGCTTATCGAGGAGATCTGACTTGGAGGCAACCTTCTGCAGAGCGGTGAGTTAGTGTTGGGAATGCAGTTGGAGGTGAAGAAGTAGAGATAGGACATACGACTGGCGCCAGGTTGAAAGAAAACTTGCGCTGCTTCATGATTGATTAGGGTAGCTATGTAGGCCAAAAGTACTATGTTGGAATGGAATATGGCTGCAGAGGCGTGGTACAAGTGTTGCGGTTGCAACGACGACGTAACGGGTGCGCGCGCGCGCGCGAGAGAAGTCGGCGGTGGATGTTGTATGGTCGGCTAGGAATGGCTAGGCGGAGCTACTCGCGACTACTGCATGCATGCGGGAACTTTTGACGGTTTGGCGGAACAAAAAGGTGGTGACGTGCCTTGGGTTGGCATGCATCGAAATGCGGTGGAGACCAAAGGGCAGGCAGGAACCGCCAACAAGTTTGGGACAGGACGATAGGTATAATGCGCGTTGGTGGTGTGCACCGGCCCGACCAGGAGGTGTTGGAGTTTCAGAGTGGCAGCTAGCATTAGACAGGATGCAGCCGACGACCAGCCCTGGAGAGTCTCGATGCCGTGTAGAATGCGCAGGCAGCCAATCAGCTGGATGCACGCCTGAAGCCTCTACGACGGTCAAATCTGCGCGTCGTCAATCAAATCATCGTCGCCCACCCGCACGCGCCTCGTCGAGACGCCCAACAGCCACAGCCCGCGTTGTTTACCCTTGCAGCAACCAGCCCGCCCTGGTCGTCGGCGGAGGCAGCGATCGTGTGCCCCTTCCCAGCAGAACCAGACTATCGAAAATAAGCGGCGCTGCGGCCCCACGAATGAGAGTCTACAAGGGCCGCGGACATGACCTCGATCCAGAGACTGCATTCCACATGTCCATACACACGAACGCATTCCATCAAACACGAAGTCGCTCCTTTTTGCGACCCAGCGAACGACTGTTGGCCGGTTTCACACTAAGACATGCCCTCCCATCCCATCATCCGCTGCTGTCCTCCTGCCGCCGCCTTCACCGCTGCAATACTAGCACTGTTATTGCACCCTTAAGGCAGGGGCGAAGCTTTGCATCGGCGAGAAGAAACTTCCTCGACCCTGGCAGGGAACCTTCCGCGACGACATCCTGGGAATAACCCGACGGGTTATTGTGTGCTGCCGTAGCGCACTGGCTCTCGTGGACAGGCCGACAAACGGTCGCTTCATCGCTCCATCGCTGCTGGCCGAGCTTCCCTCATCGTCATAGTATGCGTCATCCAAGCATTCGTTTTGCGTCTCAGTGTTTCGTTATCAGCACAGTCGACCAAGCTTTCAACCGCATGTCGTCAGTTATCTGGTTGAGTTGCGGGTCCCCTCTTGGTAAAGTGTGCCGGCTAAAACTGCTAATATTCACCGCCCAAGCTATCCGCATCTGGTCTCCAACTCTCACAGCATTTCCCGGCATGTCACTCGTTAGGCGCGCAGATCGCTGATCCACCACCTGGTTATTTTCGTTCGGTGACGGTATTGTGTAACCACGGTGCCAGATCGAAACAAGTCGATAGCAAGCCACTGCACCGACCACCCGGAACGCCAATACGCTACAACGGCACCATTCAACGGCCTTACTTTCAGTGCAGCACCTGTACACATAATAAGCACTGCGCGAACACGGAATTCAGCAGCAGCAGGGCTCATGCAGTGCCTTGTGCCACATGCCCAAGCATACGATAATCCCCGCTCACTCTCCATCACGCGTACAGGATATGACTCACATTGGAATCAGCTCGACTTCTTTGTAGGTTCTTCGACTAGGCGAGATTGCGCGATGATCTCAGTAGTGCCAAAATCCATGTATCGAAAGCAGACGTGACTTCCGCATCCAGAGCTATTGATAATGCTCGGAACAGAGAGACGCCGTAGAACTTTAGAAGACCGGCAATGCAATACCAGCCTAGCAGTCCTGCTGACCAGAGGAACAGAGACACTGACCATGGTTGTTCCACGCAGCTTTGATGCAATATCGAAGGGATCTTGGCGCTTCCATCAAGCACCATGCGTTACATACATCATGACTATACGAGTAGCTTCACGTGATGCCTCAACTTGTAACATCTAACTTGTGAGTACAGTCACTGCAGGAAGTTTAAGAGCTTGGATTGTTGGTTTGTCGGCAATGGTTATAGCTTTCGCATGAACTGACAGAGTCAGAGCAGCGCATAGGCTATAGAGTCAACAACGCGGGCTGATACACTTCCAATGAATCAACAATGTATCGTGCCGATATGCTTCTCTCCATGGGCTACACACCCCTTTGGTGATGAAGAACCCAAGAGTACAGCCGCCACGACCGTCAGATCAAAAGCTTCCACGAAACTCAACTAGCACGGCAACTACTGTCTGGGAGTATGCCGTTCTTTTATACCTTGCACTGAACTACATACTCCAAGATAATCCGCGACATGTTCAGTATCGCGAGAAAGTCAGACAAAGTGAACGGTCGACATGGAGCACTCGTCAAAATCGACAGCCTTTCGATCCACCAAAATATCAAAGCGAAGCAGCGCATCACAACGGCCTCAAAAGCGACAGACAGTCAAACGCAGGCTATCAACTTCACAAGAGATCGCAGACGATACCCACCCAGTCATATTTCCAATCCCATAACAAAAGACGAGACGGTCATCATAATGAGCATGTCTACCCTTTCAAGACTGGCCCGAAAAGTCCAAATCTGAATATATCGAAAGCACAAAAGAGCGAGGCATGGGGCCGGATAAGAGCCGTGTCCGGATTGCCAGGCTATCCTGCCAGTACTCACAAATGGCAAGATGGAGGAGAGAAGCGAGCAAAAAAAGTACGATGGGGAGTGATACAGACCCGCCGGTTCGAGTCCGAGACTGCGGCAGATGACGGAGACACAACAAATCAGCACGATCCCTAGAAAGAACAGAATCACGCTCATGGCAGTCATGTAGCCGACTAGGTGACAAGAGGGAATACGCAAGGGAGGAAGTCTGGGCATATATCAAGACGGAGGGTAAGCATTAACATCGGGATCCTGCAAAGTAAGCGATGGCCAAATCGAATGACCTCAACTACCGTCTTGTAAACAGCACTACTCATTTAGGCAAGTGTTATCACAAACGATATCCTCGAAGCATGTTCGTCATACAAAGCAAATGAAAACCATAGCTAGATTCACTCGCCCAGGCTGCACTACCATTACTCATTTCCTAGGTCAATCAAATGAGTCGTTCCTGTCGACTCGATGGTGGCGTCGTAACACACCCAATGGGGCTAAAGCTGCCGACTAGCGCTTTCTCCACATTATGAGGAGGCGCCGCCCTGGTCGACCACCACGCTCATTCCCGTACATGCATCATATCTGTCATGCTTTGTCCGCTAGCTGCAGGAGTTCTTGTATGGTGCGTATTTTTGTAAAGTTTTATCAGTCTTTCCCAATGCTGCATGTCGATGATAGTGTAGCAGCTGTATGTCAATGATGGCAACTCTGTGACAACCTCGGGAACCAACGCTCGGGTATGTGGTGAGGGGAAGGGACCACAAGCTACTTCGGACCGGATACGTCTCGACACGATCATTCGCTGAGCGACCAGTAGTGTTACACCGTGCTGCTTGCTCATCTGTAAAATCCGCTTCGGACCCGATCATGTGAATAGCCTTCGCTTTGCGTCTTCGCCCATCTTCTTGCTTCCTCCCGAAAACTACATCTTCAAACGTGCCTCCGTGATCGTCTACTTCCTTTCTGCGCATACCGTTAGAGATAGCTACATCGATCATAATGGGTGACTCGCAACCATGGCCGCAAGTCCCGGTCGGGAACAAAGACCACACTGACGCTGCAGTTGTCATCATCGGAGCCGGTATCTCTGGTAAGTAGTCCTACAAAGGTCTTGAGGTTCGATGCTAACCTCGCCGAGGTATGTGCATGGCAATCGACCTCATTAAGCGCAACCAATGTCACAACTTCATCATTGTTGAGAAGAGCTCCAGCGTCGGCGGAACATGGCATGACAACAAGTATCCAGGTTGTTGTTGCGATGTTTGGAGCATGTTGTATAGTTATTCATTCGAACAGAATCCGGATTGGACTAGAGAGTACCCTGGACAAGAGGAAATACTTGTATGTGTCCCCACGATTTCTTTCCTTCCTTGGCTTTGTCTCACTCTATTGCAGGACTATCTCCGCAACGTAGCCCGCAAATACAACCTCTACAAATACATCCGGTTCAACACATCAGTCGAGTCCGCGACATGGGACGATTCCAAGAATCGTTGGAAGGTCGACGTCAACGTGACTGGTGGTAAAGACGCAGAATTCAATCCTGCTTATAGTATCGAATGCGACTTTTTAGTCTCAGCTGTTGGCCAGCTGAACCAGCCACAATATCCAGAAATTGAAGGGTTAGGAGACTTCAAGGGCAAGATCATGCATTCGGCGCGTTGGGATTGGAGCCACAGCCTTGAGGGCAAAAGTGTGGGCATCATCGGTAACGGTACGTGTGATATTCATCACTCAGGAAAACGAAACTGATCAAAATTAGGTGCTACTGCTGCTCAAATTATTCCCGAGATCTTGCCACAAACATCCTCATTGACAATCTACCAACGAACTCCAAATTGGGTCATTCCACGTCTCGATGGGCCCGTCAGCGCCTTCAAACGCGCAGTACTGCGCTACCTTCCTCCAGTTCGCTGGCGCATCCGCGCGAATATGATGGACTTTCGCGAGTCTTTCTATGACGCCGTAACAGACAGCAGCAGCGAGTTCGCAGAAGTCATCCGAAGTAGCTGCATAGAGATGATGAAGACGCAGATCCCCAACCAGCCCGACCTCTGGTCAAAACTCACCCCAGACTACAGTCCAGGTTGCAAGCGCGTCATTATATCCGACGATTACTACCCCGCCGTTGCCAACCCCAAAACAACTCTCGAGAGCAATAAGATCCGTCGGATTACGGAAACCGGCATCGAGCTCGAGGATGGCACTCATCACGAGCACGATACCATTGTCCTCGCAACTGGTTTCCGCACAGTAGAGTTCTTGCACCCCATTAAAGTAACTGGAACGCAATCACGACCTCTAGCAGAAATCTGGTCTTCCGGCGCCACAGCCCTATACGGGACGACGATCCCTTCCTTGCCCAACTTTGGACTCTTCTACGGACCCAACACAAATCTGGGCCACAACTCCATCATCTTGATGATCGAAGCACAGTCTCGGTACCTCAACACGCTCGTCTCTGCTGTACTCGATGCGCGGAACAGGGGCCAGAGGATGGGCATCATGCCCAAAGAAGGCAGAACACATGAATGGAACGAGGGAATTCAGCAGATACTGAAGAACAGTTCTTTCGCGGATCCGAAATGTAATAGTTGGTATAAAAATAAGGAGGGAAGAATTACTAATAATTGGTCCGGGACTGTGATTGAATATCAGGAGATGCTCGCAAAGGTTGATTGGGAGGATTTCGAAACGACAGCTGGTGCTGGTAGTGCTGCACATTCTGATGATGGTGTGATGGTGGAGAAGAGTACTGGAGGAGTGAGCGCAAGTAAAGTTGTATTTGGTACGGGGAAGCAAGAGACGAAGATTGGAAGGGTTCATGAGGAGACACTGGTCAGTAATACTACGTTGGTGCTTGGAACACTGAGTGCAGTCGCTGCAGGTGCAGCATGGGTGTATCGGGGTAAGTTGCCCAAGAGACTCGGACTGCGAGCTTGATTGCGGTTCATTAGTGTGAATATGTTTGTGTGATATCAAAGGAATATGCAAAATGTATGAAAAATCTCTCTTCCACTTTTCAGTAGAGCCCTAATTCCGCCTCAAAACCCCTGTCTCTCTTTCCACCTTTTTTCCCATCCCTCAAACCAAGGACTCTCACCCAACGTCTGCGGGTCCCAGTCCTTCTCAACCAAACCTTTATCAACCTGCTCCCTGTGCCACTTTTCTAAGTTGGGAATAACAACATGCTCCACATGCCACGTCCCTTTGTACTCCATCAGCTCCTTCTTTCCCTCCTTCAACACCTTGAGCAGCAAGCCGGGGACGTATTTTTCCTCCCTAAACTCTTCGATCGGGGTAAAGAGCGCTTTGAAATTGAACACGACGGCCCCGGACAAAGGGAGTCGACGGAGTGTTTGCCAGTCTACGCGAAGATGGATACGCGAAAGGGGTAGTTCGGAGGGAGGTAATTGTTGGTTGCGCAGAGCTTCGTGGGGGTCACCAGGTGGCATGTACAGCGGAGTGTCGATTTCTAGACCCCAGGAACCGCGCTGAATGGGCTTTTCTGTCGGCTTTTTGGCAAAATATCTACGAGATTAGGGTTAGTAGGTTCAAACATGATATCGATGAGACATACCTGTCCATGGAGAACTGCATCTTCTCCTTATAGTCTGGGATAGGCTTGTGTATACCGGCGAGTTCAAGCCCGATTTTCGACCCCACATTCCAGCCCAGCGCACTGCAGATAACGCCGGCTCGGAATACGTACAATCCTGTTTTCTCGTTCCGCAGCATGAGGGCAAAGTCTTCAGGGATGTTGTTAAGAAGAACGTGTAGAGGTAGGGTCGTAGTGAGATCAGTGTCTGTCTTCAGGATACCGTTGTGGAATTTTCTCTTATCGGATGATAGGCTGAAGTAGTGCGGATACCTTGTGCATACGAACTGCAACACCATCTCCATTAGTTCTTTGCAGGCGAGCTCTGAGCCTGGTAGGGCTTGAAGAACTGCTTCTCCATGCTCTGCAAACAAGGCCTGCCGCTGCTTGATGCTCTCCTCATAAGTGTTATGGAGTTCAATCCACCAATCAGTTTGCATCTTGGTGATGGCTATTGATGATCAGCACAGTGCCAGAGACGGATGTCAAAATGACATACACATTGTTTGGTGGTAAGACCATCTAAACGGTCTATATGGGCGGGGTAATGCCTTGTTTATGTCAAACTCTGGGTAAGGGTCGGGAAGAGGCACGCCACTGAGTGTAGCGTAGTCCGGAAAGTCGCCGAGAGCTTTTATCTCCTTCACGGAGAAGCCACATGGAAGGAAGGCAGAGTCGTCAGCATCCATATATGGCTTTTCCATGGGTAAAACCCTCTTCTGCCATCCTGGGTTTGGTCCCTGGGACTCATCCTTATTCTCGTTCTTGGTCTCGGTCAAAACGAAGCGTCGTGATGGTGGGAAGGTGTCAGAGTAATCGATCTCGGTGGCAGAGACGGCCTTCTTCCCTGGTGATAAAGACCTCGGAGGGGTTTTTGCACCTGACACTCGTCGACCGCCGTTGCGTAGCCGCTGTAGGAGGATGTTGCGCTTGCTTCGCTGTAACAAAAGAAAAGCTGAACTGAGGATGAAGGCTAATCCTAGTAGCAGTAAAAGGTTGGAGGCCATATTGAGTTGTCTTTGATCCTTCTAAATCACAAATTCTGTCCTCATCAATTGTCGAAACAACCCAACTCCTTCTCTTCTATGCGATTAGTGTTGGCAAGGATGATCAGGCATCAATGCTGAATGGGCGACGATGGCGACGATCTGAATGCAAGGTGTCTATATGTCGAAAGATAGGAAAGAGGCATATTCTGCTACGTAGTACAGTCAAAGACCAAGAATGACGGCCTTATCGTTGAGATGCGGGGCGGGGCGACTTCTACATACATGCACGAAGCGACCTGCGAGACTACCCAGGAAAAGTAATTACCGCGCCACGACTGCACCCAAGCGAAGAGAATGACGATATCTTCTCGAGAGAGTGAGAGATGGGCCGCAATTACTAGGCTGATGTCGCTGTATGGATAACACTATCACGGGTTTGGCGGGGTCTCTCACCGTAGATCGCCCGCGCGAGCGCATCGACCCTAGCCTTGTACAGTATCAGAACCCCAAACATCTTGGCGTAGGGCGTGAAGGTAGTCGTGACTCTTGTCAAGTGGTTTATCGACTGAATTTCTGCCAGATCAAGTATCGTATACGGCGCATCTCGGGGGCGGCTCTAGAACTCCCCCGCTGTCGGTAATGCAATCGCTATCAATACCCCGGACGGATTGATACCGCTTACGGCGAATAAGTCCCATAGCCTGCCTTTCACTCGGGTGCGGCTTGCTAAGGTGCTGTCATGGCGTGATCCTGGGCAGCGATTCGATCTGGTCAACTGTCTTGTTATTTAATGCTGGATCAGTCGATAGGCGGTCCTGCAATGCGTGCGACATTTGTTCCATCCACGGACTGGTGTCGGGAAACGCCGTCGTACACGTGCACAACAGTTGCCCCACTGATCTCCATTCGCATTGTTCTTGATGTCTGGGATGAGTACGTGATGCCTCTACAGAATTCGACAACTTTTTCTTTCGAGAGCGATTAGACAATTATTTGGAGCTTCGTATTGAGGAGACGATATGCGTGATTCGAAACCCGATCCAACACGTGATATATCGAACATCGCCGTACGGGTTCAGGATGTTGGGAGTTGGGTATCAAGCGGGTGAAAGTGTAAGTAAGTGTGGGAAGGCTGCCAACAAGAGCATTGAATGTGGCATGCGGCGCTCTGCGCTAAATGCACGAGCCCCTCCGGGTGAGCTCCACCCCAAGATAGCGGTCACCGATCACAATCGTCCGCCTTTCAAGCCTTCAACACCTTGCAATACAAGCTTGCCGCTACTTGAAGGAACAAGGATGATATTGTTGTTTAAGGTCGGTCTGATGATGCTCTTTCTCGATCACTTACAAACCCGAACTACAATCTTCACCTTTCAAGTATTCCTCCATGGAAGTGTACTTCACGTCGATGCCTAAATCCCATGGAAACACGACATCAGGATTGCCTCCTTCAAACCCGAACTTGTCGAAGTACTCGTACATGTCAGCAATTTCGGGCCCGTACACGGGCCCCATCGCAGCTTCCATTGTATCCCGAGGCATCTTCTTGAACACGCATTTCACGTTGTTCACCTTCCCAAAAGTGTCGCACCACTCATCGAACGAGATGTACGATCCAGCGCCACTGATGAGCTTACCTGGTGACAACTCAACAAGCGCTTTCGTGAAATTGCCTGGTGATGTCAGTTGATAGCTGTATAGAAGGCAAACGAAACTAACCAGTATCTGCAACCGGATCGACCATTGGAATCTTCTTGTCTCCGCTAATGGGCAGACTGACAACGAAGGTACCATCTTCCTGCTTTTCCGGTTTCCCACTAAAGTTCTTCCAGTTGCTTGCATAGTAACCCAGGTGCAGCAGGCTCGTCTTGGCCCACAGCTCCGGGTACGTCTCTTTCAGATAGTTCTCAGCTTCGGCCTTGGCATCGAAGTGATAGTTCCATTTGATGCTGCCATTGCTCCATTTTCTCGCTGAAGAAAGCGTGGACAACACGACGCGATCCAAAGTGCTAACATGAGCCGCTGTTGCGTCGATGATAGCTTTCATTTGCTCAACCTCCCGGTCGAACGCTACCTCATTGGCTGTGCGCTTCTGCTCGGCCGCAACTTGGTGCGTTGCTGGGGCGTTCAGATGAGCCCAAAAGTCGGTCGTGCCGAAAACGACGTTTGCACCTTCAAACCCTTTCTTCAGTGACTCCAGGTCATCAAGGTCGCCCGCTACGATTTCAACGTTGTCAGATGACCACTTTGTAGCGGATGGCTTGGACGGGTCCCGAGTGATGCCACGAACTTTCCATCCGGGCTCATTCTGGAACACACGAGCGACCGAACCACCCTATTCTGTGTTATTATTGTATGCAGCTGTGGAACGATTGTTCCACGTAAGATGCGCGTACCTGGTTTCCAGTGACTCCAACGACGGCGATTAACTTGGTCATGACTATATGCAGCTGAATACTGATTGTAAAGTGGTGAAGAATATGGCTACGGCAGCCTTTGCTCACATAGTTATATAACCTCTCACGTCGCTATGCAGAGCCTGAGATTAGTGATCCTCTATCAGAGTCGCTTGCAAGATCAATTCATCTTCAGGCATCCATTCGATGTACGAATGCAAGGATATCCCGCCAATACGACAACCCTACTGAAAGCCTACACACGATACACATAGAGTATAACCACCACTAATGTCTTTGACGACCATAGTGGAGGCCGGCCATTGGTTCTACTCTACGCCCGTGGTAACATGTGTTAGTATCTGACTGCATTGACGCCCGGGCGTACGAACCCCGCATGTTCCTTCGATACTTCTCTGGAACTCAATGCATACGTGGGTGAAGAAGATAGCTGACCAAATAAAGAAAGGCCTTAGTAAGTAACCCTAGTGTAGCTGCCCGGGTGAATAGTCCAAGCTAAGCCTGGTTAGGAAAGTCTCGACCTGCATCGAGCATTTTGTGTTCGAATGCAAGATTCTCCTACCATATCTATGAAATTGTCCTCTAACTAGAAGGAGAGTCATCATATGGCACATTGAGACACTGAGTGGCCTAACGTGCTCTCTTGGTGACACCCCATGAGCATGCATGATATGAAGCACATCCGCTAATTCGTACGTGTCTCTGTACCAAGAGTTAGAACGCGCACATGATCCCGAAAATGGGCAATCCGCAGTATGATTCCTGTTAGGTACAGCTCTCATGAGCTTAGCGATTGCTGAAGTCATTGGCGCTAAGTGTGCGGCATATGTGAACGACATGCAGTGATCAACATTCGTTCCATTATCTTCAATTGGCGCGACTCTGGCAATGAAGTTAGACTCTAACATTTCTTCCGATATGTTCGATGGATCCTATGCTAGTGGTATTAATTATCTCACCGATCGTAGCCTAAGCTACAGGAACGGCACGAGGTGGTTGGTTGCTAGGATTCTCTCGGAGGCACTCTGCCACAAACTGACCAGATATGAAGAATAGAGTTGAAAATACATTAGGTGAAGTAAATTCGAGATAATTCCTTCTACGGGAATTTGCGGTGGACACTTGTGTTAATAGGAGCAATTGACTAAAGAGTCTTCGTATAGTCCGTTGGGTGAGAGAATACAGACGTACCGGATGTTTGTACCGACTACAGGCAGTTAAAAGACCTTGCTCAATCGATCCATATAGGAGGGGAAGGTGTACCCCCACTAGTGTCTTATCCAGTTTTGTTACAGATGCCTTTAGCCTCGCGAGTAGTTGGGAGCGGACTGTAGCCTTACCGGGAAAGACGAAGCTTCGCGTTGCGCGTACATACGTGAATTATAAATTCATATTGATGTGTAAACCAAGCTAGAGATTGCGCAACTGTCAAGAAACCCTGTATTGTTGTAATCAAGACACTACATGTGCGTACTCTTCGTCGTTCCCACTAGTCGGTCCGCATAAGGAGGCTGGAAGTATCAATATAAGGAGGAAATGTTCGGCTACAGTAAGCTGTCGCTCCTTGCTTCCACCAAAGCTCACCCGCCACGTCCTCAATCCATGAATTTCGCAACTGCAAACACTCTCCACTCTCATAATTTCCAACACTTTGGAATGATTCGATATCTGCTGCATGGTCTAAGCCTGACAGGTTCGCTACTGACCAATCAGAAGCAGGAGCTGTAGTGGTCTAGCGGTTATGACATTCGCCTCACACCTATGTGCGAACCGCGAAGGGTCTCGAGTTCGAACCTCGATTACAGTATTTTTTGCTTGCCGTATACAGGTGACGTCGAATCCGGCTATCATAATAGCCTTTTCGTTGTCCTGAAAACTGTTCCAGCACCCGTTCGGCCAAGCCAGAGCTTTCAAGTTCGCGTCTCGGAAGCAACTTCTCAAAGCTGATGCTACTCTTGAGACAAGGCAGGGTATATGTCATAGCCAAACCTCGAGAGTGCGACACGATCCATATTAATCAGTTCAGCGCAGATGAACTCAAAAACTTTCGCGCCGCATATGTCGTGTTGAAGGCTGCTGTTTTAGAGGTTCGAGGGATGGGGTGTGCGTTCATCGTTGAATACTGAAATCGCACAGATTCATGGACATCTGCGATGCTGTCATAGTCTAGAATGTCGAAAATTTCCTTCCAATAGATCAAAGCGGGTATAGATGACGATGAAGAATGTTGACGAAGTTGGTGTTGTTTACGTTTTTGGTCACTCCACGAGCAGGTTGCTAATATGCACGCTGACATCAGGGTCGCGGGACCTCGGCCGGCCACGCGATGCACATGCTCACCCCACAATCGAAAGACTTTCATCTAACCACGATCAGCATACAACTAACCCCACATGGCCTACTTCCATCGTCCCTGCGTGCGATTGGATGTCGGCCGCTGCCGTTTCACCAGCCGAGCCCTTTCTGACCGGCAGGGCAGTCGAAGCCGCAATACATGCGCGGCCGGAAACCTACTGGAGATGAGCACCCAACGCCCTGGTACGTCAGTGGTCTCTTGGTCTGGGGTTGCGACGCGAGAATGTGTCGGACCAACCGGCCCAGTCCACTTGTGTCACGGAACCCGGTGATGTCAAGTGCTGTGATTCGTGGCATGATGTATGGGTTGGGTGGAGAGACAGGAGTGCACAGGAGTGCACAGCCCACTCGTGACCTGCGTTTCCCCGCACGAGGCTATTGTATATACAGTCTGCATACGCCGCGCTTGGTATGTCTCACCGGACAGCGGAACACCATACACGTTGCAAGCCATCAATCAAACATCGCACTACCGAAGTCAAACCGCGGCCGATACTCTCATACACCTTGGCTACCAAGTGCCACACATTTCAAACACCACACATCACTACATCACCATACATACGACGATAAGATATAAGACGAAAAAGTCAACCGCCTAGAGGAAGACCATCATCACCATACCTGGCATTCACATTCATCTTCGCCACTACTACACAACAATCAACATGTCTTTCCTCCTCCGCACTTCTACTCTTGTCCGCCAGAGGCTTTTCACCACCTCAACACGTGCTCGTGGCGCCATCTCCATGGAAGATGTTGCTGCAGCACAGATGACATCCACCCCTGGTGCCAGTGTCGTCCCAAGGCTCGGAAGGGTAGCAAAATGGTGAGTTTCGCCCTGCTCCTAATTTTATCTAGCACTGACAAGAATTAGGTACCTGCCTACTATGGCTGCTGTAGCTGCTGGTACGATCTACCTGTCAAAGAACGCATCATCACAGCCTCGACGACCCCTTACGCTCGGTGATGCTAATGCCAACATAGGCTTTGGCGTGACCAATGCACTTAACGAGGCCAACCGCAAGGTTCACTCTGCCCTTGAACTCACCCAGGAACAAAAGAACCAGATGCTCATGGACTCTTATGGCGAGCGCTCAAGCTTGGAAGATATGGAGAGGGCCATTGCTGGAATGGAGGCTAAGATGACTGCCAAGAAGGACAGGAGAAGGATTCTCGAAGAGGCCTACGGCGACAAGGCCAGCCTTGAGGATCTACAGAGGGCCATGGAGCTCTACGAGGTGCAGTGAGTGAAGTAAGAGGAAGTGCTCCATAAGAAGAGCAGAGTACCAGCTTCGCGCCTTAAAGCGCATGCAGATTGAGAAGAAGAGAAGGAATATCCCGCACGCAGAACGCTGCCGCGTCGCACCGTCAGGCCACGAGCAGACACAAACCCCAACCCAAAGTGTCACTGCTACGTGTATCTCGAGAAGTGACATTGAGGAAACATGTCTCGCATTTAGCATTTCGCATTTAGCGTTTCTAGCATTTAGCAACAGACCCAACATTGGGCTACGACTTGTTTACTATACCAATATCATCAGATTCAATATCAATTTACTATGTCAAACAAGAACTGCTTTTCTCTTCTGGCCGGTGATAGTGGTGTTCGCTATTCGGTGCATCTGCTCGCTCGAGATCGCCCGACTGTCCGAGTTCTCCCGGCGGCCGCGCTTCACTCCAACACAATGTCCGTGCTTGGACCCTCCACAACCCGACGTCAAGATACTAGTACGATTGCCGTTGTAGAGTAGGGCCGAAAAGTTGTGTGAAGCTTATCATGACTACCGCTGATTGCAACCACGGGACGCTACGTAGGTAACTCTGGAGATATACATCCTTCGCCAGAAAAGCAAGTCCTCCACCTGCCCCCTTATATGGCCTCTTCATCTGAGTGAACTCAAGGTGCAGATGAAAGCAGATAGAACCAACTGTCGGCAAGCCTTGCTGCTGGTACATGAATTGCCGTATCGTCGTGACAAACAATTGCTATGAAGTGTTTACGCGTACACACACATCTATAAGTATCACAAAGTCTCCATGTCCACCTTAGCCATCATCATCAAGCAACACTAAAACCGGGATACTCCCTCTACGGTAAAAATGCCTACTGTTCAAGTTCTTATTCTCATTGTTGACAAACCTCACAATTCGGATACGGTCGGCCCATCGCTTGACGCTAATGCTATCGAAGACCAATCTACTACAGACAGGCCCACTGTCGAAATACTCAATGCATGTACCCTCAATTACTTCTACAAGGGAGAAGGAAAAGAAAAATTCGAAGGCGGATATAGATGGAGGTGGTGCGATTCCGCCTCCTGCAAGATCCAAGCAAACACAAATGAGTTGGAGGCTGAAGACGGCCTCGTGTTCGACCTCGCATCATACGATGTGCAGCGACCATTCATGCAGAGACCATCCATACACATACTTGATTGGATTGATAGCAGCGATATTGGTAATGTGGAAGCGAAGGATTGCCTACGGCAAAGGATAGATGGAACGATCAGGTCGTTCGATAATGAATTCGAGGCGTTCAACAATGATCCAGTCAATAATGACCCGGAACAAGGTAGGTTTAGGCTGGAATTGCTCGGTGCTAAAGACTTCGACGATACGACCAGTAGCAGTTTTGCCATGGTAAGAAAATCTCAGTCACTCGGTGCGACCGAAACTGCAAGCGTTTCTAGTTGGACACAACGATACTGGTGGGAGATCAAGGAGATACAGGTAGACAGATCTGTGGGATCATCGAAACTGAAATCGTGCTATCCACCCGTTCTGCTCAAGGAATCGGGCATGGCAGAAAGGCCAGATGCGAACGATGATGACCTGGAAGAAGAGGCAGATGATGAGATTTAGTGTACCCGTAGCTACTAAGCTGCATTTTGTGACGAGATTTAATGGGTGTAAAGTATCATGATCCACAATTTCCAGCGCGTTTCAAATATTGTCGACATACTCAGGTAGGCAGGCAGTGGTTGCCAACAATGCCATAGTAGGCAATCATGGATAGGCCTGAGGAGGCCATGCGTTTCGCTAAGCGGCCAGAATCAGTACCGGAACGCCAAATGACAATGAGTGAACTGTCATCGATGCGGTCGTAGTGCCGTTATAAAGTGTAGAGAGCATGATGCGCAGCTGCCCTTGTGTGTATCAGTCTTGTCGGCCAAGCCCAATCTGGCTAGCGACAAGAACTTGATTGACCAGCGCGCAGCAAGATAATGTCCAATAGCTTATCGTCATGCTCATTCCGACTGCAAATACTCGAATTATTCCCGCAAGGCTTCACTGTCATATTAGGAGCACCACATGCTTCTGGAAGCAGGATACAGATCGGTTATACACAGGGTATTGTAATATACCCCGGGTCATGTGTTTCGACTACCGGACAGGGCATGAAGGCTGCCAGCCAATCACCACGTCTTCGCGCCACTCATCTCATCTAAACACCAATATGTTTCTCATGAATTAATTATCACTAGTCCAGCGTTTCAACATCCAGGTTCGGCAGTGGATTCAGCGCCAACCACTCTTTTACCCGGCGGGAACAATATGCTTGACCATCGCGTGCGCAAGCAGGCAGTCAAAATGAAGTACCACACGGTAGATGATGGGGGTGCATTAGTACTGTAATATAGAGAAACCTGGGTACGTGACGAGTGCATCAAGCCGTTGATGATCGTATATATAGAGGCAGTCTGAGTACCTTGGACAGTACTTATCAGGACAACCATCGCATTCTCTTCACAATAGCAAAGTCCGACAGTCGTCAACATGAAGTCCGTCCTCATCGCCCTCCTTGCTGCCGCCAGCACGGCGAGCGCCCACTACACCTTTCCCGAGCTCACTGTCAAAGGGACAAAGACTGGTCAATGGAGTTATGTCCGCAAGACAGCCAACTACCAGTCTAACGGCCCCACAACAGATGTAACAGCCAACGCCATCCGTTGTTACGAACTCTCCCCCGGAACTGGCTCAAAAACTTACACTGTCAACGCTGGAGACTCTGTCGGCTTCACAGCCGTGTCCAGCATCTCGCACCCAGGACCCCTGCAATTCTACCTTGCGAAAGTGCCAGAGGGCAAGACGGCTGCTAACTGGGATGGAAGTGGTGATGTGTGGTTCAAGATCTACAGTCAGGGTGCTGATTTCTCTGGTGGTCAGATGAACTGGCCTTCGAGTGGTAAGTTGTCCCGCTTTCTTCCTGTTGTCTCGATTACCTCCAGGATATCCCGCTAATACGTTCTGCATTTAGGCAAACAAGAAGTCTCAGTGCCCCTACCCAAGTCCCTTCCTTCGGGCGAATACCTTATGCGCGTCGAGCACATCGCGCTACACTCCGCTTCTGCAGTTGGCGGTGCACAGTTCTACATTTCGTGTGCGCAGTTGAAGGTTGAGAACGGTGGCAGTGGAACACCCGGACCCAAGGTTGCTTTCCCAGGAGCTTACAAGGCGGATGACAAGGGTATCCAAATCAACATTTACTACCCTGTTCCCACGAGCTACACGCCTCCTGGACCAGCTGTGTGGAGTGGATAGATTGATGGGATTGCTTTCGTTGTAAATACTTCAGAACGAGAATTTGAGTTATGCATATTGAATGAACAGTTTAGATCTTTATAACTTACGTCAAAGCGTTGAGTTCTTGTTATTCTTCTTATATATTCTTATACATTCTTTGGTTCGTCGTGACACATTTTCGTCATTTCTTCATGAATCTTACTTCGTGCTTGAACTGGCGTGCGAGCCTCCGTGCTTCCTCCGGCTCGAGCTCTTCTTCTCCTTCTTGTCGCTCTTTTCACTCTTCTCGGCCTTCGCAGGCTTTTCGGGCTTCTCAGGCTTCTCGACCGGCTCGGGAGCAGCGACTTCCTCCCTGACTTCTCGGACCTCCTCGCTCTTGGTACCAACTCGTCTTACAGCCCGGACGACATCATCCGCACGTTCAATGGCGACTTCGTGGCCTACGCCGTCTAGCACCTTAACCCTGACATTGTCCTCGCCGAGTACTGCCCTTGCGTCCTCAGTGATTTCGTCGGCATTGATGATGGGGTCTGTCTCGCCGAGAATAAGCCAAACTTCCTTTAGCGGACCGGCACGGTTCTCGATGTTCTCACGAATGACGCTCCAGCGGTCGTGCTGGTTGTAGATGGGCGCGTGGCGGATAGTCGATATGAATGCGGGCACGAAACCCTTGTGATTTTGAATCTGCCAATCGACAACCGAAGAAACGGTGGAATGTGGGTTGCCTGGCAAAAGCATCTGGTTGCTGCTCACGTACGTCTTATCTCCCTCGCTCGCCGTCGTGGTGGTCTCGGCATTCTCTACGGCCTCAGGATCGCTCTCTACAACCTTCGCTCCTGTCCATAGCCTACTTGCAACAAACTTGCGCACCATCCACTCTGGCATCCACGAGCTGCGGTATAGCATGCTGCTGGAAATGGAGAAGTGCGACTTGCGGATGAGACCACTAGGAGCTACAAGTACAAGGCCACGGACTAGCGAAGGGAAGTACGACGTAAAGTCTGCGGCGATGGCACCGCCAAGGGAATATCCAACTATGGTAAAGGTTGACCAATGGATGGGCGATGATTGGAGGGCAAGCAAAATCTGGGTGGTGAAGAGGCTGGAGTCATAGTCGGTTGTGTCTGGTGACGGGCCGTCAGAGTAGCCGCGACCGAAGAGGTCTGTAAGCGTTGTTAGTATTTTATTTTTTGGAATAGCATGACCCCGTAAAGACGGGTTTCTGGAACAGCATGGACGATGCACGTGGTTCACCGTTAGGTAGGGCTGCCGGGCCCCTTGCCGAAACGGGTAAAGTAACAAGGACCATGACACGGTTTTACGCCCGGTTCAACGTGGGGTATGCAGATATGACGATCATAGAAACCGTGAAGAAAAAGCATATACCAAGCGTCCAATCCGAGGATGTTGTGCGTTTCGAGGCCTTGAAACAACCAAAGGAGAGGTGTTGTGGCAAAAACTAGAAGTGACAGCAAGGAGGACCCACCAAAAAGCATGACACGTCGTCCCCTGCCAACCAACTTGTGTGCCAAGTCAGTCAGAGCAATTGAAGGTGTCGAGATCCCGTGAATGAGCAAAACTTTTTCTCCGTCTCTTGGGCCGAATTCATAGACGCGGATAGTTCCCCATGGTGAGTCGACATCCCGGGCTCCTGGCAATGCAGCTGGATGGTAGGGAAGATCTGCAGCATCCTCAGGAGACAAGTCCGGAAGCAGCGAATCTCTGGGAGATGGGATAGGAGGACGCCTGGCAGACTTTGAAGAGCGCGTCAAAGCGTAGAGGAGGGAAACTCCACCAACGGAGGCGGCACCTATGATGGCATAGCGTTGGACCTTGGGAAGACGCTCGAAGCGAGACAAGTGGGTGGCGGAGATGTTTGAGATCTTCTGGATGGCAACCTCGGCAGCCTTGGGTTGAGGCTTCTCGCTGGCGAATAAGGAAAACATGGCGATACAGGAATAGATGTAGAGTGTAGGACCCTGAGGCGGTGACAAAATAAGCTGATCGCCATGGCGCGCTAAGGTTGGGTCCGATCGTCGCTTCCGCTGGATGCGCCACATGGAACAGGCCCATTGTTGGCATACCGTATTTCTTTTACCAGCTCGGCTCGGATGCCTTGTCCTGCCGTGCATACGGCCGCAGTACTAGACGTTGCGGCGTGCAGACTACACGAACCTTATCGCAACGTAAATAATGCTCCGCGTACCAAGGCCGACGTGTAATTGGCGCTGATCTCGAGGCGGCTAGCGGACCTGCTGTGGAGAGGGCCAAGTCTGAGAGCGCGTCAGCTCCATTCTCACAGCCACAAGCTGAGCACGGCGGCGCTGCATAGTCGGCCCAGTACCACTTCCAGACATCCTTCACCCACGGCGTTGCTGACCCCAGGGATACACAATCGTCTTCTGACAAACCCACTGTCCTTTATATTCCTGCTGACTCTGCATTCACCTTCACTTCTCCTTTCCGCCCTTGGCATTTCCCCCGGAGGGTCGCATGCTTGGTGCCGTCTTTGCGGACCCCCGAAAACATTCACGTCTGCCCCCTTCGCATAGCACAAACAGTACAGCACTAGAGCGAACGACAACAATTGTCTCCTGGAGAGCCTGCGGATAACGAGCTTGGCGACTGGCTGGGTCCTGTAGCGCATCATGGACGATTGGACGTCGAAACAGCTCCCTGAGCGCCTTCCCTTCTCCAAGAAGCGCCTTCCCAAGAAGGTCATCTTCTCGTGTGTACAACTGCCCGTATAGAACAAGTGGTGGAGACTAACGAGCACAGATATATCGGCGACTACCTCATCATAGTGCAAGGCCGCCCCTTCCGAGCACACAATCTCCTTCCCAGCTCAACTAACAAGGCTATAGTGTTCTTATGTTGACCTTCTCCATTGTCGACAAGATCCCGCCCTTTCACCAACACTTCGCCCTCGAAAACTACACTCTCCACTACCCTTTCGCCGAACATGAGCGCGTACCCGTACCCTGGCTATGCGTCTACGTCGTCCTGGCTCCCGCTGTCATCATCGCAATATACACAATGGTCATCGACGGCCTCTTCTCCCACCAGACGACCATGCCTGCGCGTGGGCCTGGTATCAAGCGCCTCGCAGGAAGATACAGGTTCAAGGACCGCTTGTGGGAGCTCAACTGTGGCATACTGGGCCTTGGCTTGAGCATTGGCGCTGCTTTCACCATCACAGGCGCCTTGAAGAATGCCATTGGCAAGCCGCGGCCCGATCTCATCAGCCGCTGCATTGTAGACGAATCCAAGATCGTCCCAGGCAAATACGTACTCCAGACCATCGACATCTGCACGCAGACCGACAACTACATTCTACAGGATGGCTTCAAGAGCTTCCCCTCTGGCCACAGCAGTGGTATGTGACACCTTCTCCTGCCCAAGAAGACTACTAATAAATTTCAGTCTCCTTCGCTGGTCTCTTCTACCTTTCCATCTACCTCGCCGGAAAGCTGCATGTTCTAGATGCAAAGGGCGAGGTCTGGAGGACTTTCTTCGTCATGGTTCCTGCCCTCGGCGCTGCTCTGATCACAGGCACACGTATTATGGATGCCCGCCATCACCCATTTGACGTCTTGTCTGGCGCTCTACTCGGCATACTCGTAGCCTGGGGCTCCTACCGCCAGTATTTCCCGCCCGTTTCCGAGACGTGGCGCAAAGGACGCGCATATCCCATCCGAGCCTGGGGCAAGGCATCACGCGCACCGCCACAACCCACAATAATGATCGACGAGGACGTGCAACCGCTGCAGCGCATGGACAAACCAGTGGATGTGGAGCGCGGAGAAGCGTCTGGCTATTCCTCTACGACTGCTGTGCCCGAAGGTAGCGGCGAACCGACAGGCAACGTCTTCCGCCAACAAATTCATAACTCGCAACGCAGACGCCAGGAATCAGGATCGCAGTATGGCGTGGATCGAAGCGACACATTAGCATCGAGCAACTACCGAACTGGCACAATGGGATCTACCATGACCTCGAAAGTGCACACGTACCAGAACCAGTTGCCGGCCACAAATCCCTTTGCAGCGGATGTCGCGCGCCAACGTCGAATGGACACTTACGACTATTCGTCTTCGGAAGACGACGACAACTACGAGTTGCAATCGAGAGGCGCTGGTGTTTACAATCCAGTAAATGGGAGGTTGACGGATACAGGATACCACCCACCAGCGGGTATCTCGCCCGCACCTACACCTCCACCTCCAGTCAATACCGTCCTCCAAAACCAGCAGACTATGATGTCACCAACGGGGGATCTGGCTGATAGGAGGGAGGTCCCGCCAATGCCTCCACCACACGCTGTAGGTACTACACCTCAGCAGATATGAACTGAGAAGGAAAACGCCGTTTTGTGATATCAATGTTGAAAATGTTCTTCTCCAAAAGCATGCAACTGAGCATAGATTAGCATGTTTGTGTATTGAATATACGTGTAATCATCAACCAAGCACAGCCACGGAGTCGCAAGTCAAATGTGTATTAAAACAACTAAAAATTCAAGAACGGTCAACAGCCCGGGGGAGATAGAGATTGGTCTAGCCCCTGCGTCTTGTGCTAGGACTCTTGCCCGCCTTTTCCGCATACGATGGGGCAGATCCGCTCGAGACGGCGCGCGCGGTTTCCTTCTTGTCCGCTGCGATAGGCTCCTCCAGTTTCTTTGATCCCGTCTTCTTGGACGCCGGCGCATTCCAATAGTACACAACCTGGAGGAAGAGAATGGCGTTGAGGGCGAAACCAGCAATGAAGCCGTAGAGGATAAGCGGATCGTCGACTTCCTGGAGGGTGGTGAAGATACGGGAGAGGGAACCGAGGAGGTAGTTGACGACCTGAAAGGATCACATTAGCAAACTACCCCTTTCTTCATCGCACGGGATAGCAATGTCAAGAACTTACAGCAAAAGCGCTCAACTGGCCCGTCGAACCCTCACTCCACACCGTCAGAATCTGTGGCACCTTGCTCGCTACGCCAAGTACACCAGCCGTAGCCTGCAACAGACTCAACTTCTCCGCGTCAATCCACTGGTCGTTGAACAAGGCCGCACCCGCAACAGCCAGACCTCCCACCCACCCCGCAACACCAACACCCCGTCCGCTGTACTTGAGCACCAAACTCGCAATAGCAATGTTCTGCACGAGAATCAAGGCCGTCTCGCCATACGTGCTAAAGGGGAACCCGTGGCGCACATTGTACGCCAGCGAAATGAGGTACGAGCTCGATTCGAGGAGGTATGAGAGGAAGGAAAGACCTTCGGCCGACTGGCTATTGAGCAACTTGAGCAGCTGTGGAATCTTGACGATGGAGGAGGCGCCGATGATGCCAATACCAAGGCCTTTGGAAATAGCCAGCTTGACGCATTCGGTTGCGGTTAGGTCGACGTTGTAGACGAGGGTTTTGTAGCATGAGGGGCCGAGGAGGGAGATGCCCACGTCGGCGATGGGCTGGGGGAGGTTGTGGGTGATGGGTTGGACGGCGGATTTGAGAGCGTCCATGGTGGGCGATGCGCGCGGGGTTCGATCGCTCTGTGGTGTGGTGTGGTGTAGGAGGACAGTTTGCGAATACGAAAGATGAGGGTCCAAACTTTTGGCGCCTTGGGCCCGCTGACGCATGGCTTGGCACACGTACAGGGGTTCGCGTCTGGGTGGGCATACATAGAGTTTCACTTTTCCTTCTGCACCGAGTTTGGTACATCACATCATACATTACTACTGCCATTACAAACATTACGATACCAATCCAACCTGGTCAAAACCTGGAACTGCGAGAAGAATGGTATGGTATACTACAAAACAGTCCGTCGCGCAAAAGTGTCCGAAGACAGGGTAGATCTCGAAAGATCAAGCAACGGACAAGGGACAAAGTTCAAAAGGACAGCGTAAACTTAGAAGACGTACTGGAAGCATGTTAGCACAATTTCACTCAGGTCGAAGATGACTGGACTTACCGGAATGAACAAATAAGGCACCTGCCTCTCATACTCTTTCCATGCTTCACCATACTTCTCCCTGCACTTTTCGATATCTCTCAACGCCCTGTGAATAATCATACCCGCGAAGAACACGGAGTAGAACCAAGGGAATGGGCTCTTGAAACCAGTGATGAGGCCCCAACTGACGGCGAAGAAAAGATCACATGTGTAATGAATCTTACGCGCTTTGCCGTACCAACCGTCAGCCAGAATCTTGTTTCCATGGGATGTCTGGATTGTCTTTGGATTGGCGATGCGTCCATATTTGAAGTAGGGGAAGGTAGTACGCTCATCGACAACACCACGTTCTTCTTGACGGAACTGGTTCTTTTGCGAGTTGGTCGTATCCCAGATGTAGTAGACGTAGAGGTAGGTGACGGTGAGGAGGGCGGTAAACCAGGTTGGCATGCCGTATTCCGAAGGATGGTGGTTAGCGATGTACAGGGTGCAGTGGCAGTACGAGAGAGGTACACCAGCCATGTTCCAGAAGATGAGCATGAAACCGAGCTTCTCGTAATACATGTCCCAGGTCGTGATGATGAGGTGCTCGCCCTTTGCGCAGGCGCCGGCGTACAGGTAGTGTGCGAAGAGCAGAAAGATGGCTTCGAGAGATACGTAACCATATTGCTCGTACTGCTTCAAGCAAGTACCGAGGGAAAGGAAGAAGAGGATGAACCATGGAATGCGGACCTCGAGGAACATCTTGAAATCCAGAATACCAAAAAGTCTAGGGTTGAGCTCTGAGCCAAGGAAGAAGTCAACGATGAGGTTGTCGGTCATTCGGACAGTAGCACCGCGGACGCGGGCTGAGACGTATGCGATAGTAGAGCAAAGGAAGCCTGAAAGAATGGCTACGCTCATAATGTGACCAAACTCGTCAATCAGAGTGTAAAGCTTGAAGACGCCAGTGAAATGAAGAGTCAACATAATGACAATGCTGGAGTAGAAAGACCACATGGCCGAGCAGTAGTAGTCCAGCTGCTTTCCACCGAGGTGGGGAAGTGCCTTGCCCTTGCGGTAGACACCCGGCATGAACATGTAGAAGGCCATCTGCGTGAGTCCGAAGAACCAGTAAATCTGCCACGCTTTGTTGTTTGGGAAGGCTTCCGTCTTTACAAGATACCACATGTGTCCGAAAAAGTCTCCGTAGCTCTGGCCCTCGGTCGGCGTAGGGAATTTGCCGTCGTAGAAGGTGGCTCCAATCCACATGTAGTACATGAGGGCTGGGAAGCAGACCATCATGCTGCCCATACCAATGGCGCCGCCGAACTCATGCAGGCCGGATTTGTCCTTTGGAGAGAAGAACTTTTCCGCCTCCATCTTGTAGTCGAGCTCGACGATGTCCCTTTCGCTCTTTGCGTGTCCGTTTGCCTTGCCATTGCTGTGTCCATTCGCGTAGCCGTTGGTGTGTCCGTTTCCGTTTGCATGTCCATTTCCGTTGGCGTGTCCATTGCTCTTCTCCTCGGCCTCTTTCTTCACATCGCTCTCGTTGGACTTGAACGGCTTCAGGAAGTTCTCTGGCTCAGGCGTCGACTCGTACCCGTCGGATGCAAGAGACTTGCGTTGCGACTTCCTGCGTCCAGGGGTCTCGACAAAGCCAGGGCGATCGGGCTTTCTGGGTTATGCATGTCAGCAACTAATGCACGGGTTTGCACAGCACGCGTATGCAACCTGGAATCCACTCACTGAGGCGTCTTTCCGGCCTGCGACCGCGTCACTCGCATCGACATGGTGGCTGTAGTTGCGTGTGTGGCGATGCGCGGTGAAAGGGGTTCAGGCTCGAAAAAATTAAGGCGGGACGGTAAGAGAATGCAGTAGGAAAGCTGGCGCTAGAACAAGTTACAAATGCCGTCACAGCACGACCATCAAGGCTAAGCACAAAGCGCACACGACCAATGGCACAGAATGCGGAGGTGAAGTCCTTGTGTTTGTTGACAAGAGGTACAAATTTGGGAGTCGCTCGAGGCTAGGGGGTCTGCGCACCAATCGGAGTCTGCTGACTCCGTGTCCGTGACATCAACATGGGGCGCTACTGTAATCGCGGTGCAATCTCACAGCGTATACACCGTATACCTCGAATCTCTCTCAAGTCTAAAAGCAAACATGATTGCTGCACGTATGCTAGCTTCTTCTCGGAAATCCCATATACTTACTGTGAAAGCGCAATGTCTCCGACGCCGTTTTTTCCTACCTATCCAAAACTACCGACGCCAATGAGAACAGAACCTCTCATGGGCTGCATTGCTTGTTCGCAACACCTTCTTGTAATCACAAAGGCAGATCCAACAGAATTCGTAGCCACATTTTGTACCTATAATCGTCAGCGAAAGACTTGCGTTGAAAGAGGTAAAACCCACATGTCATATGGTCGCACCCATCGTTTTTCTGAATGTTCCAATCGCATCCAGGGCCAGGGCACTTTCTGGTAAGCTGCTTGATTTTTCTTACACTCGCCTCTTCTTGCGCCTTGTGTTCTCGTTGCTTACGGCCGGAGGTTCGGTCGTCGAACTCAGCGCACGACTCGCCTTCGTGCCATGTGTTCTCGTGGACAACACAGGTTTTGCTCCCACATCCCAAACAAGTAAAGATGTTACCTGCGACGCCAGTCGTATGGATCTGACCAGAATTACAGCCGGAGGCCCGACACCATCGAAAATCGGCTGTCCTTGTCAGCGTTCACCTCCCTAGTCTATCAAAGTGTGTGGCATCATGACTTACGGTCTTCGTTGATGAGAGCCCGGGCTTTGAATGTGTCGTACTTTTCAAAAGTCTCAGAGCTCGCGTATAGCCGAATGTCATGGTACGACAAGACAACATTGCAATCGCTCCCCGGACATTTAACTTCACGCCAAGTACTGCCTTGAAGCTGTGTAGTTATCCAATCCGCGTAACAGCCTGCGCACGTCTCGGGTCGATGTTCGCAGTCGGTAAGTGAGGGTAGATCGCCAATGGCAATGCTATTATTGCAGACAACACAGTCACGACGCCGTAAATGCGTCCCTTCTTCTGTCTTGAAGTCCATATTGATGTAATTTCGTGTGCAGACATGACTAATAGCCTGCCGTAGAGTCTCCGATCGTACGATCTTAGGAGACTCAGCTAGAGCTGCTGGTGATCCAGATTTCTCTGCGAGCTGGGCTGGAGTTAGACGCATCTTCTCTTGTAGAAGCTGAGCAAGCCGGTGGTCTTTCTCTTCCCAGGTTTTGCGGCCGTGTCGAGCATCATCTATGCAATCTGAGATAAGAGCCGAAACTTGAAATTCAGAGTTCTTGAAGCTATCCGCTGTTGTAATACTGATGCATGGCCCGCTGGGACTCTGGTTTATAAGAATAGGTCGAGTTCGTCGTCTGTTGATTAATTGACCTGATAGTCCGGCGGACTCCAAAGACTCCAAGGAACTTATGCTCCTGAGATCACATTCATCGTCACCATGGTCATTGATGACTATGGGATCTGTGCTGTTCTTTCCATGTCGTCGCCAAAAGTCTAGATCCATTGCACTCGTATCTGGTGGGTTCAGTTGTCCTCGAAAACTGGGCAAGACGGGATTCGAGGAAGCCATTCTATTCCAGGCTGATCTTGCAGCTTTGGCCGAGTTGGAATGTTGGAAGGGAAACGAGAAGTTTATTGTGCTCCGAGGCGCTGTTGCTCCTGTAGGTGCTAGTGATGTATGCGTGGGAGTCGGTAGCCGCAACTTCACGAGCTGCTCTGCAATTGCGTCTCTTACGGTGAGCTGGGGTGGTTCCTTCCTATGTAGTCTGGGCACGTCGTGTTGTTGTTCCGCGACTCCTGAATCGTGCGGAGATGCGTGCGTAGTGGTAGGGTAATCAATATGTGGCTCAGGAAATGCGAGAGATAATATACTGGAACACGGTCTAGGCTGCACAGTGTCTCCTTGGCATGTTTGTCTACGAGCCTTCAGGAGTACCCTTCTGACAGGATGTGACGTAATCCGACGCGTGAGCACGTGGTGAGGGGGAAAGGTATCTCGCGCGCATGGACCTGGGGTTACACCCTGAAGTTGATCGACGTCAGTCGTAATAGTAGAAGGGGTGCTCATCGACCGCTTGCATTTCTCGACTTGGGGCTTGGACTTCTCGGACACGCGTTTCCCAAAGGCGAGTTTTGACGGTCGACTCAGTAGCTCTGTAGTGGAGTGGAATCTGGACAACATGTCAATGATATTATTCAGGAATGCGACATACCAGATCGTGAACAAGTAGATAAATCATCAGCACAGTACTTACTCTGCCATGATTGTAGGTGTCTGAGTTCATGCAGACTCGAGAACTGAATCAGCCTTGCAAGTAACGAAGCTGTGACTGCAGCACAAGTGTGGGACAACCTTTTTTTCGTTTGCTGTTGGTCGAGAGAATATTCAAGGTCGGAAGAGGCTCACGTGAAGATGGGGTTAAAACACGAGAAAGGATGAAGGGGTGAGATGAGAGCTGAAACTTATGCATTGCGTACGAGAGGCTGCACCCCGGGGTTGGACTCCACGTCGCTAGAGACACTTAGGCTTTGATGCACAAGGCCCAAAGGACCGATAAGCCATTGTAAGGCTCCAATGCAATGATCCTTTGGTGGTTATATGCAGCCTCTCGCATATGTACCACGCTTGCCAACCAATTGCTGAATGAGGACGCAGCGTGAACATTGGTCAACCCCACTCAGACTGTACAACCATTATGTCTCACCCCTTCCTCAGCCGAAAGCTATAGCGATCGCCACTCGGAAAATGGTTAGACGCTTCTATATTTTCTGGGCAGGCTTTACGGTGCCAATGCACGCTCCAAATCCGACTCCAGCCCCTCCATCGCCAACCACACCAATGTAGCGAACTTCATCCCCATCGTTAAGGTAGCGTAGCTCAGATCCATCGCTCAATTTGCTTGGAGCCTTTCCATTCTTTGTCAATTCGAGCAAACATCCGTGTTCATGGTCCTGTTCGCCAGAAACTGTTCCGCTAGCGATCAGATCTCCTGTCCGGAGTGAACATCCGCCAATAGTATGGTGCGCTAACATATGTCTGAAGGTCCAGTACATTGTTTCGAAGCCAACCTTACAGGTCGTAGTCTGATTACCGTTTCGGATGATCTGACCTTCGAGCTGGATATTGTAGTTGCTACTTTTGGGGTCGTCCATAAAAGAGGCTACAGGCTCCATACGGGGCGGGGCCGAGACTTCATGAGGCTTCAATGCTTCTAGCGTAACAACCCAAGGCGTGATTGAAGTCATAAAGTTCTTTCCGTTGAATGGGCCTAAGGGGTTCATTTCCAAGCCCTGAATGTCTCTTGCGCTCCAGTCGTTCAACAAAACTAGGCCAAATATGTGGTCGTCGGCATCTTTGGCGTTTAGGTAAGTCCCAGCCTCTACCGGCTTGCCAATGACTGCAGCAATCTCCATCTCGTAGTCCAAACTCCGCGATGGCCCAAAGATGATCTTCTTATCTGGAACAGTGTAGTCTTCGATGAATTGACCCAAAGGTCTCGTGACGGGCGCTCCTGACACAGTGATCGAACTCGACCGACCCGCGTAGCCAACGGGGTACTTTTTGAAAGCTGGAGGATAAGAACGGACTCCCATTACTGCTTCTCCTGCGTTGAGAACGTGGTTGGCAGAAGCGCTGTAGTCTGTGAAGTCTCCAACATGTACTGGCATATGGAGGGTGACATCGCTGATGTTTTCTGAGTATTTGGCATATGACTTGCTGTTATATACTTCTCGTACTGCAGAACGCACTTCACTTTGAATGTCCTTCCCTAGAGCGGCGAACGTGTTCAGTGTGGGTTCGCGGAAGATGGAAGATAGCGGTGCTGCGATGGCCTTAAGCGAGTCGTGCTCCGTGAGCTCTGCCAGGAAGATGATTTCATCACCAATTCGTGTCGCACATTGTGGTGCGTGGCGTTTCGAGGAGCTTGCAATCCCGTATGGGATGTTGTTCACGCTGAAATGCGATGCGTAACTGTCTGCCATTGTGTGAAGGAGAGTTTTATTGGTATCAGAGGACGGTTAACTTGTGAACACAAAATAGTTTGTGGTATCGAGTTCGCAATACTCAAATCCAAGAACACAGCTTCAAGGCTTTACCTGAACCTAGAGTCGCGACTGGAGAGCTGACAGCGCGTGTAGGTGGGGATGTTCATCTCGGAGGCCGCCCCTCCACATCCCATCTCCGCATGTGTGTTACTGTGACCGGAAGGCACAACGGCCATGGTATCGAATGAGACGCCAATAGCGGGGACCAGGCGTTCCATGGTTATCCGGTCAACGTTGACGCAGCGGTTCTTATTCAGACTTCGCGGAAAGATGACCGCGGGTACGCGTTCAGTCTAGCACGAAAGCGGCCAAGCGTGTCTTCTAATCGATAAACATAACACGCAGCACCTAGCTCCGTGGCAGGTCTTTGTCTCTGGCTCAAGCTTTCCCGCAGACCACAAACCCTTATTCGTCCATAAATATACCGCTTATCGACTAAAGGTGATTCACCTAGTCCCTCGTACGAGACCCCGCACGGGATGTACCGAGTACGCGTCGGCAGATGCTACATTCAGGGCCTGTGAACATGTCCTCCACATCGGGAGGCCATAGGCGAGCCTTTCGATACACATCTCACTCTCTGGTTGATTCGACTATCATCCCTTGAATCTATTTTGAAGTCTCGTTCTGTATCTTCATCAACTTACTGCGATACTGGCATCTTCGCCCTCAACTACCTTGTTGCTCCTACAGTCTATATTTCATCATGGCGTCAAAGCCCGAAACCACGAACGATCTCCCAAAAGTCCATCGCTTCATCACAACCCACGACCCCACAACCAAGAAAGCCATCTTCTCTGATGCCGTCCCAGAAGAAGCTAAAGTCGACCATATTCCTGGTGCTGACTTCCGGCTCGGATATGTTACCAAGGGATTTCCGGTCGATCTGAACAAAGACGCCGACCTTGCAGTTTACAAGCCTTACCTCGAATCGCCTCCAGGCCTGGTCTCTTCAGGGGGAACCGTTCTACGATTCGTCGATGTGGCGCCTGGTCACCTGTCGCCAATGCATCGCACAGTCTCTTTAGATTACGGTGTCGTGTTGGAAGGTGAAATGGAGTTGGTGCTAGATTCTGGAGAGACAAGATTGATGAAGAGAGGAGATGTTGCAATTCAGAGGGGCACAATGCACGCTTGGAGGAACACCAGCTCTACATCTTGGGGTCGCATGATGTATGTTCTCCAAGAATGCAAACCGGTAGAGGTCGAGGGTGAAGTCTTGAAAGAGGACTACGGGAGCATGAAGGGTGTTCCAGCATCATCATAGTGGCATTGTCTTTTCTAGGATCACATGAGCTGTAGAGATAGTTATAAATAAATGCCGATGCGTTTTAAACCAAATTATCTCTCCGCACATCAATCCAAGGATCTAAGATCCGATATACATAATTCTTGAGGTTTAAACTGCTCAAAACTCGTACGAGCTCATGACCAGTGGCAAACTAAAAACGAAGAGTCGATTTATCATCTCGAGTAAAGTACATGCTCTTCTTTCAAGTTCTCGCGTGCTATCATGGCTTACTTAGGTAACGCGCCGATAGAGTCTGGTACCTCCACATCCCGAATGTGCCCCTCGAATACCGCCGCACCTTGTCAAAGGCGCGCTGTCGGCACAGGAACCCACTACGCGTCGCAATATGTAATATATATCCAAATGATGGAAAGAGTATGTTTCTTGCACCTCCGATATCACACACAAAATGTCTGACCAGCTAGAAGTAAAGGACGCTTATTCCATCGACGAGTCGTCGTTTCCCTATCTTTTTGAGGAGAATGTCGCCGTACCACTGAAGACATCATCTGAAGGCATCATTCGATGCAATGTTTACCGACCGAAATCTACAAAGGAGGGGACGAAGCTTCCGGTGCTGGTGACTTACGGACCCTACGGAAAGGATATCCACTACAAGGAGTGAGTTCAACAACTGAAGCGCGCGCTGCAGCAACTAATGCCTCCAGCTTTCATGGCAAATCATACTCAGAAGTAAATCCCGAGCACCATTCTGATCACTCGGCATGGGAAACTCCAGATCCTGGCTTTTGGACGAAGCACGATTACATTATCGTGCGCGCCGACGAACGTGGCCTCGGCCAATCTCCAGGTTTCTTGGACACAATGTCGCGAGGAACAAGCGAGGCCTTTTTTGATGTCGTCGAATGGGCAGCTGAGCAACCATGGTCGTCTGGAAAGGTTGGCTTGCTTGGCATCAGCTACTATGCCGGATCTCAGTGGCGTGTGGCAGCACGTAAGCCTAAGGGTTTGGCTGCAGTCATTCCTTGGGAGGGGATGAGCGACTACTATCGCGACCGATGCCGCCACGGAGGCATTCTGAGCAACAAGTTCATCGACTTCTGGTGGTGGGTTATACAAATGGTCTGAGTCCGGTCATATGCTTACGATTTCACGCAGGAATCGCCAGGTCATCACCAATCAATACGGCAAACCAGGCCGTGCAGCGCGTAACTGGGGGCCAGATACCGTCGACGGTGACCTTTCAGAAGAGGTGCGTGCAAAACGCCGACAAGACCAAACGATCGATACCGCCAAGTTCAAGTTCCGTGACGAAACATACTATGCAAGCAAAGAGTACGATATGAGCGATATTGAGGTACCGCTACTTTCCGTCGGCAACTGGGGCGGTATTTTGCTCCATCTTAGGGGTAACATCGAAGGCTACGCACATGCTGGGTCTGAGTTCAAGTACCTACGAATGATCACTGGAAGGCACGATCTACCATTCTACTACAAAGAAGAAGTTGAGATACAACGGAGCTTCCTTGATGCTTTCCTCAAAGGCGATGACAGAGTAGGGTGGTCTGTCAAGGGCAAGCTTCCGCCTGTGGACATGGTCCTGCGAAAGGGCGATGTGGGATTCAACGATGCCGAGAAAGAGAAGGTGTACGAGAGGCGCACAGAGAACGAGTGGCCTATCGCACGAACTCGTTATTCTAAGTTCTACCTTACGCCTTCTCAGACGTTGACACAGATCCAGCCTATTCACAACAGGCCCCAGAAATTGTCGTACGAGGCACTTGGCACTCTTGAAAACCCCAAGCTCCTTCAGTTTACGACTGCACCGTTCGAAGAAGAGACTGAAATCACTGGCCACATTGTCGCACATCTAAATGTGTCCCTCTCAGCCCATCCCAGGGGCGCCACTCCTTCTGATATCGATCTCTTTCTCACTCTACGATACATTTCACCAGAAGGCAAAGAAGTCTACTACACCGGCACAGCGGGAGACCCTATACCCCTTGCAAAAGGCTGGCTGCGCGTCAGCTTCCGCAAAACCAATCCCGACCACCCAAAACATAGAGAGTACCTGCCATGGCGAGATTACTTCAGCACTGATGTCCAGCCCGTCATACCTGGAGATGTCTACGCTGTGGATGTGGAAGTTTGGCCAACAAACGTTATTGTTGAGAAGGGTGGCAAGATTGTATTTGAGATTAGCAGTGGTGATACGCAAGGGAGTGGTATCTTCCAGCATAATCACCCCGAAGATAGGAGTGAGGAGAAGTTTGCGGGGTGGAATCATTTGCATTTCAGTGAGAAGGCTGTAAACTATGTTACGCTGCCAATCGTACCGCCTAAATAGAATATTGAGTACGGAAGTTTGATCGGAAACATAGACTGCGACATGTACTGAGGTTAGTGAAATCAACATTTCTCACAGGCCATATACACAGCGCGAATGACAAGTTTGTAGTAACTACTTTTGATTTGCTCTACCGGCACGTATTTCTCATAAAAGATCGCGAAAGACAATCTCCTGAGAGATAACGTGTCTGTTTCATGAACGTAAGTAGATATGAAGTTGTGAAAGAAGAAAAGACTTGAAAATTCGGACACCGATTGTGTACACTAACGATATCAAAAGACAAACTGCATGTATACTAGCTAGAGCCTCTATTCCCATCTGCCAACAGTAAACTGGCTGTTGCACATGTTCACCAACTCCCAATCCTCAGCTCCGAGCACACACTCGTCGCTATCCCTCTTACTTCCATCAACAACTCCAGCCACAAAACATGCCGCCATGTAGTGATCATCTGTCGCATGCGCATCCCGGTACATGGGATGCTTCATCAATCTCGTGATACCACGCGTCAAGCTACCCTTTTTCGCACCCTTCCTGCAGCAGCGGATGAAGACATCCTCGACGCTCTGGCGGAACTCAAGCATCGGTGCCTCTGGTGGGTATGGTTGTGCCAAGTTGTCCGAGTACCTGAGCATCTGCGCCCAGTGGTTGCGGTAAAGGTTGTGTACTGCGCCACCCGTCCCAATGATGAGATAGCCCTCGTCGCGGAATTTTGCCAAGATGTTACCCACCCGGGCGTGCAGATGCGGATCGAATCGCGAATTCATACTGATGATAGTCGTTGGTGGGCATTTCTCGGGAAACATCCTAATCAAAATCAAGTATGTGTCGTGGATCCAGTCAAACGTGTCGTTCGGTCGTGCGTCAATGCCCTTTTCCCGCAGCGCTGCTATGCACTTCTTTCCGCTCTCGAGATCTGGGACGAGCTCGTAGTCTTTGTATTTGCGCGGGTGAACGTACGCGACGGGTGATTTTATGGGTGCCGGGTTCATTGACACATCGATACGGTTTACGCCACGCGCGTCCCAATGCGCGCCCATCATTATCACACCTTTGATGCCGTGAGAGAGGGCTTCATCACCACAGGCTTTCCAGTAGTCGGCCGATTTGGTCTCTTCGCCTAACATCATCGTTGAGCCATGGGAGAAAAAGTGAACTGGTGGAGCCATCTTGATGTTGGTAATGTGTTGTTCCTAACAAAGGGATGATTTGGTCTGACCGGCTGCTCAGACGGAAGCTTAGGCTTGATGTGCTCGTCGCAATGTGCTCGTCGCAATGTGAGAGTCCGGATCGCAGCGGTACTGATATTACTGAACGGGGGCGGAAAACGTATCGTCCGACACGCGGCTTTGTTGGAAGCTTTACCCATCGCGATCAATACTGTGTAGAACACCCCTGGGTGTTGTACGGCAAAAGTCGTAATGTGGGGAGCGTCAGAGGACCTGTCCGAGCGTCTAGCCGAGGGGAAGAACGCGTCTTGTCTTGTCCATCTCCGCATTCTCTCCCCACTCACAACCTTATCTCCAGCTTCCCTCCACTTTCCTCTGTCCCGATGCCATTGTTTTTCGAAGCCACCCGATAGCACAACTCAGCATGCAGACTGCCCCGATATCAGCGAACACGCAGTCAGCCAACACAGAACCTGCCGAACAACCACGCCTATTTCAGTGTAGCACTTGCAAGAGGTCTTTCACACGTGCAGATCACCTCACAAGACACGTGAGAGCGCGTAAGTCAGTAGCTAGAATCCCGAAGATCAATATGATAACATTGAGCTTGACTCAAGTAACCTTGCCTTTGCTCCGCGGCTTTGTTGACCGGAAGCTAGTTGGCACCTGCGCCGGGAGGATTGCTTTCGCGCGACTAGCATATGTCAACGTTAGATTACATAGATGGTTCATTAACCAAACTAACGGCATGAGTAGACACCAAGTCCAAGCCTTACATTTGTCCCGTCTGCTCCAAAGGCTTTGCCAGAATGTACGTGTCATGCTTTGCTTTTCAATGTCGTTTCACTGACTCTGTGTAGAGACTTACTCAAGAGACATGTAACAAACCATGATACCGAGCCTGCCAGTAAGCGGCAAAAACGCGAGATTGCTCGTGATACCAGAGTTGTGCAGGCTTGTGAAGCTTGCTCTCAAAGCCATCTTCGATGCGAAGACGAAAAGCCATGTAGTCGCTGCAAGAAGAAGAAAATACCCTGCCGGGTACCTGAAACTCCTGCTCCAGATGAAAACGACATCCATGAGATTGATGCAGTTCATGCGGCACAGGATCTGCTGGACCTTTCGAATGGATTTGATTACCCCTCATCGCTGCCGGCTCACAGCGGGAGCGGCAATCCTTCGGCATCTACAACTTCAGAGACTTCAGAGCCATTTCACAACCCACCGCCCATGCTCATAACAGACACCACAAACATGCACCGGCAATCCGTGGATTCTGGTGACCCTGAGACAAGAACAACGAGCTTGACAGATATGCAGCCACCACCCAATAACGGCGGTGGACTTGTCGTGATGAATCAGAACTACGAAGATCCTAACACAGCCATGACTTTTCTCGATAATTCCATGTCGCACTTTGATCATACGCCAGGGCACAACCCTTTCTTACCGGACTATTTTCGCAGCATGCCCCCTTTCGAAGCATTCATGTCTGGTCAGGCAACCCCACGTGGTATCATGGATTTCAGCTTCGATCTTGATGTTGGATTGACTGACCTCGATCTTGGACTTCTTGATCAATACAATTTCCAGGTTCCGTTCGCTGCCGATACGCCATCTACGGATGCTCAAGGGGCAGAACAACAATTGTCGGAGACCGACACTGCGCCATTAAGGGCAGAAGCCTTCAAGCAGAGCATATGGCGATATCTTCCTCAACGGTCGAGAAATCATACTGCAGAACAAGTCAACTTGGCCGTGCCAGACACAGAGAAAGACAGCTACCGGCGTTCGAACTTCACACATCGGCGTGTGGTAGCAGAAAAGTAGGTGCACATCCGCGGTAGATTGGGCATGAACTGTACTCATTTTACTTATAGACTACCACGCTCCAGCCGCGACCGGTTGATGGCTTTGGTCCTCGGTACATGTAGCCCAGAGAACGTCAAACGTATAGCGTCCGCCTTTCCCAGTATGGAGCTACTCGATGGTCTGATCCAATACTTTCTATCTTCACCATCGATAGATGCGCCCATGTGGTTTCATTTACCAACCTTTTCTCCTTCGAAAATGAACCCAGAATTGCTTGCTTCTGTAGTTTCTGCTGGGGCTGCTACACTCCCTGACATATCTTTGCGAAAGCTAGGTTATGCTCTGCATGAAGCTTCGAGGATGGGCCAATCGAAATCCTTCGAAGAGGACAACACCGCCATCAGAGACCTCCAACATCTACAGACGTTCCTTCTGCAGCTCAAAGTTGGTATGTGGAGTGGCATCAGCCGGAAGATGGAGATCGCAGAAAGCTTTCTCCAGCCTCTTATGACTATGCTCCGCCGCGGTGGTCGTTTTCGCCGGTCGACATGGAAGGAAATTAGTCCGTCGCCCGACGACCAGGGCTCGGTGTTAGAAAGCAAATGGCTGAGTTGGGTCAGTCAAGAATCCTTTCTCCGCTTGGTTCACCGAGCCTTTGAGTTTGATCGGCAGTCCTCGATGGCACTCCTCAAGCCACCGCTTATATCCTATGCCGAGATGCAACTTCCTCTACCGAGTGCAAATACGTTGTGGCAGGCCAAAAATGCGGCCACCTGGAAAATGGCGTATTTGGAAATGGCTTCAGTGACTACGAAGCGGCCGTCAGCTACCGAGTGCCTATTGAACTTGGAACATCAAGTTCATGATTATGCCAATTCAACGTATCTTCATATGATGTGGGGTCCAATCTGGGAGTATCGCCAGATGTGCGCCTTGACATCTAGATCGCAATCGCAGCCTACCAACAGTCTCATACTATCGTCGCGTTATCAAGAGCTCACAAAGCAGCTTGAGGATTTCAGGCTGAGCACTCCGCCTATGAGCAAGAGTGTTGAGATAACCCTAGAGATCATGTTGGTCCATCTCAACGCACCTTTGGACGACATCCAGCTCTTTGCGGGCATCGAAGGGCAGGAAGAGGCACGGGGTGCGTATGTTGGTTTACGGGATTGGGCAAAGACCCCGTCAGCGCGTCAAGCCTTGTGGCACGCTGGCCAAATTCTGCGTGCAGCTGAGATGCTGCCGAAAGCTCTGCTCAGTAACTTCAACGCCATCGCTGTCTACCATGCGGGGCTCATACTATGGGTCTACGGTATTCTCAAACGCTCTATTACGACGGAACAGGGTCCGGTCGATACGGCTGTCGTTCTCAACGGAGAGGACCTGCTGAGCGCCCGAAAGTTCATCACCCTAGACCGGGGCATACCGGCCATCAAGAGTTCCGGATCACAAAATCCCACCCAACTGACCGACGTCTGTGGAGTCATGGATAGCTTGACACAGCTCCTTCGAGCGCATCATGACGCGTCAGAACCATCTCCACCGCTGGTCGGGAACTTGGTACAGTTGTTGGAAGGCCTCCGATCTGCCATCAGATGAGTGACGCGGCTTCCATAACGGCAGTTCGGATTGGAGTTTGCGCGATGATATCGGACTACACATTTGACTTTGGTGCGGCAGTGGTGGATTGCTGCGATCTTGTCAATAGCATCTGGGGATCATAGCTCTCCCGCGACGTGTACGGAGTCAAATTAATATCCGAGAGCAAAGTTAATATTCAAACGTGGTGTTCGCGCTATATCTGCAACTCCCAACCCATGAATATCAAACCCCAGTGAGGACCCAGATCAAGCACCCTCAGTGGTTTCTCCTCTACTTGCGTACCCGCTGAATCCATGTCTATCTGCCGCATACGCAGCGCTGTCATAGTAGTAGGGCCGCGCACGTGCTCCACCCGTTCTCCACCTTCAAATCCATACCTTTGGAGCGGAAGATGATAGATCTAGGGTTAGTCGTATGCCAGTCATATTGGTTTGCGCTGCGTACAATTGGCTGTTTGTAGAGACGATTAGTCGTAACCCCGCAAGTCTTGACGGTCTTGGCCGTATTAAGCAAGGCCTCAGTCACCTCCACATTCCGAATTACCCCATGGGCAGGAAGTCATACTGGGGTCGAGATGCGTCCATGCGTCCAATGAGACAAGTTTGAGGCGCGTTTTGGCCGTTCTTATTCGCCGATAACCAAATACTGGGCGCACTCACCGACATGCTTGCAAATCGTGTTGTTCAACCGTGCGGTCTATTTAGATTAGAGTACCATGGCCACAAACACGTCGTGTTGAGCATCGTGAGCATCGCAGATCATCATCGCAACTCCTCTTTTCATCTGCTCCACGAACAGGTAGCCGCCAGCAACCATTATGACTTCTTTGAGAAAGGCATTCAGCCTTTCCAAGGAGGAAGTCAGGAACGCCAGACCACCAGGGACTGCGACCCTCGTCGGTAAGATGCGTCGATTTCTCCTGAAACTTCCAAAGTTCCTAGCTAACACGTCCCATCAGAGCATCTCGAATGGAACGCATCGCAAACAAGTCACGATGAGATCCGCCTCGTCCCTCAACCATCAGCCGACCCAGCGGACCCTCTCAACCTTCCGATGTGGCACAAGATCGCAATCCTAGCCGTCATGTCGTTACATCCATTCGTGGTGAACTTCACCAGTTCATCCATCTCGAGTGCTTTGCCGATCTACGCGTCAACAGGCGTGTTTGGTTTCCCGCCAAAGTCGTTTTCGCAATTGACATATTTTATTGCATGCAACATCTTGATGTTGGGCGCATCGAACCTGTGGTGGGTGCCATTGGCGAACACGTTTGGCCGACGCCCAGTCATTCTGGGTAGCTTGTTGCTTCTCGTCTTCTCTAGCATGTGGGCTGGTCTTGCTACGAGCTTCGATAGTTTAGTGGCTGCTCGCATCTTCATGGGTATCGGAGGTGCACCGGCTGATGCTGTGAGCCCGGATGTTGTTGGCGAGATCTTCTTTGTCCATCAACGAGGACGCGCTCTGGTATGTTCACCTCCAAAAACCTCCACTTAGACCGACATTGACTGAATGATCAATAGGCCATCTACACGGTCATGTTGACCATGGGTTCCCTCATAGGCGCTGTTGCTGGTGGCTACATTGTCGCGGACATGGGCCTATCCTGGCTTCATTGGATGAACGTCCTACTCTCAGCTATCACCTTCGTCCTCTGCCTAGTATTCCAGGCAGAGACCCTGTACCACCGCAAAGAGAGTACCGTCACCTTCGATGATCCAGACAAAGATACTGCTGAGACCAAGGAGAGAGTCACCGTTGCTGATGCTGCTGCGCCATCTTCCTACCCATCGTATTCGTACATGAAGTCTTTGAGGCTCTTCTCGTACCACCCTGGTCTGATGCGCAACTTGATCGCTCCCTACAAGACGCTCAGGCTACCTGGTGTATGGCTCGTCTCAGCTTGGTACGCAGGACTGGTCGGACTTATTGTTACCATGTCAACTGTTGGTCCGCAACTCGTCGGCGCGCCACCGTATCTCTGGGGAAAGAATGTTGGTATGATCAACATCGGCGGTGTTTTGGGCGCTTTGATCGGATGTGTAAGTCTCCAACGTACCTGGCATTAGTAGTCACTAACATGCGTGCAGGTCTACACTTACCTCATTGCCGACTTCGCAACCAAACGTCTCGCAAAGAAAGATTCCCACGGTTTCTCCGAGCCCGAATCTCGTCTTGTCACCGCCCTTCCCGCACTTTTTCTCGCCACAAGCGGCTCTCTCATATTCGGTTTCGTAGCGCAGAACCCTTCGCCTACCGGATGGGTAGGCCTCCAATTCGGTTTCGGTCTTGTCGCTCTCGGGCTTATGCAAGCGCCCTCTGTTGGCTTCAACTACCTCATTGAGGCTTACGGAGTGCTTGCAGGAGACTGCTTCGTTGCCGTCACGTTTGTGAGGGCTATTGTGAGCTTCGCGTGGACGTTCTTCGTTGGAGAGTGGGTCACACACAAGGGAGCTGCTGAGCCTTTTGGCATTTTTGGGTTGTTGATGGGCCTTTTTGGCTTGCTGACTATCCCTATGTTGATCTGGGGTAAGCGATTGAGAATCTGGACTGCAAAGTGGGTTCCCGAGGGATCAGCTTTGTAGTGTGAAGACCGTGTATATCGTGCTATAACTGCTAGGTAGCTTATTGTATGTGACTTGCGACGAATGCATACTGTTTGGCTGATCTACCTTCACTTCCGCCCATTGTTGTCAGAAATCAGTGGTCTAAACTCCAACTCCTACCATGCGGCTACTCGTGTCAACTACCTGCAAGCTTCACCCTGCTCTTGAAACTGAAAGTGCATCAAGTACTAATGTTACGATAGCACAGCCATCTTATGGAATGTGTGATATGATTGAGTTTATAAAAGAGAAAAACGACAGCATGCATGCTTAGGCTTGACTAATAGCAACGGTAGCAGTAGCAACTTCAGATAAACGCCCATCTCCTCAAGCCCGCCCTCACGCCGAAAAATAGCGTCGCACCAATACATGTCAAGATAGGAATACCATACACGCCCAATCCAATAAAGATACCTTGTTCAAAGTATCCAATTGCAACCGACTCAGCGCGCTTCTTCTCCTTTATCTCTTGTGATGCTTTACTAAGGAGCTCTGTCGCTGCCTTCTTCGATTCCTTGCCTGAAAGAACCTTGGACAATGTCGCCTGTGAGGCAGGTGTTGCGATATATGCGGGTGAAATACGGGTAAAATGCTGGGCAATATATCGCTTCTCAACGTCGATGGGCTGGCAGGATGGAGCTGCTGGACCAAGAAGTAGGCGGAAGGGAATGTTGTTTGTGAAGGAAGTATCGGCATTGACGTATTGTGAGAGGTATTTCCCAGTCGAGGGGGTACCGAAGTGATATGCAGCCAGCAGGCTCTCTTGAGGGTCCAGGTCTTCCTCAACAAGGCTAATGGCGTGCTCGAGAGATGTGATGGCAGATACGCTGAAGACGGGTTGTTGGGATTTGGCTGGTAGGGAAGAAAGGTTTGACAGCTCAATAATTGCGCCATTGTCTCCTTGCGTTATGACGTTCAGCTTCCATGACTTGCTGTCTGTAAGCCCTTGGAACGTCTCTGCTACGCGTGACGACTTCTTCTGTTCTCTTGCGTTTGTCGAGCCGTTTGAGATACCACTTGATCCAGTGAAGAAACGAAGTGAGTGTTTCAAAACATGCTCCAAGAATTCTTTCTTGATGAACTCATTGACGAGAACTACGTCGGGTGCGTACGGTGATGTTCCGCCGAACGCAAAGCGTGCTGTTACAAGCTGTTCGGCCGCTGATGCGAGATCTGCCGTACGGTCCACGATTGCGACGATTTTGTTCCGGGGCGAGACAAGTTGCGAGTATGTTGGTGGACCGATTTGCTTCTCTTGAAAGACTTGTACACAGGATGATAGGGAGTCCGAGGAAGGATCAGAAGAGATGACAGCAAAGGTATCTGATTCGAGGGCTTCAGTGACCAGCTTCCGAAGTAAAGAGGGGAGTGCACGAAGGTTGTTTTCGAGCTATAGCAAGGTTAGACAACGAGAAGTATATCGAAAATGATAGACCGTACCTTCAGTGCAATACAGTTGCCCGCCGAAAGAGCCGCGCTCAAAGGTGCGATGACTGAGAAAAATGGCGTATGTACTCTTTGTGGCTCAATATACGCAACACCCCAAGGTTCTCTCTTATCACTGGCGTCTTTTCCGTGTGTGATCCTATACTCGGCTTCCAATTCTTTGGCTGCGTCGATCGAACCATAATGTTCTTTGACTACATCCAGCGCAAGCGCAACCTCGGTAGTTGCCTCTTCGTCTGATACATGTGTGTCCTGCTTCAACGCATCTCTGATCGCATTGCTGTTATTACGCAGCGCATCGTGGAGAGATTTGAGTTGCTTCAGACGGAACAGAGCGTTGTGCGCCCGCTGGGACAATGCGGTCGCTTGGAGTTCCGCAAGCGCGACTTCTGGGGTGATGGGTGACGACATTACGAATTGTAAGAACAAACTGAACAAAAACGACTAGACCTGGGAAAAGCAGAGCCTGCAGTTCGATATGTAATTTCTAGGAAGTCAGCGGATGTTTCTGAGACGATAGTAAGCCCAACGCGTCGGTAATGTTGTCCGATGTACACGGGTGTGAGCGGACGTGATATTCCCCTCCACATTCCGACCATTGCCATTTCCTGCCCCAGCTTCTCCGCGTTTCCAATCGACGGGCCGCAAGGGACGCGTACTTTCTTTCCACATTTCTCGACATAGTAAACTGGCCGATACCACAGTTGTCGTCGCGGTTGCTACCTTCGCCTTTCTGTCGTCGCCCTGCTGTTCTTACCATCGCCGCCATGTCGGTAACAACAACCACCAACCCAATCCATTACAATCTTGAGGCGGTCCTTGCAGACTACGACCTCCACCACACCGAAGAACTCGATACAAGCCTCAACGCACATCCCGCCCCGCCAACTTCATCCACAACATCACAATCGCAACAGAACCCAAGCGACTGGCCAACAGAGCATCGCCGTGTGCCTGCATACCGGCCAATCAATACTGAGCTCGACCAGAGCGAGCGAAGAGTCTATCTTAATGGCGTCGAACAAGCATTTGTTGGTGTAATGTTTACAGGTGTATTCTTGGAATCGGTGAGTAGTTCTTACTATATTGAGGTTGAGGGAAGGATGTATGCTGACGACCTTGTATAGACAATCTCCAAAGTATGGCGTAATACTCTGGGAAGAGTATGGAATGTTGGGTACAAGCTTGGTGGAGAGTGGTAGTTTGCTTGCGCATGTAGATTTTCTTTTGTTCAGACATTGCAATTCATTATTCTTCCATGATTTCTTATCTAACCACAAGGCGCAGTTCTGCAATGCTTCAGGTGCCCATGACTACGAAAGGCTCGCTTCGACCTTTTCCGCCAATATATGTACGCTATTTGCTGACCCTGATGTGCCAGCACCGCCCCATGCAAGCCTTCTCCGCTCGGCATGTACCACTACCACCACTACAACGTGCATATTCCAATCAGCCTAAAACGGCGTATTCCGCATTCAGTAGCATTTACGGATCCCGAGGAACACTTTGCAGTTGCCACACATGTCCTACACCACCCCACATATATCCATAGACCGGGAAGTGGAGGGCCATACATGACCTGGAATCGGCTGGCGTTCAAGGCAGTGCAGGAATGGCTTGCTAAGCGGTAGAAGCAGATGACCTCTAGTTGAGAAGAGCTGTCTCAAAACCCCTTGCTGAACTGTGAAACACATTCCTCACTTCCACTTTCTTGTCCTTTGTAGTTGGGATTCGCAAACCTTCTTCAGCGCTCCTCGTTGCCAACACCCATCATGGACTTCACAAACGGCACCAATGGCCACACAAATGGTGTCAACGGCCACTACGAAGCCATCGAGCCCCTCAAGATCACGATATGTGGTGCCGGCATCGGCGGCCTCAGCGCAGCAATATTCTTGCGCCAACGCGGACACAAGGTGACCCTTCTCGAAGCCTCGCGCTTCTCTAATGAACTCGGCGCAGCCGTGCACCTTGCGCCCAACGCCAACGGTCTTCTCAGGCGTATGGGTCTCATCCCCGAAGCCCATGGCGCGATAACATGCAAGCTCCTGACACAGCTCTTTCCGAACGGGAAAGAGATGTTTACTGTTCCCCTAGAGAAGGATGCGGGACGGTGGCAGCACCCGTGGCAACTTGCGCATCGTGTGAGTCTGCACAGTGAATTGAAGAGGCTGGCTACGTGTGAGGAAGGGAACGGTACGCCAGCGGATTTAAGACTGAGGAGTAAGGTTGTGGATGTCGATGCCAAAGCTGGTGTTGTTACGCTAGAAGATGGAAGTACGATCGAGAGTGATGTCGTTGTTGGAGCAGATGGCGTACATTCAAAAACACGACCACGGATTCCAGGCGCGGAGAACATCAAGACGTTTGGAAGTGGCAAGTCAGCATTCAGGTTCCTGATTCCGAGACAGAGGGCGCTGGATGAAGAAATGACGCGTAAGTTTGCGGAAAACGAGGGCCATCTCATTATGATTTTCGCGAGGGATAGGAGGGTTGTCGTGTATCCGACGAGCGATAACACGTTATTGAACTTTGTTTGTATCCATCCGACAAGCGAGAGCCAAATCAACCCTCAAGAGCCTGGGAGTAGCGATTGGCAGAATCAGGGCAATTTGAACAAGATGTTGGAGGTTTACAGGGACTTTGAGCCGGCGGTGCTCAAGTTGCTGAGTATGGCGGATGAGGAAACGTTGAAGGTATGGGAGCTGCTGGATATGGAGCAGCTCCCAACTTGGACGGATGAGAAGTTGGTCTTGATTGGAGATGCTGCGCATCCTTTTACTCCTCGTAAGTCCTGTTCCTTCTCTTTCTCGGCCTCGGCAAGAATCCAGCTAACGAAACCGCAGACCAGGGACAAGGAGCAGGCCAAGCCATCGAAGACGCTGCATCCCTCGCCGTCATGCTCCCGCTAGGCACCCCTCTAGACTCCATTCCCGCACGACTGAAACTCTACGAGAAATGCAGATACGAGCGCGCATCTGCCATCCAAGAATACTCCCGCCTAGCAGGAAAAGATCTCGGCAGCGGTCCACCCGTCGACCCGCAGAAGTTCACAAACTACAACTTCGGCCACGACGAATGGGATTACTCCAGCCAGATGCTCCGTAAATGGGAGTGGGAGAACAAGAAAGGTCTGTTTTGGCGGATGCCCACGGCCTTTGGTCCTATGCCAGGGCCAAGACAGGATTTCCTTGGTAGACCGAGAGACGGATCGAAAGCTACGTTCAAGACTGCTAGTATCAAGTTCAAGACGAGCAGGACAGTGCTGGAGAATCTCTTGCCTACGGAGAAGTTGAAGTTTGCTGCCGCGAATACTACTGCATATGCGACGTTTGCTGTGACGCAGCTGGACAATCTGGACTGGCTTGGTGGCAGGGGATACAGTCATTTCGGATTGTACATCCATGGCATTCAGCACACAAACGCCAGTGGAGGGACAGTGACAGGCACCTATCTGCCCGTCCTGTTCGAGAACCTGGCTGACCCCATACTGAGTGGCAGAGAAGAGCTAGGTTTCCCCAAGCTCTTCGCCGAGCTCAACCTGAAGAAGGACCACAGCAACTGGGCGCTTGACGCGGGCTGGATGTCATCGAAGTTCTGCAGCATGTCGCTGTCGGGTCTGCAGGAAGTTTCGGCGACGAACGATGCAGCGCCGGCACCATTTCCTCCTCTTCCAAAAGATGAGGGCTTGTTGTTCCATAAATATGTTCCCGCTACTGGTAGTACAGGTAGCAAGGAGCGTGGACAAGCAGACGTGGAGTACACAGTTTTCCTGCCAGGTGAGGAGGACGCGAGGACCGTGGAGAAGAAGGTCGAGCGTACGTTGAAGGCAAGCTCAGCCGAGATCGCTTTCGATGCCCTTGACTGGAAAGCCCTGCCAACACTGCATCACATCATCGAGAGACTGCAGGAAGTGCCGGTGTATGAAGTTGTCGAGGCCAAGGTAGTTGAAGGTACCGGAGTAAGCGATGTGAGCTCGGTATGTAAGTTAGCATGAGCGGCTCCGCTATGTACGAGTGGTAGCACGCCATTCGTACATCCAGGGCAGGTTGCAGGGGGTACTGTACATAGCTGTCAGCATATTTCACCGTTATCATAATGTCAACGATAACATCCAGAGAATCCCCACCTGCAATATTGTAATGCCTTTCATTCTCATCTATTAAAGGCCTCCCAACTCCTACAAATGAGACATGCTTTGTCCTGAAGCTATGTATAAATGGGGTATTACCAAGTCCATCTATCAATGCCGCCAAAACACCATACTACCATATCAATGCAAATACATAGAAAAAAATGCTCAATGTGAAGTGAGCATGAATGGCCCTAGTGGCCATCCATCAGCATGTCGTCGCCGGAATCTGGAAACATGGAATCTGTACTGGACTTGTTGACCGCCTTCTTGAACACCTTCGCTAAGATGCCTTGTAACCCCACCGGCGGTTCCGGCGATTTACTGAAGTTTAGCCAAGAAGGGCGAGTGTATGCCTCGTCATCCGAGATGTACTCGCCTAAAGCCTGGGTCAGTCGCAGACCTTGTATGAAGGTCATCGATGTAGACGCAGGCCAGTGAGGTACGCAGGAAGAGTCTACGCACTCGCAACGCCTAAGCCTTCGCAGAGCCTCTTCCTCCATTGTCCACAGACATCCTCGAAACCATCTAGCACGTTTGCGCAAGCCCGCTTTGCCTCCCTTTCCTTGAGTCGTCGGTCCCAGTCCCCGCGCTCGATATATTCCTGTCCTTCCTGTGTCTTCTCGTTGTCACGTTTCCAGTCCTGTAGCTGTTCTTTGCTAACCTTGAGCCGCCTAGCAGCATTCGCTGTCGTTTGTCGAGACATGTGTAGAGTATCGCTGACGTTTGAGAGGTGTTGGATGAGCTCACGGCTGGAGTGGGTGAGGTGGGAGAGCGCGACGAGCGGATCAGCGGAAGGGTGGGGCAGTAGCTCCAGTGTGGATTGTATGATAGGGAGGAGTTCTTCGATATCATCTGGGTCTGGAAGGATGGCAAATGGGCCTGAAAAGGACACGGCAATGGAGGTAAGAGTACGCGACTGGTGTGTCAGATGCGTTGTCAGGGCTTCGTGGGCAGTCTTTAACCTGGGGTCTGTTAGTGGCATGGAGGGAAATGCCTACAGATGTGAACCTACCTCGTCGCGCCGTTCTCCATGGCGATCTGGCTGCCGAGATCGCGAAGTTGTTGCGTGACCCTCTTGACTACCTCGTCTGATGCGCTTCCGTTCTCCTCGATGCCTCTCCGTGCCAGGCTCTCAATCGCAGCCATGCGCGCGTCGAGCGCGGGCGAGATGCCCTCGTTCTCCAGGTCCGAGTCGTCACCATAGTCGGAGCCGTCGTACAGCGACCGTTGCCTTGCGTGCTTTTTCGTCTTAACGGCCGACCCTGGGCTCAGGCGCGCGGGCGATGAGTCCTGCATGGCAACCCCACTATCCCGTACGCCGTTGAGGCTGGCTGCGCTGTCTACGCCGTACGAGCCGTCGTGTTCTACAGCAGTGCCGATGTTTTGGTCGTGTGCTTCGTCGAGTTCCTCGCCATATTCGCCGTCCATGCCCTCTTCTTCGTCGTCGTCCCACACCTCGCCGAGTTCGTCGGCCAGGTTGCCCAGGCCATTGCCGTCTCCTCCGCCGTCGAATTGGTGTGCGGGGCTGTGTTCGAATTCATGCGATGAGCGCGGCGTTATGGGCGAGTAGCCCGAGGAGCGGCGGTTGAAGGACTGCCGTCTCGACTGTGTGTTGAGGGACATGTCCAGGCTGGAGGGGTGTCGATGGTGCGACGACGTCGGGCGGTGCGTGGGGGTGCTGGGAGGAGACGACATGGTGGTGCGGGTGTATTGGAAGTGTCGCGGTGGTTCAGAACACGTCAAAGGCTCGTCAAGTCGCGGAAATGAACAAAGGCGGACCGCATTGGGAGGGCCCCAGTCGGGGATCTACACGGGAGTGAACCAGGGAGCGCAATGCGCTTCTGCTTCTCAGCAACCCCCAAAGACGCGGCTCTGCCCTGACAAGCCACAGAAAGTCTATTTACACGCGAAAAGGAGGTCTCTGTGGTGGGGTAGCGGCGTGTTGGCGGCCTGCGAGGTACCAGCGAGGGTGCGGTCTTGGCTGCGGAGACGCCTCAGTGGTGTAGGGCTGGCTGCAATGCGTGATGATGCTAATTAGTCGCTTGTGGCGCGTAGCGATGCAGATGGAGCGAGCGACGAAGGCTGCGTGGAAAAAACGATCACGGAGCCTCGGTTGCTTGTCCAGCCGGAAAGCTTGGTGTTTGTTGACGCTTGCCGTGGTGTGTTTGGCCTCTGTAATTAGTGGCTTGCGCGAATGACCTGTGGACCCTTCTTTGGCAAGTAGGTGAAAGGGGTATGGGTATCCTTGTACCACCCGTCGATACCATGACGCTCGTATGTCGTTAATATCCCGACTTAACCAAGGAGCACTGTATATCGATAGACGAGGATTGAGCATTTCAAAGGACATTTTGATTCCAGGTGCAGATCTAACCCGATCTTTTCCACCACAACGCTCCCCAATGCCATGTATAACATCAAACCCCAAACAATGTCGTAAGATGGGTATCGCGTACCATCATCCTAAATCGAGGCGGACACACACATGCTTCCAAACTCCCAAGACGCCAAAACATGACTTTGCCCATGCTGCTGCAAAGTACTGACATATGCCCACCCATGCGATTCAAAGCCCACAGAACTCCTGTAATGCCCTCAAAATGCCGCTGAAATAGATAACGGGTGTGTATGCAATCATTGCGCGGGTTTGGTCTGCTCGAGAGTTGCGATCTGCTTCTTGAGCTGCGTGAAGAAGTCTTGGCCGGTGGGCATGAGGTGTGACATGGTGCCTGTTCATATCAGCATTGTAGTCTTCCAGTGTGGTGTTTCCTTGACGCCTCACCTCCTTTGCCCCACGCGCCGCTGCTACGGTTTGAGACGGAGTCGCCAGGGACCTTGTGGTACACCGAGGGTTGATCTGGAAGCAAGTCAGCCTTGTGAACGTGTGCGCGCATCTTGGAGGCTCGTACTGGCTGTGCTCTCAATGTATTCTACAGTTGGTTAGCCCTGTCATATACTATACTTCAGCGGTATAGCAGACTTACTCTTCTTGAGGAATTGCTTGACCTCATCTGCATTGAACTCCTTCACGGGTACATGCTCTGGCTGGGTCTGAACTGGTGCAGCTGCGGGGCTTGTTCCCTTCCCCTGCTTGGCCCCCCATACGTTCGCTGTGGGCGCTGGCATAGCCTGCTGCCGTCCCGCATTGTCCTTGGTGGGGGTGTTTGCGCCCGAGTTGGAGTTGCGGTTGGCTTGACCCTGCCGCCGCCAGCTGTGTCAATCGTCAGTATGCGTAAGCTTCCCAAGCTTCGCGTGCGCCTAGTCTCTGACGTACCGATTCTCACCCGGGCCACTCATCTTTTGTACGAAGCAACGGTGGGAGGCGAGGAGGGGTCGAGTCGAGAAGATATAAAATGGTGGAAGCTCTCCAATCGCTCTGGCAGCGCGCGAACTGTGTCTGTGCTGCAACACCTAAACCAATGGGGCCTCCTATGTCATATTATAGCTGTGACCTTCTTTCGGCCAACTCACCAGTGCTAGCCGCTTTCAGTTCTATTTCAACACTATTCACAGCCATTATCCAACGACTGGATGGGGATTTTTGGGCCCGTCTAATCCGTGCCGATGTGTTGTACATCACGTGTGCCTTCCGCCAATCGAATCTGTGACCGGATATCTTGACCCTACGCTAGCAGCAGGGTTCTCAACACCACCATCCTTGAACAACTCCACGGTAACGGCTCCTAATGGACCAACATGTTCTTTGACTTTATTCTTTTCTCACCGTCATTCTTCGTGACCCGCCCCGGGATCGAGTCGGGCGGCTTGACAAGGGAAGAGGTTGGGAGATTGTGTCATCATTCCGAGCACAGTCGCCGAGATTGTTGCCCGAGGCATCGTTCCGAGACCTGAAACAAAATGAAGAAAGATATGTTGACCTCTAGGTGTTCGGAAGCATTGATCACAATGCTCATACCTTGTCCAGATGTCGGACAGCAGCAAGAACCAACTACTGTGTCCCTTCATCTCTCGTTAACTTAGAGGTCTCACAGTTGCTATCGTCTATTTCAGTTGATCAATCAGGTATATGCGCTTAGTGAGAGGCGGACGCCGTTCGGTAAAAGACAGCGTACGCAGTAAGGTAGCCAAGTACAGGTGAGAGAAACGCAAGTGGTAGCGGAGCTCCTATATCATCCAAGTCTTACATATATGTCCGTTCATCATCCTCTACCTTTCTACACAACTCACACTTCGCTTCAACTATCCCATCGCCTACGATGTACGCTCCTGACTGAGCTGTCCTCAGGCGGCTGAAACACAGGTTTGAGCTACCTTTCACAAAACCACAGGAAGTCATTCGAGAATGCGAGCCGTCCTGGTTAGGCTGGCTGGGCTCACGCTCTATGTCCTTGAGCTACAATCAGGCACACTAAAATTGCTTCACGAACGGCCCAACAGAAAAGCAATGTCCTATGAACTAAACGCAGAAGATTTCGCAGATTGTGCAGACGAAGTCGATGACAGTACCGTTACATGCATGGATCCTGCTCTCGAGACAAGTGCCGTAGGGCTAAGCCTATGCCTGGTCCAGAACGACGGAATACTCAAAGTAACTCTTGAGGGTGGGCATGGCGGATCTGTGGACTGGGTATTTCAAGGGTTAAAAGACCTCAACAAAGGCAGCACGATGGCTTGTGCGTTCACGCAGACAGATCTTGAAGTCCCGCTATGCAATGAATGCGTTGGATTCGTACCTCCAAAACTATCCGTCAGCACTGTCCAGACATCCTCCATCAATCCTAGTGCAGATCACATCGTCCAGCCTCCATTATCAGGACTCAGCACTATATCAACGATCGAGACATACCCTACCGAACCTGTGTCTAGATATAAACATTCAGTAGCAGAGCTCAGGATCGAGTCGCCAACTTCCGAAAAGGAAACCGAACTCAAGCGCAAAGCAACCTCAGACGTGGAGCGAGTTCTTCTACACAAACGTGCAAAAAGCTTGCACAACTCCCAGCCATGGCCCAACCACTTATATATGACGTGTGTCCGCACCCAGCCTATCTCTAAGAGCGACATTGGAACGTTGCACATTGACCTTGTAAAAGGCACAGCGTGGTTCGAGAGCTGGCATGGAAAGGAGAACACACGAGTGTTTGAGAAGAAACAGATCGATATGCATTGTCCTTCAAGTAAGTCTTGCCATATGAGACCCTGGAAGCTCTCACATTCATGAACAAACACGGCGTTCTGCGTATACTACACAAACATAGATACAATGGAGACTAACACACACAATCAGCAAGCATCCATTACTTACCTTACGGCACCACCAAAGGGACAGACGGATCGACCCATTATCTCAACATTGGCAGGCTCAATACAAGGGATGAATGGACTGCTGTGTTCAAAGCAGACTGTTCTGCCCCCGGATGGCAGATATGGGGTTCAGATACAGACACCAGTCCAGGTCCTAATCCTACTCTGGCAGACAAAGAATGGATTGAAGTCAGGAGATACCGCATGATAAGCAAAATCCCCTGTCCTCAGCCCACATGGATATCAACGCACATCTCGCCTTCCAACATCGTCGACGCGCTTGTTCACTGCGTCGATCGAGCGTCACAACGTCAGGCTATCCATGACCCAGAGGGTGACCACGAACTACAGGAACATCTGAATCAATTTAGAGCTCTTAACGCCACAGAGAGTTTGACTGCAAACGACATGGATGAGTGAAAGTCCACGCGTGAGCAAGTAAAGACGAGAAAAGCTCCTCGAAGGAAGTTTAGGATAGTGGAGTGAGGAAACAGGCCCGATCACACTATCAGACATTCCGTCTGTCTAGCGGGCGGGTCAGAGGAGGACCAGATGGACAAGGGAAATGAGATCTATTCGTCTTCTCTGAATTACTGCAAGATGCCGGCCACCCGAAAAAAAGCGTTTGGTCTATCGAATACGATTGCGAGGTCGATGAATGGTTAAGTGGATCTGCAGTGCAGACTACTTCGACCGTTGGAAGTTAGGCATTTGATTCGCATTCTTTTCGGAAGTATTCTAGCTTTGTAGAAGCTGAGTAGAGGTGTATTTTTATTATTTGCACTTTACAGGATTAATCAAGAGCAAGCTTGAAGACCGCACTCCTACTCTGGATTGCATTGACTTCCTTGAAATCCTAGAAATTCATGGCTTGGCTGACAATGATGCGTCTTGAAACTAGGGTGAAGACTTTCAAAAAAAAAAAAAAAGGGCGAGGACAAAGATGGCGAAAAAAGTAGAGGTGGTTGAAATGGAAATGAGGTAAGAAAGTTTTACTATGGAGACATACAACTCAGAAAGTACTCTCAACTCAAATTGCAATGTTGACTCAAATTACCCATTATCGAATGGCAAACGCTACTTGTACAGTATATAGAATAGTCATTGGTATACATCAAATCGCATGCGATTGCGCATGAAGAAACTCACTCAACCCTGCTATCCAAGAAGACATATCTACGCCGGCGCTGCCTCCCCATTGTCACCCCCATTCTTACTGCCACCGGTCAAATTCGACATGAACTCCTGATACCTAAATACCTCTGTCCGATTCCCCAAACTCTTCCCACCTTTAGCAAAAGCCCTCCGCCCACTGAACCCCTCGATAACCATATCGATCTCCCTCTCTGTCAACTTCTTCTCGCCATGCTCAGGCGCGGTATGCAGTAACGCATCCTTCAACTCGGCCAGATCAATCTGGCCATCATCATTATCATCAAAGGCCTCGAAGGCAGCAGTAAGCTCGTTTTGGTGAGACAGATTGGCGAGGAGGTCGGAGAGGGTGGTTAGGTAAGTGGCTAGGTTGATAGATTGGGCGCCGCCGAAGTAGGAAGAGAGCTGGGAAGGGGTGGCGGACAGACCGAGCTGCGAGAGCATGTCTGCGACGTCGGCGGCATTGACGTGACCGTCGTCGTCGCGGTCCATTACGCTGAAGGATTCGCGCATGCTGTGGAGGAGGGGAGGAGGGAGCTTGGAGAGAGCGTCGCTGGAGGCCATGCGTTGCATGGGAGCAGGGCGAGCTGCTGGCTTGTAGGTCTCGACGGGCTTGGGACTCTCTACTGCCTTGTAGCTCTCCACTGAGGTCCAAGTCTCAGCTGGCTTGTGTGCCTCGACCGGTGTGTAGTCATCTACAGGCTTGATATCCTCGATCGGCTCGGTGTTCTCTATGGGTGGTGACTTCCTCCTGCTGAAAAGAGGAGGTGGTGTGTCGTCCCTCGCGGCGCCCTCAAATTTGGCTGCAATGGACGCTGTGCTTAACGGGCGCACAGTCATTTGCGATGACGAGGATACATTCCGCGTTGGTGAGACGTGGCGCGCAGGAGAAAGATTCCGGGCAGGTGAGGTGGGCTCTGGAGTGCCTGACTCCCTTCTTGTGTTCAGCCATGAGGGCGGGTTTTGCGATGGGATGCCTCCAATGGATAGGCGGTTGGGTGTATGTGCAGGAGAGGTCGGTGTCTCTTTCGGCTTGAGAGGGGAGCTGTTTGGCGTCGATGGTCGCAGGTTACCCGGTGAGCTTTGCCTGATGGAGCCCGGTCTTCTAAAAGGCGACTGGCGTGTGCTGTTGAAGGCGAGAGGGGAGGGCTTGTAAGGCGTTGGTGTTTCCGACTGCATGTCTTAGCTGTGTCCCAGTGATGATGCATGAGGGCAGACGTACCATTGTGGTATATTCCTTTTGCAGAATCAGGGTTCGCGATGTCACTGTTGGCCGCTCGTCGCGTTGTTTGGTGTTGATACTGGAGATGGCCTAGCAACGACCCCTGCCATTTGGGCTAATCGATAAGACATGGACGGAGATGCAGGGTCCGCCTTCACTCGCCTGGGGCAGCATCATATGCGAGTCACATGCATAGTCACCGCCTTGAAAATTGTCCTGTAGCCATTCACGCCTTGTCTACACATGTCCCCTATCCCTATACCGCACTTCCTCCACACGGCACCATGTTGTTTCGGAAGGGTTACATTAGGTTCCCCTAGCGCCGTCGATCCATAATGTAGTATCCATAGTCGCCAGGTACTCGTACTGAAGATGGAGACACTCATGGCTGAAGTAATCGCACAGCGGCCAAACGGTCCTAATGCCGCCCAGCCTGTATCTCTGCAGCGTCAGCCGTCCTTCTCCTCGTTCCCTCCCTCGCGCTCGCCCTCTACCCGCAATGGCCACAACCACAAAGCTCGCTCCCCGCAGCCCCCCATGGTCCGCGAGGGCGACGAAGACTCGATACAGTCCTCGCACGACTCGTCGCATCAGTCCTCCATGCAGGCCCTGTCCAGAGGCGGCATGAAGCTGCGCTCGCAATATCCCGCCGATGCAATTGAGAACCATGTCGAGTACATACTCGTCGCCGCCTTCGACATCGACCGCGGCTCCATCATGGAACACCAGTACCCGGCGGCTATCAGTGGAGACGAGACTATGCTGGCTGAGCTCATGTTGCCCGATCAGGCCCATGTCCGAAGCCAAGACTGGACCATCTTCTTCCTACACAAGGACACCACCGCCGAAGAGGAGGAGCGCGAGGCCAGGAGAGAGCGCCGAAGGAGAAGGCGGCGGCGGAAAGAGGGCCTGGACGACCAAGACGACGCGACTGCCGATCCCGAAGAGCAAGACGACGACTACGACAATGACGACGACGACACCGAGAGCGAAGGGGAGCCGGACCCTGATGGGCCACCGCTGGTCTATGTCTTGAACCTGGTCAACACCAAGCAAGATAACACGGTGAAGAGGTAGGACGAGCACCACCGTCTACTTGACATGACTGACACTACGTAGAGGCGCCATCGTCAAAGCCATGGCGATATGCACGCGACACCCTTTCTTGCACATATACAAGCCCCTGTTGCTGCTGGCCCTCGAAGAGTACTTCAGGGCACCCGTCCTCGAAACTCTAGAATCCCTCTACAACTCTCTCAACGCCATGGACCTGTCGCTGCTGCCGCGACTCTCCCCTCTGGAGAACTTTGTGCTTGGCGCTAGTGACGCCAAAGACATGTTCGTCGAGAAGTTTGAGCTCATGGTCCGGCAGCGGAAGAAGCTCGACGCAGCAAGAGACTCTGTTGAAACCTCGTCCGATCCTCAATCGCGGAAGAAGACATACACGGTTCCACGGGACACGCATGAGTTTGAATCCAAGATCAATTACAACGGTATTCCCGTCCCCGTCAAGATACCTACCGCTTTGAGTCCTGAGACAGTGGGCGACTTTTCCCTGATCAAGCTTATCCAAACATTCTCCACCCCTCATGCGACACAACCCCAGCCCTTTGCTCTACATCCGCACCTGACCACAAGCGGTGCCTACACTCATCCCATCATTGTCCTCGTCAATGCACTCCTCACCCAGAAGCGCATCATCTTTATTGGACATAACCAACCTTCAGGAGAAGTCGCAGAGGCCGTATTGGCAGCATGTGCTTTAGCCTCTGGTGGCATCCTCCGCGGCTTCGTTCGACATGCCTTCCCGTACACCGATCTCACCAAAGTAGACGACTTGCTCAAGGTCCCTGGCTTCATCGCTGGCGTCACCAACCCTGCATTCTCTTACAAGCCCGAATGGTGGGATCTAATATGTGACCTACCCACCGGTCGCATGAAGATCAGTAATCGTATTGAGGCGGCTTCACCAACAGAAGGCTCCATGTTCTTCCAGCAGCAGGGCCTCCCTCTGAATGGGCCAGGCGCGCTACCAGCCAACGGTATCGACGCAACTGGTGACACCCAATTCATGGAAAAGCTCCTCGAGAGCATCGCCAACCGCCATGGTGAGAATGCTATTCGAGCCAAATGGCGCTCGTGGGTGTTGAAGTTCACCCGCATTGCGGCGGCCTTTGAAGAAACTGTCTACGGCGCCTCTGCACTGTACATTGGCTCTCACGAGACCGATGTCGGCGGATACGGTGTCTCTGGACATGGCTACGTATGGCCAGATGAAGGTCACAAGCTTCGAGAACTCGCTGCAAACGTGCACCGTATCGAGGGCTGGCGCAACACAAGAAGCTATTATAGTTGCATCCAGGATCTGGCGAGGCACTGGAATAAGAGACCAGTGCGCGGTTTGGATATGGCCCATCAGCACGACAAGTTGCGCTGCTTAAAACTCTCCCATGATCAATCGGCGGCCATTTACCTTGCACTGGCGCGGTGTGTTGAAGAAGCGGGTGAGCACAGTGAGAGCAAGAATGCCTCTTCGAGCGACCTATCCTCCATGGCCCAGTCACTCACGATCGCAAATGACCATGAGCGTAAAACGAACTCCCAGCTCCAGTATGAGACTATTCTGCAGCTGCTTTGTGTCATCCCAGATGCTGGTCTCTTCTACCTTAGCTTGGGCCTGTTTCACCCTAGACAGGATGTCAGAATGGCCGTTGTTAGGTTACTAGAGAGGATCATGGATCACTCTGCTGGCCGACACTACTGGGGTCAACTAGGGCGCTTTGCTAAATTGGCCTTCTTTAGAGTGAAGAGAGAGGAAGCACAGAAGTAATCGCGAACATGACACTGTTGGATCGAACCACGGGTATAGTTTGTTCATGGAGTTTTGATATGATGTTTGTATATGCTGTAACGTAGACATCTGATTAAATGAAATGCACACACATGGTCTCCATCAACAGACTAGTCGCCATGCAGTAAAGTGATGTTTACAGCTATCGATAATACCAGACACGCTACGAACCGTTGTACGCACGCGCATCCCTGCATCACATCTTAATCTCCGCCTGAAGACATACTCGCCCAAAATTTCCCGCCGCGACCCCTCGAATGCGCCCAGACTAGTCATTGTGTCGCAACGCCCGTCTCGCTCTCCCCACACCCTCGATCGTCCATTTTTGCAGTCTGTACACCAATTGGACAGCAGCAATGTCTTCGAAACCAACAATCGAACCCCCGACTATCAAAAAACGCGGTCGCCCGAAGAAAGTCGTAGCCGAGGATGTGGGGACAACACCAGAAGTCGCAGCGACCAAGGCGGCTGTGAAGAAGGCGGCCGCGAAACCAGGCACAAAGGAGAAAGTTGCGGAAGCCAAGAAAGAGAAGAAGGTGGCTACGAAAAGCGGGAAGACTGCTCCTACTACTACTGCGACTGTTGCTGCGGGGAAGAAGATTGCGCCCAAGTCAGCAATTGCGCCAGCACAAGCTACACCCATCACACCGTCCACGAGCAAGATATTAGAGGAAGTGGAAGCTAAAGGGACTTTGAAAAAGGCAAAACAGCCGGAAAATGTCGTAGAGAAAGAAGCCGAAGCAAGTGTACAAGACAGCAGGAAAACCGCGCCGTCATCCCAATCCCCAGAAACATCACCACCAAAGACTCAATCCTTACCATCGAAACTAACTCCACCCACAACTGCCTCCTTATCGAACAACAAAACAACCTCAAACACGATTTCAAGAGCAACGACCATTCCACTCCCTTCGGCCCCCAAAATCGCCCCTTCACCCGTCTACCCAGCGACTCCAAAACCTACAACCTCTCGTCCACACAATCCCTACCCTTCCATTCGACCCTCGCCATCACAGCCACAACCTCGTCCACCGCCCTCTCCATACCAGAAGCAACATCCTACGCGCATAATAGAACCCACGCCCGACATTCGCCTCCCGCCCAAGTACAAACCTGCGGCGCGTAGAGTGACGGCGATAATAGTGGGTCTACCCATTATTCTTGTAGTAGGGTATGAGTTGTTCGAGCGGTGGAGGGGCAAAGACGTTAGGAAGAAGTTTGTCGAGGACAGGGAGGTTTTGAAACAAATAGACAGAGAGAGGGAGAGGCAAGAAGGCAAGTAAGGGCATGTTAATCAACGATGGAACGAGCTTAATGTGGTAATTTGTACTTTTAACAATCTATATCAACTCTTCGTCTTGTCTTGTTTGTATAGGGAAAAAGAAAGAGTACACGTGTATCGAGTCCTGGGGTATCGTCGCTCTTCTCCATATTCCCTCATTCCTTTCCATCCCTCTTCTCAATCTGCTCTCCTGTGGTGTGCTCAAAGCCTGTGACTATGCACTATACATCCCCTTCGCCCACACTATCTTAACAAAAACAAAAGAGAACCTATGTAGAGATTGCTGAAGCGCGGAGAAGGCGCATAAAATATATACGAGAAAGGTGCCATACGAGAAACAAATGTGGATGAGCCCGTGGAGACGTCGAGCAGAGGCAAGAAGAGCCTACACATAGCTCTTCTTTCTCAGAAGCATCCCCCTAGTCCCTGATGCGTCAACCGGCAAACCCAACCCCAGACCCGCTCCACTACTCCGTCGACTACCCGGTCTACTAGTCGCTGGACACCGTGTTATATTCGTAGCCACGGGTTCCTTGTCCAACACAGGTGGGCCAACACTAACATCTGGTGTTGCTGGTCCAGGAGGATGGAAAAGGCGTTTATACCGCAACTCAGGGCTACTAGGTACGTTTGGATTAGACGAATGTCTCGCGGTAGACGTCATGGTGAGATTGAGCATTGTACCCGTGCGACGACTCAAGGGATTTTGAGTAGGCGGTAGTGCCGTGGGATGTGAGGTCATGGGTTGCGGCTGCGCTTGCATGGTAGCTTGGGGGATTGAAGGCCAGAGGGTGGGAGTGTTGATTGGGGGCGATGTGGCTGGTGAAGGCGAGGAAAGTCTAGACGTGGTGTCTGACTCGGGATCGGCAAAGTAGTCATGGTCCGAGGTGTCGTTGGTGGAGGACATGGGGTCGAGTTGGATCGTCTCGGTCCATTGTCGCCTGAATCTGTTTGTGCCATTGGCTTGCTTTGGAACGGAAAGCGGTTGGGGGGCTGCTTTTAAGGCTGTGCGCGACAGCAGAGGACTGGTGGGTGCAGATTTTCGTAGAACAGGGCTAGGAGGTTCCATTCTGAGTTCGAAGCGCGTCGTCTTATGTGTCGACTTTGCTCGCTTTCTATGGGCAAGGTCGTTGTCTTGGGAGCTTGTCCGTGTGAGTTTGAGGTCTGGCTGTGGTGTGAACACAAGTCGTCCCTTGAGCTTCTGGATCGTGTCATCCAACGCAAGCTCAATAGCTACATGGTTCTGTATACGCGATAATTTTGGCCATGTAGCTCGCTGTCCAGTGAGCATGCACCCAATCATGTACTCCGGTGTGGGGTTACTCAAGACTCTGGGAAAGTCGGCATAATTGATCTTTGGAAAGATATTGATGTCACCTGAGTAACGCTGGCTTAGTATCGACCTTCCTTTTGTTACCAGATTTGGGAGAATGCCAGTGTCCGCTAACTGTTGAAGGCGGTGCATGACTTCTCCCTTGCAAAGGCTAGCTGAAAGGCTCATCCAGCCGGGACCGGTGGAAGCATCCTGTTGGACTTCTGTAGCGACCATTTCCTCCTCCTTTGCTAGGAAGGGAACGACATGTGGGTTCACTTGCGAGACAATAAAGTGATTTACGTTGAACATCTCGGCTAACCGAGTCATGGGTAGGTCATTGTCAACGGAACCGTCGATCCAGGTCGCGTCAGGGTTTGGATCCCAAGGCACTTCCTGGCCAGTCTTCGGGTCTTTGGCTAAAAGTGAAGCCTTCTTGTATACTAGCGGCACTGAGCAAGACGTACATCTGAGCTGGATTAGCACAAGAACAAGAAGTTCTTTAGTTGCCACTTACACTGCTGACCAAATCATAACATTCGGTGCTGTGATGTAGTTCAAGAGTCTGGGCAATTCGTAAAGCGAAGAAGTCGAGACAGGTATGTTCAAGATACGACGAGTTCGATTGTATGCTTCTTGGAAGGTCATGTCGCCGAGCAGATCGCGCATCACCCTCATGAGGTGCGAAATGTCAAAGAGAGCGCCTGACTTCATCAAGCGCATCGCTTTACCGACCACGCCTTCTGGGTGATCAGGACTCTCGAATACGTTCAAATCTCCGTAGCAGAATTGGTGCATAACCTCTGGAACCTCTGCATCTGTCTTTGTGCACAGGACAGCACTGACGATGCTTCCAGCAGAGGCTCCCGATATAATGCGTGGGAGAAGACGAGCATCCCAGAGACCTTTGACAACGCCGATGTGGTTCATGCCAAAGGTACCGCCGCCTGAGAGCAACAGCGCGCTTCTCCCGAAAGACTGTCGCGTTTGAAGGAGCTGATCGACCAAACGTCGCGGCTCGATAGGACACTGATCTCCCTGCTTCTCTGAGACGTCCAGCAGAGCCGCCATGGTCTGCTGCGCAGATTCAATATACCTCTCGATCAGGCGTTTGGTTCCAATGTGCGAATGTTTGTATAAGCGCAGATCGCCCATGTCGCCCAATCCGCGTGTGAGGGTGGTCCTAACCAGGAACAGCATCCTTTTGACATCACAACTTAAACGAGCGTCGTCCAGCTCTCTCAGCCGGGCGGCAACCAGATCTACGTTGTACTCTGTTGTGTCATCCTCTCCTTTCCAGGCCTCGTTTCCTTCTAAGATATCGAGTTCGGTCGCGGCGGCTTTCCATTGGTCGTATGTCTCGGCCTGCATGGCGATCTCGTCAGCATGTGAAAGGGTCACGACCAATCTGGATGACCCACGTCTTTCATGTGCAGGTACAGGACCTGCCTACGGTTTGCTTCCGCAGCACCCGCGGTCGTTTCAGGAACATGGTCGTCGTCTGCTGGCTCGCCCAGAGTCCTCAACGGATTCCTGGCCAACTGCACAAGGGGACCGAGGAAGCCGCCATGACTCTTACTTTTCCTTATCGCCTTGTGCCCATTCTGTCCTCCTCTTACGTGCAGTCTTGTACTGCCGCCTGTGAATATCGTGTCAGACAGCAATGACATGGAGCGCCGGTGCACGCCATGCGCGGATGTGACGAAGCCTGGCTTAGCCGGTGGAAGGTGGATCGGAAGATCGAGTGCGGAACGTCGACGCAGGTTGTGGTGATGGAGAGGAAGAGGTGCAGTCGGTCACTACGGAGGTCTCGCACTCGAGGGAGTATGAAGCCTAGTAATAGTGCCTTTGTCGAAGACGCGGTGTAGGATGGCCGGAAATGGGTCAACTGCGGGTGGTCATGCGCACTTGGTCGCGCAAGTCGCGGAAGGTACGCCACAGGTTTGCTGCCTCAACAATTCAGATATGTAGTCGCCGGGTGACGAGACGTGCGCGGGAGTGGAAGGCATGGATGCTTTTCAAGTACTCGATACGTGCAGCGCATACTAGGGAGCGTGGGGACATGAGCGTGGTACATCGTCATCGGCAAGGATGCACCTAAACAGACATGGCTGGCATGGCTCCGCGTCGGTAGTGCTAAACTGCCCACCGACCCTGACACGCAACTCCCATCTGTACCTGCAGAGTTGGCAGGCTACTGCAATGCACCCATGGATCAATGTGTTTGATGCTGCTGGTTATGTGAGCTTACGAGGGCGAGTGCCTCGCACTCGCCTGTCGCTGTGTTCAACTCCCGACGGCCCCGGCCTATGAAGTATGGGCTATACGCAATATTGGTCCTGAAAGGCCGTATAGCGCCCGCAATAGTTGCTCTGTCCGACATCGCGATCCTACGCTGCAGGCAGAGTAGATCTGGAGAAACATGCAGACGTGGGGCAGCTATCCCAACCTCTCTTGACCGCCATCTCCGATCCTCTTCTGTCCACGAGATACACATGCATAAGCCAGCGGCGCACACTCAAAAAGAATATGGGTGTGACAACACAGTCAGTCGCAGTCATTCGTACAGCGGGTGGGCTGAGACGTGGCGCCTCTTTCACATGTCAGTCTTGCTCAGCCAACTGACTCGACGGTTGGGACAAAAAAGGAAGGAAGCACCGCGACTGTTCATGCAAATCATCACCAACACTTTGTGCAAGCTACAAGACGAATTCCGGCTTCGGCCGCGAAGTCGTGTGTGTGTAGTTGGGTCGTAACATCGTTACTATACCGGGTATTATGCAACCGTACCGAGACTCCTTTAACGCCATTTTCTACACATCCACGAATCCATAAAAACCCCCATACTACTTGGTGATTTTGGTTAGCCGTGGTTCCTCGCCCTCGGTGCGGACGACGCGATACGCGCCTCTGACCCTCCCCTCCTGTGCGACCCCGAGAAACACCCTCTCGACGTTCCTTAGGCAGGCTAGTGTATTCGACCCTGGCAACGTCTCTGGCAGCATAAACTCCGTCAATGCATCAAGTTGCTCAAGACGTAGGCGTTTCTCCAGCAACAAGAAGTTGAACATGATATTATGTGAGTCAAAAGCGATCAGGTTGAGCTGATATGGCAGAGTCGCCGTCTCCTCGTACATCTGGCGGCAGACGCCATTGAGTAAAGTGAACGTTGTGGGCGGTTTGAGCCAGGGCTGTGCTGCTACCGCTGTATATGGATTTCGTTTACCGTCGAATACTGTGCATCGGTACTTGAAGACAGGCACGACGTCCTGGGCCCTCTTGGGTTTTGTAGGGTCATAATTAGTGCGGTAATTCTCGTAGCTGATATTGATGGTCCTGCCACCAAGCACATGCTTGTAAATGAGATTCCTGACGTCCTCAGGGAGTTGCAGAAGAGGTGAGTTGGCCTGGTTCGCCATGAATCTAATTTGGTCAGTCTGTGCTCACAAAGCGCGTATCCTTGGATGGCTCACATCTGGGCTTGCTCTGATCTTCTTGATAGTCGCTCTCCAGCTATGGTCCGCCGTGGTGCTGCGATACACTCAGCCTTATAGGCCTTGGGCTGATATGGCTCTTTTGGCTGCTCATTCTTGATGATCCGCTCAAAGAGCTGCGAAGTCTGGGTCGAAGGTTTAGACAACGATGCTTCAAACATCCTCGATTCGCCCTCGTTCGCAACTCTCTTGTATCGCGCAAGATTCTCATCCCTTCGCGCTTGTTGATGAGCCTTCCTCTGCGCCTCCGCTGGTGGTGTTGGCAGAGAGCCATTCCTTGCCCAGCCATTCTGCTGTTGTGATGTTTTCCCGTTCTTCATGATCTCTACGTAGTTCTCCTGGTTGTCCCGAATACTACTCTCATCTGGTTTGGGGGCTCGGTGTTGTTTGTTTCCAAGCACTTTATCGAACACAGAGCGCGGGGGATACATGTCGTCATCTGGAATGGACACTGGACCTTTAGAAAATGACTTTCTTTCTTTTCGGCTCGGGGGTGGTGTTGGCAGTCGCGATTCATTTGATTCAGCATCTGCCTTACTCCGCTTACGACTGTCGTCTTCCTCGTGCGCTGCGTCTTGGTCATGAGGTACCCGACGCTTGTTCGGCCGCTTCGAATAGGTGATTTTTCCCGCCATTCTGCGGCAAAAGTTGATAACTTTTGAGATGAGTGAGGGAATGGCGAGTGTAGAGATTGAGAGAGCGAGATTCGCTCATAACAATCGAAATTGCGGAGCTGAGATGTTGTGGAAGGAGCGAGTGAAGGTGCCCACCAATTAAGAACAAGGATTGGTAGAGTAAATGGACGACAGAACGCACAAGTAAAATCAGGATGATCGTGAAGACCTAGGTTTCTGTTCACCTTGCCGAGCACACCCGACAGCGCCGCAGGTAGTCGAGCAAGCAGGGTCAGAAAATCAATACGATGCGTAGTAACGATTGCATTCCCGAGTTCCTCACAATACCTACGCAAAATGGAAGCTCAATGAAGTCGTGTGCGTAGTGTTCGGATGCAGAAATAGATCTCCGCAGTTGTCGCGGTCTCACGTGTGAGGGTAGCAGTCACCATGAGCGAATCTGGTTAGCGGTCGGCTTTTGTGGCACGATCCCCGAAGGCAGCAGCGGCGAGCTGTCATGGCCAGAGAACACCAACTTCGAAGCACTAATTTGTATATACTAAGACCCCGGGTACAGCATTGTATAACGACCTAGTAACGACTGATATGGGCGTCTTTCCTTGGCTACTGAGTGTGTCCATCGGCTAGGTATAGGCCATGTACCGATCAGATCGCTCGTCTCCAATAGGCAACCCAATGGCTCAGCTTGTTGTAAGGTATTTGCTGCATTCTACTCTACTATAAAACAATATGTAATCTACAGAAAATCATTTGGTAGTTCACTACCGCAACTCTGATGTTCTTACTTATAGGCTCTTGGTTGCTTCCGTTCCCCTACAAATACTGTAGCCATTCCTCAGATTCGTAGGTGCACGTTTTTTGTTCCATTATTCTTGAGGCTTACAACCCCTTTCCTCATCCTTGTGGTGAGAGGTAGCGCGAGGATTTCATAGAGCTCAAGGTGAGAGAGATGACCTTAGCCTCTATGGAGTGGCCCTATCTCTTCCAGGCCAGATTCTTCACTTCTCTTCTTACAAGCTTAATCTATACTATCGTCCCGCTCTCTTCAATCATGGTTTCTTGCTCTTCTCTTCTGTCAAAAGCGTCGAAGACCTTCGCAATACTCTGCGTTTCCATTACTACGAATCGCACCATTGGCCCGGGCTTTCAAAAGTCCTTCGATACTCTCTGGTGGTGGTATTGATGTCGCTGCACGGTCACCCAGCTTTCGCTCCTGCGTTCTCGTTCGCGAATTCGCGCTCACCTCGACTCCAATCGGCAGCAACAGCTAGCCAGTTGCCTTATCAACAGCCTTGACCTTCGACTTCCTCTCCCCTCTCACACACGCACAAGACTACATTCTCTCTTCTCTTCCCTAAAGCAAAATTGCCTGGAGGGGAGCAATACCATAATCAAACATATTGAAAAGCATAAGCTCAGAATATCCTACCAGTTGGTCGAGCCGGTGACAATGCCCCTCATCACGTCAAAGAAGACAGGTACGTCTCAGCCACGACACTGCAGTACTTTCTGCTATTGAAGACATGAAGATACTGACCCCTCGTAGTCCCCAAGGCTTCAGCCTTTGTTTGGGATAGCTTTCCGCCGCCGCCACCAGAGGCTGGAGACTGTACGTTAGAACAGAAATGAAATGCGGAACTTGCGTGACACTCACTGATATGCACGTTTGTAGGGCAGCCTGATCCGGACAGTGTCCCGAAGGCAGGGAATCTTCCTGATCCCCGATTCAATCGCGATCCTGAACAAGATCGCCGGAGCAAGTCGTACAGGAAAGAAGCGAAGATGTACGGCCAAGCTCTGAGCGAAATTTCACTCTCACCATCTACAAAAGGGAGCTCTCTCGGTCGTGGACTCGGTCAGTGGCCAGCACCAGCTGCAAGTAGTACGGGTTATCCCAAGGACTTTATGCAAAACGTCAAACCCACTTCACCATCCCTGGAGTCCATCAAAGTGCTCGAAATCTCACGCAAACATCGATCGATTAGTACCGAGCCGACCCCACCTGTTGCTGGGCCTCCCAAAGGCACGATGGAGTTGATGCCTGCACCAAATTATCGCCGTCCAGAGGTCCCAGTATCGAGCACTAGAAAGTCAGCGTCCCCCACAAAGAGTCTATCGTCAGGGTGGAAGGCCTCTATAGAGAAGGCGATAACAGAAGACGAGAGGAAGCTTGATGTATTGGTTGACACTACCACTACATTCCGTCCCGAAGGTGTTCGCAAGAAGTCCATCCCCCCGCACCTGAGGAGCAAGTCCGGTGAAGGCAAAACTATCCCCCTGATCAGCTCCGCACAGAGCTTCAACCCAAGCCTGAACCCAAGGGCAAAGGCGTACGAGGTCATGGCATGGGAAATGGCTTCAGCAGACTCTGGCATTGAACATGTTAAACATGTAAGTGTCAGCAGTTGTATACTACCTACACTCACTAAAGTATCTTAGGGCTTGCACATTCAACAAGATATCCTGGGCCGGTCCGTTGTCAAACAGCCTATCCCAGATGATAATCCATTCGCTACACCCAACGCTCGCGCTACTCCCGACCACGGTACCAAACTCAGAATTATGCTTATCCGTGCGATGGAGCACGAACTGGACCTGGAAAAGGTAGCGCCTGAACGACAACTTATGGCTATGCAGCGCGCCGAGCTTGACAGATACTATGACAAGGTCTGCTCGGCTCATCAGCAATGGTGGAAAGCCACGAGAAATACATGATCAGTGACACACTGTCTGTGTGTAGAAGACATGATTCTCCACAAAAAAAGGATTATCAAGAGTTTCCATGGTCCGCCTCGGAATTCATCAAAAACTCACTCCCCAATCTCATGTTCTTTCTCTCGTCCTCTCGAAAATAATTGACACCTTTCATATGGCGTGCTCTTTCCGAGTTACCCAGCCCACTCTCAAAACAGCCTATATGGTATGAACATCTCAGACTTCTCGCAGCGATCTGAGGCTGATTTCACGACTAGCTCTCTCAGTTTACAATATGGAATCAGGCTACTACTATGCAAGGTTCGGGTGGGTAACAAGCCAGTTGTTAGACTTATCAGATGCATCAGTTGGAGTTTGGTAGAAGAGAAGTCTTGACTATGAGCATACGCTTCCCACGAGTTTTGTCATTTTGACAGGCAGAGCATATTGGGAGGACACGTTGGCACAGCGGAAGCAGCTTCATCGAGTGGCGTACATACAGAATTTAGCCATCAGTGGATATCTTTTCATCAATGACATAACTTCATCACATCTCTATACTACTTATTTAGTGAGTAGAACTTTGCACGCCATCCGTTTGAAAACAAACGCTCATTGTCTTGTCATCAGCAAACTCTGACAAGGAGTAATGTCTAGGGGGCTCTGTTAACTGCTTGCTGGAACATCGCTCTCGTTTGCAGTCTCTATACAAGTAAGGCTGCTCTGCGTTCTGTGCTGTAACTTTCTAGTGTTACCAATACGCCACCAAAGATAACACACAGATATGTCGACACAACGTCATTATTCACAGCAAGCGTTGTATCCGGAACGAAACATCAATGGCAGCAAGGTGCGGAACAGCAATAACTCATCGATAAACACAATGAGCCTTTGCGATGCGAAAATTAACGAAGATACTTTAAAGCGTCTAGACCCTGGCGCGACAAGTCTTTCCAAGCTAGATCCGAAGACATTGCAAGACCGCAAATTATCCACTCAAAGAACATGCTACAGCTACGAACCCGCCTTCTCTACGTCAGCCAACTCGCCACCACTGTCGTCTCTCTCCAAATCTTTCGATGACGGTGGGTTGTTTGATCATACATCCCGCAAGCTCACCCATCCAACCCGCGCAGTAGATGAACAAGATACATCACTCGTGCAACTGAGAGATCAACTGGAGGTACACTTCCAAGGTCTAAAAAAGGAATTTGAGGCCAAGAGAGGAGAGAGCTGGATGCCGTTGCGGGCGTGGACGGATGAGAAGTGGAAGTGGGATGATGAGAGTGATGCTGAGACGGAAGGAGTATCTGATTCGCACTGAAAGGTCGGTTGTGTGGGTGGAGGAGGTGAAGCAATGGAGGTTAGACATAACGTAACAGTCACGGGGCTACGTTCATGTGACCTGCAAAGTTATATTTCCAAGCCAATAGACGGAGTTTCGAATAGATAAGATAGCTGTAAAGATGGTATGCAAAGTACGTCCTGCTCACGTGCTATCCCCGGATGGACCTAAAGCTGTAAAGGCGGTACCCTAACACTGAGCGGAGTGGTATAGACGCATCATGTACTTGCAATACTGATACATTTATGGTTCCCCGCGTTATTCCGAACCAGAATTCTGTGTTCTCGAGAAATAGCTGTGCTGGTGAACTCAAGTTTGTCAAGCTGCAGTTGCGTTGAGAGGCTCCGAATTTGGAGTCATGGCGAAGCACTTTTACAAGAACCTTCATAGAAATGACCAACGACTGTTGACGAGAGTTCCTCGCCATGTATTCAACGGCCTAGAAGAGGCATCATCATACGCGAACATGTGCGGGCGTTGTCGGGCAACCATGGTAGCGAGGGCGGGCCGTCTGGCGCTTCTATGGACGGGGTCCACTGCAGCGTCGTCCATTGCATACTTGACCCTAGCCGATGCCATTAGGGCTAGATGGTCCTTGTAGTAAGCATAGTGGAGACTTTCATACCGTGTTTCTCAACGTGCATGGCGGCCATAAGATCTATCGTCTGCCCGCTCCTCTTCTTCCAACGTTCACTTACCCCAGGATACCAGATATACTGTACGCAGCTGAATTAAGCCCAACCTTACTACCCTGCACCAGCAACCTTCGATTCTACTGTCTGGCCTTACCAAAACCATCAACACCATGACGACATACGTCAGGAACGACAGCGATGCAAGCTCCGGCTCTCCTGGCCGTAAGAAGGAAGCTGCAGATGCGATCGAAATGGTCCTAACACAAAGCCACCAAGATCAAGCCCAACCCCGCGGCCCCTTAATGCTTACTGAGGCGAACTCGAAGAAGAACACGGGATATGCGTTCACGAACAAGCGCAAGTGGGCAATCCTGACGGTAGTCGGACTCTGCCAAACCAGCATGAATTACAATGCAGCGGTCTATTCCAACGCAATAGGGCCGCTTAACGAACACTACCACCTGGGTAGCAACCACTTCACCAATGCCAGGGCTGGTATGGCATGGTTTTTGATCCTATACGGTATCGGTTGCGAACTTTGGGCACCCTGGTCCGAAGAGTTCGGACGCAAACCCATCATGCAGCTTTCACTCTTCACTGTCAACATCTGGCAGATCATGGCCGGTGCCAGTACCTCATGGAGTCATGTATTGACTGCACGCCTGCTCGGCGGTCTCTGCTCCGCAGGTGGTTCTGTAACCCTCGGAATGGTTGCGGACATGTTCGATCCCGAAGAGCAACAACTCCCTATCCTCTGGGTCAGCTTGTGGAGCTGTCTAGGCTCAGTCATCGGTGGTATCTGCGGTGGCCCTATCGAGCAGTTCCTTCACTGGCGATGGAACTTCTGGATTCAGCTCATTCTTGGGGCCACTGTCCAGCTCATCCACTTCGTCTATGTTCCCGAGACCAGGTCGACGGTCATGCTCAACAAGGAAGCTAAGAAGAGCCGCAAGCAAAACCCAGAGGCCAACGTCGTTGGGCCAACCGAACACGAGAAGCTTGACTTCATGGCTTGTCTCAGGATCATGGGTCGTCCATACAAAATGCTAGTCTGCGAACCAATCGTTGGCTTCCTGTCACTGCTCAGTGGATTTAGCGACGCACTCATCTTCAGCTTCTTGGAATCGTACGGGTACGTGTTCGGGAAGGATGGTTGGGGCTTTACTCCTAGTCAGCTAGGACTCGCCTTGTTTGCCCTCTTCATCGGCTACTGGCTAGCAGCAGTGCTGTATTACCCAGTAATACGACGACACAACCAGCAGCGTGGCAACGGTCAAGTGCTCAGCCCTGAGAGTCGACTATCAGCCCTCCGATGGATCGTACTGCTTCTTCCTATCGGCTTGTTCGGCTCCGCATTCGTAGTTACTGGCCCACCTCTGCCATGGATCGCACCCCTCATATTCGCCGTCTTGATCGGATGCGCGAATCTTGCCATCTACTTTGCCACCATTGACTACATGGTCGCCGCTTACGGAGGAACTTATTCAGCATCAGCCACCGGCGGCAATGGTTTTGCTCGAGATGTCCTTGCGGGTTTATGTTCCTTCTACACCGGGCCAATGTACAAGAAGCTCGGTGTTCAGAACTCGACATGGGTCTTGTTTGCGATCTCCGCCCTTGTGTGCGCTCCGGTCTTCTTCATCTACAAGTGGGGTCCTAGCATCAGGGCTCGAAGCTCGTACGCACAGCGGATTAAAGAGGAAAGAGAGAAGAGTGCTGCCGTCGAGCAAACAACGCAAGGGCAGGCGTAGAGCTTTGTAGGATGCTCTTAGAGTAGAGGCTGGAAGAGAAGATGGAAGAAGATGGAAGAAGATGGAAGAAGAAGGTACAATGTTGGTGCTCTCCAGATTCATTGGCTGCTGTCTGTTCATTTTATGATAGGTTGGTGTTTGCTGTCCCGTATTCTTTCTTTTGGCATATTGCCGTGCATGTACCTGTTGCCAACCACGTAGGGCAGCGCCTCTCCAAGGGGGATTGTCGCGTGTTACTGGCCGATCAGATTATAGATTCTTCAACCTCAATTTTATCACTACTGGGTCGCCGTCCACTGTGGTTATATGAACCTACATAAGTGGCATTCGTAGGAATCTTACCATCCTGGCAGTGAACTGAACGTGTGTCGAAGATCGCGGCCCAAGATAGCGTGATGGTAACGATGTTGAGGTCTGGTCGCGGTTGCTGATAGATCGTCGAGAAGAGCGTTAGCGTCTCACATGACAGCGCGTCACCCCGCGCATGGGCTCGGCTTGCTTCAGCCTAGAACTGTGAAGGCAGCCAACACCACCCGAGACAAATTCGATCGCAGTCCTACGGCGAAGACGACAATGCGCATTTTGTCCGCCGCCATCCCACTCGCCTCGTGATCTCTCCCTACCCAACCCCACAAACATGTGGTTCTTAGAGCACGAGAGCCTTTTCGGAGGCAAGCGCGTCTGGCTCCGCCCTGGGTCACAGCAACTGTTTGGTCGAACAAAGTCCGAAGACAAAGACGGACCGCAAGGAACCAATTGGAAGATAGACAACAAGGCCGTCTCGCGCAAGCATGTTATGCTGAAGGTTTACGATGCAGCACCAGAGGATGGCACGAAGCTTCACAAGAGGTCGCAAATTGAGGTGACCGACTTGAGTTGTAGGCAAGGAATTACGATCGACGATAAGACAACTGTAAAGAGCCAGAAGGCAGCCGACGGGTCGATAGAATACAGTCGTGAGACTTTGAAGGGCACTGAGCATACCATCAGACTGGCTGCTAGCTATGCGCCTTTCAGAATTGTCTGGCGCCCAGTCGTCTTCACGTATGCTTCAAAAGAGTCAAGAGAAAGCAAAATCAAAAGCGCCCAGTTACACGCCCTGGACATCAAGACCACAGCCGACTTCGTATTCAACCAGACCACTCACGTCGTATCCGCAAAACGGAACCTTCCCAAAGTCCTCTCGGGTCTCACCTCCGCCAAACATATTGTCACTACAGAATATCTCGATGCGGTCCTCGGAGTCGCAGCGCCATCGGTCGACGAAGACAACAATTACCTGCCTTCGAAGCTGGAACAGGACTTTGACGCATTTTGGCCAGCGGAGAAGGAATACATACCAGCAGCGGGCGCAGAACCGGTTGCGCGACCACGGGAGATGCTGTTGCCTGATTCGTCACGGTCAGAAACATTTTCAGGCTTGACCTTTGTGTTTCTGAACGAAGGTCAATACAGCAGTTTGCTGGATCCTGTCACTGGTGGAGGCGGTAAAGCACTACTATACGACATACGATTGGGCGAGACAACAATAGAAGAGTACGTCGACTACGTTTACAGCGTAACAGGGAAGAAGCGGCGCGGCAAACCTGGTGATAAGCTTCCCGTTATAACAGTGCGCTTACCAGCGTACCCTGACGAGATGGAAGAATGGGCCACAAACTTTGTCATTGGGGTCGATCAGGCCCTCGGTCAGCGCTCAGTCTTGCAGAATGAGTTTCTCGACGTAATCATCACGAAAGATCGCACCACCATACAAAGGCCGCCCGCAGAAGTGAATACTCCTGCACCTGTACCAGAAACTATGACAATTCGACGTTCCATGCGTCAACCAACACCAACGTCTGGATCCAGAGCACCATCGCAGGCTCCTGAAGAGAGCGCACCTCCGGCGGAAGAACCTGCAAAGACCGTTCCAAGGAAGCGCATACACCGACCTAAAACGAGCCGCTTTACCGGTTTTGACGATGACGACGAACCGCTTCCGAAGAAGAAGCTCAAGGTTGAGAGCACCCATATGGAACATGTTCAGCAATCTGAATCGCCTCCAGGGCCATCAAAGTCTGCCTCGCAAGCACGTACTACACTAGGCGCACAACGGGAAGCCTCTCCGCAATTACATGTACAATCAACGATTGAGAAAGAAGCGCAGATGGATACTCTGTTCCCTACCGCCGCTAGGATGAGGAAGCAGAGAGCGGCTACCCGTGCACCATCAGCATCTCTCGAGCCAGAAGAAGGGGGCTCTGTGAAGAAACCAGCGAAAAGAGGCGCGGAGACTCTTGCGCGGCTCAACAGAGCAGAGAAGAAAGCCGAGAAAGACATTGACATCCGTGAGCATACGCGTCAGCGCATCAAAGAAGAAGAGGAACGTCGTAAGGCGGATGAAGACAGTCTACGGGAAGCACTCGAGGGCATCAATATCACCGAGCTGAAGAATCTGGCCAAAGTGGAGGTGATGGACGTTTTACCCCGACAAAACAGAAGTGCGGCACGCAACCAAAGTCAGACCAACAGTGTGCGCTGGAACGACGAATGGAACGGTCGCAAAAACTTCAAGAAGTTCCGTCGCCGTGGTGCGGAACAAGGCGTCCAAAGCCAAAAAGTCCTCGTCACGCTTGAAGAAGCACCCTCCAAGAAGACACATGGTATCACCGAGGCCTTTTTCCTCGACGATCCTGAACCCTCTGGTCGCTCACACCATAGCCGACGCGGTCGTACTGCAGCACCCGACTCCGACTCGGAACCAGAAGTCGGTGGCTTCACTCGCAGAAAACGAACAACGCAGTCCCAGCCACAACAGGAAGTCATCAACGTTGAGGACAGCGGCCCAGACGATGAAGAAGAAGTTCTGGAACAGCGGACGCAGAGGAGTAGTGGGCGGACGCAAAGGGTTGTGGAGACGCAACTCGAAGGGACGCAAACGACACAAAGGGGAAAGAAGAGGAGTTCCGGGGCGACCGCAAGCAGCGGGCAGCCTGCTAGTAAGAAGGGGAGGTTTGCGAGGAGGGATGATGACAGCGACGATGAGGAGACAGGGTTTAGATTCAAGCGGAGGACCTAACACATTTTTGCTGTACCGATGTTTTCTCGATTTATATGTATGCGCGCATGATACCCTGGAAGGAGTGCAGCGATAGTGAGTTAGATATCAACTGCGTCGTTAATCGTGATATTTAAAAGCATTGTGTTGCCTTGCCCCAGCATGGGAACTCACTCCACCGCAGTAGACCTCGATTACCGGAAGCGAAGGATGCGTGTGTTTGAAGTGATTTTAATTCGTAATCTCATAGATAATGGTATAGCGCCCCAACGCCATCTGCCCGCTCATCGAGGTGGAACTTGGAAGCCGGGGTCTTCATTCAACTTCGTGCCATGTAGATATTCCCAGACTGTACCCAGTCCATCCGGCGCAGTACAAGCTTCCAGAGCTCCAATCGCCCCGCCCACTTTTCGCGGCGTTTCATTGTCCGCACACCGCGTCGCTGTGACCTGATCCTATTCGATATGGAGGCATCTATCGCTTGCGCTCGAAGTAGGAGCTGGAGCCGAAAAATGCTACACTCGAGTCCATGACTGTCTCGCCAACCCAGAGGTAGCTTTCAAACCACTTCTGGGCGCTGGGGTTCTCGCCGAATGTATCTGGCTTTACACTGGGACTGGGTTTAGCTTTAGCTCCGATCGTGTAGTTGTAGGGTACTTGTGAGATGGCCTGATATGGAGCGTGGAGAGGAGGATGTGGGTGGCGCTTAACGAGGGGGAGTGGGATGGGAGAACATACGTGAGGCCAGTCGAGCGTCGGACGCCGGCAAGGAAGGCGGATACTGAAGCAGTGTTAGCGATGGGTTGGGCAGGCGTGTTTCCAGTGCACGTACTTAATACCGCATCAAAGGCGTAATGTGCGACTTTGCCGAGCTGTTACTTGTGTGAGCTAGGGAGCATACGACTCGGTGGTCCGACCGACAAAGTAGTAGGCACCGTAGAGGAGTATGGTACATACAACCATGATGGGCGACTTTTTGGGCGGAAGAGGTGGCGGATCGGTATGGGGTGGTATGGGGCTGCTGGAGAGAGCGAGGCGACGGGTGTCTAGGGGCTTGTTGCGAGTGTGGATGGTGTTGTCGTGTGTTGTTGAGCGAAGGATGCGGGATGCGGTGTAGGGTGGAGGAGAGACCTAGTGTGGCTGGTGCCGCGACTTAGTCACTCGTCTGCATGTGATTGAGCTGGCACGCGACTCCAGGGCTCCCTTGTTTCTAGTCTAGAATACAGTACTGCTATCTGTGTGACAACTGCACCCGTTGATCGTGTTCATGTGTTCTCCATAATTATCTGGGTGCTACTGCGGCCAGGCTGTTTGTAGGCTGCCCCGGAGGCTCAGATAGGGCTGCTACCTGCGATCGTCTCCACTAATATGGAACTGGAGCATAATGTCGCATCAATGGGACCCTTCCCTTTGACCTCGGGCAAGCCATGCGGAGCAGTTGCGGGTGATTTAGGAGCGGACCCTACGACGTGCTGCACTTGGTATATAACAGGGCCTGCCGCGACGTAGTCCATGGGTGAAACTTTCTGGACCCCATGAACCTCCAAGAACACACCACCCATCTCCGCGCGGGTAACCCACTCTGAAAAATCGAGACACGCCAGCAGCCGGCCGCGCATTACCACAACTGCCCACTAGCCAGATACGCCCAGCGGGAACGCGGCGCCGAGATTTTCAATTGCTGTGCAAAAACAGTACACGTTTGACGGCTTATCTGGGCGGGATGTCTGGGTGCAATGATGCAGGAACGTGGGTGGAGTCGCAGAAGCAAATGGGTGTCACAATACTTGCCCATGGGACAGATTCAGCAGTACCGTCAGCAGATCGCTCGGCGCATAACGAAAGCCTTTTATTCAACCAAACCGTCTCCAGACCATTTCCTGACTCCAATCTGTTTCCAATTCTCATATCCAAACGGCCGCCGCTCAGGGTTGCAGCGCCCCACGTCGTACTAATCAGCATAACTAGCGCCTAGGCTAAACTGCCCCTCCAAAACGCGCTCAACAGCCAACAAAACTTCTAGCCCGTCGCAGTAGAAGATAAACCCCGTCGACCGCCATTTTTGAAGACACAATTTGTCCACCTCTCTTCCTCTTCACCAGCCGTCGCCAAACCCATTGGAGTTCTCTATAAAGACTCCTTCGACCGGCCCCGCACTCCGCGACAGCGACTCAGACTTTCCCCTCCACCACCTCTTCTCTCCAAAACACCGTCCACAAAATGGCGAACGCGTATGTAAATTATGATTTCTTAGTAAAGACTCGGGGCGGCTTCGCACGCTGAATTGTATGATTTACATCCAGAGCCAAACGCGCTGGAAAAGGTCTCTTCTATAGAGGCATACAATTCATAAAACACCCACTGACACCGCCACCAGTCTAGACCACCTCAACTCCGGCAGGACCAGGATCGAGTGGCTCAGCCAGCTCAACACTGAGTACACACCTGCACGGGAGTACCGAAGAACCTCCATCATCTGCACCATCGGTCCCAAGACAAACTCCGCCGAGAAGATCAACGCCCTCCGCAAAGTTGGTCTCAATGTCGTTCGCATGAACTTCTCCCACGGCTCCTACGAGTACCACCAGTCCGTCATCGACAACGCGCGCGAGGCCGAGAGAACACAACCCGGCAGGCCTGTGGCTATTGCCCTCGACACCAAGGGCCCCGAGATCCGAACTGGTAACACAGTCGGAGATGCCGATATTCCCATCAAGGCTGGCTCCATCATCAACATCACCACTGATGAGCAATATGCCACTGCTTGCGACGACAAGAACATGTACGTCGACTACAAGAACATTACCAAGGTCATCGCACCTGGCCGCACAATCTACGTCGACGACGGTGTCCTCTCATTTGAGGTCATTGAGGTCACAGACGACAAGACACTCAAGTGCAAGTGCGTCAACAACGGCAAGATCTCGTCCAGGAAGGGTGTAAACCTGCCCAAGACCGACATTGACCTTCCCCCGCTATCTGAGAAGGACAAGGCCGATCTCAAGTTCGGTGTCAAGAACAAGGTCGACATGGTCTTCGCCTCGTTCATCCGCCGTGGAAGCGACATCACTGCTATCCGCGAGGTGCTCGGCGAGGAGGGCAAGGACATCCAGATCATTGCCAAGGTTGAGAACCAGCAAGGTGTAAACAACTTCGACGAGATTCTGAGGGAGACTGACGGTGTCATGGTCGCTCGTGGTGACCTTGGTATCGAGATCCCACCCAGCCAGGTCTTCATCGCTCAGAAGATGATGATCACCAAGTGCAACATTGCCGGCAAGCCCGTCATTTGCGCAACTCAGATGCTCGAGTCCATGACCTACAACCCACGTCCAACCCGCGCTGAAGTCAGCGACGTCGGTAACGCTGTTCTCGACGGTGCTGACTGTGTCATGTTGTCTGGAGAGACAGCAAAGGGTGACTACCCCGTAGAGGCTGTCACCATGATGCACGAGACTTGCCTGCTCGCAGAGGTCGCTATCCCATACGTCAACGCTTTTGACGAGCTAAGGAAGCTGGCTCCCGTCCCATGCCCTACCACTGAGACGTGCGCTATGGCAGCTGTCAGTGCCAGTCTCGAGCAGAACGCCGGTGCCATCTTGGTCCTGACAACAAGGTAAGTTCATTGACATCTTGTACACCTGTGATTCTAGGTTCTAACGTGCATTAGTGGTACCACCGCCCGCCTTGTCTCCAAGTACCGCCCCGTTTGCCCCATCATCATGGTTACCCGCAACGAGATGGCCGCTAGGGTGAGTTTCTTTTTCTCTTGTGCACAAGGATTCCTAGGCTAACTTCTGCAGTATTCCCACTTGTACCGCGGCGTATATCCATTTTACTTCCCTGAGGCGAAGCCAGACTTCAAGACTGAACCATGGCAGGAGGATGTTGACCGCCGTTTGAAGTGGGGAATCATGAACGCCATCAAGCTCGGTGTTCTCAACAAGGGCGATCCAGTCATTTGCGTACAAGGCTGGAGAGGAGGTATGGGCCACACCAACACACTCCGCATTGTCCCCGCACAGGAGGACCTTGGCCTTGACCAAGACGCGTGAAGGTAGGGTTGGAGCGGAGACGTGCGGTGCTTAGATAGAAGGTGTGGAGTGCGCTGCATGAGGCGCATATACATGACTCGTTTTCGCAAATGACGGTCTGGCGCATAGGGACACAAGATTAGGTGTAAACACTAGCGGATCAAGCGAACTCTTTAATGACCACCTCTTCTTATGATTTCGAGTGATCGTCGCATGCTAAGCCGAGACAAAGACAAAAGTGATATCCCACTGCAAGGCGGCACAACAAGGCATCCAAGGGTGAAATCGTCCGTGCGCCAGCAACACTAGCCTTCTGTACACGATGGTGAGTCCGACGCACAACCCTACCACAACCCACGATGGACATATCTGCGCTAGTAAATCACGATGGGGAAGCATCGGTGCTACCGCGCCGTTCACTCTCCAATCCCCAATCACTCTTCTCATCCTCCCCCGTCACTCCCGCCGCAAAGATACCGACGCCTAAACCCAGCCAGAAGCAGATGTCGCTCAAGCGGAAGCGCCATGACCCCAAGCCGATATGGGCCTATCGTGAAGGCGAAGAACTCCCGCCTGAGCTCAAGCAGCTGCAAGAGCAACAACGCCAACAATCACGTCCGCCTCCACCTGTCATAGCCCAGCCGCAGCCGCATGCGCAAGCTATACCGTCGCATCACCCGCCGCCTCGACCTCAACCTTCACCCAACGCCGAGCGCAACGGACACGCGCCGAGCGAAACCGGCGCGCCTCCCCCAGCAGTCGGTGTTCCCGGACTCACAGGCTTCGAGCGACCCATCTCAGACGATGCGCAAATCTACGATGACGTCTCGCGCAACGTATGCGACTTCATATGGAACACGGCTGTCAACAACGAAACAGTGCGCAACGCCATCGTGGATCCAAAGGTGCAGCTCGAGGTCGAAGCACGCTGGGGTCAGATCCTAGAGAAAACGACGAACCAGCGAATACGCGGCTTCTGGCGCACCGAAACCGTCATAAACACCGAGATGCTAGAAGTCAAGTTCGAGAGCACTATGACTGTTCAACAACATAAGCGTATGAACATGTACCTCAACACGCAGGTCCAACATTCCAAGACATCTGGAAGTCCACGTCCCACGATCGACTATAGACATACCTACGAGACGGACATTTTTTATGAGCTCGACCAGGACGGCTTTTCCAAGTTGAACCCTATAGTCCAGCGCCTCATTAGCGCATCTGGAAGCCGGCAGAAAGTCCGTGTGACGCGCGATATGAAGACGGGCGAGTTCCTACGAGCCATCATAAAACACCGAATAGGCAACCTCGAAGTCAGCTCTCCCAAGACGGAGTGGGACTACCGCATCGGCATCAACCTCGAAATCGACTTTCCGGGTCCAATCGAGAGCCTCAAGCCCGCTCTGGAAGGAGGAAAGACACTGGAGAGTATGCAGCGGCAAAAGGATCGCATGTCGTACTCGTGGCTGGGCGCGTACCAAGTCGATCTGACCCAGGTCACGCAGGGAACCAGCAAGAACCACGAGCTAGAGCTCGAACTGGACTCTGGTATTCTCATCGCAGAGGCGGACAAAGTGAGGCGGAAGGAGGTGACCAAGTTTGAGAGCTTGATCAACGGTATGATGAATAATCTGCGGGTTCTGTCGCGTGAAATCACGCCTCCTGTTCCCGGTGCGTAGACAGGAAAGCGCTGGAGAAGGAGCTTGTATTACTACTACTACTACTATCATTATTATTTCTAAACGGCGTTGAACACCCGGAAGCATACAAGGGCTCAGCAGCATGGAGTGGAGTTTACACATTCAAATCAAGATACCCAATTCTCGCTACGTTGTATTACATCTGATGATTGACATGAAGCCTGACATGAATCTAATCATTTATAAACCAACAAGCTCCCGAGGCTTGTTCGCTGCAGACACCTGTGTGCTGCATAAACATGCAGACTGTTATCCGAACTGTGCAATGCTAATGACGTGGAATGTCTGCCTAGGTAGAGCTTATCGTGGGTGATGCGCAAGTAGCGTATTATGTCATGCTGAAATGGACCAGGGTCGCCGCTTCCGAAACTCACGAGCTACTGTTTAGACCATCACGTACACGATTCCCCGAACATCACAACGGCGCCACGCCATCCCCCCATCAGCCGCCCACCCTCATCTTCTCGTCCCTCTTTCACTGCGACCGTCACTATAGAGTCCGACGCAGCACCGCCTCAGATTATCCTTTAACCCCAGGCAAGCCCGCAGGCGCCACAGCGCAGCTCTATACGCTTCTACCCACTTCCGCAGCAACAGCTCCCACTCTCACCATAACCGCCGACGGCCATTCAACAACACCAGGCCACACGTCGCCCCCGCCAGAAACAACACAATGGTTGGCCTCACGTCCGCCGCCGGTGTCGTCGGCTTCCTCTCGGAGCCAGACCCGGCCCTGCGCTCATTCGCCCTCCAGCGGCTGAACGAGGAGATTGACCTGCTGTGGCCAGAGGTCGCGGGCTCTGTCAGTCAGATGTAAGAAACCCAGCGGAGCTTCTACGCGCTCTCGTCAGCCCATCACCACCGGAGCAGCTGCTAACATGGGTGCGTCATAGTGAGGCTCTCTACGAAGACGACTCGTTTCCCGAGCGAGAGCTTGCCGCTCTAGTAGCCGCAAAGGTGTACTACCAGCTGCAAGAGTACAATGAGAGCATGGTCTTCGCACTGGGTGCCGGCAAGCTCTTCGATATCCACAAGGCCGCCGAGTTCGAGGAGACAATACTGGGTAAGACAACACGGACACCTGAGCCTTCCAATCAGCTCACGACTACTTCCATCTTAAGCTGAAGCAGTGGATTCATCGTACTTGGAGCACAATCGGCTAACTTGCTTTTTCCAGCAAAGTGCTTAGATACCTACATCGCGCTGTCTGTCATGCACAACCCACCTACACCGGTCAGCAAGGCGAGCCAGGCCCCGCTGCAACTCAGCACATCGTTCTCTGCGAGTGCAGCAGGAGGTGCCAGCACTTCAGCTAGTCTGGCCTCTCCGATAACGCCCTTCTCACAGTCCGCGCTACCCTCCAAGTCACTTCTCTCTAGGGAAGATTCGTCGACATTCGATCCTACTCTCCCAGGAGGAGGTAATGCTGGCGTACCTGGAGCACATCCCACCCCGATGGTGTTACAGCGAAATGTCCAGAAGAACCTCCACGACACTGTGCGACGAATATTCGAGAGCTGCTACCAAAGCGGCAACTACAAGCAGGTCGTAGGAATCGCCATTGAGGCACGGAATCTTGAAGTTTTGAAGGAGTCAATCATCCGCGCGAGCCAAGATGGAAAGAAGCAGGGCAAGAAGCCTGCACAGCCTTCTGCACAGAGCGAGGATTTGATGGAATACGTCCTGGACATCTGCATGAATGTGGTGCAAGAGCGAGGCCTGAGGAACGAGATTCTCCGCCTGATCTTGGATCTCCTCAACGATCACCAAATCCCGAATCCCGATTACTTCTCTATTGCCAAATGTGTAGTGTACCTCAACCAGCACTCACTCGCTTCAAAGCTCATCCGACAGCTGATCGAGCGCGGCGACGACAAGTCTCGCGCAGTCGCATACCAGATCTCGTTCGACCTGTACGAGAATGGCACACAAGAGTTCCTCACAAAGGTCATGGAGGAGCTGCCAGAAGCCGAGAACGAGGAGCAAAAACCTACGGAAGCAGGCAAATCAGACTCTCTGCTCGCAGACGTGGACACTAGCAACTCGAAGGGCGACCAGCCGAGTGAAGATCAGATCAAGGTCTTCAACAATGTTCGCTACATCCTTCGCGGAACCAAGAGCATTGAACTGAACCTTGAATTCCTTTACAGAAACAACCGTACAGACAAAGCCGTGCTGAACAAGGTCCGCGACAGCTTGGAGGCCAGGAACTCCATATTCCATTCCAGTGTCACATTTGCGAACGCCTTCATGAATGCTGGCACTACTAATGACACATTCTTCCGCGAGAACCTGGAATGGTTAGGAAAGGCAGTGAACTGGTCCAAGTTCTCCGCAACCGCTGCTCTGGGTGTCATCCACCGCGGCAACATCACACAAGGCCAGAAGCTTCTTGAGCCTTATCTTCCCAAGGACAGCGTTTCGTCAGGCTCTCATTATGAGCAGGGTGGATCATTGTACGCTCTTGGTTTGATCTACGCCAATCACGGAAGCAATGTTCTTGATCTGCTACTCAAGCAGTTCCAGAATGCATCTGAGGAGGTCATCCAGCATGGCGGTGCGCTCGGTCTTGGTGTCGCTGGTATGGCCACTGGCTCCGAGGAGATCTTCGAGGCGTTCAAGAACGTTCTATACACAGACTCGGCCATCAACGGTGAGGCTGTCGGTCTCTCAATGGGTCTCGTCATGCTCGGCACTGGTAACATCAAGGCACTCGAAGACATGATCCAGTATGCGCATGACACCCAACACGAGAAGATTGTTCGTGGTCTTGCCATGGGTATGGCACTTATCATGTACGGTCGACAAGAGGCTGCCGATGAGCTCATCAACGGGCTCCTTGACGACCCAGACCCGACTCTGCGCTACGGAGGTATCATGACCATCGCTTTGGCGTACTGTGGTACAGGTAGCAACAAGGCCGTCCGGAGGTTACTCCACGTTGCGGTTAGTGATGTAAGCGACGACGTACGAAGAGTTGCAGTCATGAGCTTGGGCTTCATCCTCTTCAGGAAGCCAGGCAGTGTACCCCGCATGGTCGAGCTTCTCGCAGAGTCGTACAACCCACATGTGCGCTACGGAGCCACCATGGCTCTTGGTATTGCATGTGCCGGAACTGGCCTTCCCGAGGCTGTAGATCTGTTGGAGCCCATGATGAAGGACTCAACCGACTTCGTCCGACAAGGCGCTTTGATTGCGTTGGCCATGATCATGGTGCAACAAAATGAGGCGATGAACCCCAAGGTAGCGTCTATCCGAAAGCAGCTTGCCAAGGTTGTCAGCGACCGCCATGAGGATGCTTTGGCCAAGTTGGGTGCTGCTCTAGCTATCGGTATCATTGACGCTGGAGGCCGGAATTGCACAATCGGCCTGCAGACGCCGACTGGTAACTTGAACATGGCCGCTATTGTCGGCATGGCTGTCTTCACGCAGTACTGGTACTGGTTCCCTTTGACTCACTTCTTGTCATTGAGCTTCACATCTACTGCAGTCATTGGTCTAGACCAGGAGCTGGAGATTCCGTCGTTCAAGTTCCACAGCAACACGAGGCCAAGCACGTTCGATTACCCACCAGATGCAGAGGTCAAGGCTGAAGAGGCGCCCGAGAAGATCAAGACCGCCGTTTTGTCCACAACCGCTCAAGATAAGCGACGACGAATGGTGAAGGAGCGCCAAAAGCGGAGGGAAAGCATGGACGTGGATCATACTCCTACCACACCTAAGCCTGCAGACGACGATAAGATGGACGTCGACGAGGATCCTAAGAAGGAAGATGGTGAGAAGGCCGATGGTACCCAATCCGTGGAGCCAGCGAAGAAGAAGGAGAAGGAGAAGGTTGGCTATGAACTGGAGAACATGTCGCGTGTACTGCCGCCACAAGTGAAGTACATCAGCTTCCCAAGCGAACGATATGTACCAGTGAAGAAGGTTAGTAGCCGACATACCACATGGAAGACGCCTAGGCTAACATACTCTCAGCCAACTCTCGGTGTCATTCTTCTCACAGACACCAAGCCTTCAGAACCAAAGACGCTCCTGGAGCTCAAGGTAAAGAAGGCCGTGCCTGCCCCTGCCCCTGGCGCGTCGGGTTCCTCGGGAGATCAAGGTCCAGAAGGCGTATCAGTAACAACTGCTGCAGCGCCGGTCAGCGACAACATGGTGGATGAGGGTGAGGCCGAAGCGTCGACGCCGGGTGAGTTTGTCTACGAATCGGACACGAACCCAGACGACGACGAATAGACGACGCCGACGGTCACGATAGTGAGCGGTCTATGCTATCAGCCCAGCCTATTGGGGTTTGGAAATGGGACACAGTGGAGGAGAGTTTTTGCATTCGCCATAGGTTATAGGGAGGCTTGTAGAGCCACCTTTCCCCGTAAGCTATTTTAGACTAGGATGCATGTATAATAGCCAGAGAAGAGGGTTCATCACTTTGATACTGAATGATCTTCTGGCTTGCTTGAGTTGGTGACGTGATGTTGTTAATGTTGATCTTCTAGGATCTTGCATGGAACAATATACGAAGGATCAGACGACCATGAAGATCCACGGTTCTCTAAGAAACCGCTGGAACATATGCCGGCAGTGGAAGGTGGGACGGCAATATGAATAGATTGATGGGCCTGCAGTGGCAGTGGCGAGTGGAGCTGAAACGCAGAATTACGACAGTAGACTGAAAGTAGCCATTCCGGAAGAATCCACTGGCCAAGAGCTTGATGATTGTGAATGTGATTTATTGCTAACAGCGTTTCTTCGTAGAGGGAGTGGGCGTTGGTACGACGGTGTTCTGGATGGTGTGCGGGTCGCACCTCCCCTGCGTTCCCCGGATTCTTCGGTCCGCTAGCTTGGTTTGCGGGTGGAGAGGTGCGACAAGGGCTGTCTTCTAGACTTCACCTTGCGCAAACATCAAGATTGGCGACAGCGAAAGCAACAACGGGAAACTTGTACCGCAGAATTCAGAGTATCTTGCTCGCTTCTCGTTCTCACACTGCAGCGCGCAAGGGTTCATGATGATGCACTGATCGCCGCCTGTGTGAAAAGGTCAGGCAAGCATTGCGAAGCGAAGGATTGCGGCATGGTACGAAGGAGAACGAGCGATAGGCGGCCTAGTGGTTGCCACGCTTCCGACCGTCTCAATTTCGGACTCTACTGAGTAAGGAAATACATCCATTCGGTACAAAGTACCTTTCCACCAACACGCCAAATGCATGCCTCCACCAACACCACGCCAGCCATGTACACAGTCAGATGGTGGAGCACTATGGGACATACGATAAGCTACATGTTCTCTGACAGCGGGCGAAATGGCCATCACAATTCTCCAAGCCTCTCATCTTACCTATCACCCTGGGCATCCAATCGTTTCTTGCTCCAGACTTAAGCGAAGCCGCAGGTCTGCAAATACCCGGTCATCATGCGCCTGCGGGACGTCCTTGCACTGTGCCACATCCATGCGGGTCTGCACTTTAAGAATGGGTACGTATAGTCCACGTCCTCTTACTGGCGAGACGATCTGGATCCTTTGGTCGCGTGGATGGGCAATTGAATATATTACTGTGCCTTGCCTCTCCGCTCGCAGCTCCGCGGTCCTGCTTATACGGTACTAATGTGCAGGTCATGCTATCCGTTACCTCGGGATTGAGGACGACGACGACAACAACTTCATTATTCAACCCGTTTGATTGACGTTGCGAACTTCGACAATCGTATTGTCTGTGAGGATCGCGCAAGTTGGTCAGCAATATGGATCACCGCCACAAGAGGGATATATATACTTCGCATACGGAGCGTAGTAGCTCGACGCAGATTCGCCAGGTGCAGAATGTTGCTTTTGCCGATGCAACGGCCAAGGCTAATGTTAGGCCATGGACAAAGGCTATGTTCAAGGTATGATGATACACGTTCTGTAAGAATGTTATTGACGATGCAATAGCTGTATCTCTGCCTCTTCATCGCCACACTAAACTCTTGCATCAATGGATACGATGGATCGCTCATGGGAGCCATCAATAGTTACCCTCAATACCGAGCGTATTTCGGCTTTGACCCCCACGAAGGAACCCCCACTACTGGAATTGTCTACGCCATATACACTATCGGAAACCTTGTCGGATCATTCGTCGCTGGTCCGGCTACAGACTTCAGGGGAAGAAAATGGGGAATGTGCATTGGTACTTCGATCATCATTCTGGGTGCCTGCATTCAAGCAACATGTGTCAACCTTGGTGGTTTCATGGGTGGTCGCTTCGTCCTCGGTTTCGGCGTCGCCATCACGTCGACTGCCGGTCCTGCCTACGTATCTGAGATGGCACATCCATCGTACCGCGGCGTCTGCACAGGTATCTTCAACACCTTCTGGTACGTCGGTGGTATTCCAGGCTCGTTCGTTCCATACGGGACCAGCAATATTCCCGGCACCCCGTCCTGGCGTATCCCGCTATGGCTCCAGATGATCTTCGCCGGTACAGTCTTTGTCTGCTCGCCGTTCTTGCCAGAAACTCCTCGGTGGCTCATCGCCAACGACAGACATGAAGAAGCGCTCGACACCATGGCACGCTTTCATGGTGAAGGGAACCGCGACTCACCCATCGTCAAACTGGAATACAAGGAAATGGTCGAAGACATTAGCGTCACAGGCTCCGATAAGCGCTGGTGGGACTACCGCGAGCTTTTCAACTCACGCGAAGCCCGCTACAGAACCAGTCTTGTCGTTTGCATGGCGTTCTTTGGTCAATGGTCTGGAAACGGGCCTGTGTCTTACTATTACCCTACCATGCTCCAAGGCGCTGGTATCAATAACAACCACACTCGACTCCTATACAACGGCATGCAAAACGTCGTTTCCTTTGCCGGCGCAATATTCGGTGCTGTCTATACAGATTCCTGGGGCCGACGCCCTCAGCTCCTTGTCTCGACTGCGCTGCTCGTTGGCGTGTTTACCATAGTCTGCGCACTCGTTGCTACAAATCTCCAAACAGGACCGGATGGGAAGTACATATACGATAAGAAGAGCGGGACGCCTTTGATCAAACGACCGGGACAGGCGAGAGCGGTGATTGCGTTTGTCTTCATCTGCGGATTCATTTACTCAACGGGGTACACGCCGTTGCAGCAGTTATATCCCGTGGAGTGTCTGCGGTACGAGAGTAGAGCAAAGGGAATGGCGTTTTACAACTTCTGGGTCAACATTGCCAATTTTTATAATACTTTTGTTACGGGGATCGCGTTTTCAAAGGCCGGATGGAAGGTATGTTGTTTACTTTGTCGTTTCCCGCTTACCTTGAGGTCAACACCCACTAACTTGAAGTGCTCTACTAGTACTACTTGCTGTTTATATTCTGGGACATATTTGAATTCATCATCATTTACTTCTTTTTCGTCGAAACTCGACGCCGCACCCTCGAGGAGATCAGCGAGATCTTCAACGCAAAGAAACCCGTCCAACATTCTTTGAACAAAACACGCATCATTGTACATGGGAACGGGAGAGGAGTAACAGAGATGTTGGATAAAGAGGAGATGGTCATGGAGAGAGATTTTGGTGTCGACACGGATCTGCCAAGAGGACGAAATGGAGAGAGGAGAACGAGGGACTCGGCGGGCAGTGAGGGTAGGCTTGTGAGCCAAGAGTCTGTGAGGGAGAGTCTGAGGGATAGAGTTATGGATCCGGGGAGAGGGAGTGCAGAGACTGGAGGGAGAGGGTATGGAAGGTATGAGACGAGTGGTTGGGAGGAGGACAGTGGAAAGAGGTATTAGAGCGTGTAGACCACAATACTTATGAATGTATTTCATTTCCACAATGCATGGTTTATCAGACTGTTTCATCGACCCAAGGAAGCAAAGTGTTGAATGACTGGTGTACAGAGCTCACTTCTAACATGGTGCGATCGTGCTCGTGCACTGGTAAAACATGTTGACAATACAACGCATATGATTAGGTATCTCTCTACTGCTAGCAACCTTTCGTACATCGCTATCCAAGTATATGCTTCCCTCACTGCTCATGTGTACCCACAAACCTCGGCGGCAGATCCAAGTCCCAGCTGGGCCTTTCCACAAGCACCACCTCGGGTGCAGAGAAACTGTCATCGGCGCTAATTGGCACAATACCCAATATGGGACGGTACTTGAATGTGTGCCACCATGGCTCGTTCTTTTTGCTTTGCTCCACTTGTCCAACTTCTCCGCCTCCGTTGACTTGGTCTTCTTCCGTCTCTCCGTTTGTCTGCTCACCATCTTGCGTGTTAGCCCTACGTAGAGTGGCGAGAGGCTGAACGGTGTCTTCCATGTCATCATCGTCTTCAGCATCAGCCTTGCGATTGACAGCGTGGACGTCAACCCATTTTCGCTTCGCAGCGTTGTCGGCGGCATCGTTTTGGAACTTGCGCATCTTGGTGACTGGTGCCTCCTTTTGAGGTACTGCATCACCAGCACCGCTGTTGTTCTTGAGGGCATCGCGCTTCCGCTTCTTTCCAGCGTGTTCGGCGTCTGAAATTGAGAAATCTTTCGTGAGGTCGAACATGAACAGCCACTTCTCGCCATAGAGCCACACCCGTTGTTGGGATTCCGTGACGTCCCAGATGCAACCCTTCGCGGGAAGGTCGAGCTGTTTGTATTCGTGGGGATAGCTGGATGTTGGGTTCCGTCTTGACCATTCTGACAGGCGACTGGACATGACATCGAAGAGGTAGAGCTGGTGTTCCGCAGAGACCAACAGTAATCGGTAGTCCGTAGTAGGTAGCTCGTGTGAGTGGGGGTGGGGGTTGTTTCTTGTGGGGTGTACAGCAGGGTTGCCATTGGGCTCCGGCTGGTTTGAGGCGTCTAAGCTGGGCTGGAAAGAGAGCAGAACAGGCGTCGAATCCAATTGGGGAAGTAAGTGACCACTTGGATTTCGTATCCAGTGCTGACCCAGGTATGTTATCTGTTCGCTCGTTTGTTCTTCGTCGTCGTCAGATCCATCGTCATCATTGGCAGCAGGAGTAGCATCGTCAATGTCGATTTCAGGTGCAGCTGTGTCCTCATGCCCTTCAACGACCCACGTATCAATGTAGCCTGCCAGATCGACCACAGCGAAGACGTTACCATCCGCGGAGAAGTCGGCATGTGTGATTGATCGCTCGTAAGCTCCCGAGGGTCCGCTAAGAGGGCTCTGTGTAGTGACGTCGCGATCGACTCGGTAGAGAGGCTGTACTTTCTCCAGTGCGCGAGGCGGGTCTGCCGGGTCATCTGTCCGTACCACTCTGACCAGCTGAACTTCGTCGGTCGCCGTGATAGCTGCTAGCCATTTACCATTTGAGGCCAGCTTGAGAGTCTTTGCGCCAGCAATGGAAGGCATCTCGAGTCTGCGCACACGCAAAGCTTGTCCAGCTCCAGCCAGATGTAATAGATGAAACAACTTTACTGTGCTGGCTGTCGCAACGGCAAGAAGACCACCATCTCTGGAGATGGACACCGATATGATGTTCTCTTCTCCCTGAAGAGCAAGGCGTGCAACGACCTTGGGCTTCTCCGTACCGTCATCTTGAGGCTTGACACGCCATATCCGTACTTCTGTGCCCCACCAGCTCACCAGCAATCTGGCCTCTGGGGCGCTTGCTAGGGGCGGAGTAGGAGGCAAAGCAGGGAGACCACGGCTAAGCTCCTTGCCGAATGTGCGGATGGGGACAACAATGGGCTGGGTATCAATACCTAAAAGTTTGCATGTTAGACATGTGCTGTGAAGATGCGCATATGTACGTACCTCCTGTGACCACCACGCTAAGGTTGTTGCCCTCATATGTTGTCATAGCTTTAACGTCGTGTTCGTGGTACCTCTGGTGCGACACCTTTCGCCATTTTCCGCTCTGTCCTTGGGATTGTCCCTTCTTGCTCGTATAGAAACAGGTACGGCGATCCATGCCTGCACTGAAGATGCTGGTTCCGTCGCGCGTCACAGCGAGATCGAGCACATCGGCTTCATGCCCAGATATCCTCTGCGTTTGACTGTAGTTCTTGCCGCTGTAGATGCGGATGTCGCCAGTAGAGTCTCCTGACACGAAATCGCCGTTGGAAAGGCACTTGACCTTCCATACCAGGATTTCCTTAGGTCCACCGTGAGGACCGCTTCCCAAAGAAATGTTCCGAATCACATTTCCGTTCCTCGTATCGAAGACTCGAATCATGCTGTCGGCAAAACCTGCCAGAACCGTGTGCTGATCCTTGTATGCGATGCTGAGAGCACGCGCCTTCTTGTTTGTGGCGCGGGATACGAAGCGCTCGAAAGTGAGATCGTTATCGTCGGTAGACAGAAGGACAATAGTACCGTCGGCGCAGCCTGCAACAAGCTTCTGGCACGCACCGCTCGCGTTCTTCCTGGGCTGTGCAGCAAAGCACCAGACTTCACTATGGTTACCGTCTGAGTGCCGCGCTGGAAGACCCGTGGTGAGATCCCATTCTGTGACACTGCTTGAGTATCCGATGCTGAACAGTCGCAGACGTCCGGGCACCACCTTGCCATGCGCATCGCGTGAATTTGGCTCTTGGGTCCAAGCCAGCCCTTCGACGCTCCGATCCTTGCCGCCATAGAAGACCTTCTCTTGAAGCCACGAGCCTCTTGCGGGGTTCCATATCTCAATGTTTCCATTTGCGCGTCCAATCGCCAGCCTCAGAGAGTCAGGATCCTGCTGTCCATGTTCGGGTTCCGGGTGCGAGAAGGCGAGCGCGTTGATCGCAGACGGCGGGTAAGGCACGAAGCGGGATCGGTGGATATCCATGGTCGATAGTGGGATGATTATCGAGCGGTAGGATATGCGGAGCTGTGCGAACGTCTACGGGGTGAGCGCTAGCATTACAATACGACACTCATTGCTGCGGAAGAGCTCAGTCGCGAACTTCTCTCGAACTCTTGGCGAGCCGACTTTGACTTTTCGGTGGGTCCGTCGGAGCTCGGGGAATGTTTCTCCGACATCAAGACGACCTCCGCATCACCTCCGCACCGTCTTGCAATGCTTCAGACAGGAATGGCATCTGCACGTTGGCAATATCTTTCACCAAAGGCAGCTATCTGTTTGCACACTCACAAACAACCGTATGATATATTTTCAATCGTCCGATACTGCCCGTTCTCCACGTCCTGCGCTCTCGTGTCCCTCGCTTCGATCCACCCCTTCGCAGACGCCAGAACCGGTCCGTCCAGTTATAAAGCACGATGAGCGTCATTGAGCAGTAAACATACACACAAGCGAACACGGTCGGATCTCTTAACCCAGGAGAGAGGCATGTTGGGCAACAAGTTCCGCCTATGCGTCCAAAGGTGCTTAGAGGTGTGAAGTGCACTGCTTCGTGATGACAAGGTGGACATATGTACGACTACTCGAATTCACCTCTACAAACTTGGAGCGAATAATTCTCTACAGTACCAGGCAGTCCTCTGAGAGACAGGTTTCTTGCATATGCTAGTATGAGGAAGGCGGACGTTCACAGTTGGACTCGCCTGCGAGATAAGCACTATGCATATATTCGTCGTGAGTTGCTTGACATGTGTCTTTGACGGAGCTCTAGAAAGTATCGCGAGGATGGATTTCGATGCTGGGTGCTGTAACCGACAGAATATCCACTATTTCATGCCCATGGACGCATTATAGTGCTTGCGCAGGCTGTGTACTTGCAACATTTTGAACTGCACAATACTGCAGTTAGAATTCGCCAAGACATCATGATGGTGTGGCCTTATGAAAAGACAAAGTGATTACAGTCCTGTGCTCGAAGCGAGGTGTTGCGTTTAATTCGCTGATTGACCGTTGACCTATTGTTCCGGTGGTCTAAATCCGCCTCGTCTTCTGACAAGCCACTTGTTGGAGAATGCTCCGGCGGTACCGCGCGAGTCAAGACTAGCTTTGCTGGTCCACGTGCGGACCGAACTCAATGTTCCAATACTCACGTCATGAAGAAACCGTTTGCAGAAGCGTTGGCGAGTTGACGCTGATCGGGAAAATGCATCCCTTCGCACTCCGGCGGAGGGGGGCTGCCAAATCTCATTGTTGCGCCGCAACGGTGTTGGGTTCTTTTTCGGTTGAGGGATTGGCAAAGCTTTGATAAGATGGTTTTGATTGAAATTCGAAATGTCCGTTGCGCAATAATAGCAACATGAGGATCTCCAGGGGCTGACGAAGGATGTTGAATCCCGCCTATGCCCAGGTATTGGGTTGAACCGAGACGAGCCTCAGGCCTAGTCTTTTCAAATGGTTTCATGGTACATGATGGTGGACTGCGAACCATAAGTCTGCGCGTACGCGGTGCGCGTCTGACGCGAACGCCCCAGGGGCCTTACAAGACCCAAGACGCGCTGAGAAGCAAATATCGGGTTGATCTCGCAATTGAAGCAGAGGTCGAACCTTGGAAATTTCAAAGCGAGAGCTTGGACCGTCAGGCGGGGTATGTTGTTATTGCGGCGGGCCTCATTGTCCGTGGAACACAAGTCAGTGATGCCGTGCGAAAAGACTGGTTGCAACAGACTGGACCCGTTGCTGCTCACGGTGCTTGGTGCAGAAGCGCATGTTGAATATTGAAACATGCAGTGTGGTCCCGCAGCCACAGCCAGAGACGTTGAAAAGTTTGCTCATCGCCGTCGTGCAAGCATGCACAGATCTTCTGACAAGTGCATGCAGTGCCCAGGTAACGCCTTTAAGCGATGAAGCCGAAGATTAGCATGCTTCTATGACGAGTCGCATGTAGTACCGGGTCGCTGTCCTGCGGGCCTCGGCGCACCGTTGCTGAGGCAAGCAAGAGACCTTTGGTCATACCGACAATCTTTGTCTTCATCAGATCCGCTTGGTTAAGAAAATTCCGGAGCAAATTTGCTGACAATGAGCTGGTTGTGAAGATCGGCCCACTTGAAAGAAGTCCAGCGCCGTGAGAGCGTCCGACCGAGGCTGCTGTGCACGGAGTCAGATCAGAAAATAGCCTGGATCCTTTAAGTTTTGTCGCGTGCGCACAGCTCAAGTACTTTAAGACGCGTTTCCTCGCGACTGTGACATAATGCCTGGAACCCGGACGTGCTGAGGTGCATTGGTGGCTGGCGATGGTACAGTTGCGGATGTCGGGTGGCCACTAGCTGCAGCAGCGACGTGAAGCAAGATTGTTAGAGCAAGATTGAATGCGGAGTTGCCGGGTTAGCATCTTCCTTTTTTACTCAGATGATGAACGCCAAAGATCACGCTAGGATTCGTCGTCGCGAGAGACGATGGGCCCAGCCGCCTGTCAATATCCCAAGCCGAATCACATTGAGTCTGTTGAACAAGTTGCGAAACGCGTGCATGGCGATGCGGTTGGACGGGGAAGCTAGGTAGGTTTGGCAGGTGAACTATCGGCAACAGGATGATCTCGATAGACTTGGTCACTCACCACGATCTTCAATTTAGTTGTGGAGTTCGGCCGTATATGCTTGCACGACGTGGAGACGGTTGTTACTGTCTGATGCGGCCGCGCAGAGCTGAGGCTCACTAGGTCGGAGGCGCACCTTCCTTACTCAAGATAACACACATGCATGAACGCGTCTCTACGCACAATGTTTGCGTCAACTTGCAACATCAAGCCGCTGTCAGAAGTGATTCCAAGGTTCGTTTGCATGCGGCACGACCGGACCTCGTAATAGAGGGATAGCTCATATAAGCAAACCCCGCCATAAATCCCGCCGGTCAGCAAGGGAAGGTCAACTCCGGAGTATGGCTGATTTCTAGAAACTATGCAGTGGAGGCTTGCCAGACTCACGGACTCGGCCACAGTAATTAGGAGAATTGGCAATCTTACCAACTATCTTAGGCTCCGACACACGCGTTGCTAGTCGACGCTACTAAACACGTGGATCATCGGGTCAAGTGCACTAGAAGCTACTATCGTCGAAACACCACGGGCATTGCGAAACGATGAGTCCAACGGTCGGCCTTGAGGCTTCAGTATGAGGTCTGTGTTGCACAGCGAATGTCGTGCCAGGGTCCCCTTTTTGAGTAATCTACCATGCAGACCAACGTGAGCAGAGCGCGTCCATGAGTCTCCAAAATTTACTCCTGAGTTTCTGAGATTTGCCATGTGGACCTCCGGGGAGCATGACGCCGTTGTCGAGGACGCGCGACCAGAGCGTACTTGGGCAGACTCGCAGACATGGCGGTGCGACGCGTTGCCGGGATGCAACGTGCCGACAGGCGTCTTCTGCTGCTTTGTTCAGCTCCAACAAAGGAGGAGTAGTTCAGCCTCTCCTAATCGTCTAATGATGACATGACCTCAGCTTCCTATAGCATGTCAGGGGAACCACGACTCTGGTGCAGGCATGGGTTTGAGATGCAAGCAGCGAGAGCGACGGGCACAATGCCATATGCAGGTCTTGGCCGTGTGCAAAGCAAGTTGTTTCCTGTGCGCAGGCGAGGGACACATTGGACAGCGATCGTAGGCCTATCCTGCAACCTTGTATAGCTGCATGAGTGGCCTCACCGGCGCCCTGGCAGGGCTCTAATTCGAGCGGGGCCAGGCGAATATTACAGCCACGGCGCGCTGCTCAGACCTTCATGCCGCGTTGAGAAAAGCAACTGCAGCAGGCAGTATTGGTGCGAGGCCGCTGAGGGCAGTCCTACGCTGCAGCAAGGCCGAGTGCGAAAGTCGCTGCTGTGTGTGAGGGCTGGGGCGGTGGCACAGCAGCGGGTGCGCGCGACGGCAACGGGAGCAGCTCAGCGCTGGGTCATGGTGGTGATGGTTGCGGAAGACACGGGACTAGGACGCGTTCAATGAGCGTGTTCCTGGCCGAAGCTTCTCAGACGCAAAAACGCCATGGTTGATCCACAATGGGGCACGACGGCGGCGGAATACGCATCGGTTGGCTGGGCGCTGTGGGCGTATCAAGTTCCCTGTTCCCATGCTGTACGAGTTGCCGTGTGTCAGATGCGGTTAGCGTCAACCTCCTAGGGCTTTGCTCGCCCAGTCGTTTTCTCCAAGCTACGTCCGTCTGTATCGTGCTCTCTTCTCACCTCCTCTCCCCTCTTCTCATATCCCTCTTTCACTACGGTCGAGCACGGAGAAACTTTGGATCTGATGTGGTGCTGAGTGTTTCGGCTCCTATCTTTCCATAAAACTCCCCAATCTCCTGCTCTCGGTCCCCTAAACCCGACCGCCGTCTCTCCTCGAATAGGATCGTGAAGAGTTCAGACTCCCTGCACCTTCACCCTACTTCATCCGCCGACCTCCTACCTCGTCTCTCGCTGGACGTAGAGATAGCTGAGAACACGTACTCGCTCTACTCTAGTCCTTCGCTCTCTACACAGTTGTCCATCCAGACTTCTGTATCATCAGCCTCGTGTGACGATTGAGCATCCATCTTGGTAGGTCACTTGTTCTTTGTTCCTTAACTCCGGGGGCTTCCAGCAATGCCGGTTCCACTCACTCAACGACTGCCCAATGCCAAGTATTCCATCCGAAGGGACGCCTAACGAACAACCTCGGTCCGACAACGAAGAACATGGCAACCATCGATTGGGAGTGCAGGTCAGGATGATTCGCAAGAGCGGCATGATATTGAAGTCAGTGGTCGTAGGAATCGGGCGGAGAAGGAGCTTCAGTCAAAGGATGTTCGGTTCGATAGCAGGCCCCGGGTTGCGTTCTCCATCTACGACATGGATAGGAAACTCCCATGCCAACCGCACTGCACCCTCCCGTGATTGCATATCAGGATCGCACCGTCATCATATCGTTCGTGATATCTCCACCTCCACCAAAGCTGGACGAACGATGGTCTCACCACGGGAGGGGAACGCTTGCTGAGAGGATATGGGCATGCTGTTCATGGGGCTGTCGTCTTTATACTGGCAACTATGGATCCCCCTATACGTGTCGTTCTAAGCCGCTACAATCCTTCACCGACGTTCACCGCTTTCTTCCATCGTGGCCATGGCTTCATATCGACTAGCGGGTGGACCCTTACCCAGATGGGCCCGGATCCACTATCAAGGAACCGAGGAACGACTTCTTTTTCTGATCAATAGCTGACATGCTTTTCTCGCAGATTGTCTACTCCTAGCTGTACCTGCTTCCCCCAGCGCCGAAAAGGACTTGCACTGTTCGTACTCATCATCAACGCCATCTCCGACTCCGGGCTCACACTAGCCTAGATCTCAGTTGCCAGTACTGGAATCTCTTGATTCCATCTCTCGGCTCCATACCCCTAGCCCGGCGGACTCGTTAGCTCGTGCTCTGCCCTACGACCTCCCCTTTCACTAAGGGACCTACGAGACCGCGTCAATCAGTCTTCTGGATGCTATCAGTGCCTTCTTCGACTTCTTCTGCTGTCTTATTTGTGTTTTTGTACACTCCATTCGCTCACTAACATAATAGTATTAATTCTGCAAAGGTATGGACTTCGTTCGCGTTGGTCTGTGTAATGATCGCTAACCGGACTGGTCCAGGCTCTGTCTACTGTAACACGATCGATCCTCAGTACTAAAGGATCACCGACAACAGACCTACCTTACATACCAGCTAATCACACTCTTTGTACCTGTTGCCTTTCAGGCTGCCACTCTCTAATCCGGCTCATCATTCGAAGCTGTCCACTCACTAAATACCCTTCACCCCAACCGACCACGTCTATCCCGGAGACCTGACGACTACATCATCAATATGGCGTACCACCAGCAACCGCAACAATCCCGCTACGGCCAGTGCGATTCGTACTTTGTCGAGTCTCATGATGATGGCATCTATGCCATGCGAGCAGAGGCCAGAGAACGCCATCGCGCTGTTTCCAAGATGCAACAACGAGCAATCGCTGAGGAACTCTCAAGGCAGACCGCCGATGAATACCAAGAAGACATTATGCAACACATGATCCACATGGAGTCACAGACTCTACCTGACGTCAACTCAATCGACATCCAGACAGAGATCCAGTGGTTCATGCGCCCATACCTCCTTGACTTCTTAGTCGAAGCTCATGCTGCTTTCCAGTTGTTGCCCGAGACCCTTTTCCTCGCTGTCAACCTTCTCGACCGCTACTGCTCTCGCCGTGTTGTCTACAAGCGTCATTACCAGCTCGTTGGCTGCGCAGCCCTGCTCATTGCCGCCAAGTACGGTGACAAGAAGGACCGTGTCCCGACCGTTCGGGAGCTGAAGTCCATGTGCTGCTCGCTGTACGACGATGAAATGTTCACCCAGATGGAGTGGCACGTTCTGCAAACTCTTAACTGGGTCATTGGTCACACCACGGTAGATGCCTTCCTCCAGATCGCCCTGTCGGAGGCCCCCTACGATGCTGAGGTTGAGCACATGACTCTTTACATCGCTGAGATCGCTCTCTTCCACAAGGAGTTCGTCTCTACTCGTCCATCTGTCCTTGCCCGATCCGCCCTCGCCCTTGCGAGATGTGTCCTGTCCCGACCTCAAGCACGCAACACAGATTGGTCTGGTGCTTACGACCCCCAAACAGTCATTGGTCTGTCCAACCATCTCTACCAGCCATCTCCGGTACTTTCCCGCAAGTATGCCTCCATGCATCTGTCAACCGTATCCGCCACCGTCGAGGAGTTCCTCCAGAGGCAAGCGCAGATTGCGCGACGACAAGCCGCCCCGCCCACACCGCCACCGACCGTCACCGTCGAGGAGCCTAAGCCTGCCGTCACTGTGAACGCTTACGGACCCCAGACGCCCAACAAGAACCCATACGGCTCTGTCATGCACAATGGATGTCCCACACCGCCCATCACACCGGAGGGCGAGCACTTTACCTACGGCCACGTCGTTAAGTCTCAGCCCACTTCGATGTACCCCACGACTCCCACTCCGGATCATCCGGCGAACGCGCAACATCAAGGTCAATACTTCCACCAACAATACCTCCATCCCCAGCACGTCCAGTAAATTACCGCACCGGGCAGTGGTTGTACACCATCACTGTCGAAAAAATTCAACTGCCATGGACTGTCATGATCACGTCCATGTGTGCTCCGTTGTACCAAAAATACTCGCGTATGAGCGTCATAGCATGGTCATTTCTTCCAGCATTTACAAGCGTCTGTTACTGTTATATTGCGATATCAAAGACGTCACTTTTCTGTTTCGAGCATTTCTTTTGTTAGGTCCGACCAAAAATTAAACGGTCGTCCACTGTCATTTCCGCACGGCAGCCAGTCCTGTGGTTTTGATGAGTGAGGCCCAGGTCAGGTCCGGCACCCTTTCTTCTTGGATTTAGCATCCATCTAATACGGGTTGTTTGATCTGGTCTGCAGCATGTGGGGAGGAAAAGTGGCTACAGGCTGAAATTGGAATACACAAGCCAGCACAATCAGGCTCACTCGCAACTGTTGTTTGCTTAAGCGAGCAGAGATACCCTTCCTTTCTCAATTCAAAACTTTTATCGGACACCTCATTTGATCCATGGGCGTCTACTTTCCTTTTGCATAAGCGGCGGAACGGTGAAAAAATGTGTGAAGTGATGCTGGCATGTGGTTGCTTGGATTTGCGGGGCTCTCCAGATTGCTACTTTGACAGCGGGGCTGAAAGGGTCGCAACGAGCATCATTAGTTATAGAACCGGTCGCCCAAAATTGAGGAATTGGTCTTCCATGCTCGCTTTTCGCCTGGTATACTGTTGTTTCTGCGTTTCATCATGCGATGTTCCTGGTGATATATGTTGGGCGAGTGGATGCTATACAGTCCACGCCGCAGGGTACATCCACTCGCCGCATGTTTCAAAGCAAGCAATGCGATCTCAGTTCTTTAAGATTACCTTGTTCTGCTCTTTCAGGCACGTCTACACTCCTTTCATGTTACTCAACTGCAAACGCTGGCGAGAATGCCTCTAGTGAGTATCATACAGTGGGCGCCTGTGTGAGCCTATCAGCGCCTCCACCTACTAACCGCTCAAGATCTCTATTACTACCACGGACTCCGGTACAGCGAGCTATAGACTGCTCTCACCCTATACCGACGAAGATACTACGTTTGCACATAACACACTCTGTCCGCGATATGCAGAGTCCGATCCTACATCCGCACCGCCGTCCCCTGCGTCTGTCGAGTCCTTTGAGATATTGGACAGCATACCTTGGCGCAGAGGCTACATATCCTTAGATCATCATGGAAGGCAAAGCACCGATACACTACAAAGTCGATGGGTAAGAAACAAGGTTCGCACTATGGTGCTGCTTTTGCTCTTCACCTTGCTTGTAGCTGGCTGCACACTAGGCGGATACATGGTGATCAAACACGGGAAAAGCAGCAGAAGCACAGACATGGCATGATTCTTGCATCGGAATAGACACGGCACATGGGCAGGTAATCATCGAGATTCAAGAACATGATGCTGTGGCGGATTGTTCCCAGCCTCGCATTTATGAGTCCACTGTCGCGAGGCCAGTGGACGTGGCGTTCTCCGGAGCACCCGACAACGAATCCCCTACAGGGAAGGTCCCTTTAGACAGTCAGCCACGTCTGCGGGAAGAGGCAAATACAGCTTGGGCGACAAAGGAATTCGCGCTGTAAGGCGAATCTGTTTTACGACAAGGGTCAACGCGGCAAAATAGATACTGGGTGTTGATGTAGATCGATACGACGCGACGCGATTTGGTCCCATCGCAAGATTGCGATGCGTTGGCGGCAGGAGAGGCTGGGATAGCCCTACTTTCACGGGATAAAGTCCGGGAATACATTTTAAAGGGCAACGCAACTCTGCGATGCGGGACGAATTTGAAATGTCAGAGAAGTGGAACCCAAGATGCAAGATGACATAAGGAGCTTTTAAGTTGATGCTTCCCCAGAGAGCATCCTTTCGAGATTCCAAGGGTGACTGTCCTATTCACGTGACCTTCGCCTTATCGTGTCACGGCGATAAGACACTAAGTAGAACAACACCAATAGATAGTACCACGAAATACATACATGCTTGCTCTTGAACCGATATTCAACCGGCTATGCTTTCTACATTATGACTTCGATTGAACCCTGAATGCGATGTCTACCATCGACAGCAGCGCACCCCTACTCACACGCCTGACAACAACATCTATGCCGTCAACTAGCAACCCATCTCCTATACTGTCTGCCTCCAGTAAACGCACAATATGGCCCTTGGTACTTCTTCTCATCTTGGTGCAGCTTTCGTCGGTTCTATATACACTGCCTCTCAACCGAGTGATAGAGCTACGATTGTGTCAAGAGCACTATGAAGCGAATGATCCATCGGTGATACAGCCAGACGGGACAATACCGGAGATGCTATGTAAAGTCAAGGATGTTCAACGGGGGCTTGCATGGTTACAGGGGAGCATGGAGACGATGAGTGTTGTATGTGGTATGTGATTCTACCATTGTGTTTTCAGGTAAGAGGTGGAGATGGAGGCTGATGCTGTGTACATTCAGATTTTATCGTCACTATACCTTTTAGCTTCATGGCCAAGAAATGGGGTGTTAGGACAGTGCTGTGGTTCAATCTTGTTCCTAGGGTAGTCATGAGTGTCTGGACTGTTATTGTTGGTATGTGTTGGACCAAAAATATACTCGCTCGACCGTATAGTCGACCTCTATCTAAACTACGTCAGGACACTTTCCACTCCTCTTGCCTACCAAGGCCATTCTTGCAAGTCCGATCTTCAACGTCTTGGGAGGTGAGTGTGTCTTTCAGTCAACAATATTTACACTTACTTCGGGCTTGACGAGTGAGTATGTTCAAAGGTGAGTAATTACCTTCCATCTAGTAGCTTATGGTAGGGAAGCAAGACTAACTACGGACAGAGCATCATACTTCTCCTACATCAGCTCAACCTCTTATATCGTCTCCTTCATGGGCCCAACTTTTGCCGCTTTCACCATGAGCGCCAACCTCTGGCTGCCCTTCTGGCTCAATATCTTTCTCCTGCTCTGCGCCATACCAACGATAAGTCTACTTCCAAAAACCTCGAAATTCTCAAAATACACCATATCGGCCCACGAGACTACACCTAACGAAAATACGGAGGAATCAGGACCCTTGATCGGAAGCAGAAACACCAGTCCAGATAGATATGCCTCCGCATTCCAAGCACCACCCTCTAGCACCTACTACCAAAGTATCAAAACAACCATAGAACAATTGGTTCATCTAGTGCTTGGACGACGAAGCTTCCAAATCCTGCTACTGACCTTGTTCCTTACGGCACTGGCTAGTTCAGACACAAAACTCTTGGTCCAGTATATTTCCAAACGCTACAATTGGACTTTTGCACAGGCAGGCTACTTGCTCTCAGCCAAGGCATTGGTGAACCTCACGTTGCTCGCAGTAGTCGTTCCACGTATCATTCGTAAATCCATGTCATCGAGAGTCGTTCAGGGTTCTGATGTGCGACTGAACATTCTGGGAGCAGATGTTAGTATTGCGGTCTCGGTGGTGGGTGTGCTATGTATCGCATTAGCGGGGAGATTTTGGATGTTATTTACTGGTACGTCCTCCACACTTACTCTTACTCAATGGTCGCATGCAGAGATAAGATGAGCTGATATGAACAGCGCTCATCATCTACGCACTCGGATCAGCTCTACCGGTGTTTACCATGTCCTTGATCAAGTCGTCGTTGATCGCCATTGAAGGCTCTGATGCTCAAGACTTCAGTATCGTCATGTTGACCAAGACACTCGGGTCTTTGGTTGGCGCGCCGTTGATGACAGTTTTGTGGGTCAAGGCGATCGAATGGGGAGGCATTGGACTGGGATTGCCATATCTCACATCTTCAGTATGTTGGCGCGCTACATACACAAGATGCACGCTAATTCGTGTTATAGTGTTTATACATGTCTGCATTTATCGTATTCTCACGCTTACAAACTTGAACGTTTTGAATACGAAATGTCCCCACGGTGAATGATATACACGTTTGTATCATCAACGGTATTTCATGGTGGACACTATACCAGGTCCTAGACTTTGTCTTCTTTGAATGAGCAGCTTTCTGAATAAATCATACGCACTCCCAGCATTGAGACTTGGACGGACAGATCCCTGTGATACTACCCAGAAAATATATAGTTGCGGATAAAATACTGTTAGTGCGAACTTGCATCTGACGTTTGAAGTAACAAAGCCTATAGAACGCGATAGACAAAACACTATTTTACTGTACAGCTCCAAGCAGTGTGTCCGTGTTAGGTGCCCGACTTCAACCACTAGGATGTAAAGGATCATGGGAAAGACGGGAAGTTTTGTATTGGTGAAAAGGGAGTCGTCTGCTGTTTCTTTAGCGTCAATAGCTAGGGTGGTAAAGGTGATAAGAAAGAGGAAGCCATACGGTATGATAATTGGTTGTTTTTATCCATTTTGTTGTTCTATGCCACTTAATGGGATTCGTTGGATTGTCATCTCTACCCTTAAGTCAAGTCACAGTATGTCGCACCTGCTTCGTAGCATACCGCTATTTCTTCTAAGATCGGATACCATGTCTTTGAGGACATTCTGTCCATCAAGGCAAACTTTGCTTACTCTTTGCCTCGGAACTCAACATTCCTACCTATTCTTCTTGGGCTTCGAAGGAGGAAGGGTTTCCAAGACGGTATGTTGGCTATCATCCTCGGATTCACCACGTATGGTTCCTGGTTAGTTCTCGACCTACCATGGAGATATCAACATGTCATTTGTGTATGAGTTTGAGGCAAGCAACCAGGCCTACTGGTGAGCTGAGTCTCACGTAGACTTGGTGATGAAGTGCATTTTTGTGGCAAACACAGAGGCATTCGGTGAGCGTGAAATGAACTGATGGATTCGTATCGACGCAGTCCAATGCTTCGGTCTATAGGGTATCATACCTCAATCAAAATCCCGGATTCTGTTTGTCCACCATTTTCTTACCACTTCTCCACCCACCCGTAATAACTCAATCCATATCCTCGAGACCGCCAGCATCACTCGGCGCTTGCTCCTCACTAACCATGATGCCTACCATACATTCACCCAACATATTCTCCCAATTCACCCACGGGTGAACTTCCATGAACAGCTTGGTCCCGTCTTTGCCCGCTGCTCGTCTCAGTTCACCCTCTCCACCAGGGTGAAAGGGCAGATAGGGTGAGATGTTGTATACCTTGCCCTGGTAACTTGACCAAGCCGGTTTGCCCTTGCGTCCATTCTTCTCTTTGAGCATAGCAGGCGTAACGCGTATCATGGAGTCGACGCCCGACAAGTTCTTGCCTGACTTTTGCAGATAAGCCCAGTCCAGTGGAGAGTGACCTGGCGACAGGAGGACCTTGCCTCTGGCATTTGGTGTCTTGAGCGTGGGGCCTGCAGTGGGTGGAAGCCCCAGGCTGCCGTTCGAAGTTGGTGGACCGCGATTCGGTAGTGGGCCGCGGTTCGGAAGAGGGCCGGTTGTGGGTACGCGCATCGACTGCAAGGAGGTGTTGGGAAGGGCACGGAGGTTTGAAGCTGCGACTTTTGGGGGTGGCATGAGGGAGGTTGTGGGTTTTTGTGGCGGGGCCATGAGGTTTGGCTTGCCGGGTGGAGGCATAGCGGACGGTGGGGGCATGGTGGATAGCGAAGAGGGCTTCGAGGCCCTCTGTGCCGAGTTCATGGCCGGGAAGGAAGGCGGTGGCAGGTTGTCTTCTTCGTCTTCGTCTTCGTCGGAGCTCTCATGCTCGTTGAGCGTGAAGGTGGGTACGGCGGGCGCATCTTGGTCGGATGCGGGAGCAGCTTTTGGAGTAGTCTCGACGTCGTCCTGTGTCGTCGGGGTGTGCAGCTCAATGCGTTGGTGTGCAGCCGGGGGGTTGTGCTCTGTCTCGCTATGCTGCGACTTCTCAGGTATCGAGGGCGCGGCAGACTGTGTGAGGCGAGTAAGGAAGGCGAGCCATGTCGAGGGCGGGCGCTGGTAGACCAGGAATGACAGTGACAGGGCAAGTATAGAGACGGCTACGAGCATCTCTTGTGGCTGTCGAGGGTAAGGAGCGAGGGCGGCGTGGACCCTGGAGGCTGATATAGAGCGGAACGAGTCCAGGCTTCATGCGCTTACAGGGTCAAGCTGTAGGGCTGAAGGGATTTGGCGCTAACCATCAATGACTTCACGCGCCGCATGCCGTCACTGGTCCCGGGTTCGGAACAAGTCGTGTCTGGGTGAATGTACTTTGTCATGAGGCATTGGTAATTCTCTTGCTACCTTGCCAGTACACAGAGCCTCGACATCTCATCCACGGTTACGCGCGACCCACACTACGCGCCTTTATAACCTTCGCGCCTGCCCCACCACCCCTCTATCAACCGCGATTGCAAGTGCAGCCCTGAAGCTGAATTTCCAACGCGCAGCAATCAACACGCAATCATGGCCCACCAAGCACAAGGCCTGCCCGAGGGCATCTTTTCTCTTTTAGATACCGATCTCTACAAGCTGACTATGCAATGTTGCATACTGAAGTTCTTCCCCGATGTCTCAGTCACCTACGGCTTCACCAACCGCACACCCGACAAGAAGCTCAATCGCACAGCCTTCAGGTGGTTGCAAGCCCAAGTAGATAGTATGCTCGCTTTCTATCCATACACACGATAGCTGCTAACCCTGTCAGAGCTCGAGAACGTAGCCGTGTCTGAGGAAGAACTCAACTTCCTCAAGAATACTTGCCCCTACCTAAACGCGCAATACCTCCATTTCCTCTCCACCTTCCGCCTGAAGCCTTCCCAGCAGCTCAAGCTGTCTTTCCAATGCGCGAATGACACTGGTTCAGATAGCGATGTGGGCGATTTCCACATCCATACCGAGGGCCTCTGGCTAGACACAATCCTCTACGAGATTCCATTACTGGCGCTTGTCAGTGAGGCATACTTCAAGTTTGTCGAGACCGACTGGAGCCATGAGGGCCAAGTCGAGAAGGCATACCAAAAGGGGCGGGGTCTGCTGGAAGGAGGCTGCATCTTTTCTGAATTTGGCTCGCGAAGACGTCGCGACTACCACACCCAGGATCTGGTGCTGCAGGGCTTACGCAGGGCGGCTGATGAGGGTAACAAGGCAGGATGGAAAGGCACACTCTCGGGGACAAGTAACGTCCACTTCGCCATGAAACATGGCCTTGTCCCTGTCGGCACTGTTGCGCACGAGTGGTTCATGGGCGTGGCTGCCATTACGAACAACTACGAGAGCGCAAACGAAATTGCCCTGGAATACTGGACAGCGACATTTGGCGTAGGCGTCCTGAGCATTGCACTTACAGACACGTTCGGCACACCTACCTTCCTCAGGGCTTTCAAGAAGCAGATTCCGCTTGTTACTACCGCTATCCCAGGAGGCGGCACAACGCTGGCTTCAGCTGGAGATACCACTAACAACGACGCTGTAGAGACAATGTCCTCAACCAAGCCGCCTATTCAGGCACCGTACGACGCAAATGCGGGATCGCAACAGACTTATGCCGACGTGTTTGCTGGTGTACGACAGGATTCTGGGGACCCATTAGATTTCATCAAGATGATGCGCGACTTCTACGACGAACAAGGCATCAAGGATAAGAAGACGATTGTATTCTCCGACTCTTTGAACCTGGAACTCTGCTTCAAGTACAAGGCTGCAGCAGAAGCGGCGGGTTTCCAGCCTACCTTTGGCGTTGGAACGTTCCTAACAAGTAAGTACTGTGGCGCATGTGTGACCGGAACAAAGCTGACAATGACAGATGATTTTGTGGAGAAGTCCACTGGTAACAAGTCTGTACCCCTCAACATTGTCATCAAGATCGCTTCCGCTGCGGGGCGTCACGCTGTCAAGATCAGCGACAATATCGGCAAGAATACCGGAGACAAGGCAACGGTAGACCAAGTCAAGCAGCGATTAGGCTACCAAGAGAAGTCGTGGGCTGGCGGTGACGAGAAGACGCGGTGGGGTAGTGCAGGACAGCCAGCCACCAAGTAGTGCGCTTTGCATTCAGTAGTATGCTCTGAAGACGGAGACGCGACCAACAAGCGGAGGCGTTCATAAGCTGTGATGCGGTCTGCAAGGCTGAGTCTAGCGCAGACGTTTCTTGCAAAGACCGCGAGGCTGGGTAAGCAGCCGGTCAGCGTTTTGATTCGCGGGTTCGCGGTCTCTTTACGAGATGGGAGGCGAAAGCAGCGGCGTCAGTAGATGATTTACCAACATGTTCCTTCCAGACGCCAAAGTGTCTGCACGGTGCCAAAATTAGAGTGATGTTAGGGCACCTTCGCCGCTGCGGGCCAACGACGCGCCGCTGCTTACCATCCCGAGTGGGCCTAGTGCAGGCGCCTCCTGCATCTGCGCGCTCCACTCTCACACTCAGCCCCAGGAAACACTCTCCAAGCTGAAACACATTTATCTTGCCTCGACAGCCTTTGTCCAGCATTGATTCGAGCTCAAGCGCGTTTGACATCAATTCACCTCTGCCCTAGTCACGAGCCAACCGCTACTCTAGTGTGCTTTACGCGTTTGCAGTCGGTTGTCTCAGGAGCCTTCACGTCCACTCATACCACACGGGGTCTGTTTCAGAATGAGCGTAAGTCCCTTCTCCGTCAGACTACTCAATTGACACAACACCTCTACAACACAAACCCGACTACTCTCGACATTTACACTTGCTGACCATGGCTGCTGCCGACGAACAGTTTGGAAACAAAGGCTACGGCCAGATAGGATCATATGGCGGCAACCCCTACGACTCGCGCGACCCGAGCCCGGCTGGCTACAACAACTACAACCAGGGCGGCGGCTATGGTACGTTTAAGATGCGCTGCACCCTCGACATGTGTCTAACACAATACAGGCGATGTAGAGATGCAACCCTACGGTGGCGCAAGCGCGAACCCCAATGCCATCCTCGACGAATGCCGCGAAGTTGACCGCGCCCTCGACGACCTCGATGCCCAGCTCAGTAACCTCGACCGAGTGTTCAAGCAGTCGCTGGCGCGGCCAGATATGCCCTCGGGCGAAATCAACAACCTCAGCTCCCAGATTATGACGGGGTACCGTGGCCTCGTGACACGCGTAAAAGCAATTAAGTCCAAGCCCGACTCTGGTCACCCAAGGAATGCTCCACAAGTCGGCAAGGTCGACCGCAGACTCAAGGCGACTATCAACAAGTACCAGTCACTCGAATCGGATTTCCGAAGGGATTCGCAAGCTGCTGCCGAGCGCCAATACCGCATTGTGCGCCCAGACGCAACCGAACAAGAGGTCCGAGACGCAGTAGCGGACCCCGATGCGCCCATCTTCCAGCAGGCTGTAAGAAACCTCCAACTGTTGACCATGTCACATACTAATCTTTTTCCAGCTCCTTAACTCAGACCGCCGCGGCCAAGCCTCATCTACCCTCCGCAACGTAAAAGAGCGCCACGAGGCCATCCAGAACATAGAACGTCAAATGGTCGAACTCGCCCAACTGTTCCAAGACCTTGACCAGATCGTCCAGGAGCAAGAACCGCTCGTTGCCAACATCGAGCAAAAGGGCGAGGAAATCCACGACAACGTCCAGGCTGCCAACGTCGAAATTGATGGTGCTATCGTCAAGGCGCGTAGCCGCAACCGCAAGAAGTGGTGGTGCCTCCTCGTTATCCTGCTTATCATCATTATTGTGGTCGTCATTGCTGTGGTTGTCACACAGGTTAATAAGGCGGCTGCGAATACTGTTGCGTAAGAGGCTGACAGGAAGTAGCTGCCAGGAGGATTCGTACTGCATTAACATGTCGCGTCCCTGACTCGGTACTCACTACATCTCACGTCTCAAGGCACGTGAGAATGTCGATTGCCGTGGGACATGGCACCACAGCCGCCGTCTCACATCAACATCAACATCACCACATCCACCGTCTCATTCTCCCTTTTAGTCTTTTTTGAAAGGCTGGTCCCGTACTCATATGTAATACGCCTGCCTCTCTTGGTGGATATGCATACCCCTCTACCCGCATCTCGCTTGTCTGTTATTTCTTCCCTTGGTCTAGGAAAATTGGTCTCTTTGTTTTGTTTTGTGGAGGCGCTTTCACGGCGTGTTCGATTCCCAGCGCTGGCCGAATTGCTTTGCGCGTTTGCTTGTACACAAATGTCTTTTTATAGAGTCAAGCTCACGAGCTATTGAAATGGAAGAGGATTGAAACCTTGAGCATGAAGTGCTGATACTTACTGTGAGGAGGTTTTTGATGTGCCATTGCTCATCATCTCCACCACCCCAAGTCCAGGTCCGGCGCAATCTACCTTTCCATACGCACAATCAAACCCTGTGGGAAAGGGCGGCGAGAAACGTGCTCTCAGGTGACGTTGGCAATATTAACATGTACCGCGCTAAATTTCAAAGTTAATCTAAATGGCACACGCATATGGAAGCCGAAAAATAACCTGGGGTAAGATGCACGATTTACCGACATTTTAACCACTAGAACGCCATTTTCATATATTCTGGAAACAAGCACGGAACAAGCATGCCACTATGCCTGTTATGCTACGGAAGGAAAAGCTTGGGCTGCGAGGATGATGGAGATGAGGGTATAAAGGCATAGCAATTTGTCCCTGTCTAGCATACCATCATCTCATTCTGCACCAGAACAACGACAACGATGCTTCGTCAAACAGCTCTTTTCGCCTTGGCCCTTGCGGCACCAACCATCGCCCAAGTTACTGAAGGCTTCGAGAATGGCTGGGATCAAACCGCATGGCCTGTGTACGCAACAGACTGTAATCAAGGAGGCAAAGTCACCCTAGATAGCTCGACAGCCCACACGGGCAAGAACAGTATTCGTGTCGATGGAGCAGGTGGATTCTGTGGCCACATCTTCGTTGGCACAACGAAGATTCCTTCTGGCGATGTTTACGTGCGAACATATGTGTATGTACTCACCTCGTCCTTTCCCCTCCTCATCCGACGCATTGTTTCCATTGAACAAGAGAAGTCATCAAGACCTCCTATTAACACCCTACAGCAAAGCCGCAAAAGCTCTGACCGACTCCCACGTAACCTTCATCACCATGCCCGACTCGGCTCAAGGCACAAATAAACACCTCCGCATCGGAGGACAATCCAAGATCCTCATGTACAATCGCGAAACCGACGACGCTACTTTGCCGGATCTGTCCCCACAGGGTATTGCGACGTCCAAGGCGCTGCCAACGAATGCTTGGACGTGCTTTGAGTACCATTTGGGTACTGACGGAAGTGTGGCGACGTGGTTGAACAACGTAACGGTGCCGGCTTTGACTGTGGGCAATGGAGCGACGAATGCGAATGCGGGGCAGTGGACGAGGAGCAGTGTTAAGCCGAAGATTACGGGAGCGTACTTTGGATGGGAAAGCTATGGCGGTGATACTAACACTATGTGGTACGATGATATCGTTGTTAGTAGCAGCAGGATTGGATGCTAGACGGTTACGAGGGGAACGCGTATCTTCTGAATTGTACATATGTAACACCTGATAGCAATGTTGAATCTATAAGTATCAGTTTTGTGCTGAACACATACTCGTAAAGTAAGCCAGAACCCTGCGAGTATATATGACGTATAGTGGAGGTGCAACTAAGAAGAGACGAGCCTCTTGGTATTGAACGCCAGGGCTAGCAGAGTAGCTAAGACTCGTAGAATAAAGAATACGACCACCCGCATCCTCTTGCATGTAGACGCGGTACTTGTTGCAAAAGTGAAAGCTCTGGAAGTTGTTATCAGTCTTCAGATAGCATCAATGTGACGAGATTAGTCCAGCACATGCTTGCTCGTTTACTTCGCATACGCTTTGCAGCTTCCTAGAACCTTCCTGTCCATGCGCGATAATGCCACCAACAAGGTCATGGTGACACAAGGGCCTGGTGACTCCCGCCTCCGCAATCCGGTGTGGACCAGCGGATCCTCATCATCAAATTCCCTCAGCTCATGTCATCTGAGCACCTCAACTCCACCAGAAACCACCAAAAGGACCGGCTGTTCACCTTGGCGCAGGATCTTGGTGTGGCAGTTTCTTGCTCTGAGCATCGCAGCTGGCTTGCGGCGCGATACCCTGCCGATCAGGTATCGCCTGATCCCTATTGGGTTGGCTTACGACTCCCACTTGGCGAACAAGCGGAACCAAGCCCACGAGCACCGCGCCACACTTGCTTTCACCAATGTAGACGACCAGGTGAGCGGTGAAGCCATGCGTGCCATGCAGCAGCGTCCGTACGACGACTGCACGAGGGCCACTTTGGCAATCACATGGCAGCTTCCACAGCCCAGCACGCAATCATAGCGGCACATTTCCCAAGTGCATTCTTGCTAGCTTCCGCCGCCCGCTGCCTGCATGCCCGCCCACCGCGCGAACAACGTCGAAACCAAGAGACGATGCGAAGACACGCCTAGACCCTGGGCTGACGCTCGCTACCCTTTGCGACCTAGGATTCGGAGCGTTAAGATGGCGCTGGGACCCTTGCGCATGTTTGTTTCTGCCACGGTTAAGAGCAGCCTGGGGTTCGCTTTCTTTCACGTTTGCACGTTCGTACTCTGGGGAAGCTTTTGTGGGGGACCCGACCTTCTTCTCTACCCTTAGTATTACCACAGACCCACGCGTTCGCCATGTCGTCTGTAGCAGCGTCGGCAAGTGCGGCGCCCACGGCGCCCATCAAGGCTCCGCCGCAAGCCGGTATCCTCGAGGGCGTCAATCCAGTGCATTTCGACAAGAATCATCCGATTATTCTGTTCATTGTTCAGGTATGTTGTGGTTTACTATGTTGTGCATCGCTTCAGAAGCTCAGCCTGTGGGACGCTTCACCAGTCTAGTGCTACCAACGTCTACTCTCTGCGCAACTTCAGTTCCATAGCCCTGGTTCTGCGTGCGAAAGAGTACAGTATATGTCGAATTTAATTTTCGTTTCCTCCTGAAATCACAAAAAAAGAAAAAAAAACTAACCATGATGTACATGATAGGCGGGCATTATTATCATCTTCTGCCGCGCACTCAACTGGCCCCTCTCGAAAATCCGTCAACCTCGTGTGATATCCGAAATCATCGGCGGCATCATTCTGGGTCCCTCCGTTATGGGCCGGATCCCCGGCTTCCAAACCTCCATCTTCCCAACCGAGTCCATGACCAACTTAAACCTGGTTGCCAATCTCGGTCTCACATTGTTTCTGTTCATCATTGGACTGGAAGTAGACCTACGATTTTTACTAAGCAACTGGAGACCAGCGCTCAATGTTGGCTTGGCGAGTATGGCTATTCCGTTTGGACTTGGATGCGCTATTGCCGTGGGACTTTACAATGAGTTCAAGGATGAGCCGGATACGGTTCAGATTGACTTTGCCATCTTTATGTTGTTTATCGGTGTGGCTATGGCGATTACTGTGAGTATTCGAAGACGAGACGAGGCTCCATTCGCTAATTCGATAGGCCTTTCCTGTGCTTTGCCGTATCTTAACGGAACTCAAGCTGCTCATGACTCCAGTTGGTGTTATCGTTCTCTCAGCTGGTGTTGGTAACGACGTTGTTGGTGAGTTGCACACGATAGAAATCCAAACAACCCCCGGACTAACGTGTACAGGATGGATTCTACTCGCTCTTTGCGTAGCTCTTGTCAACGCTGGCTCGGGTCTGTCGGCACTGTGGGTGCTGCTCACATGTTTTGGGTACATGCTGTTCCTTGTGTACGCCGTTCGACCAGCATTCGTCTACATCCTGCGTCGTCAGCGCGCACTTCAAGACGGTCCCAGCCAAGGCATCATCAGTCTCACTCTGCTCATCGCTCTGGGATCCGCTTTCTTCACCGGTATCATTGGTGTCCATCCTATCTTCGGTGCGTTCATGGCTGGTTTGATCTGTCCGCACGAAGGTGGTTTTGCCATCAAAGTTGCTGAGAAGATTGAGGATCTAATCGGCGCCCTCTTCCTGCCGCTCTACTTTACCCTCTCAGGACTGAACACTAACATTGGCCTCCTGGACTCTGGTATTGTTTGGGCCTACGTCATTGGCGTCTGCGCTGTAGCGTTTTTCTCCAAGTTCCTCAGTGCTACACTCGCGGCTCGTGGAAGCAAGATGCTTTGGCGAGAATGTTTCGCTGTAGGATCACTGATGAGTTGTAAGGGATTGGTAGAGCTGATCGTCTTGGTAAGCAAACACTCTCTTCGAAGCATGGAGCCAGCATTAACAGTCACAGAACATCGGGTTGAATGCCAAGATTCTCAGCACTCGAACCTTCACCATCTTCGTTGTCATGGCCCTTGTCACTACCTTTGCGTCGTCTCCCTTGACCATGTACTTCTATCCCCCGTGGTACCAGAAGAAGGTCGAGGCGTGGCGTCGCGGCGAGATTGATTGGGACACCGGCAAGCCTCTTGATGGTTCCGAAGATGGTGTCGACGGTGTGAACTACGAGAAGATGGCTGCTGAGAAGATCCAGCGGATGACCGTCTACCTCCGTCTAGACAGTATGCCTAACCTCCTAGCCTTCACCTCCCTCTTTGGTGGAAACGCAGACAAGCCAGCGGCCAAGACACACCCTTCCAAGGACATTAGCAGTACTGGAAAAGAGACAGGCGAGACATCACTAGTCGAAACCGCACCATCAAGACCAGTAGAAGCCTACGGTCTCCGTCTACTCAACCTCACCGACCGTGGCTCCTCCGTCATGCAGGTCTCGGAAATAGAATCATACACAGCCTATGACCCTGTCGTAAACACCTTCCGCACTTTCGGTCGTCTCCACAATCTAGCCGTCAGCGGTGAAGTGCTCGTCGTGCCGGAATCCTCTTTTGCCGAAACCCTCGCCACACGTGCTTCAGACTCTAACTTCCTTGTTCTTCCCTGGAGTGAGACAGGCGGTATGTCCGAACAAGCCATCATTGAAGACAAGGGAACGAAGAACAAGCTCGCCGCATCAGGTTACAACTCGTTTGTGCATGAGACGCTCGAACAAGCCAGCATACCCGTCGCAGTACTCATCAACAAGAACTTTGGAGGCAGCAAGAACAAGGAGCAGAAGCAGCGATTGAAGCTTACCAGAACATACAGTAGTGTCAGTCTGTCGAGCGCTAGAGACAAGGCGGTTACAGCGCCCATTGCGGATCGAAGCCACCACATCTTCTTCCCCTTCTTTGGCGGCAACGACGATAAGACAGCGTTGAGATTGGTTCTGCAGTTGGCAGAGAATCCGCAGGTTACTGCTACAGTTGTGTACTTCGATGTTCCAGAGTCCATCATTGGTGCTTCTGCATCTTCGCCAATCTCTTCAACGGTGCTAGGAAAGGATGGAGAAGCCGTAACGACTACGACCACAACCACGTCCCGCGACCAGGACGCAGCCTTCTTCGCTTCCCTGCGCGCCTCGCTTCCCGTCGACCTAGCGAACCGCGTTATCTTCGAGACTGTGCCATCCACTGCACCAGTCGCTGATGCTATCGCCCGAGCGAGTATCGAGGTTGGTCAGTCGCCGAGAAACGCAGGTGATCTCATCGTGTTGGGCAGGAATGTAGCGAGGAACAGTGTGTTGGAGAGGGAGAACGCTGTGGACGAGATAAGGAGTAGTTCGAGTGCGGCAGGTACGCTAGGTGTGCTTGCTGAGAAGGTTTGGGAAGGGAAACTGGGGGCTAGTGTCTTGGTTGTAAAGGCAGGATTGTGATGGCATTGTAACTGGGTGTTAACGGTGCTTGGGTACGGGACACGATATCATGACCATTTAGGATGGAGTTTGTTACGGATGTAGTATTGGGATACCTCTTAGCTTGAAATGGAAGGCTGCTTCATGGTTGCGTAATCCTAGACTGAAACTCAATCTCCACAAGTGGCACATTGTCTGTGATCAGCGACAAGGAGTCGTCGTTCATGACGTTTCCCCTCTCTTCTTTGGCAGTGGCTTGAGCTCGTTCATCGGCTGCTTCCTTCTCTGATGGATTTTCACTGAAGATCATGTTGTCACTTTAAGATCGTCACTATTCTGCGGCTCCGCATACAAAGTCATGTTGTCCATCAGTAGACTTTATACCCAGAGTCCCAACGTCGACTAACCTGGGAGGCCGTCACGAGGCCTGACTGCATACGTATGCAGACTTCCGTGCGTGCGGCCTCCGGGCGTAAGGCGTCGTCCTTGAGGTACACGTACCCTGTGCACTTGCCGTAGTACACGTACTCGATGCTACTTGCGTACGTGGGGGGTGTATCCAAACCACGGTCCACGTCACCTTCCCCGGTCGTGCTGCGGTCTTTTCTGAGACCCGAGTCGCAACCCAGTGATTCATCATTGATTAACATGGAAAGTTTGATGAGCAACTGACAACGTCACTGGATGATCCTTGTGGGCAAGATTCGAGTACACATCCACTCCATGTCCACTGTGACGTTTATCTCTTGTCCAAAATTCATCCACGTGTGTGCAGGTCGTTGCTCGATGGGTCATGATAAAGACGGAATGTGGAGGTGAGGATGAAGATACTTCCGTGAGCTCCATCAGCGGACCATCGCGGACTGAATAATGAAGAAGCGGTGACGGGTAGCTAGAAGGTTATCGAAGGAAAAAGCAGGTGTGGGTCGACGTCGTTATCAGTTTTCTGCAGTGCGAATTTCGTGGATGCCAGAAAATGACCAATGAAAGGTGGTGTTGAGAGTGCGTCTGGGTGTGGACGCGTAGACGTGGGTATTTGTACTACACTCGCATGCTAGTGGTAACGTGCTTTGTCTGCAGATGCAGATGGTGGATGTGTCTTCTCTTTACCCACCGGCGTGCGAACAGACTTGTATGACCTGAGGCGGCAACGGCTCAGCCCTGCGCATGAGTAGGATTGCGGGAAGATGGAACAGTTAGTTCTGGAAGATCTTATGCATGTACGGAACCCAATGATGAGGCAGGCAATCCTCTGTCGCACTCGTCGTAATCGGGTTATGACTTGCAGACGATCCCCGAGAGATACGCCACCGAGAAGCTCCGTGCCGCGCCTGCGCCTCACAGGGAGTCGAAGAGGTGGCTAACCATCAGATTTGAATGCAAATACTTGGAAAAAAGCATCAGAACTTCACGATGCTAAACGACAGCATGGTGGCGTTGTTGACAATTGTCCACCAATTGTTGCAAATTTGATAGTCAAACGGTCGTGGTCAGTGTGACGGTGGAGTCTCGGTGTAGACGGACGCGTGGCTAGCGAAGATCCACGTCTCCACTAGTCCACCAAGACGCGCCGCAAAGGTAACCGCAAGAGGAAGCAACGAGGGACAGGGGAGATTGGAGGCAGAACACTCGCGTTCGCGTGCAGTTGGAGAGAAATTCGCGAGACGCTCGCGAGATGAATGTACCCATTGAACTATTGGAAATGTACACGGTAGGGAGTAGCGCTGTGCAGCGAAGCGCGAAGGAAGCTCATTGGCACAGCCATAACGTAATGTGGGCAGGCGCGTCATGGCGACGTGAGGGCAAAATCATCAGCAGCAGCAAAGGAGGAGTAGTTCGTCGTAGCCCATGGTAAGCGCGTGTACGTGTAGTTGAAGCTGTACGCAAACTTCAACTAGCAAAGCTTGAGTAGCTTCGAGACTGGCAAAGTCTTCTTGGCACGACGCGCGAAACAGTTGACGATGGGAACGAGTGGTGATTGCGACGCTGATGCCAAGCCAAGCGATTCTAGAGGGTAAAGTGGTTCACTGAAGATTGCGCAAGCTGTAGTGCGAATCTGCCACGCTTAGCGAAGCGTCGCCTGCCCCTGCGCTGGGGGAGTGCAGAGTGGATTCGAGCACAATGGCAGACGATGGCAGAAGCAATGCGGTGCAGGAGGCAGTCCAAGTGTACACGCGGAGAGCGACAGCGGAGGTAACGTCTGGGTGGGCAGGCGGATGACTACCAGAGGGAATGCTACGCTGATCTGACTGCTGTTGCGTGGTCGCAGGGCTTTTGGGCGGGTGGTGGGCGTTGTGGAGTTCTAGACATGTGGAAGCCGCGACAGGGCCGCGTCAACCCGGCTGAATTGGGTAAGCGCGAGTCGTCGTCGTCTTGCCCCATCCCTCAATCAATTACCCTCGTCCGCACCTGTCCAACCTACGACTCCACCACCTATCGACGACCAAAACCGTGTCTTCCAGCGCTGCATAGCCGCCTGCAACGAGAGAAAGAGACCTTCGACCTCTCTTCGCGCCCACGACCAGCAGAGTTCCCAGAATATCTGCCTGTGGCTATCTCGTTGCTGCGCCGCTGCCATCATCGGGCTGTGCACTGCCAATCCGCAGCCTGTCGACCACGCTATACACCCACGACGCCCCGTCACCCCGACACCAACACCTGAACACCCATCACCGCGCACAACGACATCGCGACTGCAGCTCGCACCTGCCCACGATGGAATACAACAACAGCGCCCACCGCGCTCACCAACAACAACATGTCGACACTGACAGGCTGGCTGCCGAGATGACGGAGCAGTTTCGTCACGTCCTCAGCACAAAGCGCATGAACGAACTCACATCACGATCATCGCAGTCACGCTCCTCATCGCCAGCACCCAGGGATTTCGGAACCCCCCAGCCGCCGCCATCGCAGTCTGCCCCGCCGGCGTACGCTTCCATCAAGAACATCCCGCTTGTCCCTGAGGCGCCCCGTGATGCGCGATCGCTCCGCTTCAAGAACATGCTGCATTCGCTCTCCAACATGCCCGTACGATGGGAGAACCCCGGACTACTCGACGAGGCCCTTCGCGTCATCCCGCTCGAGCAGATCTACAACGAGGCCGAAGAGGAGAGCCAAATACTGCAGGCCGAGGGCGAGAGCATGGGAAAGAAGGCTGCCTGGGGCTACCAAGACTGCGTCGTCCGCGCACTCCTCCGATGGTTCAAGCGATCCTTCTTCTCTTGGGTCAACAACCCGCCGTGCTCGCGATGCTACTCACCAACCGTTGCCGTTGGCATCACACCACCACTCCCTGACGAACAAGCCCGCGGTGCCAACCAGGTCGAGGCTTACCAATGCTCGCACGAGGGTTGCAAGAACTACGAGCGCTTCCCACGATACAACGACGCATTCGTCCTTTTGCAAACCCGCAAAGGTCGATGCGGCGAGTGGGCCAATTGCTTCAGCATGCTCTGCCGCGCTGTCGGGTCAAGAGTACGCTGGGTGTGGAACGCAGAGGACCACGTCTGGACTGAAGTCTACTCTGTGCACCGCAAGCGATGGGTCCACGTCGACGCCTGTGAAGAGGCATGGGACAAGCCTCGGTTATACACTGATGGTACGTTACTTCCTGCATATCCATCTCCTCCATCTACTAACAGAGTTTTCAGGCTGGGGCAAGAAGCTCTCATACTGCATCGCCTTCTCGGCTGACGGCGCCATGGACGTCACTCGCCGATACGTCCGCGATGCTAAGCACGCTGCCGAGCGCAACCGCGCACCGGAGGCAGTTCTTCTCCACATTATGGACGAGATCCGAGCAACACGACGCGCCAACATGTCCAAGCAGGACAAGTTCCGCCTGCAAGGTGAGGACATCCGCGAAGCCAAAGAGCTCCGTGCTAGCGTCATTTCATCAATTGCACACGCCGTCAGCAAACTCAGGCCCGAGGACATCATCAATGCCCAGGTCACTCGCCGCCTAGATCCAGATGCCCAAAAGGCATTGGAGGGTCGTATGAGCGGCAACGCTCAATGGATACGAGCACGCGGCGAGGGTGGACAGCAACAGAACCAGCAAGACCCCCGAAACCAGCATCCGCGCTGAACTCATCGGCGACCTCCACCTTTCATTCATCACACACGGTATCATTCCATCGCGCCATGCCTACAATGTCAGCCGAGTCTAGCGACAGTGCACTGCACCTAGCTCTCGAGCATGTAGAGTTCGATAGAAGCCGAGATACCCATCCGTCATGGCCCCGCGACATTCGTTACGCGGACGACACTCCCGCCTGTACAAACATAGAGCCTGGGATTCATCGTCATTTCGATTCATTTGCGCCGGCGTTCCAGGCGCAACATCCAAGAGACATATGCGATAAACTCTAATGTCTGCACCTACCTCATCAGAGGCTTTTCCTATTACTTTGGCGTCACTTTGGCGACCGATTTTCGTTGCTTCACTGCATTCTTCACTTCGACTTGTTTGTGTGCACGCGGGGGTTTGCGGCACTGTTTATACCATTTTGCCATTTTGGTTTACGATTTGCGATATCTCCTATGTCTTTTCTGTATGTTTACGAGCATTTTGGCACTTTGTACGCACGACGTATGAAGTTTCACGTTTCAGTCATCCGTCGCAATACTGCTGGCACTTTCAGAGAAGGATGTGCTGTACACGGGCGGTGTGGGGATCCGTGGCATAGAGACTGTTGTGGTGGTGTGTAAGAGGGGTTGACGCGCGTCCATGGCGCCCAAGATACAGGGCTTGCTGCATGGTTTAGTGCAATAGGATGCAAGATAGAAATCCAGAGCCAAGATTGGCGATGTTTCTGCAAACCACATGCACTGTTTCCACCCATTTTCCACCTCAACAAGTTGCGTGATTGCCCGACTAGGGTGAAAGCTGATCAAAGTCGGTAGGTGAAAGATTTGCGGGGACGCGCGTTAAGAGTACGCAGGCTGGGCTTAGTGCAGACGCGGCAACCGCAGTCGATACACTACCAGCACACGACAACGCTCGATGACTATGAAACAAGGTGCTTCGAGTCTTTGAAGCAAGAGATAGAGGATGCGCCTTGTAAAGCCTATGAAAATCACGTTGGAATATTATAGCGAGCTTCTCTCGATCACGTTTGCTTCCTGCACCTGGTCAGGAACACGGGAAAGAGATCTCCAGGGTCCACCCATCAACGTTGAAACATGCCCTTTTCAAACGTCCGTCAAACAAGATGAAGAAATCATGATGCAGGTAAAGCAAACGTCATATACAATGATAACCAGTTTCATCTGTATCATTCTGTTCGCACATGAGGATGAACGGTATTATGAATTGGCTACGCAGGTGAGATCAGCATCGTCAGGCGGGCCGTTCGTTTCTCCAGCTCTTTCCTAAACAAGTTAGTAGGCGCTGCTGCGCACAAGAGTCTAAAAATAACCCGTCCTTTGATATGTGATGACAGTCAGGCCGCCTTTCGCCAAGCAAAACTTGAGTTTGCTGACGAGGAACCATGAGGCTCTGCAACTGTGCCTCAACTCTGAAAAGTTTTGCCTGCTCGAACGTGGATGCACTGATTCAAGAGCCTTAGCGCAAAGCGCGGAAGAACGACGGCAGTACCTCGCACAATTACCAGACACCACTGCCTTGGGAGCAGTCTAGGCTGGAGACGTGTCGGGTGGGGTTGCGCCGGGCTGACGGTATCCTTGAGGGCTGAAACGCCTATATGAGGGTTCGTACTGTGAATAATTGTGTATATGCTTGGGTCAATCTTGGAGATGGGTGAGACAAGAACGAGATGATGAAAGATCGCGAGTAAACACGTTACTATGGTGATTGTGAAAGTAGTACTCAGATGGCACTGCATGTCCTCAAGACCGATATACCACCGCACTCAGGCCCAGCAACGCGCACACTGGTCGGCAGTGCTTCTGCGCATGCCAACAGCACACACGCCCTTATCCTACACAGCATAGTTGTGTCAGTCAGCACTCTTAGTGTCTTAGCTCATCAAAATCCACAACCGTCGCAAGCCCGCTGAGGCTGGTGAAGGCTAACCCAGGATCCGCCACTTGGATCCCGCCGCGCACAGACCTTCAGACCCCCAACTGTGTGGCCGCTCAGCCCCCTTCGCCTGGGCACATTGCCTTGCGCATTTCAGCTGCCGTGTTTGAGGCAGTTTGCAGTTTGTACAAAAGCTCGTGGCGACCCGCACATTATCATACATTTATCGTTCTGTCGTTTGACGTATAGCTTGATTCACCGACTCATATCCACGGGCGACCCAACCACGACCGCGGATCCACGATCGCTACTTCCCGTCTGCCAATTGACGCTGCTTCCTGAGTGACATCAGTCAGCCTTGCTTGGCTTACCACAACACCCACTCTCACCACCACCACCACCACCACCACAACAACACCAACAACAACAACAACCGCAAATATGGGCAAAGTCGGGCGCTTCGCGTGTATCCTCACGCCTATGTGCCTTACCCTCGCATCTTTAATATGCTTCGTCATTGTCATGCTAGGTCAAACGCCATGGTCGGGCAATAAAGCACCAGCAACAGCCTTGGGGCGCGATTTATACTTCTTCAAGGTATGCCTCACCACAACCCTACAAGCCTACTTATCTAACATACACGGTACAGGCGAATACTGGAAACATTACAGCCGACCCTGACACCATCGCCGACAAGATCCCCGAAGGCATCACACCAGACGCCGCAAAAGAGTTCCTCGCCGCTCTGAACGGCAAGCTCTCCTCGAAAGAACTCAAGGACTTCTACCAGGTCGGCCTCTTCTCCTACTGCGAGGGCGACAAGGATGCCGAGTCTGGCGAAGAAAAAATCACTTACTGCTCTGCGCGCAAGTTTCAGTTCCACTTCGATCCCCTGGCTATCTGGCAGATGAACAACACCAACATCCAGGAAGTTCTTGGCGACAAATATGATAGTGGCATGAACGCATACAAGAAGGCTGCTGGCTGGATGAACTGGGCTTTTGTTATCACTCTGGTTCTTACCGCTGTGGAGTTTGTAGTGGGCTTCTTTGCCATCTTCTCAAGGTGGGGCAGCCTTGTTACCACTGTCATCTCTACTGTGAGTCTTTCCTCTCTTTCCTCCTAGCCAATACCACTCTAACACCACACAGGCACAAACCATCTTCGCCATCCTCGCCGCCGCAACTGCAACAGCAATCTACGGTACCATCACCGGTGTCTTCAAGACCGTCCTCGAACCCTACAACATCGGTTCCTCCATGGGCAGCCAGATGCTCTCCGTCCTCTGGCTCGCCGTCGCCTTCTCCATTGGCTCCGGCTTCTTCTGGCTCATCAGCGTGTGCTGCTGCAGTGGAAAGAGCGGCCATAAGAAGATGGTCGTCGAGAAGACCCCTTACACATACGAGAGGGTTGCCAGCCCGGCATTTGGCCAGAGCGGGCACCAGATGTCAAGCTGGCCCAAGAGCCAGCAGGACCCGCCCAAGATGGGACAGCCAACGGCTTATGAGCCATTTAGGTCGCGCGTCTAAGTCTGAGGACAAAGGCACTACGTGGATTTGAGACGTTTTGGAACGTACCGTGGAAGTAAGAACGCGCGAGTTCTTTAATGACATGTACGACCATCTTTGCGGGAATTTATCTGGGTACTATATATACCCCAATGGCGTTTCTTTTTATAGCATCGTTATGGATACGGCCCCCCTGTGGCTTGAGGGCGTTTGGATAGCTTTGCACATATCGATATGAATCAACATCAATCATTCAAACCCACGTTCTTCGTACAATATTTCCAATGGCTTGCAGCTACCCTTTATCCCTTATTCTCCAACCGCGTTACAACAACAGAAATGACAACCGTACAGACAGCCATCATGTACGCAGAGACACCAAACCCGCCTTGTAGATCAAATTGGAACTTCCACCACAGAACGCCGAAGAGTAAGCTTGCTAGGAAAAAGATGAACAGGATAAGTAAAGAGATGATCTCACGATCCCAGCCCTCCAAGAAGTAAATACCCCATCCTTCCGCTGGCTGTCCCTTCTGCCCCTGGAGAACGCCACAGGTACGTTTTGGTAGTTGATTAAGAATCCAATCGTCCTCCTCATGGACATCGGCGGCGCATGTGAATAGACTCGCCAGGTACTCTGGTGGAATAGGAGGATGGGTTTTGGGTGGACTTGGGGAGTACTCGTACTCCACACCGACCTTATTAGGAGGTGGAGTGCATTCGCAGTATTTCCAGTTCGCAGGGTCGGCAATGCAGTATAAGTGGTGCTGTACATCTACACTGCCGCCCATTGGGAGCCGGAACTTGACGAAGACGATTCTTTGCACAGTTTTGAGCCGCGCGATGTTGAGGAAGCGGCCGCGGTGAGTGGCGTACTGTCGCTGGAGGAAGCGCAACAGTGTCTGATCCGTAGTGATTTCGTCGACACGGTCTTGCTTCACAATCTTGCGTCGTCGAGTGCGATGCATGCACATTGAGAGATGAAGTATTTTCTTTGTGATAGACGGGTTAGTAGAAGTTGAGCAAGAGGTTGTTGCGTATGGCGAGTTGTGCTGTGGTAGACATGATGGCGACGACTTCGAAGATCCTCCGAATGCCGTCCCTACTTTGGTGATTGCGTTTCGAAGCCATCGATCAGGACGCGGGACAATGTATTGCTGATTTCCAGATTGGCGATTGTGCGGTGCTGCGTGTACTTTGACGCCAGAAGAACGCTGCATGCGGTCTACTAGCTCAGCTATACCGCCTTCGCGAAGCTCCATTATGTCGCTGTATATGGAGTCACCACATCTCTAAGCAGAGTTTAGCAATTCACCTTGTGTCGTAAATATTCATTCTGGACGGGAAAAACTTACACATCGCCAACGTAGGCGAGTCTTGTTTTGGTCCAATGCTGGCTCAAGGAGCCCCATGTTCACTAACAGATGGTCTCTAGTAGAGAGCAAAATATCCAGATTCAGATGAAAACCGGTAGCAATAAGAAAGAATGCAAGTACTTCGCTGCAAGACATGCTCAAGGCTTGACTGACATCTCTGAACCATTCGTGCCAGGTCGATATCGTCTTTGACTGAGCCGGCGGCCCCAGGACGTCATGCTTGACAATACCTTCGTCGTCGCAGCCCAACGCCTCCTTTGTCACCGTTTCAGTTCGATCCGCTGGTGCCAGGTTAGGTATTACGAATGCTTGTAATTGATTGTGAAAGGTTTTGAATGCTTCGCTCTCAACTAAGAACTGTCGAAAGGTCACCAAATCCTCGAAAGCGTCTTCATTGACCGGATTTGAATCAGCGCCATCCTCCTCCTCGTCAGAACTTTCGTTGTTGCGTTCGCTGCGAGACAACTCCATACTTGCATGGACGATTTGCAATTTCTCGATGACAGATTTTGCTAGAGAAGCCGATTTTGCGCGCACAAGCCGGGATGCTAGATGCTCTAGTCTCTCTGTCGCTTCACCTTCTAAGAGGCCTGCGTATGCTCGAAATAGTCGGCGTAGGTTCCTTTCAAGCCTTTCGGGTCCGATGTTCTGGGCTTCTATAGCGCGTTTATACAGCGATGACAGTGCCTCGTCTTCGTAGAAGATAGAGAGTAAAACCTTCGTAGCTGTCGCAATTTGGACTTTAGAATAGCCGCTACCTTTTGATATGTCGGATGCCGATGATGCTAGAGACGCCACCGAAAAGATCGAAGCAACCGATGCTGCGTAAGAAGGTGGCCCTGACGCGCTGTCGTTGTAGTCCCACTCAGAGTTCTCAAAAGTACTTTCATTCACAAGTGTCGTCTTCAGCCAGCTTTCGACGGGGTGAGTAGGAAAAGGCCGAGTTTTTTCAAACTCTTCAAGCACATTCCTTGTAGTTCTTTCATCTCGTATCCCTCTTGCATCAACGCCTGGAGTCTCGGGCTCGACTTCGGGTTCAGGCGAAGGTGGTAGAGGAGGCGGAACTTCTTCCTGTGCACCTTTCTTGCCCTTTTTCTTCCAGGGCTTCATCGGACCAAACCAAGCCCAATCGTCCCAGAGGTCATCTTTCTTGCTCTTCTCGGCTTCGGCGGCGGCGGCAGCTTCCTCTTCCTCCATCTTCTTGAACTCGGCTTCCTCATCTTCTAGGCGTATAACATCTTCCCTTGAGATCTCGGATCGCATCCGATTGAAGATAGTCGTTGTATCCTCCGGACCCCATGGCAAATCGTCTCCTGGTGTGAAGTCCTCTGGGTCAGAAGGTGCTTCGAGTGCCTGTGTGAAGTTCTGATCCTCAAGAATCGTACCTACTGTCTGTTTGAATATATGATTGAGGTCCTGAGCCTCGGCGGATCCAGCGGCTTTAGCAGCTTCTCTAGCTTCACCTTCCAGTTGCTCCTTCTCTTCATGCCCCTTCTTTTCTTCAGCCTCTCGCTTAGGCGTCTTCGTCTTTATCCAATTCTTTCCCTTCTTCCTCTTGTAGAAACCAGACCCTAAGCTGCCCCATCCAGAACTTGCCTCAGCTTCTTCCTCTTCTGCGGCCGTACGTGCTGCTTCAGGTTCTTTAGCAGCACGCTCAGCTCCTTCTGCCGCAATACTTTCCTCTTCTTCACGCTGAATGCGTTCCTGTTCTAAGCGTCCCTCTTCTTCCTTACGCTTAGGACGCTCCCTCTCTGCTTGTTCAGCAGCTTCCTTCGCTGAACGTTCTTCCTCTCCCTTCTCACGGTCTCTCTTCTCTCTAGATAATTCTTTCTTCTCTCCTCCGCCAAATATAACGGCGCCCCCGACTAGGACCTCCTGAACACCGGCTTCTTGAGTATACGGTGTAGACGCACTGCCTTCCGCATGAGTGCTGTTAACTCCCTCTTCATGGAGCTTATCGCACGTGTGGTTAATTTGTGGTAGATGCGAGTCCTGCAGAAGTTCACCGGGAACTTCCGGAAGCCCATGAAAATCCCCGTAACTATGATGTAAATCTCCGAATGAAGGGTCAATAGAGAAAGGCTCTATCGCAGATCGAGGTGCTGTGTAAGTCTTATCTGCTCCCAGTTCGTCATTGTCATCAGCATTCATAGCGATGGATTCCGGCTCACGAGCTTCATCGGTGGCCTCGCGGCGCTCCCGGATTGCTTTCGTACGGTTGGCCAGCTTCTGTATCTCCTCCCTAGTCAAGACACGCAGAACCATCACGCAATCTATGCGCTCTTCGAAACGCTCCTTAGCTTCCTCTAAAGCCTCAGGGTTAACTAGGCGGCGATCAATCCTTGTCCATCGGGCTCCGATAGGAATGTCCTTGCCCTTTAAGGCGTCCTTGTGTGGTGCAACTCCCTCGCGGACGAGTGCAGGGTCCTCAGGGAACTTTTCGGTAGCTTTGCGAAGGATACTTTTAATAGGCGCAACGTGTCTTTCGGGAGGCTCATTATGAACTTCTTCAGCCGCAGTCTGTGTGTTTTCCATGATGGAAGGTAAGCGGGCAGGGCTAAATGTTTCGACCGAAGGCTCCCGCGGATAGCTGCCTGTGGCTCCACCGTTCCACTGCCAACCAGGTCTAACTGTCGCGAGCCGATTTCCGCCAAAGCCGGTGTCCCTTGGGCTGTTTGTGTTACCCCATTGCCAACCAGGGTCGCTTCCACTGGTGTCGATATGACGTGGAGGAGGCAGGGGTGGCGGTACTTCGGATCGTGCTCTAGGAATTCTCATTGCAGTCTCGGCGTCCTGAACTGCAGGTTGTTCGCTACAAGCTTCCTTTTTGCTTGTTCCTCCTCTGGAATTCTCAATTTTAGCTTCAACTTCGTTCGTGAGGTGTGCTATATCAAACCCCAAGGAACGGCTTTGGTCGGCTTGGTTGCGTTGAGAAGGAATTTCAAGCGACGTCCCGTACGTTGTATGATGGCCCTGGTGTATAGGATTATGACTGTCCGAATCAAGCAGACTGTACGAGGCTTTAGGTTCAGTCGCCTTGATATCTGCTTCCTTGGAAGTTTTAGAGCTGGAAGCCAATGTAGACATAGAAACTTCCGGAAAGCCCGTTCGCAAAGTGTACGAGGTTTCAGATCCTTCCGTGTCTGGACTAACAGCTGCTTCGGAGTCTGAATCAACAGCTGCTTTATTGGACTCTCTAGGACCAATAGATGACTGGTGGAATGGTTTGGTCGAAACAGAGATTGATGGGTATTTTTTGGTCTTGTCTTTTTTGGAGCCAAAGCTAATGATAATCTCAGGGTGGATAGGTCGTTGGCCATCCCGAGTAGAAGGGCGGCTGCCACTGTCCGATGAGCGGCGTGTTTGAACTAGATATGCTCCACTACTGGTAGGAGTTGGTGGGTTTGTGGGGGATATCTCAGCTGCTTTGTGGATCCGTTTGTGGAATGAGTCGCGGCTCCTCGGTAAGGCCTCAGGCTCAGCTGTGGTATCGAGCAAGCGCTGTTTTTCTGCTTTAAAACGGCGAGACTCCTCTCTAGCTACAGCACGGTCGTTAGGGGACTCATTTCGAACTCTTCGAACCCTATTCTGTGTGTATTCCATGTCCTTTACCGAACTATCCCGTTTCGTCTCTGTGCCGGTCGAAGGTAAGATTTTTTCATATTTTTTCATGGTTTTAGGAGGTTGATCTTGGTCAGAGTCTGTTGCGAAGGGATCAACATAGCTTTGGGGCCTCGCTGTACCGAAACGGCTATCATTCTGCAGTCGATGGGTCGGAAGCGCACTGTCGAAGTTACGCAAGTCCCATGGATCGTGCGATATTGAAGGCGACAGCATAGATGAAGCTGCGAAGGGATTCTCTAGACCACTGAAGGAAGGGGGTATAGATGACGGCGTCCTAGCGTATTTCTGGTCATAGTTCTTTGGAAACGACAACGGTGGAGGCGCACGTCTCCTTGAGCTAGAAGGTCGGTATGTCTCTGCAGACACCTGAGTATTAAGTGCTGGAGGGTTTGGTTGCGATATGATTGTGCGGCGCTTGCTGAGAGTTCGATCTAACTTGGCTGGACGTGGTGGTGTTGTAGATTGTGGTGCCTTTGCAGTTCGGGCTTCTAAGAGGGGTGACTTGGGGAGAAATTCGTCGTCTTGGTGGTGTTCTGAGGATTGAACGGTGTCCAGCATGCTTGCGATCCAATGGAGCCAGATAGCTAAGTCGAGAGCAGAAGAAATATATAGGAGATTGTGTTGGTGAAGGGACCAACCTCGAAGACGTGGTTTAGGTCGCCTTCGACCAGGCTGACGCTCGATGTATCAATCTACGCGCCTGCCTCGCAACCCCGCCCCACGACCTCCAGCACGAATCAGCCTCGCGTGCGCCACCACATACTCGGCTTCTGATAACATCGATTGATGCTTGGGATTGGATTGATTAGACTGGATAGAGCGATCTGCGACGAGGCTGTGCAATTGCTGGAGCCACAGAAGTCAGAACAATGCAAGCCAACTACAAAGGCTGTGACCTCTGTAACACAGCTGTGAACATTGTGGTGCTTGGGTACGTAATGGAGAAAATATTTGACAGAATGCCGATCGATTGTCAAGAATAGCGCATGATGCGCATTGTCGTGTTGGTTTATTGGAGAAGGCGCGGGGTCTTTATTGAGGCTGTATTGGGAGCCAGGCGGTCCACCGACATCTCACATCTGGCTTGAACATTGCCTGTTACTACAACTTGTGATATCTAGAATGATAGTAGAGAGAAAATTGGTGAGGAAAGCACAGCGGTGGATGGCGCTGCAGCTGGCGGCTGTGCGGGAGGCTCACAGTCGCGCCCAATTACAGAAACAAGCAATGCGCAGATTGTCTCCGTACCATCGTACCCATGCTTGAGACTTCCGCCCTCTAGAAAAAGTGAGCTTTCCGCCGCCAATAACGAGAAGACGTAAAACTGATCTACTCAAAGGGCCAATGTCCACCAGATGTTAAGGCCGAGAATTGCCAAGGCGCTAGTCTCTAAGCGATATCACTGCGTACAACCATCGTCATCAATAAGCGCCCTATGAAAAGCTCTACTTACGGTAAATGCAACTAGTTCGTCACTTCGAGAGCAAGCATAACAGTATTGTCTACCTCGCGGCGTTCATGCATGTGTGAGTCCGCGATAAGACATCCCAGTGCTTACACTATCCAGGCGGGATCTGGCTTTCCAACGAATAGGATAAGCTGCAGACAGCCACCTCCAATGGCGACATTGGATAGTTCAGCCTTTTTTTGTCAGCCGAACTGAACCTGGATTTTGGTACACACGGGATCGACTTACAAATATCGGAAACTTTATATGCCTTCGGACGAAACTTTGCGAATATCTCATCGAAAGGTCATCGTCAGGGTCTCCGTAATGACACCTTGCCAAATATGCTTCAGTGGTCTTTTAGGTGCTGATCACGCCTTCGTGTTGCTTTTCGAGAAGCATCGCGACCGGAGGGGTATCATCTTCGGGTAATGCATTGGCTTACATGGCTTGCACTACACCGATCCCAAGTACCAAGCAAACATATCTCGGACCTCTCCGCGCGGTCGTCCGTTTAGACAAGACCCTGCTATCTACTTACCTTACACATGCCGCAATCATTGGTTGGCGAATCATTAGATCTTACCTCCGATCACGTTTTATGTCCGCTTACTCCGCTAAAACCACACGCACATTCGTTGAACTACTGTCAGAAGAGAAGTCGACGAGTCGCAACACTGCAAAAACCGGGTCGAGCATGGATTCCCTGACTTCTGTCCTATAGTCTGCCGGTACGTGGTGGAGGGTAAGACTTACCCATGTAGATTGTGACTGCTTCAGGAGCTATCGGAGACATACACGAACAGTACGGCATATCCGTCTCTGACTCCGCTGACATATTGTGGGACTTTGTTATTCTCTTCTGCCAAGAGCCATACCTTCATGATGTGCAAGAAAATCTGACAAACTTCCGTGCTGGGCATGTAAGACATAGAGTTAATGTGGTAGCCGGAGTGAAGGATATAAGCCCACAGAACAGGCTCTCTGTGCCAGTACAACATCACCACGTTTCAGCCTTTTGTCCTACAAGCACGCTTCTCTTGACGGCTTCTCAACTTACCCTCACCTGCCGCTCCTGGGTCGCTGCTACTAGCGATATACATACTTCCTTGTCCCCCCTAGTATCTCCTTCCAATCGCACAACCTCTACAGTAACATCGCCAAAATGTCATACCTCTTCAGACATTCTAGCGTTGGGACCTTAGCACATTACATTAAGCATCGCAAATTCGACTATACCCGCACAACAGCAAAGCCGATATCTGCTTCATCGTCGACCGACGACCTCCCCTTCCCAAAAGAAGATGTCATCACAGATGCAGCTGTTGGAGCAGAGCTTAAGCAGCACCAGACCACACTTGTCGATTGGAATGGACCAAGCGACGCAAGCAATCCTCAGAACTGGCCTCAATCCCACAAAATACTTGTGACGGTCTTGCTCTGCGTCTACACCTTCGCCGTGTACGTCGGCTCCTCGATATACACGTCCTCACAACAAGCTGTCATGGACAAGTTTGATGTCAGCCACGTCGCTGCCTCGCTGGGTATTGCGCTCTACGTGCTGGGTTACGGTATTGGATGCCTGCTCTTCTCACCACTATCTGAAGTACCGGCTATAGGCAGAAACCCTCCGTATGCGATATCTGGTTTCTTCTTCATCATCTTGTGCATACCAACCGCGCTGGTGGACAACTTTGCTGGTCTGATGGTACTGCGTTTCCTCCTGGGATGTAAGCACAACCCCTTCTCGATCTACTTGTGAGATTCATACTGACTTCCTATCTTCACATTTAGTCATGGCATCACCCTGTCTTGCCACCGCTGGTGCGTCTCTCGGCGACATCTGGACCATGGCGGAGTTCCCCTTCGCTGTCGCCCTTTGGGCTGCCGTCGCAACCTTGGGACCTGCGCTCGGCCCGACTCTATCTTCATATGCCGTCAAGGACTTGGGCTGGCGCTTCTCGAGCTGGGAGCTGCTCATTATTGCCGGACCCGTATACCTCGCCATACTCTTGATTTTGCCAGAGAGCTCAGGACCCACCATCCTATACTACAAAGCAAAGCGCATGCGAGAGGATACCGGAAATCAAGAGTTGATGTCGGCCTCGGAGCGAAAGCAGAGGGACATGAAAGTTAGCAGCTTGTTGTTCGACGCGCTTGTCAAGCCTTGGGAGATCAACGCTCTGGATCCTGCTATCCTGTTCACCACGGTGTACATGGGCTTATGCTATGGCATCTACTACTCGTTCTTCGAGGTAAGTACCCATCTTGGTCAGATTACAGACAACACTGCTGACGCATCCATCTTAGTCTTTGCCTCTCGTGTATCCCGTCTACTACGGCTTCAATGCTGAGTCCACAGGCCTTATCTTCCTCTGCATCCTTCCAGCCTGTCTTTCTGCCTTTGCTGCGCATGTGCTATACCTCAAGTACCGCGTTTTCCCACGCCTTATGAATGGGACGTTCGGAGAACTCGAGAACCATCTATGGCCCGGTATGGTCGCCAGTCCTGTCATTGCAGTGGGCCTGTTCATCTTCGCATGGGCGTCCAGACCCTCGGTCCATTGGATGGTGCCTACTATTGGCCTTAGTCTTACATGTTTTGGCATCTACTTCATCGCTCAGAGTGTTCTGCTCTACATTCCCAACATTTACCCGACATACGCAGCCAGTATCTTCAGCGCCAATAGTCTGAGCAGAAGCGCGTTTGCATTTGCGGCGATCCTATTCGCAAGGCCCATGTTCCAGGGTATTGGGATCGATGGTGGTGTGAGTTTGCTGGCAGGCTGCATGGTGCTGTGCTCTTTGGGCATCTTTGCACTTTACAGGTTTGGCAAGACGTTGCGACAGCGGAGTCGCTTTGCTGTTGTCTGATGATAGAGATGTAATAAGTGTAGGGCTATCGGTTGCTGCTTAGTGGAGAACGGAAGGTTTTACTGTATGAATTAAGAAAGCGTGTACAGGGAACGAGTTTTCTGATACCTAATGAGTAATAATAGACATATGCGAACTTAATATCACTGAGTCCATCGCTATAGTTTCTGCAAAGGCAATGTGAAGTCTGCTTAAGCTCGCAAAGAGTTTGCCGCGCAGTCGTATTTGATAAGGATCGGCGAACGCCAGCTCATGATTTGCGCCAGCACCCGCCGCGGGTCTGCAAATCACCTCCAGGGCTCGTACCGATTGCGCAACTCACCTCAGTCCCTGGATTGCTCGCAGCACGTAACATTTTAGTCAAAATTTCACCAGGACAGGCTTCAGTGCAGTATGTTCGCATTCTAATTCCAGCCTACTCGCCAGGCAGTCTGCAGAAGTGTGCTCGTCTCGAGGTCGCATCCTCCCAAGATCTGCATACTCATGATAATGGGCTTCGGCGCTGCAGATGAGTCAGAGCACGACAAGTCTCTGCCTTACAACTCATGTTGCTCTGCGCTTTCGATGGCTCCCGTCATCCTCAAACCACAGGTCCCATAGCAGCGCGTGTGCTAGCTCCCTGGACGTGTCGTTTTCGCGAATTCGATGGATAGCGTTTGTCGCGGACCTCCCGCAGGAAAAACTGGTCCGAGGCTAGACCCACCACATGTCTCCACCAAGAATAACCTATCGTCAGTCTTGGCTCATCAGACGGAGAAGGAACATCAGGCGGATAAGATGATATTCGAAGGGATCATCCGAAACAACAAGACTAGAGCGCTCGAGAATATCTCGTATTTGTATAATATGTTGCCTGCACCAGGAGCAAGGGCGGGCGGGCGGGGAGAGAAAGAGACCCTCGTTGAAGGATGCGATTCTGACAGGGCTGAAAGTGCCTGTCCCAAAACGGCATGGTTAACGCTCGGTGCCCCTGACTTAACCATCGCTTGAGCCGTAGCCGACGCCTCTTCAATCACAACCAACACCAGTTTACTCGGACTCGTTCCCCCATTGGGATGAAACCACTGCACCCAAGCCGCCATGAGAAGATTCCTGCAGGTAGCCACCCAAAGACCCGGTGTTTACATTATCCCGACTGCATATTCAGGAGGCCATTGTGGTACCATACCATTCTCTGGCCAGCTCAACCGGCATTGCCGATCCATCGCAAGATGTAAATCATCACGAGCAGAAGTCACTGTCTTTATGTGCCAGCTCGTATAATGCGACAAAGAATAACCACGCCACCGGGACGCAGGACCGACTGACCGTTCTGAGCCATTATTCCAGGCACCACCCACCCTCCTTCCTTTTGCTGACGCTCGAAGGAACCCTCTCTACGATTTAACCGAGATTGATGCTATCGATACTCAGACACGGCCCATTCACCGGTCTTGAAGCTAGGGTAAGGCGTCACATGGAAGCGTTTCCAAAAGCCATGTTAATGCTTAGCGCTCGCGCAGGCGCAGGTACAGTTGGAGGCCCTACGATACTTCAGACCGGAAGCGGCTAGAATCCAGGCACCTCTACCAATGGCATGGAACTACGGCAGCCATCGTCCTGTTTCTGCAGGTACACGATGCCGTCTCATTCTGCACGATGGGCTTCATGCTACTAGGCGGCACAGTCAACGTCCGTTCCATCTCGCTCATGCAGGTACAGCCCTGTGGGCCAAGACTAGATATAGCGCAATCTCCCATGTCCTCTTTTCTCATCGTCAGTCGCACTGCTTTCCAGTTCGTCGTCAAGTCACTCTTTCGAGACTACATCCTAATTGCAGCATTTTTGCTTGCGTCCTTTCGTTGAGTCCGCTCATCACGATCTTTACTGGCCTCCGGCCGTCCTATCATTGAAAATTGCATATCGTTGCTAATACTGTTAATCCCATAATCATGTCCCCCTCAACCTTCACTCGCGCTGCTTTCGCAGCTGGGCTTCTTGCCTCCGGTGTCTCTGCGGCTTTCGACAATGCTGCTAAGACGAACATTGCTATGTACTGGGGACAAGGAAATGCTCAGATCCCACTGTCCGAGGTCTGCGCTGATCCTAACATCGATATTGTCAACATTGGCTGTAAGTAATGATATATCTTCATCAGTGGATCAGGGTTGTCCTCTAGACTTGGAAGCAATGCTAATGGCATTGAATGACAGTCATCAACGCATTCCCTTCAGTAGTAGGCTCATACCCGGGAAGCAACCACGCCAACGCGTGTGGTAGCGAAGTATACTACGACCCGGTTCTGAAGAAGGACAGCAAGCTTTACAGCTCATGCCCTGGCGTGGGAGATGCTATCACTGCTTGCCAGAAGAGCGGCAAGAAGGTCATGCTCTCTCTTGGTGGTGGTTGGCCTACTGACTACTATCTGCCATCCCCTGAGGTCGCTCAATGGACCGCCGAATTCCTGATCAAAGCCTATGGTCCTCCCACCGCTGCCTGGAAGGCGGCTGGTAGGCCTCGTCCTTTCGGCGATGCGGTCGTTGACGGTTTCGACCTCGATCTCGAGGCGCAGACTTACGACATGCCTTCAGCTGAGTACATTTACAAGAACTACGACGTCTTCGGCAAGTACGTCAAGAGCAACTCGAAGATGCTTCTCTCCGCCGCTCCTCAGTGCGTTGTCCCAGACGTCAGGATCTCACCGGTTCTCAAGGCCGTCCCCTTCGACTTTATCTTCACTCAGTTCTACAACACCCGAATCTGCTCTGCCGCTCAGGCCGTCCAAGACATCAAGGACAAGAAGACTAGCACCTTCACTTTCGACAAATGGATCTCTGAGATCAAGGCCTCTGCGAACCCCAACCTCAAGTTCTACATTGGATTGGCCGCAGGTCCGGATGGTCTCCCCACGCACAAGGAAGACTACCTCACGCCCGAAGATGCGAACACTCTGATTACGAAGTACAAAGGCAACACCAACTTCGGCGGTGTGATGCTCTGGGAGGCCTCCGTTTCCGTCAGGAACCCAACATACGGGCGGTCCTACGGTACTTGGATGAAGTATGCTGTCGAGGGTACTTTCTTGCAGAACTACAATCCCATCGTGTCTTCCAGCACCAGGTCTTCAACAACATCTACTAAGACCTCGACCACCAAGACACCTTCCAGCACCCCTGTTACTTCTACCAAGACCTCATCCACGAAGAGCTCGTCCACCAAGATCTCGTCCTCTACTCCCATCTCGAGCAGCAAGATCCCTTCCAGCACTCCTACCCCCAGCACCATGATCACCAGCAGCAAGACCTCATCTTCTGCTCACATCACCTCAAGCACGGTTTCTTCGTCTGCATACCTCACCTCCAGCTCGATTTCCAGCAGCAGCAGCAGCAGCAGTAGCTCAGCATACGAAACTGTCTCTACCAAGAGCGCCAGCTCCGTCGAGACTGTTAGCAGCACTCTGATCGAGCCATCTTCCATCGCGACAATCTCTGCGTCTGCCTCTAGCAGCGAGTCAGCCTACGTGCCTTACCCGACTGAGACCGCCAGCTCTGTTGAGACCATCAGCAGCTCCGCGACTGAGTCTTCTTCCATTGACACCATCTCTGCCACAAAGGAGGGTAGCTCAGTATACGTGCCTTACCCGACCGAGACCCCGAGCTCTGTCGAGACTGTCAGCAGCACCTTCATTGAGCCGTCATCCATTGCCACAATCTCTGCATCCGAGACTCTTAGCAGCTCTGTCTACGTTCCTTCCTCAAGCGAGACCTCCACCTCAACCGACAAGTACCCCACTGACACTGTATCCGCGACCACATCGGGCGACATGTACCCTACTGACACTGTCTCCGCAACTACCCCTGAGGGCATCTCTTCGACTTCTTGCAGCACCTCCAGCGTTGCATACCCCACTGGCGCCAGCTCCAGCGATGTCTACTCGGTGTCATCTGGTGTCTACTCTACTGCATCCCCAGTGTACCCCACCTCAACCTACTCTGCTAGCAAGGGTGCGGACTACCCCGAGTATCCTGCTGAGAGCTCCAAGAGCGACGCTGAGTCAAGCACTGGCTATGACAGCGTTCCATCGGTTACGAAGAAGCCTGATTACTCTGAGTACTCCAGTGCTCCTACTGGCTCCACCACCGCCACTGTCATCACTAGTAAGTTTATGGCGAGCCCAAACATCCACTTACTATTCGCTAACATCTGATAGCTACCTACGTCGATGTCTGCCCTACTGGTTTGACTACCGTCACCACCACATACTGGACAACCGTCTGCACCAAGTGCGCCGCGAAGCCCACCGGCTCGGCCGACGTACCTGAAGGTTGGACCACCAGTGTCTACACTGCCAGCACCGTTACCGTGACTCTTACCAAGCCCATCGTCACGCCTACCAGCATGCCCGCATACCCATCGTCCGCTCCTTCCGTTGCATACCCCGCGGACTACCCTGCTAAGCCCGTGTCCTCTGGCAAGCCTGGATACCCTGCCGTCCCTGAGGCGTCTATGCCCGCATACCCAGCTGCCCCTAAGCCCTCCAAGGCTGCCGAGCACCCAGCTGTTCCTGAGACTTCCAAGGCCGCCGAGTACCCATCTGCTCCTCAGGAATCCATGCCCGCCTACCCTGCCGTTCCTGAAGCCTCCAAGGCGGCTGAATATCCTGCCATGCCCGAGGCACCCAAGCCAGCTTCTTCCTCTGCCGCCGCTGGCTACCCATCTGCACCCATCGCATCCGAGTACCCCAAGAAGCCTGTCGAGCAGGAGGTGACCAGCACCGTCCGCGTTACCTCCACCCTCTCTAAGGTCGCCGTTCCCACCTACGCTCCCGCTCCTTACCCAACGGTCAGCGCTGGAGGTGTGCCTTACGTCCCTGCCGGCTCTGCCAGCAGCTACGCCCCTATGCCTACTGGCACTGGTGTTGGTTCCGCCTACCCTTCTATGCCGGCGGAGTTCACAGGTGCTGCTAGCCGTGCTGGCGCGGGATTCATGATGGTTGTTGGTGTTGTTGGTGCCGTTCTTGTTCTATAAATTTGAGATGTGATGGTTGGAGAGTTGTTCTGATGTTTACGTTTCTCATGTCATTTCGTACGTTTTTTTTAGATACCACTATACGTAGTTGTATGTCATGCGAGTACGCGCGATTTTCGCTCTCTGTTGCTTGATTAGTCCCTTGATGATGCTCCTCGTGTCTGGACGTCCATGTAGACGCGTTCGCAATCCTCAGCTGTGAAGAAAGTTCGGAACATAGCGATCTGGCAATGGCTTATTAATGATGCAGACGGAAGACGAGGGTTGCGGGTCGGCAGCGGGAGGCCGCGGGGGAGAAGCTTGGAGCTTCGAAACGTGGTGGAGACAGCCCAGTCACCTTTCGTCATTCCCTCGCGAACACCAAATCCACGCAAACGCGCAGCCTTTGTCGACGCAACAAACTCGACCGTCAGAGCGCCGCGATGCCCATACAGAAGCCATTCCACTTACTTATCATTCCACCTGACTGAAACTCGCAGCCTCACCTTGCGTTCGCCTAGCTGTTTGTAGAAGCATCACCCTTCACCTAGCATTTGCCTCTCCGCTCCTTGCTCGAGCGACTCTCATCAAACCCATATAAGCTCCTGGAAAGATATACAACGTGTCAAAATGAAGTACACAGTCTACGACCGCTTACTCAAGCGCGAAGTCGGACAGCAGCCCAGAAAATACTCCGACATTCGATCCATATACGGTGATCGCAAATGGATTAACGACCTTGACATCGTGAACGAGCTAGAAGGCCACAACGGATGCGTCAATGCTCTGAGGTATGCCGTTGCCCTACATGAACATCAGTAACACGACCTGACTCTATTAGTTGGTCAACTTCAGGCCGGCTACTTGCCTCTGGCTCTGACGACCATCGCATCAATATCCACTCGTACCACCCCGAATCGTCCACCTCGCAGTTCAGCCTCACCACTTCTATCGAGACGGGTCACCGGTCCAACATCTTCTCGGTGAAGTTCATGCCCTACTCGAACGATGGCACCATTGTCAGCGCAACAGACGATGTAAGGATATTCGATATCGAACACTCAGGGCACTCGGCCCTCCGGTCTACTGGCAGATCCAACAGCGGAGGAAGTGCAGGCAGAGCACGCAGCAGGGTGACGCTCACAGAAGCTGACACCAACGCAAAAGCATTCCGTTGCCACACCGACACTGTCAAGCGCATCGTCACAGAAGACAATCCCTTCTACTTCCTTACATGCTCGAACGACGGAGAAGTACGGCAGTGGGATGTACGGCAACCTTCAAGGGCATATCCGCCTGCACGAGACACCATGCTACCTGCGTGGGCGAGAGACGAAGACGCTTCAGACAGCATTCCGCCGCCGCTCATCTCGTATGGCAGGTATGGACTGGATCTCAACACAGTATCTTGCTCGCCTAGTCAGCCGCACTATATCGCATTGGGTGGAGCGCATCTCCATTGCTTCTTACATGATCGACGTATGCTCGGCCGTGACATCAACAACGAGCGGGGATCCAGACTTTCTAGTCCAGGAAACTGGAGTGAGAATGATGAAGAGCTGTTAGGAAAGGCAACACAATGCGTCAAGAAATTTGCGCCTAACGGGAAGCGTCGCATGAACAGAAGCGATGGCGGTCACATTACAGCATGCAAGATTAGTGATGCTGAGCCAAATGAGCTCATCGTGAGTTGGTCTCAGGATCACATTTACAGTTTCGACATCCTGAGGGCCCCGGACGCTAGAGAGAATGTGAAACCCGTCAAGACGTCAAATAGTGGATCTGGCCATCGTGTGAAGGACACAAGTAGGAAGCGCAAGCGACCAAAGTCTAGCACCTTGTCACAAGAAGGTGTGGAGAGAGCAGAGTCAAGAGCACGAACTGCAAGCGCTGACGAGGACCTGGCACTCCGAGTGACCTACGGGAATGGTCAAAGTGAAGATATTCGCATTCATCCTCCTGCCGAGAACCGCATGACCCAAGAAGAGTTGAACGATCTGCGAGCATCGGATCATTACCGTATTGCAAGTACAACTGTCAAAATAGCGAAACATGTCTTCGAGCTTGGAGAGCTCGGTGAGTCTGGTCTTCGACTTGCATGCACATCTATCGTGGGTCTGGCGCATTCAATCTTGTCCGACATGGATGACATAGACAGAACTTGGGGCTATCCAATCGACCCAGATCCCGTAGACGTCGCAGTTCAAAACAAGCTCCGCGACAGCAGAGCGGCCTCTCGTCGCTTCGTGCAAGCAGCTGGGACGTTGACCCGCGTACTGGGAGGACAGCTCTTGGCCGGGTCCAGCTCTGATGCACTGATTGCTCAGTATTTCGCGTCTATACAACCGGCGCCTCGAGAACGCGAGCTTCCACAACATGAACAGTTTGGATATGATTTCCTGAAAGCTATACTATTGTGGATTGATAGTGGCCCTGCTGCAGTCGTGGAGGGGTTTTCGCGTCGAAGTGGCAGCGCTCGCTTCCCGATCCCATATGATTCTGATTTGGACGCTATACAGGAGCGATTGATTCCATATCTGCTTGAATTGGCAAGCGATGATAGCATCGTCAACGTGGATGCTTCCAAGTTCGAGACAGACACTACTCGGATATTGTTCGACTCCGAATTCGAGGCTGTAGATACCTTCGGTCATGCACTTAAAGTACCCTTTGCTGACCTCACTGGCGAGAGAGATCCAACATCAGAATCAGAATCTTCTAGTGAGCCCACGCAGACGCGAGCTGCAGCAAAAAGGAGATGGGTGTATCAAGTTGGGAGGGGTGTGCTACGCAATGCAGCCAAGGATATCAAGTTTGCTTTTGTGGATCGCGCCTATGGTGGTCAGGGTATATCAGATAAGACGATCAGGGCGGAAGAGAAAGCATTGAGGGAACGACAAGAGGAAATTGATACTACAGTAGATGAGGGGCCGGTTCGAGATGCGGAACTTGTCAGCACAGCAGCACGAGAGAACAGCGTCCGGGAAGAGGCTACTCTAAGCGCTTCTCATGCGAACGAGTCGGAATCAGTGGTCGTTGAGAGTGCTGACGAAGAGGATGAAGAAGAGGATGATGATGATGATGATGATGACGACACCGACGGTGATGCAGACTCAGACGACGGAGAACAGGAAGACGATGACGACTCTGACTCCGTCGACGAAGAAGGACTTCAACGTACACGATCTGGACACATGCTCTGGCGATCAGACTTCAGCCGCAGTCGTTACAGGCGATGGAGAGTCGAGCGCGACGTCCCTTGTGTACCCCATACACGTGTCTACACTGGCCATTGCAACGTCAAGACAGTCAAGGACGTGAACTATTTCGGCCTGCAGGACGAATACGTCGTCAGCGGGAGTGACTCTGGGCACGTTTTCATTTGGGACCGCAAAACAGCAGAGCTTGTCAACATCTTGGAGGGAGATGGTGAGGTGGTGAATGTTGTTCAGGGTAAGTTTCGTATACTCAAGTATAGAGAGAGGAAAGAGTCTAACACAGTTTGAACAGGTCACCCCTACGAACCCACAATGGCAGTTTCTGGTATCGACCACACGATCAAGATCTTCTCTCCAGACGCCCACCTGCAGCGTAACGCACGCAAAGGCGTCGGTGTGCAATCATCTGATCCAGGTTCCTTTTCCAGCCTCAATTTCGGCCGCAGACGGCGTAATCGTGCCGCCGAACCCTCCACTGAGGCTACTGAGAGTGAGCCTGCAGTCGACGCTCCCAGCGACAGCGACGACGAAGTTGCGCCTGGTGGACTGAGCAGTCGAAAGAGGATGCACCAGAGTTATCAGATTACGAGCCAGAATGATATGGATAGGAAGGGCGGGAGGGATGATTATTTCATCAGTCAGGCTGTTTTCGCGCAGTTGGCGAGGCATATTGCGAGGGGGCAGGGTGGAGGTGAGGAGGGAGGAGAAGGCGGGCCGGTTATCATTACTGAGGAGAATTGTAACATCATGTAGTGTATATATGGGAATGCATATTTGAACGAAGTTGTCATGTTTTCGTCTGTCTGGCCGTCAGAAGAAGTTTGTTGGCGCGCAATAAACATTCATGTGTCCCCTCCAAGCTTTACTCCTATTCGTGAAGGTCATCTATCGCATACAAGAGCCGCTTCACTTCGTGAGACAAGCATGGGAAATAACTGCAACGTCATATAGGTAAGAATAAAAGTCTGAATGACATTTCCGTATTCATTGCACAGCCACCAAGCCAATTATATAGGCGCAATACAATGTCGTTGCGCCCTCCTAAACTTTTACTCCTATCTTGGAAGATTAAGCCCAGCATCCGCGATGCAATTGTCTGTATCCCCCTTCTATGAGGCCTTCTTCTGCTTGGCCTTGAGCGCCTTCTTCCGGTTGCTCCTTATCATGACTACCGAGAGGAAGCTACCGACGACGGTGGTACCAAGGATGATGAGGATGACGGGGATGCGGATGGCCCAGACGCGTGGCAGGAAGAGGGAGTGAAGGATGTGGTCGTCATCCACGAAGGGCTGTATAGAGTTAGGAAATGTTGCAGAACCAAGCAGGAGTATAAGAACATACCATGAACAGAGTCCACACGGTGTAGTAGACGAAGATGGCAGTCGCTGCGACGAGCATGCTTAGACCTACAAGGCGATCGGCCTTTCTATTGTCAGTGACCATATTTTTTCCACCCGAGGGACTGCAACATACCATTGTGGAGTTTGGCGAAGGAGTGAACGAGTGTATGAGCTTGGAGTATTTGGTGGTTGCAATCACCTCGCTGTCCCTTCCCCCCCAAAGTCGCGCCAAGCTAAGGACCCCTGTCGGTGAAATCGCGGCCCGTTCGCCGCAACCTTGGATCGCCCAACCGCCTGCGAGCTAAACTTTTGCGAAGCGCGTCACTCACGCCTCACCACCGACATACTTCACCCTCGACACGACCCGCTGACCGAGAATGGAAGTCGCATCTGCCGTTCGACTGCCTTCGCCGGAGCCGGAGCTAGACGACGACGCCAAGGAAGTTCCGCGCAAACGCGAGCGCTCACCATACGACGGACCGAGTGCTGGGCCATCGAAGAGAAGTAGGAGAGATGATGAAGAGGATGACCGTCGCAATGGGGGCTCAGGCCGTCGCCCGGCGCCAAAGCCCACGACCGACGACCTTGCCGAGGATGACTCGCGATTGAACCTCTTCAAGAATGCCTTCAGCGCGAACCGCAAGCTGCCGGTTGACGATTCAAAGACACGTGCTGGAGGCGCGTATATTCCTCCTGCGCGACTGCGCGAGATGCAAAAGTCAATTACCGACAAGAAGAGTCCCGAATTCCAGCGCATGGCTTGGGAGGCGCTCAAGAAGTCGATCCAGGGTTTGATCAACAAGACGAATACGGCAAACATCAAGATGATAGTGCCGGAGCTGTTCTCGGAGAACCTGGTGCGCGGCCGCGGTCTGTTCTGCAGAGCTATCATGAAGGCGCAAGCAGCCAGTCTGCCCTTCACGCCCATCTACGCAGCCATGGTCGCCATTGTCAACACAAAGCTGCCTCAAGTCGGCGATCTGCTGGTTCGGCGTTTGATTGTGCAGTTCAGGAAGGGCTTCAGGAGAAACGACAAGGCTGTCGCGCTATCGAGCACTATGTTCCTTTCGCACCTCGTCAACACACAAGTCGTCCACGAGATCTTGATCGCCGAGATCCTGCTTCTCCTGCTCAACAAGCCCTCCGATGACTCCGTTGAGATCGCAGTCGGTATCATGAAAGAGGTCGGTGCTTTCCTCGACGAGATGAAGCCTGCGATCGCCAATGCCATCTTCGACCAGATGCGCAACATCCTCCACGAAGCCGACATCGACAAGCGAACACAGTATATGATTGAGGTTCTCTTCGAGGTTCGGCGCACAAAGTACAAGGACAACCCTGTCGTAAGGGAAGACCTGGATCTGGTGGAGGAAGAGGATCAGATTACCCACAACCATACGCTTGAGGGCGATTTGAAGGTCGAAGACGGTCTGAACATCTTCAAGGTTGATCCGGATTACGAAGCGCATGAGGAAGAGTACGCGAAGATCAAGGCTGAGATTTTGGGCGAAGAGGAAGGTAGCGATGAAGACGAATACACGGATGCATCGTCTGAGGATGAGGAAGACGAGGAAGTGAAGGCCATGGATGTCAAGGACCAGACCAATGCGGACCTCGTCAACCTGCGCCGAACTATTTACTTGACCATCAAGAGTAGTGGTGGTTTCGAGGAGTGTGTGCACAAGCTTATGCGCATCAATCTACCACATGGTCTGGAAAATGAGCTCACAACGATGATCGTCGAGTGCGCAAGTCAGGAGCGCACATACGAGAAGTTTTATGGCATGATCGGAGAGCGCTTCTGCAAGCTGAACAGGATGTGGACCGACCTTTTCGAGGAAGGATTCGCCCACTACTACGAGACTATCCACCGCTTCGAGACGAATCGCCTTCGCATCATCGCACAGTTCTTCGCCCATCTGCTAGCGTCTGATGGTATCGGTTGGCACGTCTTTCAGGTGGTCAAGATGACGGAGGAAGACACCACATCCAGTTCACGTATCTTCGTCAAGATCCTGTTCGAAGAGCTCCTAGCCTCACTCGGTCAAAAGGTAGTTGTAGAGCGATTCAAGGATCCTATGCTACAGGACAGTCTTACTGGTATCTTCCCCACGGATGCAGACGACCAGAGCAAGACACGCTTCTCAATCAACTTCTTCACCGCCATCGGTATGGGTGTGCTTACCGAAGGCATGCGCGACTGGCTCAAGAACAGTGCGCCCAAGCCTAAGCCACTTCCCGAGCCAGAAAGCGACTCAGACGATCGCAGTGTCTCATCAAGATCAAGCTACACTTCAAGCAGCTATTCGCGATCACGCAGCCCAGTTCGTAGAAGGCGCGACGACTCAAGATCTAGATCCAGATCTAGCTCAAGAGGCCGTTCATACACACGCAGCCCTTCGCCAGCTCGCAAACGTGGAGGTCGTGGCAGAAGCGGGTCTTACAGCTCCGCATCCCGCTCTCGATCACGATCCCGTTCCCCAGCACCCCGCAAACTCAGGAGCAAGCGCTCTTACTCATCCTCCCTTTCTCGATCACGCTCCCCGGCACCCAGAAAACGTGGTCGCAGCCCCTCATCTTCGGTATCCCGGTCTCGTTCCCCACCGCCAAAGGGCAGATCAACACGTCGCGGACGTAGCCTATCTGGCTCCATATCCCGCTCTCCTCCTCCACGCCGTAGTCGCAAGTATTCGACGTCTCCGTCTCGTTCGCCATCACCTCCTCCACGTCGTCGTCGCGATTCTAGTAGTCCGCCTCCCAGGCGTAGACGCGCGTCGAGCAGTCCACCACCGTCCAAAGGGAAGGGGAGAGCGAGGGATGTTAGTGATAGTCCGCCGCCGCGCCGCAGGAGGGATTCTAGTAGCCCACCGCCCGAGAGGGGCGTTAATGGAAAGGGGAAAGCGATAAAGAGGGAATACAGTGAGAGTCCGCCGCCAAGGATTAAGAGGGATGATAGCAGTCCGCCACCGAGGAGAAGGAGGGACTCGTAGTTTGAGTTCTGCAGCTTTTGATAAGAGTGGAGAGAAAATCGTGGGTTCCATGGCAATGGGCGTTATATCGTTTTACGGGGAGGAAGAGTGTATGGAATGGCAGCGTTTGCATTGTACATTTACTGGAAGCATAGTTGCGAGATTGAACGAAAGCAAGTTGCGGCAAAACCGTGGTATTAGTTTAGGTACATCGATCGATCTAGCTACGAGAAGAGAGATATCATTGCATCAGCAGCCTTGTACCGAACAGTTCTTCTTTCATTCATGCAATAGTATGTTTCCTGGGCTAAAGGGGCATTAACCTTATTTGAGGCTCTGACAGCGCATGGGCGATACCGTCCGTCGTGCAGCTTTGATGGGTCGTAGGTGTCATTTGGGTGTCGGTAGCTATGAGCGATTCCAATGGCTGTTCTGGTTATATTCGGTGACCGCGGATGTCGTAGAGCCCCCAGAGGAAGAGGCTTGCGACATGCTATGTGCAGTATCCTAGTAATGGTGGGGATATTTGTTGACATGCTTGTGCAAGGGCAAGCTTGTACGAGTCGACAGCTACATTGTACTGCTTGGCCGAGTAGACCGTCGAGAGGACGCCAAAGAGGATCGTCAAGAAGAACACTCCGAAAATGGTGACCCATATGGTTGCGAATTGGGCAGTATTTCTTCTATCCAGTAGGGTTTGACGTACAGTCTCCGGAGGTCCATAGAACAAACTCAGCAGTTGTGACAAACGACTCCTCCAGAACTCAAAGTCATCAAGTTCAATCGCTTGAGGTATGTCAATTGAGTTCGCTATCCACATCTGAACCTTCTCGTCGTTCAAGAAGGTCTCTGTTGGTTCGTCGCCCTCGGGGAATAGGAGATCGAGGGTACAAATGGTCTCATCTAGAAGATCCTTTGGAATGAGCATTGGTTCGGGTTCTTTTCGGTGGTTTATCAGGCAGATTTTATGTTTGTAGATTGACAATTGGCGTTCTCCCCGAGACCCATGTAGTCTCAGATGGTCCGCTAGATTATCGGTCCAAAGTATTTCCAATCGACATATGTCCTTAAGACCCACAGCTGTGAACGAATCGTCGAACAGGAATATCGACGCTGAACGTGCTTTCCTTCTGTTGTTTATGAATGGTGCAGCAACCGTCTCTTTCAGTGATTGATCGTTTTGCCATCGGATGTAAGACACTTTCAACTTTTCTGGTCCAACAAATAGTCCTTTGGAGCGCACGTTGATACCTATCCAAAGACGAACCGCGAGTTCGACAGAGCACGCGATAGCTTTATCGCCAATATTCTGATGTTTCTTTTTGAAATCTGACACCAGTACCTCTTTCTTTGTATCCCTACCAAAGCTCAACTGGGTGAGTATAGCAAGCATGCCATCCCACTCTTCTGTCGCGAACTCGTGACCAAAAGGGCGCAGGCTTTTCAGAACCTCTCCCCAGTAACCAAACAAAGCTGTATATTCGTCTTCGAAGTAGTCACTTTCCGAAATGTTCAGATGAGGCCAGAAAGCATTAATTAAGGCACACTTTTGCGTTATTCCAAAATCTTGTATGTCCGAGAACAGTCTCTTGTTGGCCAGCGACATAGTCCTGATACGCCCTCATACGGCAACACAGATAGGAAACTGTTTTGTGAGGTAAAAGCTGTTGGTTTCTGAACCTACTGAGGCTACATCTATCTCATGTGGACTGATGGGAAGGCTGAGGTGGAAAATCTTGGCTCCGGGGTTCTGGGTTTTCCGATCCTGTACGGTGGACGTCATCTCACATATGCCACAACTTACGATTCGCTTGCGCATACCAATTCATGCCACCAATAACTTCAGCTGAATTCCTTGGGTTGCTGCGCCGCACCCCGCGTTCCTTCTGTCACTAACACCATCAACGACAAGCGCAGTCTATAGTACCAACCTTGAATCATAGACTACATCGACCCAGACCACATACCTACTTAGGTATAATACATGGCTGATGTATCCAGGTATTGAGAATCAGAATCAGTAACTTTTTACTGGCAGTTTAAGTGACGCGGCTGACATCTCCAGCTACTATCTACAGGTGCCACAAAATATCGTCTTGGTCCTTCGCGCGAGCCAGTGATCGTATAGGAAGTTTACTTTGGCTTTACTGATTTTTCACACATGCTCGCGTTGTGTCAGTCTAGCTGCCGTCCGGACATACAGTATAACCCGAAAATGACTGATCCTACGCCGCTCCAGCCTGCACCACTACCCGTTCCACAAGGTCTGGGATTGCTTGTTCCCCAGGCAGAGACATTTCTGGTAGAGGGACTCCACATCGGCCTTTTGTCGCGACATCAGCCCCCAACCGAGGTGCGAGAGTGGTTTGACGACAACCGTGTTTGTGAAATGCTTAAGGCACATGTCAAACGAAAGAATAAGAGCACAGTCTACCTAACGGCCATTGTTTTGTGTATGGCGGGTAAGCTGGATGGAGTCGAGGTCATGTTGACACCTACTATCTGGATTTCGGGCGGTGACAAGAAGTCAAAAAGTAGCATCAAAAGCTCAATCAGCAACTTGAGCTATCTCAATAGGTTCCTGGCAAGATTTCAGATGAGAGAGCCTCATGTTACCGTCAGCGGTCCGGAAATCTTGTCAGGAGTAAGAATATCTTCAGGAGCTGGCATACACACATTTGAAATCCGAGCTGCCTATGAGAGCCTGGATTCTGTATGTGGTACTAGTGCCAGATTCACTATGGAAGTAGCATCCGATGGCAGTACCTTCAAATCATACACCACTATTGGTGGCTTGATCCTTGTGGATGATAACCTCTTCGCTATAACAACCGCTCACGCTATCACGAAGTATGCGATCCCGAATCCTCGGAACATAGTCACAGAAACAACGGATGACTCTCCTATGCTGAGAGACCTGGATATGCTCGAATGGAAGCCCTCACAGTTCCCGAGTACTTTCGCATACTTGGGTGATGCATATATTCGAGGCGTCAAAGTCGACAGGCCTCTTGTTGATGCTGCAGACTTCGCTCTGGTGGAACCACAATCATTCCCGAACTTAGGTTTCAATACATACCAGCTCAAAGATCGGTCACACTTCGAATCAGTTTCAGACTATACGCCAACCTCTGAACTCAAATCTGGGGATGTGACGATCTGTACAAATGACGACACACTTCCGATGAAGGGAATTATGGTGAAAGGCGACGCACCCATTGTCGTGGGAGGTGTTGTCATGCTCACGAGGATGATAGAAGTGACTACAATGCCCTGTATGTTAGAGAAGACCTCATGATGTGTTAGGATATTACTAATGGGTCAAATAGCTCCAGGCCTATCTGGCTCTTGGGTCGTTCGGGAAGGAAAGCTGTGCGGCGTGGTATACGCAGGCAGCGTCTCGATTCCATATCTGTACATCATTCCGGCTGAAATCATGCTGGAGGATGTAAAGAAGTTACTCGGAGCTAGTACTGTGAGAGTAGCGACTGCTCAGAATATATCTACGTGGAAGCTTGAGAATGTGGGGTTCGTTCCTACCTTTGGGTCTTCGACATATGCATCCTCATCGTCTGGTGCAGCGTATATACAGCCTGAAGAAGTATGCTCTTCGTTTGCTCCGGTCTCGTGATAATTGATCAACTAACAACTCTCTAGACATCCTCATATGAGACGTATCAAGTGGGAGATTTGGTTCGAATTAATGCTCCTATTTCTGGTGGATCACAGGAAGTGTATACTGTTTCTGATCGTTTGTTAGATCGAAAAGGCAACACACAATATAAGCTTCAGAGGTCTGATGGACTCTTGGTAGCTGGAGGGAAGTGGTTCAGTACTAACGAACTGTACTTCTTTTAAGAGAAATCTCCCAGATAGTAAAGGTTAGTAGGAAAGTCCCTGAATGAGTGGGTATTGTTGTAGCTATCATAGAACATGACACTACCGCATTGTAGGGTATTTTCGATATTGCAATGTCACTATTTCCCACCAACTCAAGTCCTTCCCCACGAAACACATGACTTCATTGTTTTTAGTAGGCTAGGCCACACGTCAAGATAGAAAGTTTGATCGCCTTCTAATTAAAGTGAAAATGAAAGCGCGTTTGCTCCGAGTTCACTACTCGCCACTACCGCTAGAGCTTACACTTGTCGCCAACCTCGCCTTCCTTCTACCACGCCTTCTGTCAACACCGAACCTAAAATGCCCCTGCCTTTTGTGTCTGTAAGCTTACACATCTAACAAGAACCTCGATAGGTAGTCCATCCGCATCGCCCAGAAAAATAGCACCATTCTCACACCCAAAGCACTCGAGCGCGCTATCAACGTCTTACTTCCATACACCCGCAAACTACGCTCCTCAGCAACAATGGACAACGACCCTGACACCCAGCGAATTCGTGCCCGCCTTGCCAATTGCGGTACTCCTCAAGAGATTGCCGAAGAAGGCTTTCGCGTCTGTCGCGTCAATGCTGATCTACGCGCTGTGGTATGTGGTGACTACACAAAATGCATGTGATACATGCAGACTTCTTACCTTCGATCCTATAGTTGGACAAGGTCAAGAAGACTACTGCAACTGCGACTGCTGCACTTGCACAAAATGGTGCTGTCCCCGCCTCCATGGCCGCTTCCACATCATCTACTGCCGGCACCATTCCTATCCTCAAGAGCAACACTGCAGTCCCCACCTCCACTATCCCCGCCACCCCTCCTCAAGGCTAGCCTCGGGCTATCAAGGCGCTGAAGAACAAGATCGCCGTGATGGAAGATGCTCTCGCAGAAATGCGGAATGAAGCGCCCAAGATGCGCGAGTGCATGGCGTGGATGTGGGACATCATTGGCAAGGAGCGCATGGATCATATTCCAAAGCAATTGAAGGACATGTACCATGAAACGATGGTCGTGGACTTGCTGGATTGGCAGCCAAAGGGTAGGGTTAAAGGTGGCAAGGGTAAGGATGACTTGAAGCATACAAAGGGTAAAGAGGTCGATGCCAAGAAGGAGAGGGCGTCTGCTGCCGACAATGTCGTTGCAGGTGTCAAGCGAAGGGGCGTATCGCCTCTTGGTAAAGACGCCAAGAAGACCAAGATTGAACAGAGGGATGTCGAAGGTGCTGTGTTCGTTAAGTGAAGGTGCAGGTGGAGTGTTTGGCTTTGCATCGAAACGATGTCAACGTCAGGTGGTAAACACGGGACCCGCTAAAAGTCTTTATAGCACCAAGTATTTGCCAGGCTATATCAATAAACATCACAAAACACGCTAAACATCACTGAAGTAAGACAACGTTATGAACATAAAAATCCTTTATTCTATAGAAGAGACAAATGCAATCGCTAATTATCAATAGCCTTCCACGCACACACCACTGCACAGATGCGAATATACACACGTGAATGATGATAGAAGAAATATTATCGCATCAGGTGCATTTCCCTTCAGTCCCTTATTTCCTAGTTCATCATCTATGAAACCTGGACGAACTGACCCATGGCCGGAACACCATCGACAACGACGTAGATGACGTAAGGACCGGCAGGCGCAATAGCCTTGTTAGGAGGCATGGTGACAGTCAAGCTCTGGGCAGTGGCGCCAGCCTTGAAGCCGGTGTTGTCAAGGAAGATCATGCGGTGACCCATGTGGACGGAGTGGGTAACGAATCCACCGTAGTAGAGAGAGATCTTGACGTTCTTAGCGTTGGCAGGAGCAGTGAACTTGATGTTGAAGGTCGAGGCGACCTTGAGGTTCTTGGACGAGATCTGGACGGCGGAGGGACGAGTGGGGTTGCCCTGGAGGTAAGGGGGTGTGTAGATCTCGTTGCGGAACTCAGTGACGAAGGGGTTCTTAGCGTCAGGGGTGAGGATGGGCTGCTCGACGGGGTTGGATCCAGAGATCAGGAGGGTACCGTCGAGAAGGAGGAGAGCGACACTGTGGTAGAGACGAGCAATGGTGGAGGCAGGGCCGGTGGTGAAGCGCTTGCCCTTGGGCTGGTTGGGGTCGTAGAGAAGGACCTCGAGGGCGGGGTCCTGGGCAACACCGAAACCTTGGGCACCTTCTTGAGCACCGTTGACCCAGACGACGGTACCGTCAGGGAGGAGAGTTCCCTCAACCATACCACGGCCCTCGGGCATAGAGTCCATCTCCCACTCTGGGTCAGCATCGAGAGGCCTGATGCGACCGCAAGATGGGTCAGCAGGGGCGGTGATGTCTTGGTAAGGGCCACCACCGCAGATGATGATGTCGGGGTTGTAGTCGTTGGCAGAGGACAGAGGAAGCATGACGGATCCACCAGTGTTAGGGTAGGTACGGTAAGTGCCAGGAAGGTCAGGAAGCGTGCGGACGACAGTTCCAGTCTCGACCTTGAAGATCTCAGCAGACTTGGAAACCTGAACGAAGAGGTTGCCATCCTTCATCAAGTGCATGAAGGGGTACATGTAGTAGGGCTGGTTCTTGCTGAGGATCTCCATGTTGAAGCTGGTTCCCTGAGGAGTACCGTCGGCGTTGAGAATCTCGTAGGTAGGGTTGTTGTTCTCGGGCTTTGAGGGGTCAAGACCGTTCTTGGATCCAGATGCGACAAAGATTTGGTCGTTGGGCATGATCTGGACGGAAGCGTACCAGCGGGGAGTGTCAAGCTGGGTACCGGGCTCGTTCCAGGCTTGTCCGTCGAGGGAGGCATCGGAAGAGGAGCGCTTGAGGAAACGGATACCGCGGAAACCATCACCAACAGTGGGGTCGATGAAGTCAAGAGGAGCGTTACCACCGAGAGAAGCGAAACGGCCATCAGCAAGGAAGATACCGCCAGAGCAGAAAGCGTTGGTCTTGTAAGCCAAGGGGGTGAGCTTGCCGGTGCTGGGATCCCACTCCGAAGAGTAAGCATACTGACCGTTGGCAAGCTTGAGTTCAGTGTAGTTCTCAACCTTGTCGAGGAAGACGACCTTGCCGTTGGGCATCAGACCAGCGTGCATAGCAGGCACACCGGAGCGACCCTTAAGCGCGATGCTACCTGGCTTGGCGGCGCGAGGAGCAGGGCTGGCAGCAGGAGCAGGAACGCTGGGGGCGTTGACGCAAGGACCGTTCTGGCAACCCTCACCGCAGTGAGCGGTGGTGTTACCACAGTAGCCGTACATGGAGCAGCAGCTACCCTGGGCCCAGTCACCGCAGACAGTGTTTCCGAACTTGGCACCACAGCTGCCGTCAGTAGTGGCGACGCCGGTGGGCTTCGCGGCAGCAGCAGTCGTGGGCTTACCAAGAACTGGCTCGCCAGAAGTAGTCGACGAAGGAGGACGGCTAGAGACAGGGGCAGGGTCGCCCTTAGCGGGTTGGCCCTTGGAAGGAGTTGTGTCCTTGCATCCGTTCTGGCATCCGTTGGCGGCAAGGCAGTGGCCGTCAGTGGTACCACAGTAGCCGTAAGATGAGCAGCATCCACCGAAAGCACCGTTGGCATCGCATGTAGAGCCGCCAAAGTCCTTTCCGCAGCGACCGTCAGCCCGGGGCTTAGCAGCACCGGAAGTGGCAGCCTTGGTGGGTTGGGGGGTGGTGGTAACACCGCCCGCGTTGTTGCAGCCAGAAGAGCAGCCGGTTCCGCAGTGAGCGGGTGTGCTTCCACACCATCCGTACTCGGAGCAGCATGTGCCGGAGTAGACTGTGCTCTTGGGGTCGCAAAGCAGGTTGCCGTTAGCAGGACCGCACTTTCCGTCCGTAGAGTACTTGGCAGCCTGCCTCTTGGCGGGAACGACACGTAGCTGGGATCGAGAGACGAGCTTGGAGTACTCGCTCTTGAGATCCGGTACGCAGATGTCGTAGTCGCCGCAGTGCTGGCCAGTCAAGCAGCGGTTGAAGGTGTCGGTGCTGGAGCAGTTGGGGTTAACCCATTCGAAGTTGATGTTTGCGCTGGCCAAACCGGCTAGGGCGCCGAGGCCGAAAAGTGATGCCTTCATTGTGAGGGTTCACCTGTCAAAGTGATTAGAAACGAGTGTGGTGATAAAGAGTGTAAGCCAGCGATTGGGGCCGGTGATCATTCGAGATGCTGTTCTAGAATGATGATTACAAGGGTATATGTAGGTGAAGGTGATGAGTGACATTGATGATAGGGGGCGACGCAAGGACAGTTATGTAGTTGTTTTTGAGGGCGGGCAGATGGTCGTCGTGTCGCGAGGTTGGTGTTGCAAAAAAGAGGCTAACACCAGCATGCACAGCGACGTATTTTTGGCAGGCGACAGGGAGCCCCGCGTGGTAGCGAACGCTCAGATGGAAAGTACGTACCTAGCGAAAACAAATTAAGTATTACTAGAGGGTTGGTTGTATGGTGTCAAGGCAGCTGGAAACGAGTGACAGCTGTCGAGAGATGGATAACGAGTGAAGTGCTGAAGGCAAGGTGCTTGAAGTGCGCCTACAGCGATAGAGGTGAGGAGAGCAGAAGCGGGCGCGCCCAGATTCAAGTACCTGTGTAGAAAGCGCGTATACGAGGGCCGTTCAGCTGTGCTAGTCATCGGCTCGGCCATTTGCGACTGGAAAAGGAAAATTCAGGCACACATTGGACGCTTCGACCAGTAACGGTATTGCTCCAGGGCAGCCCTAAGGGGCACGAGCGGCAATCTCCACCCTGTCAGCCAATGCCAGCCCTGTGCGGCAAGATCGGCGCGGGGATTGGCCTACTCGAACTTCTATTTCTGGGCGCAAAGACTGGCTCCCAATGCACCGCCAGAGGGGAAGACGGCAATCGGCATGCGCTGGGCCTGATGCGACCTTGTGGTGGGGGAGTAGGCATGCTGCACGCCTACATGTGCCCTCGTAAAGGTGGGCCGCAACAGTGAGGCTATTGGTGAGGCACACGATGCTCAGGGACCACGTCGACGCCAGTGAAGGATCGTCCTGGCAACGTTGAAGCGCTGTCACCAAGCCGACGGAAGCACTCAAGCCTTTGCTAACGCCAGATAAGCTTCGCGAGTCGGCCGCATGGCGTCGAAGAGATTGCATCCACGGCACGCCTGGGGACGTCCTTTGCCCGAAATGGCAACACGTGCTGCATGGCTCCCCACAGATTCATCACTTCGGGCTAGCGTGACAGGGCTTCATTCTGCGTCAGGGGAAGGGACGACCAACATGTCCTGCAGTACCAAGAGAGGTCCAAGACTTTTGCTGAAGGTTACGTCAAAGAAACCCTCCGCCGAGCAAACACTCAAACGTTGGAAACAAACCTCCAAAATCTCACCCTGCTGACGCCCCTCAAAGTTGCCGGTATCCACGCCTTCCGACGGGCCTTCTGGAAACCCTGGACGCTCCCGTATTCCCACACACACCGGCCATCCTTCTAGCTCAACAAGTGGACCATCGCTATCATGACCCTGCCGCGCGACCCAGAGACGGCACAACGTGACAAGCCTTGGTAACATCCAGACAGTCGGTTGCACCCAACTATGATGCAAGTAGATCAAGTCCACCTCTCCCCGTCCGCGTATCGGGATATGAGCAGTTCGTAAGGAAATTGCCTGGTAGCAGATCACGAGAGACGCTCACGCCACCTGCCAATTTCAATCACACTCACCGTGCTTCAGGTATCGCGCCTTTTGCCTACTGCCAATGCCGGAGCAACACCGATGGTTGGATATTTGACCGCCCCTACCAGCCCTCCTCACCAAGCTCACCAAGGCGTGTAGCCACCCCGCCCCGGCCTCCCTCCAACACCGCCACCGCCTTTGCAACCATCGCCAACACCCCTCATTTCAATTTGGAAACCCCCCCAGATGCGTGCCGACAGCCGAGCTTTGCTGTCATGTTTGCCATATACCGATTGTTTTTGTCTTGTTCTCCCTTGGTGTGTATCACATTCAAGACGCTGCAGATCCAACTCGCCAAACCAGGCAGCTTAACCGGTTTCGTACAACGGCCCAAACATGTTCATTTCATCTTGTTTTCATGCGTCAGGGTTCCGCGTCTCCGCGCCTCTTATTCCCGCATGCCATGTGGTTTTCGGTAGTTTGAGTGCCTTTCTGCCCGTCGAAGCATCGGTTGCGATAGCTCCAGTCCGTCGACGCTGGAACCCAAACTATTGAATGGCTTGCGGCTAGCTCTGAGCTTGCATGAGCTTGCTGCCAACAACCATCACTTGGACTTCAGCTTTACGAGATCGTGATGACCGTCTCGTATCGATTGTGGTTGTGACGTAATTTTTTCTGCCGACTTTGCAAAAGCAGTATGGATGGTGCAGTGGTTGCCAAACGACTCGGATCTGCGGCGCGGTCAAATCAGAACGAGTGCTTCGCACAGAAGGTCGGTATGCTTCTACTACCGATTCCAATATTGTAACTCGGATAAAGCGGCATCGAAGACAACTGGGAGCGCCTTCTGTATCATTCGTCACTATCTGCTTCCACCTGAGCAGTATAAAGTTCACTCCATCGGCTTATGCGAAGCTGGCATGATTCCATCAAAACCCTTCCCTAGCTTGCAGCTCTTGCACATACCTGGCGCACAGTGCATCAGCACCACAAAAAATCATCTCAAAGTATGGCCACCTGTAAAGTCTCCGAGAACCGGAAATAAAATTGAAACTGAGCTCAGCATGGTGCACTCGGCCGACTACAACATGTCAGCCCTGATAATTCACAGCAAGTCACCTCCGTGGTCGCATATGAAGAGTGATAAGCTATCTGATGATGTGCATCTAACCTTCCGTTTGCGCATATAGGCTGACTTCGAAACCAAATCTTGCAAGGTACCAAGTCATGTTGCACTGTCTCCACCATCACATCGGTTGTATGTTTGATACGGCTGACATTCTGCCCCTGATGACTGGCAGCTGACAGGTGCATTGCCATACTCAAAACAATTATAGATGCATCCGCCACCTGGAACGCACGAACTTGACGTGGACTACGCCCAATGCGCGTCCACACCGCAACTTAAGGCGCGAAAGACCAAGTCAGCCATTTCGGAGTTGTGCTGTCTCATTCCCTCTGGTTTGTCCTAGTCTTTACCTTATGTTCTCCATATCATCAGCTCTAACGACAATATTCGACGGACTATCGAAGTACCAATCCGACTCCTGCTTTTACCACCATCACTACCATGGTATTCCCCCAAACCCCATCACCCATCTCCAGGCACCCTCAATGTGAAAAGGCTGGAGGGAACTAGACCGTTCAACCGAAGCCTGTGTGACATTCGCCTACAACGCCTCAGCTTTGCGAGACGTTACACACTCTGCATCGCGTATAATCAAGCATTGATTGCAGACATGGTTGCGAAGCAGCCGCCGCACAACTGAAGCCACCGCGTCCGCATCTCACAGACCACAAACTTGATCAGATGCCCACGACTTCGGCTCCTATTGGGGAGGGTCTGATGGTGCGACGTGTAGACTGGTGGAAGTGTGACTGGTACCCGGGTTCTGCGTCTGCACGAAAGGATAGTTGGTTGTATGCTAGGTATGTGTTTTTACAGAAGACTATATCTATGACGTTGGTTTGCGCTACTCAGGTGTCGAGCTATTGATATCTCACTGCTTCTGTTTGACCACAAACCTACTTGTTCATACTCCATTCCAGCTCACTGCGCGCTCATCACCTTACCATGTAATATCTAGCGTAGAACCCCTACCTCGTGTCCCCAGTCACATCCCGCATCAGCGCATTCCACAACATCCTCGCCTACCCCTACTTAGCTAAGCGCCTACACATCCAAGCCAAGCAGATCCAGCCGCGCGCTCCCGCCTGATCACCCGGTAACAGGTAGAATATGCGGGTAGCCCGGCGGTGACCCAGCGCTTGGTCATCACAGCGTTTTCACCGCATAAGGATGTCAGTGCGCGGGAATGTGCAGCGAGCGCTTTGGCGGTGGGAGAGGAGTGTGTTGGCGCTCAAGAATACCGTAGATGAAAAGAGAGGTTGGCGGTGACAGGCTGATTGGTCCAAGGAATAAGAGTCGGGTGATATGCAACCGTTGATAGGTCTTTACGATGTTGTTATTGCGCGGTTGTGGAAAGAGGGGAATGAGTTGCTGGGGAGTTTGAGAAACTTGTAGTCATTGTAAAAGTTTATTGGGATCAGATTCCAGGTCATTAATAATATTATAATTTAGCATTTATATAGGCTTCATGTTGTATGGCCATGGTTACTGTAGGGTATGTGTGGAAAGAAATCTCTGTAGTAGTGCTGTATATCGAAACCGCAAATCCAACCTTTTTGCCAACGCCTGGTATCATCCCTCATGTATTTCCCAACCCAAACACCATGCTCAAATAAGACAAATGAAAATAGCGTAGTTTGAATAGACTTAACCATCGCTGTCGCTCCGTCCGCAACTGATCACCCTGATGAAACTACTCGGTTTCTTCTTCACGGCCTGCCGCTCAAGATCCCGCCTTACCGTCCTCGCATTCTCCGCAGCCTCAATCCGGGCCCTCTCCAAGCGTTGATCCTCCTTACTGGTACTCTTCCGACCCTGCTTTGGTGCCTTTTCAGGGCTTGTACTTGGTCTCCTCGCTTCACAGTCACTATCCGTGCTGTCCATGCTGCCTTTTCCTTTCTTGCTAGTGCGACTCTTGACCTTGCGCTGAACCATCCATCCCGAGAGACCTAGTCTGTCTTCGCTGTCGCTGTCCCAATCATCCCAGGCACTGATCGCGTTTTCAAATGCTGTGTCGACCTGACTTAAGCTTGGTCGGGATGTTGTTACAGTAGATGTGTATGGGCAGAGGGTGCTGTATTCAGACAATGCCAGGCTATCGGTGCGCGCATGTGGGTATGCTGGTGTTGACAAGAGAGGGTTTGCTAGACTGGAACGTCGCGTAGAGCGTCCAGACTGCGTAGCCCATGGCGGCGATGTGGGGGTTATGGGAGGGGAGTTCATTGCCGAACGCGGTACATGTGAGTGCTGCGCAATCTGTAGACGAAGGAAAGGCTCATTAGGATCAGTAAGGGATGTCTTCCTCCTGCGTCCGAGTTCTGAAAGCGACTCAAAATCGGGTGGTGGCTGTAGTGCGGAGAGCCGAAACGACGAGTCTGAGATGTGCGCTGGCAGTGGGCAATATGAAGTTCGTCGTGATGGTGTTGACGTCGGAACGATGACATCATCGTTCAATGAGTTTTTGCGAAGTTTTTGGAGGTCAGTAGAGGCAAAGTTGCGTGCAGCAGGACTGAGAGGCGGAGTGGTTTCGCCGGTTGCAGAGGGTAGGACAATTGTTCTTGTACACCCTTCGCATACTCCGGAGGTGTAGGTGATAGGGAGCGTGCATGTCTTGCAGATAGCCACTGTCGTTGAGGGCGTTGCGGTATGACCACGTTTGAACTTGAAGTCGAAACTTGGCCGTATCGGTGATCCTTCCTCTGGTCGATATCCTTTGCCGCTATTTGGAATCATTAGAGGTGGGGGCTGTGACGGTTTTGTATTCCTCTCTCTCATCCTCGCTGTCTCTATGGCCTGCCGTTCGTACTTGTCCCAGAGGTTCGCTGTCTTTGCTGGTGTACCTGGTGGTGGTCGGGGATGTTTGAAAGGCGACACGCTTCTTGCGGATGGTGCAACTTCGTTTGGTGCAAGGACGGTAATGGTTGAGGTAGCCATACCGCAACTATACTGTATACTGGAGCTCACTACAAAGGCAAGGAAAGAAAGTAGTGAAGCCTAAGGATGCGAGGAAACCCTGACAAAAGCTTGGGTTTCGCATACGATATATACTTGTACAAGTCCAGTATACCGGGGCTTGAGCGGTGAGACACGATGTTTATCAGCCTAAAGGTCCGTCCCAAATAAGACACCAAGATCTGGCGGTGGCGGGGGATAGAGATACTTTGGTGTAGGCTAGGATTAGACGTTACGTTGCGCCGCATCCCCGGATTAGACAGCGCTGTACACTATTGATCGTCACTCAATGAGCGTGCAGTAGCAGATAGATCTCCACGTCTCTTTGGCTGCTTAGCGGACGTGCGATATGTGCTTGGTCCAATAGGCGCCACGCGGTGCGACGCAAGGCGTCACTGTGCTCCCAATGTGGTAGGGGTCTTAGGCGAAAAGAAAAGAAGCAAGGGAGCACTGTCTTGTCAGCATACTACTGGCGCCATTGGCGTCTGCCGAGAAACGCTCCCTAACACTGACGATATGCCTGCGCATGCGGGATGATGTGCAGTGCCCGCGTTGATGATACGGGTGATCTCCTTGCCGGACGCCATGGGGAATCGGACCACGGGCATTAGATTCGCCCTTATCATTTAGCAGAGAAGCCGTGGCACCTAAGCACATTTGTGCGGCTGTAGACGACGTTTTAGGCATCGTATTGGATTTCGTTGTTGTCGTACAGCATCACTGAGATGTGACTCGATGTACCCATGTACGTTTCGAGGTTCCTTCGCTGCCCAGGGTGGAGGAAAAAACACTGCGTATGCGTTGTTTCGCAAGTTACTGGGGAGAAAAATATGACGAAGCGGCGTTCAAGCCCTCATAACGAGCAGTCAATTAATTCGAGACGAGACGCAACCCTCGAAAGGAAAAACGAGCTATCGTGACGAGTCGAGCGAGGGCTAGAACATCGAGGCCTCGAGAAAAGGACAACTTACACGTCGATGTGCCTATGGTATATTCGATCTGTCTATACTGCCCTATCAGTGTCATGTTCAGCTCGGCGTCCAACGTTACATTTGGGAAGCACAGCTTCAAGTCCCGTCCATATTCATATCATCGAGCGTCTCAGCACCAGCCACACCACGATCGCCTCATCAGCCTAAATTGAGAACGTGGGCGGAAAAGTTCGGATCAGTCCACAATATAACGTCTTGGACTAGTTGGGACGCATGGGAGAAGGATGAAGTTGTGGTTCCAAGGTTTGAAATCCCCACGGCTTTCACGCTGCTGGTCTTGGCGCAGATTAGCGAAGCGGGACGGGATGGCGCCGCGACCAACAACAAGATGCACGGCTCGTCCTGGAGCGTCACCTCATTGATCGATAACTGTCCGATATGACGCAAGCTGCTTTTCGTCGTGCTGTGAGAAGAACTCAGCTCAGCCTTCGAGCACTTAGGCTATCGCGATAACACCTCGCACGCTTTACTCATCATCTCTCGCCAGACAGACCCAAGGAGGTTGCGGGCGTACACGGGCTTGACAAAGCAATGGGTCAACGCATGGCGACGCAATCTCACAGCATCGCGATGACTACGGTTGGTGTATGCGACAGGGAACCGCGCGGCTTCCAGTGTGATTGTTGACCTAGACATCGATATCTACATTGCCATCGACTGATCAGTCCAGCCCAACCGAGACACCTGGCAGTCTCAGCACAAATGTACGCTACTGTCACCCAATCCGGCATCTGCCATTGCACTTGTTCGTTCCTTTTGTCTACTTGAGCGCATTCAGCATCCACTCTAGCCGGCGATCACATGAGGGCACGGGACTGCATCGGCCCCGCACGCCCCGACACTGCATGAACGTTCATCATGTCAGCATCGGACAATGATCTCGACCCCAAACTAACCTTCTTCATCCAGCCAACCAAAGAAGCAAACACGGAGACACTGCAGTAATCGTATATCAACACAGTTAGGCTCCTGCAGCGCGTGAGAAGTTAGCAATTGATGAGGACCGTAATCTTGTCTTGCACGCACGGAACTCCACATACATAGCTTTGAGTCCGACCACAATGTCAACAATGTTTATCATCTGCTCCAGTGCGCTCTCCATGTCGCCGTTGCCCAACAAGCCCAAAAGCGACAGCGACGCAACTGCTTGGTTCTGGTCCTGGGTGTCTGTCTCTTACCCGAACTAAAGGATCGCGTTCGCTGCCGGTTTCCTGGGGTCTTTGGGTATCATGATGGGGTTCAACTTCACCAGTCTGCGCGATCTGGATCGGACGGATGGTACGGTGGTGCTACAGCAAGGTACGGCTCTTACAATTTTCGTCAACTTTTGTGCGGGGCTGATTGTGCGCCTCTAGCTGGTTATGATGAGAACGCGCCAGTAGACATTGTTCTCTATCCGCAGCCTTCGCCGGTCGACCCTAACGATCCTCTTCGCTGGCCTCGATGGAAGAAGCATGTCGCATTTGCTTCGGTTTGCGCCTTCACGTTTTTGACAAACTTCGCTATCGGAGGCTTAGCGCCAGCGTTCTACATCCTCTCGACCGAGTTCGACAAGTCAATGGACGAGACTTCGCATCTGCTCCTATATCCCATTCTGGTTTTGGGCGCGTTCAACTTCTTCTGGGTGCCGGTCGCCAATTACGTCGGAAAGAGGCCGGTCTTCGTATTCGCCAGTGCCCTGCTATGCGCATGCTACGTATGGGGTGCCATGGCAAATTCGTTCCAGAGTCTTTTATGGAGTAACATTATCGCAGCGTTTGCAGGATCCTCTACAGAAGCGTTGGGCGCAGCGACTGTCAACGACCTGTACTTTTTGCATGAACGAGGTAGCAAGATGGGCATCTACATGAACGCGATCGCAGGAGGCAACACATTGGGACCGCTGATCTGCGGCTTCATTGTAACGAACCTCAGCTGGCGCTGGCACAAGTGGATCGCTGTGATTCTGACGGCGCTGAACTTTCTCACCATCCTGTTGTTCGTCCCTGAAACGCGATACACGCGCGAAGAGATTAAAGGCGTCGGCGTGGCAATCTGCCCAAGCAACGATAAGATCGTCATGGCAGATGAGAAGTATCTCCGGCCAAAGTCTAGCAACCGAACTCTGCACCAACATGCAAAGAACACTTGGAGGCAAGAATTGAGCCTATGGAGTGGAGTTTCAGACACAAGTCTGCCGAAGATGTTTCTAAGGTATTTATGTGTTGAAATTGTTGAAGATATATTACTGATGTCAAAAAGGCCGTTTCCTATGATCGTATATCCGGCAGTCATATTCGCATTTCTCTGCTACTCCATCTCTTTAGTTCTCACTGTCGCGGTCAATATTCTCAATCCATTTGTGCTGCAAGCTCCGCCATACAATTGGAGCCCCCAAATCAATGGACTGATCAATATCCCAGGTATTGTGGGCAACTTGATTGGTGCTTGGGCAGGAGGTGAGCACCCAAGCTCGAGTACGACGAAACGTGTGCTGACTGAAGCTAGGCAATCTCGTGGACATCTGGTGCAAGCGACGGACACGAAGAATGCTCGGAATCTTCGAGCCAGAAAGCAGGCTCTATCTGGTTGCCATCCCACTCGTGATCACAACAGCAGGCTGTCTCGTGTTCGGTTACGGTGTGCAGAACCAATTATCATGGGTATCGCTCTTCTTCGGGTATGGCATGATTTCACTCGCCTTGACTGCCGTGCCGACGATCACAATGGCGTATGTCAGCGACTGCGCATTGCCGGTAAACTCAGACGTCCTACTGCTGGTGAACGGGCTAAAGAACATCGTGGCTTTTGGCTTTCTCTATGGCGTGGTGCCATGGGTTGAAGAGGCGGGTTATGTGAACGCTTTTGGTACTATGGCCGGTGTCTTTGCTGGCATAGTTGGTATTGGTGCTGTGTTGCTGGTCATCTATGGCGCCACTGTACGCCACACTTCAGCACAATGGAAGGTTATCCTGGGATGAGCAACGCGTGGACACCAATGTAATGTGTAGTAAAAGCCTAGTCAGCACGTGGAAGAAGCCGTGCAATGCATTAAAGCGTATCGGAACATATGCTGTGGTTGATGCAGTACGAAGCTTACTCTTTATGCATGTGAGATTGCTATGTAGCTCGGGCTTTTGCTTGGGATTGCTCTATGAGTTTGGTGTGCATCTTCTCGATTTCAGGGATGATGAGAGATTCGATTTCCAACGACGGCTCGCCCTGCGGTATCCCTTTCTCTGTTGCGATAGATTCGGTCGCCTGAGCATCCCTCCTTGTCTTCTGATCAGCCAATCCGACGAGCGAAGGCATGCCCGACAAACTCTTCGTTCTGCGGCTAGTAGGTACGCGTATCCATTTCTCACCATCTAGGACTGACACGAATACGACTTCCCATTTTCGGGTGAGTAGCAAATTTCCGATGACGAGATGATGCGAGTATTTGTTCAGCGCGTATTTGGCTTTGGTGACCAGTAGGGAAGGATCAGTCTCCAGCTTGAAGCTCACGATCATTGCATCAGGCGCCCAGCCATCAACGAGCTGCTTGAGGAATTTGGGAACAGGCTCGAGATCAATGATCAAGCTCTTGCCCTCGGTGCGCGCGGCGGGTGGCTTTACATCGCCCCCACGAGTTCCATCCGCGGCCTGGTGAAACTCTTCATTTGACTGTATCTTGTGCTCAACCATGCGGTCCTGTGGTACGAAGAAGTCGGACACAGCGGCAGCCAAGTAGAACATGGCTTTCGGCCCAAGTGGACGCATGAGCTGCGCAACCTCGCGCAGATTCCACAGGTACTCGGTGATAGTCACGTAGGACAAGATCAATAGCTTGTTCTCTCGCTTCACCTCGGTGTACTGCCGCAGCACGCGCAGCATCTGGTCCTGGTGCTCCTGATTCACCACTACTTGTCCGTTCTCTTCCTTCATGTAATCGAGGAATGAGCGCGTGTTGTGCGAGTAATGCCGCGAAAAGGGCAGGAGCGAGAATTGGCGGTGCAGGAAGATGACGGCATAGCCATTTTGGAGAAAGTATTCGGCGCTGGTCGCTCCTCGTGTACCGGCAGAGAAGTTGTCGATGTAGCGGACTGTCTGCTGTTCTAGAGGTACAGTGGTGCCACCCGAAGTGACTAGGACGACGCGACGACCCTCATCGGCATGTCGCGTGATGAATTCGCGCGCAAGAGTCGTGTTCGTTTTGAGGTCTTTTGGCGGCGGCTCGTTGGCGAAATAGTCGCTCTCTGCCTGTTGTGCGCTCGCATCCGTCATGGTGGCATGATGGAGTCGTTCCCTCGCTGCAACGGAGCTGAGCCATGGTGTGGTGGGGTAGCTCCGAGCGAACCCCTCCTCCCTGATGAGTAAGGCATACACCGGTGCGTACCAATTTCTGACAACGTCTACAGTTCAGCAACCTTCAACATCGCCTCGTCAGCACTTCACGTTTACCATAAAATTGCACGGCTATGAGGATAGACTATCTTCCAGTACTCTCCTGCGCAGCGCCCTCGTGCGAGGGCCCTCGAATTAAGGTTCTAGGTTCTGGAACAACAACGGCCTATTCGTTTCGAGACCGAGATATAGTGCACGACGGCTTCGGGTGCTTGGTCATTCCGCGAGAAAAATATGTCTTTTCTACCCTGACCTTCCAGGTATCTGGGTATCTCGCCATGAGTATGCAGGACTCCCCGAGTGATGATACGGTTTCCAAAGTTTGTTCCTGTTGTATGCTACAGTCATAGCGTCACCAAATTACCCGGGTACGGAGAAAGTATCTTTCACTTCGATCTCAACCGCTTCGCAAGCTAAGCAAAGATCGAGTTTCTAAAAGACATGTTGACGCCAATGATTGTCCATGGCTTGATCACGCGTCACTACAACGAGGATGGTACATTAGACAAACTCAGACTCGACCGATTGGGGCACGTTGATCTTAACGTCTTGGTTACGTGAGAGATTTCACGAGGAGTTCTATCCAATGCTGAGGGAACTACGTTGTGCGCAATACACAGGCGATTCGAATGACATGTGTGCTATGATCGGAATCGCGGCACACAACGTTTGATTTTAGCTCAAAACATCTAGTCCACCAGGCGTGTAACGGCACTAAGGTCTAGATAATGGTATTCTAGAATCACGTTGAGAATAGTCAATCATGGTCTGATTCTTTTCGGAGATTTCGAGAGCATAGTGTATTCCAAATGCTCCTTCACATTCTGTCTCCGCTCTCCAAGGTTGACGTGTTTGAGTTTAGTATATGAACCAAAGCTAACGTTCTTCTTGCAGAATACGCCAGACAATGGAGGGTGGGTCGGGGACGACAGGAAGAGCTGCCGTGCAAACCATATAACGGTGATAAGGATGTCGTACGACAGAGGAGCACTGTAGTCCATCAACTACTGCAGGGTCGCATGGAAGGGCCATGACTACATTAAGCTTTCGTCACAGGTAGCGGATACACCATAGTGTATGCTTGACTGTTGAGCTCGTGACATGTACGCCTGTTCTGAAACAGGTTCACGCCTTGTCGAATCTGGCCACCTCACCGGCTCCTGAGACCAGTGATAGCCAGAGATAACTGGAGTGTTTTGACAAGGAGATTCGGAGCAAACCGTGGAACCTTCCGTCCACTGTATGCCGTATTCAAACAGAAGAAGCCTAGTGCATGAAGCAGACCGAGGTTGTTGTTGCTAAGACCGTTGGAGATTCGAATGCGTGGTCGCATTAGGGCAAGCGTCCGGTAACCGCCCGATTGGAGGTTGGAATGTGGGACCGAGTATACTCTGCGGTAGCTTAATTTGAGTCAGGGTGTAAATGCGGCACAAAACAGTGTGCGGATGGACGCGCAATGAGTGCTAAGCAGGAGGCCAAAGTTTCGTTCATCAGAAACGTAGCCGTGGTGTTGAGTTTGGGTCTGGAAACTGTAAGTGCTAACCGAAAGATAAGGGTTTCGGCTTCCAGAAGTGACATGTCCACAAGCCAGCATGGTGAACCGAGACGGCCACTGGGCTCTTGCACTCATTGGGAATAAGTGAAGATGGACGTGGATGATGTTGCTCGCAGACGACGCGAAAGTTTTGACGCGCTGTCACGTGCGATCGGCAGCTAGTGTGTTTATGTAAGCAAAACAGCGCGTTTGCGAAGTGAGAGAGCAACAGCTGTCCGGCAACGACTCTCGACCGTCACCGCTCCATCTCTCCATTGTCGCAACCCTCCGCCTTTGTCCGTATTGTATATTCTGACGCGATCGCAAGAATGTAAAGGAAACAGCTTCTCGGAAGGTCTGGATAGCAGAGCTAACGTGGCGCAGGGAGGCGTTCAACGACATCTATCTCAATCTTTCGCGGAAGCCTGGCGCGGCTCGATTTTCAGACTCGGGCTTTGGCTGGAAGCCCGCAAACGGCGGCGAAACCTACACTTGCGACCAGTCACAGATCCAACAAGCGCAGTGGAGCCGAGCCGCGCGCGGCTACGAAATCAAGATCCTCTCGCGCAACGACGGCGTTATACAACTTGATGGATTCAAGCAGGAAGATTTTGACCGCGTATCCAAGGTCTTCAAGTCTTGGTACGGCATAGGTCTCGATAACCGGGAGCATGCCCTGCGCGGCTGGAACTGGGGAAAGGCCGACTTCGGTAAGGCCGAACTTACTTTCAACGTCGCCAACCGCCCTGCCTTCGAAGTGCCCTATACCGAGGTCTCCAACACAAATCTGGCAGGCAAGAACGAAGTGGCCGTCGATTTCTCATTGCCTGCCGAAGGCGACGCTGGCGCGAATGGAAACCTCGGAGGAGCCAGATTCAGAGGCAAGAAGTCCGCAGGTGCTCGAGACCAGCTCGTCGAGATGCGCTTCTACATCCCTGGTACAGCCTCGAAGAAGGAGAAGACAGAAGACGGCGAAGAGGGCTCTGGCGCTGAAGATGTCGAAGAGACAAATGCTGCCAACCTATTCTACGAGACACTGATGGAGAAGGCTGAGATTGGCGAAGTCGCTGGTGACACATTTGCTACCTTTTTGGATATCCTACATCTCACGCCTAGAGGTCGATTCGATATCGACATGTACGAAAGCTCGTTCCGGTTACGCGGTAAGACATACGACTACAAGATCCAATTCGATTCGGTCAAGAAGTTCATGGTCTTGCCGAAACCCGACGACATGCATACCCTCATCACCGTTGGTCTGGATCCTCCCCTCCGACAGGGTCAGACGCGATACCCCTTCCTCGTCATGCAGTTCAAGCGGGATGAGGAAGTCAACCTTGATCTCAACATGAAGGGAGATCTGTTGGAGGACAAATACAAAGACAAGCTGCAATCCCACTACGAAGCTCCTATTGCTACAGTTGTAGCGGACATCTTCCGTGGTCTCAGTGGAAAGCGTATCACTAGACCGTCTCGAGACTTCATCAGCCATCACGAGCAGTCGGGTGTCAAGTGTTCGATCAAGGCCAACGAAGGTCACTTGTTCTGCCTTGACAAGGCATTCATGTTCATCCCCAAGCCGGCAACCTACATCAGCATGGACAACATCGCCTCTGTGACCATGTCGCGTGTTGGTGGAGCTATGGCTGCAAGCCGTACGTTTGATATTACCTTCAGCATGAAGAACGGCCAGGCTGAGCATCAGTTCTCCAACATCAACCGGTGGGTAATACTAATCTCAGACTAAAGACGCTGAAACTGACAAATACGTAGGGAGGAGCAACAGCCACTCGAGAATTTCTTCCGTGCCAAAGGTATCAAAACTAAGAATGAGATGGCAGACGATGTTAGTGATATCATTTCCTCTTACGCAAACTTGGCTGACATAGTGATACACAGTCCGGAGCCATTCTGGCAGCTGCTCTTCAAGATGAAGATCTTGCATCCAGCGATGATGGAGCACCAGCAAACCGCGGTAGTGCCGACGAGGATGACGAAAGTGTAGATGAAGACTTCCAAGCAGACTCGGAGTCGGAAGTTGGTGAGGAATTCGACTCCGATCATCAAAGCAGCGGTTCCGACAGCGATGCTGAAATGGACGATGCGGAGAGTGACGGCGACGCCGGAGAGGCGGTACCAGAACGTCCTAAGAAGAAGCAGAAGGTGTCGCAATAGTGACAGCCCTTGCAATGACCATAAGCGGGCACGGGGGCGCGGGTGGACGGCGGTGAAGGGGGCGCCGCATCATCTTCCGATGCTTGCGTGCTCATCGAAGATTGGGAATGCGATGATGATGAGGTTCGTCGCGCTGCCGCTGTTAACGCTTCGAGCGCGTTGTCGTCAAAGCTCGCCCAGGTCGTGGAGGACGGTCCGATCTTTCTCATAGGTTATTGTGAAACTTGGCAGGATGGCAGGAAGTGAACTTCCGGTCGTGAAGACAGGGAAAAGCACCCCTAATGCGTAGGTAGTCCAGGTAGAAGGGCCGACCTGCATCCTTAGCCGAACACGCAGCGACCAGGAGAAAAGTTTAAATTCAGTGGCAAGTTAGCGTCCATAATCCGGCTAGTTTACTCCCAGCGAATGCTTGCAGCGTCTACAAGTGGTGTCTGCATTGCAACTCGGCCGTGGCTCGGCTGACTGCGGCGCTTGACGCGACCTGGCGTGGGCGCGGCGGGCCCATGTTAGTTCCTTACACTGAAGTCTGGCTTCTCACACACCAGCTAATTTGAGCAACGCGAGCGCGATTCAGATTTGTGCACTAGCCCAGGAGCAATCCTTTCGTCGATTTTCGTAACCTTGCTCATGGTGACGGTGGATCCGCAACTGGCGCGAACCCATGCTAGACCCCGCATCTAACCATCGAGTATCAAACGCTTTATCGCCCTCGACATACTGGTATAGATATAGGGCAGCTCTCTCCGACTCATGTGGATGCTTTTTCTTACCCACTTCCCTCGGCACGAGGCTATGAGATCTTAAGCTTTTTCGCAACAAGACCCACACGATAGAACTACTTGCAATGCGATCACGAACCGGATGGTACGTGTACTTGTGCTTCTACATCGTCGCCTACTGACCTTCGCTATAGTCTCACTTGCCGTCAGCGGAAGCTGAAGTGTGATGAAAAGAAACCTGTGTGTGGGCAGTGCACCAAAGCCTCAAGAGAATGCATTCCCAGCTCAGGTATCGTCTTTCGCCACCAGCACAATGCCTCCATGAACGGAGAAGACTCAGGGGATGAGAACTCCCTAAAAGGCTTCTACGCGTACAAGAACACATTTGACGAGGATGCCATCTGGATGGACATTCCTAAGCATGGTGAGACCTTCTAAGGTCCTCGTGTCACCCATGCAGCTCGGCTAATGCTCTGCAGTAACCTTCATCAACACCACCAACCCATATCTTGATCCTGGCACACCCGATTTCGACAACATGTCGACAGCATCGATGGAATCGCCCGGACCATTCGAGACTCGCTCTTTGCCTTCATGGCGTACTCACAGCAACTTTCATTCAGTTACCAGCACACCTTCCAGCATGGGGCCAGATCTAGCTCCGACCAGCGTTCCTTTCTGTTACACACCTGACCTCGAAGCGTTACCACCACTGATGCAGTCACCACCAGCCTCAGTCGTAGGAACGCCCCTTTCTCCACCTCTTTCATTATGCAACCGACGCATACATCCCGTGATGGACTTTACTGCCTCGACAGCCTCGCCACCAATAGACCCCCGTCTCAACTCACCATACGACTCCGCCGACCACATGCACCGCTCCGTTTCAATAGCAAGCTCAAGACGCTCACCACCTCGATCCGATAGCGGTGTCTCTATCGTTCAAGACGATCACGAGATTGCTTTCCTGCTCCGGTGGTTTTCAGAAGGTCCTGGCTACTGGATGGATTTGTACGACCTCGGCACCTACTTCGCGTCTTACGTTCCTGTACAGGCACGTGAGAACCCACTGCTCAAGTACGCAGCTGTTGCTTGTGCAGCGAAGTCTCTTGCACGTGTTCAGGGCCGCAAACCCGTCATGGGAGGTAGCGTAACGCGTCAAGCTCGCATGGAACAGTACCCCGAGGCATCAATGGTGGATTGGAAGCACAAGGCGGCAGTATACTACGACACAGCTGTATCACTACTGCTTCAGGCTCTCAAGATGGATGTCGCCTCCTCTCCCGACGAGTCAGAATGCGAACTAAGAAATACCAACTCGGCCTACGATGGACCAGCACCCAAGCGACGACGAACATCAAGCAACACCTCGTTTGTATCCAACACCGACGAACTACTAGCAGCATCGGCCATCCTTTGTGTCTATGAGTTCTTAGATACTTCCGTCTCAGATTGGACAAAGCATCTGAATGGTGCCAAGTCTTTGCTCGTGCTTTCACAAGAGCACGTTATGCCATTACAACTACCAAAACCCACATCTTCGGTACCATCCGCAAGCTTCAACTTTGCCTCTAAGGCTCGACGAGCAACCTTCTGGAACATTGCCAGACAGGATATGCTCGCAGCCTTTATAAACAAGACTAACACACGATTGGACACCGAGGACCTCTCATTATGGAGAGAAGCTGGCCTCAAGATCGATGATCAAGGCTACATCATGCCCAGTAATACGACAGTATGTGGTTTCCCGGAAGACAACGACGTGATGAGGGAAGACCTCATCTGCAATGCCCTTGTCTGGCTCATGGCCAAGCTAGTCAACTTCATGGCTGCAGGCGACGAAGTTTCTAATGAAGCCGGCATGGCATGGGCAGGCGTCCCTCAGCGAACCCTCCTGGATTACTGGTTCAGTCTACGAAAACAGTTCCAGGTCTGGCATGATGGCCTCCCGGTCACATTCAAACCTTCCGCCAGGGTACCTTCGCAAGCATCCGGGCCGATGTCCACCAACGATAACGTGTCCATGTTCACAGAGGTCTGGTACTCTATACCCATGTGCGCCTCCACCATGCAGACATACCACATGTCACAAATTCTCTTGTTCATGAACAAGCCACACGAGTCCACCCAGGGGCGCAGCACTGTCGTCGCCCGCATGAACTCTTACCAGTCGGTTCTGGCCACCTGCCAGAAGCACAGCCGCGAAATTGTTGGCATTTCGCTGGCTCGGTCTGACGAAGCGGTCCGGATCCACTCCGTGCAACCCCTGTTCACTGCTGGCCAGTGCCTCAGCGACGCACGAGAACGCCAAGTCGTTTTACATCTTCTACGTGACATTGAGTCCGATATTGGTTGGGCCACGGACTACCGCGTGCGCCAGCTGTTCGAGCAGTGGCAAGGAGAAGAATCAGAGGGTCTGGTACCATGAAGCACTCCACTTGGAGGCTTCAACAGCCACACAAACTTTACCCCTTAGCAAGCCCGCCGCCAGCCTCCTGCTGTCAGCCTCAGCCATGAGTCTAGGTACTACCAACAGCTTAGTCTGGGTAGCAGAGGTCCCGTAAAAGCCACTACTAGCGTGCGCCTGGCCCTTGTCCATGGTGCGGGAACTATCGGAAGACTAGAGGAACACCAACTGTCAGTCCCAAAACCGACACAGGTCGCCCAGACCTCATCGAGCGCAACGCCGATGATCGGACGGTCTGCTGCAATGCGACCGCACGGGCTGCAGCTTCAGATTGTGGAAGAAGCGTGTAAAGAAGGATCAGATAGCAGGAAGATTAGGATTGCAGTAGTAGCCTGCATCCGACATAGATAACAAGCATACATAGAGATCGAATAGAAGCTTATCGCGCTTTGCAGAATATTTTCCTTGACTACGAATATGCAAACGTGACCTGCTAATTTTCTCAGCCCGACTGCATCATCACAACATGCACCAACAACATGACAACATCACTTCGAACATGAACTGCTTGACCGCTACCGCTTGATGCCGTCTTATCCGAATAGCTTCTCATTACCCCATACCCACTCTGAAACCAAGAGATTCTAGATACTCTACCTGTGAACTAGGCCTGAGTTTTCCTTCTGGAAGGGAGACTTCGCGCCTCTAGCAAGCACAACATACACCGGTCGGCGTTTGACGAGCGGACAAGCCAGCTGCACCCCCACTTTTCTTTCTTCGCCGCCAGTGCGGATCCGGTTCGCGACCGGATGGCAGTATCCATAGTACGCGCGAGACACATTTGAGTGCCCTGCATATATTGCCTTGCAATCACGGCCCAATCCGCGTGCTAGGATTGGCGATATATGACGCATGCCTAATAATGCGTGGTATACCTTGGAAAGAGTCTGAGACACCCTGGGATGCAGCAGGCCGTTCTTTATTCGGGGATTTTTTCCCCGGCGGTGCAATGTGGCGGTGCTTCGGCGGTTTGAAGATCATTATATCACAATCACCAAATGCGAGTGCAGTTGCGCACGCCATGGAAAGTTGCTGTCACAAGACCTGCGTAAATCGTGAAAGGTATGTGGAAGACTAGCTGATCATCTCGGACGCGAATTTGGTAAGGACGCTCGGCGAATAGAGAAACGTGGTTTAAAGTTTGGTTCTAGAGGAACGCCTGGGACGGGAAGAAACGAGGTGCGTGCCTCGTAACGAGTCGGGATTTTACCATTGGGGTATCCTGGCTCGGTGTCTTGGCGGACGCTTTGTGGAGGATGCTTGGTAGTCTGATGATGCACAATTGCTCTCTTACCTTGAATATGCACGTGTTTGCTGGCGAAAGTGTCGGGAACTGCCCTTCATGACATCATAATCATGCACCTTGAATCCTTCGTATATAGAGTATGGCCGACGAGCACTGTGGATATCCGACAGGGCGTTTACAGCGTATGAACATTATGCATTGTTCTACACCGCAACGCTCCAAGTACGCTAAAAGAAATCGATCTTTGACTTGACCGGATGGTGGCTGCCTCCAAGTATTGCAATCTTAGAGCTGCAGCGCGATGCATATGCACATGCAAGCAAGACACCGCTTCCACCTATGCACGATGGCGTAGCCATCAAACGCTGGATAAGCGAGGGATAGGATACAAGGGCTTCTCGAAGATTTCCTGCTGCAGGTTAGTGAGGCTTAACGGCGCCTAGTGTACACTACTGCAGGTTTTCATGCATTCCACTAGTGCGCGGGCAAGCTGATGGTGTAGGAGCTATCGGATTCCCTCTTTAGGTGGCGTTCGTTGCGGCTCCGCGGTTTAGCCGTGAGCTGGGAGATGAGACGCAGGACGCGTAAAGTAGGTGTGAGAAATTGTGGTCTGAGAATGACGTACGGATCTGCTGTGAATAACCTCAGATGTTTGTTTACGGACATCTATATAGCCGAAATAGTCCTCATTACCCTGGACCCATGATATGTCTCAACCGGAATGAGTCTTGCGTAAACTTCGTTCAAGAGTGTGACAGAAGTTTCAATTCGCTAGCGGGGCTCTAGTCCCAGCCAACGGAACAGTAGGTCAGAACACTCAGGCGCTATGTTACAGCGCTACTTTAAACCTCATGCGGCAGAACGCACGAGTTAGTTTGCTGCGTGGTAGGTTGGCAACGTGCATGCCTCGTGGTTGGGCTCGAGCTCAGAGGTTATCGAAGACCTTTAGGCTTTCACACGTACTCCAGGATACTGAGTATGCTTGCTGCCGATCCATCGCCGAAACCAGCCCCCACGGCATCTCGACTGCCTTTACAGGCATTGCCGAAAGTGATGTGTTGTCTCGGTGTCCACGAGCACAGTCTGGAGGAAGTCAGATGCATGCATGAGATCAGAGGCGAACACGCCGAGTTCGCGCAGCCTGGGAATACGTGTTGACCGATCATTTACGACGCTCTCTGCGTGTCGCCTCTCCTTGCTGCCGCAATAGTGGGCGATACCGTCCGATACGATGGTCATGATAGCCGAACACGCCGTTACCAGCCACTCATCCACATTCCGCTTGGTGTTGAGAAATACGCTGACGCGCTAAGTGCAAGAGGTGCCGAATTAGCCGACCGCCAATGTCTCTTACATCTTCGCTTTCAGGCCTCAATCCTATCATTCGCAACGTGTTATCGGCGACCTCGTCACAAATTCACAGTCAAAGCGGTGAAGATCGGACTCAGACATGGGTAGGCGATGTCATCGCAAACCGGTGATTTGATAGAGGGGGTGCTGATCTTGGGGTCGCGGGATATTAACTTGGCGGGTCCCTGGATCCCAGTCTACTGGATAGATCTATCCGGCGGAACGATGGAACCGGGGCCCGTGCACGAGTCACCCAAATTTCTGTCCTCTTGACATGTGCTTGGGGCCGGGGTAGAGGAGCGGATTGTCGCGGGCTTGTGATGTTTCGCCGTTGTTGCGGAATCAACCGTGGCGTAAGTATGCATGACATAAGACCGAACGTTGGACTGAAAATCACCACCTTCATGGGAAATGCAGTCCCTGCCCCGGCGGCTTACAGTGTAGAAAGTAAGCTCGGTGGCAACTAGCGGCGCTCTGTCCCTACGTAGTCGTAGGATAGCCTTGTGTGACGCAAGACTACCTCTTTTGGTGTTGATGAATTAAAAGGGTGTGCCTGTGACGTCACTGTGAACATTTTTGGACTTCCTCTCTCTCACCTCTTGATGTACCGACTCGAGGTTGTTCTAGGGCTCCTGCTCTTCACTTGTGGTCCATGGCTGCGAGGCCATTACATCGGTCTCTTATGAGCGTATGATGCGCTACGAGAATGCAGCGTTGGAACAGTTCTGGACGCTGCTAGACATCGACCGTCTCGTACGGCCTTGTTCGTGAGCCTGACTCTTTGGGCGCGCTATGTTTTGTTATGGATACGGATATGGCGAGCCCTTGCTTTCAAGGAAGCAGAGCTTGAGCACCGATGGAGTGGTGGTTGCATGTTGTTGTGCGGCTTTAGCAAGAATGACAACAGCGATATGATGGAGAGCAATAGGTACTTCCTTCTGCATTCACGAAATGCGGCAGCGAATCTGAAGTAGAGATCTAGTCCTGGACGTTGACGTAGAGAAGGATCTAAGCCTTGCCCAAAAGCTTCTAGCTCTCGACTATATCTGACCCTGAGCCTTGCCGCCAAGCCAGACACCGGACGTCACTTCGACGTAAGGGTCCTTCAGATTGAGATAGAAGAGGAACAGGATATACTTCCGGGTTCAGAGCCGAGCACGCAATAGTGTACGAGGGTATTTTTGAGTAGGGGCGGCTATTGAAATGCAACGCGCACAGCGGATGTGAATCTTCCCGTCTTTCTTTCCGTATTGTACATTTTGCAAAGCCCAGTGTATACCAGCGAGCCTCAACATACTGTCGTTCTTGCCCGTGTACTACCTAATGAGGCTAGAGGCCGCCCCCCAAGTAACAAGCATTGATCAACACCGTGCCTTAGATTTGGACCAACACGCACGGGTATCGGCAATCTGGTAGCAAAAAGAAATCAGAAAATCATACGTTACACACCCAGACGCTGTTGCCCGCTAAGCTGGAACGGCCCTTCCGCCGCAATCAACACTGCTTCTTTGGGCATGTACTGCTCCGCTCACGCATTGATCGGTGAAGAAAATTGTAGTCGCCACGATCCGCGATTCAGGTATAGCGTATCCCGTCCACTGGGGAGCATGTCCTAGGTATACTGTTTCAGAAAAGCTTGGTTCCGACGATTGCAGCTGAAATCATGCATAGTATGTCGACCCCGGATACATCATATTCCTAAACGCGAAATTCGAGGCGAGTGTGATGCAGTCGTGCCATGGAAATAGCAGAGGGCAGATCCACCTCTCTACTATCTCCTAACCCCGCAATCCATGCTCATCCGACGCATAGCAGTGTCTACGTTGGAGGAGCTACCTGATAATGGGTAGATATGATACCACTTCTCCTCATCTGTTCCATGGGAACGAATGTGGCAGTACCAACATTACTTTCGCAACCCGAACGCACAGACATTGATATCAGCCAACACGTACTGTCAGCCAAGTCGCATAGACAGAAGGAGTTAAACATCGATTATTGTAAATACTATCATGCACGAGGGCTTACGTGGTTGCGGCACGGCGTCGACGCCGACACGTGGGACAACGGCAAGTGTCCGGCGTAGGCTTGCCGCTAGACAGGCTATACACAGAGTACCCACATAGTAGCCCAGCTCCATCGAGGCCACCTCATCTATCCCTACTCAAGAGTCCACGTTGATTCTGGAAGCTGTCGTTTCTGGCCGTGGCTGCATGCTCAGGCGTGATTCTGACTCGAAGCGTCCTCAACTACGTCGATCACGCCCCTGCTAGGATCTGCGTCTCTTCTGTAGAAGTTCTGGTTGCAGCATGGCGATCAGGGTCTTGCGGTATGGCAACGCTAGCAGTAGCCGCATTGTAATGGCCCTGCTCCTGAGGCTCATCATCGGGTGACGGGAGCGTGTTCAAATCCTTGACTAAATGCTCCTGTTCCGCGGATGGCTCTTGCCCAGTAGTTTCTATCGCCAGTATTTCCTCTAAGGGCGCAGGCTTCGTTTGAGCAGCCAATCCTGTATCGTTGCGAGAAAAGTCATTTCTCTGCATTGAAGCCTCACAAGCATCGCGATGAGCGCCTAAAGGCTGACTTGGGCTTTCCGTGCTTGCCGTCTTGAAACTCTCATGATTAGTCGGGGTCGGCTGCAAGCCTAGCAGATCAGGCAGCAATCCTTGTGTGCCGACTTCAGATGCATCGTGAGCTTTGCAAGAAGTATTCTCCGTTGACCCGGTTTGCGGTGAGCCGTATTCGGAGGAGACAGTCGATTGGGGCTCCACACTATTCGTGCTTGGTCGAGCTGCATTGCCCTGGCATTTTGCCTCACTAGTCACCTGCGTATCCATGTGGGGCTCATCGTGGGGTCTGGCAGCGTCTCGCACTTGATCGGCGCACATCGCCGCTGTGGTTGCTGTTTCTGGAACAGCGTCACTTCTTCGCTCCAGACCGTCGTCTCCAATATTCTCCACTCGACCTAGAATTCCGTCAACTTGATGATGATCGCCATGTGCTCTTGTTGTTGTTAAGGCAGAGATTGAGCTATCTGTCATCTCTTCAACACCATCTGGCGCACCGTCAAGCTGTGGTTGTTTCTCTTTTCGTGATGTCTCCCGGTTCCGTCTGCTTTTCAGACTTCTAGTTTGCGCTGGCTCAGCGCTCGAAGCTCCCTTAGCTCTTCGCGCAAGTCTCGCAGCACGAGCGTCTGTAGGAGCACGTTCATTCTGGTTCAGCTCATCTATTGCTACGGCATCTTCCGTTTGAGTGATTGCGTGTTCAGCAGCTGCAAGTTTTTTCAATTTCGCCCATGATTTTGCTTTTTCGCTCTGTCCTGCAAGCTCGTCCTCGCTCAGCTCAACCCACTTGGCGCCGACTTTCTTCATACCGGTGAACTTGAGAAACGTCAGGCCGGAACCGCTGGTATCCATGTACTCCGATCCTTCAGGCGGTGCGTTCCTTCCCCGCACGTACATTTCGCTCGGTCGATGAAACTGCTCACTGCTCCTGTAGTCGTCGTAAAATTGGACTGAATCCGAAAACTTTAGTCGCTTGCGTCCTGTTGATGCTGCTGCGCTGCGTGATCGTTTGGGCGATGGCCGGAGTGAGAGCGGTATACCTTCTCGTTCATGCGGTGCTAAACCAGATGTGTTTCCAAATCGCTGGGTAGTAGGAGAGTGAGATCGCCGTCGCTTAGTCCCAGGTATCTGCTCTTCATCTTGATTGGTATCATCTCCGTCGTTTGAGTCCCTGTTTTCAAGTTGTGCATCCTGTCCGTCTCTTGGTGATCCGGGCGCCTCAACAGTCATCAACCAGTTGTCAAACTCCATATGAGCTCTCATGTGGTTCTCTCGCGCAAAAGACTTAGTGATGGAATCGCGCTTGTTTTCGAATACAGCCCAATCAGCATCTGCAGCTCGAATCGCATCATAGAGAGAGTCGAATTGTTGACATGTACTGCATCCTGCATGTGGCGTGTCGGGCGATGTTGTCGGTGTGAGTCCCGTTTCAGACACCACAGCCAGGACTCTGGCACATGATTTGCATTTTACAGACTCGTATTTGGCGGCCATCCAGTCGGTGTTTGGTTGTGAACGTGGTTGTGTTGACGAGGTGTGGGTGTTCGATCGAAGATTTGTGGACGTGGATCTTGCGAAAGTGATGAGTAATGAGCCCTTGCACAATTATCGAATCATGTATGTGGAGGGGCACAGATGGGTATGTAGTCGGGTAGTGGGGATGGTTGATACAAGGTGATTGCCAGTGATCAAGAAACAAAGACGCGACTGTGGAGATGTCGCGACTTCAATAACAGCGCGCCAGCCTTTATCGCTTCTGCAAACAAATATCGTACCCTATGAGAGCGAAAGTCGAACCAGAAGAGATGAAAGGAGATACATGAATGACAGCATTGAGATTGCATGGCTGAGTTGTTTCCTGACAACCATATCGTTGTTGCCACACGATGATCCCTGCTCGGCAGTCCCCTTTCTCGCTTCCACAAACAGCAACTACGATGTTTCGTTCTTCCACAGTCTTCACCGCCCGCTGTTCTCTCGACGGAACTGTCGCGTCAAACTGGCGACCTCAAAGCCCGCGTCGTCCATGAACTGCGGCGACACGTAGTGCGCAAGCCGCGAACACCTGAGTTGGAGTCGCGAATGAACGCGTCAGACAAACCCATTCACGCAACGCCGGTGACGTCATCAGGATCATGCGCAATCAAAACACGACCCAAACTTCTAATAGCGAGGTACTCCTAGTGGTTCAAGTCTAGGAAGTCAGGCTATGAGAACAAAACTGTGATCTTATCGTGGACGCGCGGGAACATAGTGCATCATCCTTCGACCAAACGCTGTTTGACGCTGGAGGATTCGATAGTAACTAGGTACCTTGAAGAACAAAAACATTGCATAGGCGCCAGGACGGCTGAAAAATATTCTCGGCGCGATTCACATTCGAAAAGAACGCCAACAACTCAGACCAGACGTCAAACCAAAGGCATCAAACGAAATGCCGCTGGTCTCACCATGATCGATCTTATCGAATCGCATCAGACAGAACGAGAAGCCGCTATTGTGCTTCAGAAAATCCACAAGTCAGTTTCAACAACCCGAAAATATTCCTGAGCTCCTAGTGTGAGTCGTAGTGTGGTCTATTCCTAGGTCGTGCTTCGTTGGATCATGGGGCCGGATGCCTTTGAGATGGATAAAATGTCTTCAGCCTTTTCTTCATCTTTTCTTTCCACTTGGCCGATATGCCCTGGTCCTCAACTGGTCCACTTAGACCCTGACCTGTCGCCGGATCTGCAACATATGCGCTTGTTTCGGTCGCGTTTGTGGAGTCTGACGACTGAGCTGTAGTGGACTGGCTAGCCGAGGCTGTCAGGCTTCCGTTACCGCTACTCGATGCAGTGCCCACTGTAAGTTGTTGTAAGTGGTGTTCGGTTTCTTTGACAGTCTTGGGTTTAATGCGACGACCTGAATTTGAGAGGTTGACAAACACAACAGCGCCAGTTGCCGTCAAGGAAGATATATCAACAGGGACTACCTCTTTCAGTATTCGCGTCCGTAAAAATGTTTTGGATACAATGTACTGCGCTGGATCGTGATGCTCTAGCTTTCCGGTTTGTTTACCCTTTAGACACCGGCAAGAGTCGAAAGGCCGACATGGCGATACCCAATCAAACTTGCGCGTTAAACCTCCCGGTTCCAGCCCAGGTCCTGATTGCTGTAGCTTTTCCTTGTACAGCAATGCAATAGTTGAAATGGAAGAAGTCAAGTGGTTTCCACCCTTAGGAATGGATCGCCATGCTGCGCACATAGCGTCAGCATTACTAGGACGGATGAGATCTCCGAAGCCTTTCCCAAAGACCGTGAGCACACCTATGTTAGGTAACAGATCGACCCAGCCGTTCTCCCCAGAGTCGAATCGCTCAATGCGAGAAACAAACTGAGGACGAGATTTCACAAGATCGAGGATGTCGAAACCCACAATGCTTTTCCGTGTGTCCAAACTTTGGTTGACCCTGGTGCCTCCTTCTGCAGCTACACGAGTCCGGGCTTCGATGATAAGCTCTAAAGTATGGAGTATCTTGTCCACTCTGTTTCCAAAGGTTGAGTACGTGTCGACTGGCTGGCCATTTCCCAAGGAGCGGTCTTTTATGTAGACGTTCAGCGCGCGGTTCTCCCAATCTTTTAGTGTGCGTATTGCTGCAGCGCGCCCGCCCCGATCGACCCAGTTTTCTTTCAGCTGGCTTTTGTCAAAGGCCCAATCATACGGGCTGTCAGGGTCGGTCTCGTCCAATTGCAGAGAGATTCGGACCAGGTGGAGTAATGCCGAAGCACCATCCACTAGCCAGGCTCTGCGGTCTGTCACGTCGTAAAAGTTGACAAACTGCTCACTCAGCCAACCGAGCACCTGGGAAGAATCACGGGCCTCTTCAGATATTATTGGTTGCTCTCTCTGGTTGATTCGTGCATTCAAGCCCCCTATCACATACATGCCTCCTTCAATGTATAGACGGTCGATGACACTGTACGAAGGAGATGGCAATGTTCCAGATGCGGAGACATCGAGATCAGCCTGTGGATGACCTGGTACCATGGTTAGAACCGAGCTGTTGTATTTGCACTACTCCCGGTTTCTGGCTTACCGCAAAAGTCTGCCGCTTCAGAGCACCATCCAATGATATGACGACAGTTTCCCAGTGAGCGGAGTAAAGGCAACTGTCTTTCGTTCGAGATCGTTTCCTTTATCCGAGGGTCGTAGTAAGATATACGCTTGCCCGGTTTGCTGCTAGTATAAGCATGCCACATAATGAGATCATCGTCCGTGACAAATTCAGTAGCAACCAGCAATGTGTCGAAACCTTTCATAATGATCCTGTTATCCAGAAGAGCCACTTGTTGGGCTTGTAAGAGGCTGGCTATAGTGTCTAGCGATGCCTCAAGACCTGCAGCTGGCGTCGACTTTCGGAGTATAGGATAACCGCTAACTATGATAGGGTTTGCAAAGAGCTTAGTCCAGCAGATACCTTTGACCGAAACAAAAAGCTCCTTGTCATCCTGAACGTCGAAGGTGAGATTACTCGATATCGTGATTTCTGTGGAATAATCTTGATTGGTCGATGCTTTTACTGATAAGGTTGTCATACGCAGTGACACCATAACGGGTGTTTCTTGTGGCGGTGGTAAACGTAGTGTAGCCGCTAGCCATGCGACCTGCTCTGCAAATTCGGCTACCATGTATGGGCCACCATGAGCCTCTATCGAGCAGTGACCAGTAGACGTAACGTTGAGCTTTACATGAAGTGTAGACGAAAGGACGTCTAAGGTTACATCAGCGAGAGAAGCATAGAGCTTAATGCGGAACATACATGAGCGTATTTGACCTGAGCAGCAACGTAGGCGCTCTAACAGCATACCTTCCAACCATTTGCCAGTGGTTGGCCATGTATGGCAGAGATATGTAGCCACTGTAACTGCCTGAAGGTCATTCCGTGAGCCTGTCAAACATAATATATGATTGCACATGTCTGGAGAAGGTGACAATCCCAGTGACTCAATGTACTTCGCCAGCTCCCAGATTATATCAATTTGCATGCGAACGATCGACGCTGAATGTTGGCCACGTACGTTCTGGACAACCTCGCGAAGTATGTCCGATCCGATTTTATCCTTGATATTCGGACCCGGACAGCAGACTTGAGTCCTAGTTCTAAGCTTTGCGAGAAGCCAGTGGTACGCATCTGACCTCAAGATCCATTCATCGTACCTATCAGATTGCGGCGGATAGACTCTTTGAGTAGATGAGGTTGGAGCTTCCCATTTCTGTGCAGGTGGCGAGCGTTCGGTGGAATCTTTTCGGTCGTCGGTTTCGTCTTCTTCAGGATGCTCGCCTCTGCGTATAGCGCTGACGATCTGGCTACAAAGTACGTCTCAGCTTATGACCAGTGGTTAACAGATGAAAAGAGCAGGGTGAACGGCCGTTTATGCTATATAAACTCACTTGCTTTGCTGAGAGAGATGTAATGATGCTCTCCGTTCGAGCGGCGTTGTTGATTCTTCATGCAATCTCCACGCGAAGACTTTCAGCCAGTTGTCGAGTTCAAGCGGCAGGATTTCGCTTGGGGACCCAAGACTGACAATGATTTTTGAGTCACTGATCAATCGTCGGACAAAACGGTTGACTAAACCCGTGTCGATGATATTCGTTGGAGGAACCACAAGACTCTCTCCTAACGATGGAGGAGATTCCAACGAGGAAGGCTTCCTTCCATCTGTTGGGCTCGGACGGACACGGGAGGTATCGACAGTCGACGCCCGAGTATGCGGAATCGCGTCGGTACTTTCCAAAAGTGATGACTGCATTCGAATACGGATATCGTCTAAAGAGCTGATGGACCCGCGTCTCGGGAATTGTGACAATGTGTTGTTTTGGAATTGTTCCTTCCCAGAGTATGGGAGAGAACTTGGCATTGGCGAGACTCTGCTAGCTATAGGGCCGGGGACCATAGGTTCTTTCCACACGTCCACTCCCTGTTCTTCCTCTCCCAGCTCCGACAATCTCTCAAGTACGATAGTTCGCTTAGAAGCGCCTTCACGAAGAGGGACATATAAAGGAACGGTATCCAAACCAAAGGCTTGCTGCACTAGTATGGCATAGAGTTTAGCGATGTCAATTCTGCCATACTTCGTGATCATGTCTCCCATTATGGTGGTTATAGCATCCGTAAAAGAGTCGCCTTTTAGTTTTTCGGCCTCAGCTGTATTGCTTGTGGCTGCAAGTAGTTCAAACCGACCGTAGACACTATCATGATGGATCCTTGATCGTGTTGCGGCATTCAAAGTAGCTTGCGGACAATCCAAGATGAAAAGGAGGTCGAACGTAGCTTCCCCGAATATTCTTTGTATTTTGGACCATTCGAGGTGTGGCTCATCTACGCGGCGACTGCATGTAATTAGATAAAGAACATTTCTACCCGTCTCGGCTCACTTACGGCTGCAAGATTGTCGATGGATACTGCGGCTTTTTAGGTCCAGAGTAGTATCGGTTGATATTTTCGTTTGCATGCTCAACATAATGGATGATCAACAGGCAAGGTGCATTAAGAACACGCTTCTCCCGTGTGAGGAAATCGTGCTCATACTGTATAATATTGTTTACTTCATCAAGATCGTGGTGACTAAGGATGGGGTACGTCTCCGTCTCGAAACCCAGGCTATTGAAGAGCCTTGACAAGTTCCTGATCTTGCGAGGAGGAGTACCTAGGAAAGTATCCCCGAATAGCGAAACTGCTTTGACATATGCGTATGGTGGTTGAGACACAGGTTTGTCCATCTTTGGTAAGATATGATGTTCAGGATTGAGATTGCCAAAGGAATCGTCGAGAAGAGGTCGCGTATGGCTAACACCGTGGGTGTCCATGTTGTGATGGGTCAAGGCGAGTGGGAAAGATAGGGCTGAGCGATGATAGCCACTAAGAATCAACGAACAGACGATTTCCGCTGATGAATGCAAATGTCAGGTCATACCGCTACAAAGGCTAGAATGTCGTCCTCTGATGCAAAACTCCTACTTGGAATGGACGTGCCGTACAATTCACCAACGAGGACCTCATGTTAGCACGATTCAGCCTCAGCTGAATCGATATGCTGTTTTCTCATTGGCCAATTCCAGAAAGGATAAGACTTTCTAATGCGCCCACCAATTATATATGTCGTTCATTGGGCCATCAACGAGCCTGGCGTACATGCTGCATATTCGTGGCTGCATGGAACGAGAACGCCTTGCGGACGATGGACGATGGACGATGGACGACACAAGGCTGAAAGTATGCCGCAGTCAACCTTTCGCTACTGTGCAACCAGGGACAAGTCAATACCGCACCTTCTGGAGCAGTGAGGCAACGAGTCGAAGCGCTCACAACACACATGTAGCGCATCGCAGTATCTTGTCCTACAGTAGCTATGAGCAGGACCCCACTGATGTTTGGCTGCCGATTAGCTATTACGGTGCTTGTAAGAGATCTCGCTACTTGACGCAATAGAGAGAACGGTAGCGCCACAGCCTCCACGGGAATCCTGATCGAACACATTTCCTCCTCTCTATCCCTGCACTTGATATCCTCAGAAGAGTCTTGGAATCAGGCTGTAGCTACTTGATCAGCAACCATACATTCTCGCAGGCCCATCTCCCCCATCCTTCAACCGCACAGAAAAATCTTGGCTCACTGTAGCTGTGTTGCTCTCGCTGGTCATGGCCCTTTGCGAATCCAAAACGAGAAGCAAAGAAATGTTACCATCAGTTTGAACGACTGTAAACGTGAGCGGCATGTGTGGAAGCATTAAGATTATATGCCGCGAATTTGACACGATGCGGCTAGTGGTAGAATTCAATTGTATTTTTACTCTACAATCTCTTTATCTTGGAGCTTTGGCGCTCCAGTCTTGTCCATACGTCTCCATAGACCCAGGAAGCCACCTCCGACAACTTGGTGGCCGACCTTTGGTCTACACACCATGACCCATTTGTCGTCTTCCTTGGTCAACTCTTCTGCCAGCTCAGTGTCGCGTGCTGCTTGGCTTGACTCTGAATCGGTAGTTTCGTCAATCGAGGGTTCGGAAGGTTGCTTTGTGTGAGCATCCTGTTTGGGTGCTCTGGGTTTGACGGCGCGAACATCCCACTCGCGAATCGTGCCTGCACCAAGCTCAATGACTTGGTCAAGCAGATATGGCAGCCTTTGTTCGCGGATGGTTTGGACACATTCGGCGATCTGGGTGACGCTTGGGTTGAAGACGGCGAGCAAGCCATTAGGGTGCAAGGCGGGAGCGACGTTGGCAAGGTGGCTAGTCGCGTTGGGGAGGTCTAAGAAGACATGGCTTAAGAAGGGCTCTTGCGTCTTCCTTGAGACTTTTTGTTTGGCTATCCACTCGGATACGTCGCCCACATGGAAGTCGACGTTACCCGCGTACATGCCATGTCGGAAGCCTTCTACAATCTTCTTTGCGTGTTTGGAATGTTTGCTAGATATGTCGAGCGTGTGTACGATGGCGCGACGAGCCTGTTTCCATGATTCGAGCCCTGACTCTTGTAGGTCTGACAGAGACTCGCCGAGGTATACTGCGTCTTCGGGTTCTTCCTCAGTTGATACATATGAAGGTGTTCTCGGAACCGGCGGATTGGCGGCGTGTATGGCGCGAGAAAGGTGCAGCGTCAGGGCGCCGTGGCCTGTGCCAGCTTCGAGTATCTCGAATGGTGGTTCGGTGCTTGGGCTAGTGGAGGGAGCATCAACGTGAATGTCGAGCAGGGACACGATGAGGTTCGTATCTGAAGGGTAGATCTAGTCGATGTTAGTATATGTATACGGTGCGAGCAGGCTATACGAATACGCACTGGAGTAACAAGGCGTGGAGTCAGTCTGACGTACTCGGCCAGTGTAGGGTCGTGGATGCGGAAGGAGGCACCCTTGTGGGAGTGGACAATCTGGCGCGGCTCTTTCCCAATCACATCTTTATGCTTGATGACGCCCCTGTGCGTGCCGGTCGACTTGGAGGCCTGCAGCTTCACGAGGCGGCCATCCTGAGTCTCTTTGGCCTCGCGCAAGAGCACAACATCGCCTTCTATGCGATTGTGAGCCGAGTCGGAGTGGTGGAAGCGGAGGTCTTGCCTTGGAATGCGCGGTACAGGCAGGAGCTACTCGTAAAGTGTCGCGCACGCGGGGGTAGTGCAGCACGTTGTAGCTGGCGCAGGGAGGAAAATCGCATGGCTTTGTCAGAGCAAACATGTGCAGATGCGGAGGTGACGCCTTCTCCGCACCGCGAAGCGAGCCGCGACCGCCCGAGGCACTGAGTGCCGGCGTCTCCAGACAGGTATCTGGTCAGCCCTGCGCAGAAGGTGGAACTTCAAGGCTGTGTTTATACCTTTGAATTCTCTTCGAGTCAACCAAGACTCCCCTATCGGCAGTTATGAAGCCCAGAAGAGCGCGTTGTGACGCTCTGATGCCTGCATCGCCATTGACCATCTGAGATTCCAAGGTTCGGCCTAGCCAAGAACACCATGGAGCACCACCTGCACACTTCCAAGACCTTGACCTCACCTCTCCAGCAAACGCCTCCATGTCATGGACATGAGCTCGCGTTGCTGTGAAACACACACTTGCTGAACTCGACCCTGCCTCTATGCGCCACTACTTACACCCCCGAGACCCTCCACCATGACGCGCCGCATAGTGAGTACAGAGACGGCGTCGTCCTAGTCAGCACTAACCACCACAGGTACGGACGGGCATACAGCTCATCGCCCTTACCATCGTCGTCTCCGTCACCGTATTCTTCCTCGATAATCGCTACCGCGTCCTCCCTCAATCTGTCCACAGTCACATGCCACTGCACCACGACGGCCTCATCATCACCGATATCACTGTGCAGACATGTTCGACAATCAATCCCCTCTCCAAATGCATGCTTGACCAGAAGAAGTGGCATCGCATCGAGAAGGACTTGCACCTCGGTTCGGGATGGGTTACCAAGGCATACGTCCACATCAAGCGCAAGCGAGAGGAGGAGCTCAAGACTGAAGACAAAGTCATCATCGATGTTCGCACAGGCAAGCTTGACCCCTCTGTGGGCGAGAAAGCCCAGGCGTCGGAGAAATGGGAGTCACGGCCAGCTGACATCTGGATCAAGCGCTCGCTGAAGCGTCACGCGAGCGACTCCAAGAAGGCAGTGACGGCCGTCGACATTCTTTTTGGCGCTGATGCAGTAGAGCCACGTCCTGGCTGGGAACTGGTCAAGAACGGAGCCCTGCATCTCGAGACGGGCAAAGCGAGCACCGATCCTCGCCTCAGCATACGAAGAGGCCCGGCAGCCAAGGTGGAGAAGCCTGTACCCAAGATCAGGAAGGATGGCAAATTCAAGATCATGCAGATATCCGACCTGCATCTCAGCACTGGCCTGGGTCACTGTAGAGACCCGGAGCCTAAGGGCCACAATGGCGGACACTGCGATGCCGACCCTAGGACCATAGAGTTTGTCGAGAGAGTTCTCGATGATGAAAAGCCAGACTTTGTCGTCTTGTCTGGCGACCAGGTCAATGGCGACACAGCACCTGATGTCCAAAGTGTAAGGCACATCCTATTTCAAGAGTGACAATAGCTAACCACCTCCAGGCCTTGTTCAAGATTGTCGACCCCCTCGCAGAGCGCAAGATACCATACGCAGCCATCTTCGGCAACCACGATGACGAAGGCACTCTCTCCCGCCACGCGCAAATGGATCTGTACGACTCCCTACCCTACTCCGTTAGTGAGCCCGGTCCCAACACGATAGATGGCGTCGGAAACTACTTTGTAGAGATCCAAGCCCACAGCAGCAAACACTCAGCCCTAACCCTATACTTCCTCGATACACACTCTTACTCGCCAGACGAGACCCACTACCGTGGCTACGACTGGCTCAAGCCAAATCAAATCGACTGGTTCAAGACCACTGCTCAGGGCTTGAAGGAAGCGCACAGCCACTACACCCATAAGCATCTCAACATGGCTTTCATCCACATCCCACTTCCAGAATATGGCAACGTCGACAACGAACGCGTTGGAAACTGGACTGAGCCCATTACTGCCCCGGCCTTCAACACCCACTTCAAAGACGCGCTGGTCGAATATGACATTAGTGCCGTCTCATGTGGCCACGACCACGTCAACGACTACTGCTCGCTTTCCAAAGAACCTGAGACTGGCGATCCAGAACTGTGGATGTGCTACGCCGGTGGCAGTGGCTTTGGTGGCTATGGTGGCTACAACAATTACCACCGCCGATTACGCGTGTTCGAAATCGATACAAATCAAGCACGCATTGTGACGTGGAAGCGGTTGGAATATGGTGACACTGGGAAGAGACTTGATACGCAGATCATTGTGGATTCGGGAAGGGTCATAGGGAGACAAAGCGCCAACGACGCGTGAAACGCGTGAGTAATTGGTGCAAACAATCGCATATCAAGGCGTTTAGGAGTACTATTATGGGCGTTCGGAAAATCACAGCTCTTGGAGATGTTGTTAGAGTTCGTCCCCAAGGTGGGCTACAAGATGAGGAATAGCAGATTTGAATCAACAAACGCAAGTTCGAGTAAATCTCATCTGAAATTGGCAGGAACGCTCACAAAATTATTGACGTGACTTGAACCTCTCTGCAAACGCAGCTAGTGCTCATCCCAGCTGCTCCGGAGTGATAAGCACCGAAAAGCAATAGCCAAGCTTTTCTTGCGCTGACGATAGACGCGCCTTAGTCGTGACAGGAGGCCTAATGTAAGGTTCCAATGTTTCGGCATCATGATTCGGAACCAGTCATATATAACAACGCTATATCCGTAGGAGATAAGCTGAGTAACACAAGAAGCAGTCAGCAAATAGCGCTGAATGCATACATACGCCCTGCAACTAGTCACAGGGAAGCTATAATATGGCATGGGCCCAAGACGATATCTTTATCAACCTGCGTGTTCACTACACCCTTTCTCAGGGTTCTTCACCATCGTCCTCGATATGCCTTTTCTCGCCCAAAAATGTCTACCCATTCCTACAAAAGACATCCTGTCGTGGATGTATGACGACCCACTTTTCGATCAAGATAGACCTGTACGCTCTCCAAGTACCCTCGCGTTGTATTGTTCCCACCATACTAATACGCGGTTTCAGATATATATCGACGCCAACAACCCAGCACACCACATTACCGCTGCACAGGCTCATGTCCTCATTCGCCAACTCATCGCCGGACTCAAACATGCGGGTATACAGACGGGCGATGTCGTACTAGTGCATGCCTTCAACTCGATTTACTACCCTATCATTGTCTTGGGTATCATAGGTGCAGGCGCAATCTACACAGGCACAAACCCAGGTTATACGAGATGGGAGATAGAACACGCGCTGAAGAGTAGCGCAGCAAAGATGGTGATTTGCGACACAGAAGTGCTGGAAAATGGGATGAGTGTGGCCGCGGAGGAATGTGGTCTACCTAGAGAACGAATCTTAATGCTAGACGATACTAGTCTTCATCTTCCACCACAACGAGCGGCAGACGACAAAACGTCTTGGCGTACACTGCTCATGCATGGCGAGGCCGATTGGCAGCGTTTCGACGAACTGGAGACGAGCCGGCGTACGATCGCTGGTCTGTTCTTCTCCAGCGGGACGACGGGGTTGCCCAAGTTGGCGAAACTGTCGCATTACAACCTCATCGCGCAACATACACTGGTCTTCCAGGCGAATCCGCGGCCATACCTTCTCAAGCGTCTAATTGCGCTGCCAATGTTCCATGCTGCTACTGCGCCGTCGACGCACTTCTCCCCTCTTCGCGCGGGACAACAACAGATTGTCATGCGGCGGTACGAACCTCGAACGTTTCCTGAGATGGCGGAGAAGCATGCAATCACGGATTTAACCCTCGTGCCCCCACAGGTAACCAGTATGTTAGCAATCCCGTTGACCAAAGCAGAAAAAAGGAGGATGTTGGCAACTGTGCGTTGGGCGGTTGGCGGAGCCGCACATCTCGACGCTACCACACAGAAACGCTTCCAAGACCTACTTCCACCGGGATCACCATTTACACAGATCTGGGGAATGACGGAAGTGAGCTGTTTCGGGTCCATCTTTCCCTGGCCTGAGATAGATGACACAGGCAGTGTGGGAAAATTTTTATCGAACCTGGATGTGAAGTTGCTGGATGATGACGGAAAGGATATCACGAACTTCGACGTGAAGGGTGAGCTGGCTGTGAGAGGGCCAACAATCACGAGTGGATATGTTGGTGTGGCGCGAGAGCGAGACTTTGATAGCGAAGGCTACTTCAGGACAGGAGATGTACTGTATTGTAATGGCAGAACTAGACTGTGGTACATTGTTGATCGAAAGAAGGAGCTTATCAAGGTCCGCGGCTTTCAGGTCGCGCCGGCGGAGCTAGAGGGAGTGATTTTGGAATGTCCGGGAGTGGCAGATGTCGCTGTCATTGGAGTTAGCGGATGTGGCAGTAACGAGGAGGTACCTAGAGCATATATCGTCAAAGGGAAAGATGAAGAGTTAACGGAACAACACGTCAAGAGCTGGGTCGAGGCAAAGCTGGCAAAGTACAAAAGGCTCGATGGCGGCGTGGTTTTCGTGCCGGCTATACCGAAAAGTCCGAGCGGTAAGATCTTAAAACGTGTACTGAAGGAAGGGATGACGGAAGTAGCGACACGTGCGAAATTGTGAATTATATTCTTTCCTATCAGAAGGGCTCTGTTTGCCAGAAGTCCAAATTGGTCGGAGCGACTTGACCCAGAAATGTCTCGTCGAAACCGAAGCCGTATGATCCAATCAGATCGTACATGTTGTACTCGTTTGTCGCGTCGACGCTTTCGTCATTGCTCGCTGTAGCGGCCTTAACGGGATCAAAAATGTGCGTAGCAGCTGGCGATGCGGCTGGAAAGCCGCCTTGTGTGACTGAGCCAGAAGGGGTCCCAACAACATCGAGTCGTTTCAGCAGATCGTTGATTCCTTGAACGATGTGTGTGGTAATATGTTTCTCGTTCAGGTTTTCTGCCACCTTGGCTAAGAAAGAAGACGATCGTCGCGACAGCGAGAGCACTTGGTTGATGTTGAAATTGAGACCTAGTCCAACGGGCTCCGTCGCCCACTCTGGCGACTGTACTTGTGCCATGCCTCCCCAGGTTTTCGCCATCTTTAACAAAAATGTAGCGCAGAATGCGACCATGGTGTGCGTGAAGATTGGGACTGCAGTCATTGCTTTGCGGAGATCTGGCTCTTCGAAGATGAGGGTAAGTGTACTTGTGGCGGCGGTGATGGCGATGTTAGCTGCTTCGCGGCGGTCGTAAGAGAGCGACTCGGACGTTGCAGCGCTGGGTGGAGGCAGAGCACGCAGCGCCAGAGAGTTGAGCTGAAACCTAGCGAAGTGATAGTATAGCACTACACCCTTTGATGGATATGATCCGATAGATGGGCTATCAGCGGATCTAGCCTGCCATGCAAGTCGCCATTGTTCGATTGCAAAGTTGAAGAGGCGGAGTTGCTGGAAATCAGGCTCCGTAAGTGGTTGTTCTGGATCGCTGCCATAGGCGATGTATGCTTCTGTCAAGATCTTGAATAGAGTAACTTGAGCTCCCAATCTGATGTCGCCTGGCGTCGTCTTTGGGCTGTCGAGGAATTGTTCGATGTTCTTGATCGCGATATCTTCGTGAACGATAGATGGACGTCCATATGCGATGCTAAACTGTTTGTCGCACACATACAGGGCATACCATAGGCGGACATTGTCGCGCTGCTCTTCGTGCCCTCGCATTAGCCTCTGGTAAGACATGTGCAAGTTCATCTCCACGGCATTCCTCACAGCAAGTCCTGCTAACTTCCAGCTCAGGTTGGAGAGATAGAAGGCAGCAAGAGTTAACGCACGGATGTCATCGAGGTTCTGAGGCCGAGCAAGAAAGGTACTGTAGACTAACGATACAAAGATGTTGTAGCATTTTTGCAACGCTTCGTCTCGACCAGGCGTATGCAACGCTGAGATGGTAAGCACAGCCGCGGTGAGAAGCGTGGACTGACGTCGAGCTGCTTCCAAAGAGTCATATGGGAAGAGTACACCAGCCCAAAGGTAGAGACGTATGTCTTGCATATACCGTCGGAATAGATCTTCAGCTTCCGCTAAAGGTATGATACCTTGAGCTATGAAGTCCTCCTCAACAGAGTTGGAATTCGGCTTCCACCGAACGCTGCTCCGAAGATTCCGAATCCGCGTAAGGTCGTATAGACTCCTCATGGGCGCTGTTACCAAGCTGGATTCTTCGCCCGACTCACGCTCTACAGATGTGTCTCTCGTCATATCCATAGGCGGTGGGACGACGAACGTAGAGTGTCCATTTTCAGACATCATGTTTGTCGGGCTGATAGTCATACTATGCGTGCGTCCTGAAGGCAGTTGAGGCGAGCCTTGACTGACTGGACTATCCAAGCTCGGAAGTTTATTGTGCTGAAGAAGACGCTGCACCGCCGAGCGCAGCTGCCCCAGTTCGGCTGTCGCATTGGATTTCCAACTGAAGTACTTAGCGACGGCGCTGAAGACACGTATTCAAAGCACTTACGCAGCATCTTCGTCTAGTAGTCGCTGGTTCAGGTTGTATGGGACGCATTCAGTTCCGCTCCGCAGGCACTTTGCGCACTTTGCTTCATTGTCGACAGGTTCACACTTGATCTTGTGCCGTTTGCACTCCGCACCTATACAGCATGGGCAAGGAGTCGCGATAGAGTGGGGCGCGTTGACTTACAGGCTCTAATTCTCGGAGTGCGCGGTGCAGGTCGGCGTCCATCTTCATGATCCGCATCCTCACTTGGACGCTTCAGTGGAGACATATCCAAGATTCCATGCCATCGGACCTGCAAAGGATGAAACCGTCAGAGATCTTCGCGACACGACATTCAGGCTGAAAACACCGTGCTCGCGTTCGCGCTCGTGACATGATGAGATTGTGAGGAGGCTAGCCAGCCATCGCGGAATATCAGCGCTTAACCCAAAGCAGCGGCAAAGTGGGGTGGTTCATGCACATCAAGCCGTTCATGAGCTAATGTGCCGCACCAACATCCTGTTTACCCGTCAAGGGTCTTGCTCTGCCAGCTCGAGAGCTCAAGGCAAAATTGCGGAAAATCTCCATGCTGCGATGGTAACACGGTTTGATCACTGAGATGCGCACGCAAAATTATACAGCGCAGCTTCCGGAAATAAGCACCAGCCGCGAAATTTCAGCTCCAGACCGAGGTTTGCTCACACTATTCTATTGGTTAGACAAGCAGCAGTCAAGCTGTGGTCATTGGCATAGACTATCCTGTTGTAAAAATCCAGACTTGAATGCTTACATTCGCATTAGGGGGGCACTACAAGCAAGGCTTCCAAAGACGACTTGCAAGATCTATCATTAAGGGAACAACCCTTCAGCCATAAGGATCAGCACGGTCACAAAACTTTACTCTATTGCTAACACACCCCCCGAGATTAGTGTCATGACTACCATCTTGCTCCATGTCATTCATATCCGTTCAGTCTGTACGAATCATGCAAGACCTTTTCTATCAGTACGCAGTCTATAATCTATGCTAGTACTACCTTGATATTTAGCAATCAGCGTGTTCCGATTTCTCCTTATAACCTGTTTCCTATGTGGGGTCATTCTCGCCGATTTCACTGGAACAAAATTTGTCCATCTTCGTCTTTAGGCTTGTAGACCTCAAGCGTAGAACAGGTGATGCGATTATACTCTGTAAGAACTTCATTACAGACGTCCTTGAAATGCTACAGGGGCCTTCAACGTACCAAAAGAAAACGATTAGATTCAGTCATGTTTTATGACAGTCGCGCCTCCACTATGACGAAGACCTCCACCACAGGTTTTATACTGTGACTGTATTTCCAGAACGATCCTCCGAACGCATATTGGCTAACAGAATCATCTCTGCATAATGAATTTCCTACACCCACATTGAAAGCCCCCTCTTATCAAGCAGTGCATCTCTCGCCATATTGCTGTCTCATTTGAACATGATTTAGACGAATCCCGAAACTGCAGAAATAGCGCTCGTAGCTTCCGACGCACAGGTGCTCAATGAAATCAAAAGCTAGAGGAAACAGAATTGCCTCAAGGACGACAAGATTTTGCGTGAATGATATCACGTTGTCTGTCCGTTCCTCAAAATGGCTATCGCAGAGGGGGAAGACCATTGCAGTACGTTGGCGAGCGGCCTGGAAGTATTCATGCTTACACTGCAAGAAGAGGAGAGAGTTTTATAGGGCATGGAGATATTGCTTGTGCGCTCGAGAGCTATGCGCAGATGCTTGAGTACAGTGAGCTGCCAACCAGAACTCCTCTCCAAGTCTGCGTATTTCATATATTGATCACACTAACCCCTATTTGAGAGACAAATATCATGAGATTCTCAATCTTCGTCGCCAGTATCATCGCTAGGTACGTAGCTTCCACGCCCGACAATGACTCGCGCTATCAGCAGATGGCTAACGAATCGAACAGCGCATCTTCTGTCACCGGCCAAGTTGAGCTGACAGGTGAGCAGAGGATATGTGAGTGTCGCATCACGGCTTCTGAATCAAGCCCATCGGTCGTCTTTTCCAGTATTTCATGTGCTGCAGTAGGCGGAAGGGAGTGTTTCAGCGAGATAGGAAACTCCATCTCGGTTTGTTTTTCCATCATTCATGCTTTAGTCCTTCTACAGAACTCTCTTTCATGCCGCAGACATTGGCAATTGGAAGGAAAAAGCGTTTACTAGGAACTGTGGCTAGTGTGTTACGAGCGAAGCCGCTTGGACGGATGAACAATGTCGTGAATGGGGCGGTAATCCCGTTGACAATCGCGTTTACAGAGGTGTCTGTAGAACTTACAATGGAGACGGGTGCCCTGCGTAAACTGCTTCCGTACAGACCTTATATCCATTGAGAAGTTTGTGCAAGGCAGCCTCTTTTTTTCCAAGACAATAGGTTGTTTACTCCTGGAATGAAAGTCTTCTGAACGCACCTTACACGATTTTGACTACCTCCGGCTCTGTATCGGCAAACCACTTCTCCCATTCTGACCATTCTTCGAGGGCTTCCCAGGCCTGCCAAGGCTTCCAATCCTTGCGATATCGCGGTCCTGAACAATAATCCAGTGACGTGACGCCGAGACCCAACCGTTGATAGCGGAGTTTGCCCCCATCGATGATTTGCCCCAAAACAAGAATGCAAGCACCAGTTTCATCCTGACATGTCCCAGTAAATAGCAATAGATAGAACACTGTTCCACATCTTCTCGTGCCCGGATCATGATTCTTCTTATTGGTTGCGCTGTCCACTTGAATATGGTCCGAATTACCCAGGAACGAAGAAGGATCACGTCGGAGATTCACATGTGTTCCAGTTGTGCTCGAGTCCGTGTTGAAAGATATGCTGCAGTCCGGGAAAATAATCTGTGCATTGGAGCCCTCCTTACATACGCTAGCACGATCGTGGTCGTCGTAGTACATGACTGCTTCGACCATATGTGCGCGTAGCTGGATGAAACTTCCAGCCTGCACTGCCCCGAACTTATTAACGGCGCTTGGAATGCAGTCAATATCAAGGATATCGACTTTGGATTCCAATACTGGCTCGGGCCCGGGATCCATAGACGGGAGCAACCAAGAAGAGGACCAGACCCTCATGGATCGCATAGCATTAGATGCCCATGACTACGACGGGACCTCGTTATCCATTGTGGGTCTAATCAGAGCTCTCAAGCTCGGGCCATCGGTGAATTCATCGCGATACCAGCCGAGATTGAATGGTAGTTCCATCTCCCAAAGTCCAGCCAAGTAGTTGGACTGCAATGTAGCGTGCAAGCGTGAAGCGACACTCGAAATGGCGGGTAACTTGTCGGTACCATATGTGAGATTTCGTGTCGAATATTCCCCGATCCAAGTGTGCCGGTCCTTAAGGGTCGCCTCATGTTCGTCCCGCTGCTGATATGCGTCGTCTCCATACCGGCATTCGCACGCGACTGTGACCTTACAACGCCACTTGGCTTCTATGTCCGTGAAGCTGAGGATACGCACAGCAAAATGACGCTCTTGCCATGCCCACGCTTGCCCTTCAAGTGGTCCATCAATCCAAGTGGGGCTGAAAAACGGTTCATATCTTCTAGCCCTGGGACAGCTTGTTGACTCTTCGTCGCCCGACGCGTCTGTGGCTCTGAGACCGATATTCACGGTGTGGTAATGTGATCTTGTTGAGGGAGCCTCTGCACCCTGAAAGGGGACCGAGCCATGGTCAGATGACACCGCTGCGACGACAAGCAGTGCGTTCTCATATATCTTGTCCATGTGCTCAGCCTGCCGTGCCCAGTCATCCTGCTTGTCCTGAATGATGTAAAGACTATCAATCCACAGGTAGGATACTCCCAGCTCTCGGGCTACGATGATTGAGTCCTGAAATGTGGGCGGCAAGGTCAATACATCAATCATTTTTTTGTGGTTGTGTATGTTTTTGGTTGTGGTACACGTGAAACGCTTCGAACCCCAGCAATGCGACAAAGCAATCCATGGCCCTCGGGGGACTTTATCTCGCGTCTCGACGAGTCGTAGGCTGCTTTGACTGCCGCTGTTCCACTCCAAACATAGCAGTCTTTCGGGAAGCCAGGAAGAATCTTGTGCTTCAGCGCACTTAGGGTGTTCCATTAGACATGTTCGTAGCGATGACCGCACGAAGTCCCACATCAGCTTGTCGCCAGGAACACGGGCAATTTCTCTTCGCACAGGGAAGCGAGCACTGTCCAGCCCTTCAGCCCGCAACTCATGGTCTGAAGAGCGGAACATGTCCAGACCCATCTCTAGCGTGATCCTCCCATTTCATGCAGATTTCATGAATATGTAGCCCGGACCGATGTCTTCGGATATCTGAAGTTGAAGAACGACGTTGGCTTCTTGACTGAAATGTATCCAATTCCACTCATAGTTGTCCGCAAAGAATTGTGGGTCCAGGGCCTGAATCGTCTCGACTACCAGGTTGCAGTGAGGGCATGAAGAAGCGAGAAGATTGGCCAGCCAGGTTGCAACAGGGTACTCAGTCCCCTGACCTGGATGAAAATCGTTACAAATACAGCAACTGCCCATCGTTGAACAATAGAGAAGGATAATATTGAGAAGATCTGGTTACCACCTCAAGAAAAGACAGCAGTGTCAGCAAAGCGAGGTAGGAGGAAGCTGGCTAACGTACTCTATATGCAAGTCACCCCACCATACGTCAACCAAGCATTGGCGCTATAGGCCCCACTTATTCTACAGCTATCATGCACAAAGCTACTGCCTCTACATCGACAGCGTTTCGAAACCAGCAAACACTTGCGACACCCTCTTGAGGCGAAACATGGGCGCGAAGTCGGATCACACCCAGGGCATCGAAAAATCGGACTCGACTGATGCCAACATGAACACCAAGGTTCACAGAAACCATGTCGGCTCTGACGAGACACCACCAATATACTACGACGCTGAGCCATCAGCCCAGCCACCAAGCTACCATAATTACCAATCCACTTCGCCTAATGAACTGCAAAAGAGGCCTGCATCACGACCTAAGCCCAGAGATCAACACAGCACTGGCGCACCCGCAAGTACCATCGCGGCAGTCCTTGGTTCTGAATATACCGATTTAGACGCTCAGCGACGAGCAGACCGCAAGAAGAAAACGTTTCGCGAGCGCTGGAACGATTTCAAAGAAAGAAGTCTTAGAGCCTATGATGTTTCCGAGGACAGGGCTGGAGCGGCGAGTGCGGCCGAGTGGAATGTGCAGGGTGGAAGACTGAGTGGAGGACTGGCGACACCGTATCGGAGAAAGGGGAAGTAAGTTAGTAATTGCTGTATCCTCAGACCATAGGAATGATAGAGAGAAAAAATATTAAGAAAAAATACTACTGATATACTACCTTTTAGTCTAGTAATTTAAGAAATATAAAGTAATAAAGCTTTACTATATATAGTTCTTTTATATACTTCTAAAGTAAGTTATTATAAATAAAAAGAATTTTCGCTTACTTAATAAAGTAACTAAAACTAAATACTTCTTAATAAGTATTAGTAAATAAAAAGTAACTAGTGTAAAGTCTACTAAGTAACGTAACTACTATTACGCTAAGATCTAATATCTAGAATAGTAAAACTACTTAGAATAGTAAAGCTATTAGAACTATTTTTAAATAAAAAACAAAATAAAATTATATAATAAGTTATAAAAAGTATAGAAGTTAAAAAAATATTATTAATATACTTTTTGTAGTTAGGTTTAATAGTATATCTCTAATATTAAAAAGTAAATAGTTACTATATCCTATATTAAATTAGTACTATTTGTTTATTAGTTTAGATTAATAACTATTTTCTATTTAAATATTTCTATTTAATACCTTAAAGAGTACTAATCTAGTTTACTTTACCTTAGTTTAGACTAAGCTTAGAGAAGTATAAGTTAACTTTATATATTTTAAGTACTACTAAATATTTATAAGCTTCTATTATATTAAATAAAGTATCTTATTACTTAATTATACTGTGTATAGAAGCTTAGTAATTATTACGTAATAAATTTATATAAATTTAAATACTTTATTTAAGCTTATAAGTATAAAGATTTTAAAAACCTAGTTATTATTATTTTACTACTTATTAGCTTTATTCTTTAGTAAATTATAAAACTCTATAATAGACTTAATTATATATACAATCTAGGTTTTATTAGCTAGTTTTAATATACTATATTAGAGTATTTTAAAAGACCTTTAAAACTAGAAGCCTAGTTATTATAAGTAATAATATAAGTTTAATCTAATTTTATTTAAATTATCCTTTTTAATAAGTATAAAAAGATCTAGTAAGAAGCTAAAATAATTAATATTAATTATAGATTAAAGACCTAGAAAAAAATAATAATAAAATTTAGACTATAAATCTATATACTTAATTTTATATAGTATTTATTACTTTTATAGCTCTTATCTTAAAAGAATATAGCTAGTTCCTAGATTTAGTTTATTACTTAGTAATAATATATATATTACTTTTACTTACTATTTACTATATAGATACTTTATATTATTATCTTAATTACTCTAGTAAGCTATATTCTATATATATTTAAGTATAAATAGCTATTACTTACTTTTTACTTCTTTATAAAATTTACCTCTAATAATTAAAAATAGAACCTATAGTGTTATATATTACTTACTATTAGGTAAGTAAGTTACTATATAATATTATACTATAATAAAGAAAAACTTATAATAGCTAAGATATAGCTAAATATACTAAAGTAGTATTCTCTACTAACGCTTAAATATAAAGTTTCTACCTCTACGTAGTAGCTTAGTATACTTATAGTATAATAGTATAGAGTTATTATTATAGCTATTGCTATAACTGCTTAGAGATAACATAGTGTTACTATATATACTATACTTAGTATTTTAATAATGAAAGAAGATATAGTAGTATTATAATTATATTTTATTAATATAATAAAGTAGTACTACATACCTATAGTTTTGTAGTAGTCCTGTTTTCTCCCCCCCTAGGCCTTAGGGACGGGGCCTACAGTGTTTCTATATTACGTATTATTGCGTTATTACGTTATCGCGTTATCGCATAATATTATAGTATTATTAAGAAAATTTTGAGTAGTTAAGCTTAAATAGACTTAAATATTTTATTTTACTAATATTATAATACTACCCTTTTACTTCTATATAATAAGCTGCCTTATACTTTAATAAAATATACTTATTATTATAGCTATTACTAATACTATCTAGAGATTAAGTAATAGCATTATACGTATTAAAGTAATTACTTTATTACTAAGGTAAGTATAGGTGCTATTATAATTATAATTATAATTATAATTACTACTAAGTAGCTATAAATATTTATAGCTTAGCAATTCTATTATCTAAGGTAACTATATTAGTTATATATCTATATTCTTTTATTATTACCTCTTAAGCTATTTAAGTTACTTAATTAATTATCTATTACTTTATTAGTATCTACTATATATTTATAACTATTTCTTATTATAACTATTCTAAAACTTAAATAATAGTATAGATAAAGTCTAACTAGCTATTAAATAGACTATTAAGAATATTCTAGAAGTATTTTTATTTACTTATTAGTTCTTAAGCTATAAGCTATAACTATATTATATAATTACTTTACTTTTATATTCTAATTATAAGTAAAGCCTTTATTTTTTTAACTTATATTTATCTTAGCTTATATAATTAAAGTACTAATAAGAAAAACTTTAAAGATAAATAGTTTTTTACTTAACTTACTTTTAAGCTTTTCTAAGCTTAACTTAAATAAGCTAACTAACTATATAAAAGCTTATATCTAGTACTTAAAGTTACTCTTAAAGTAGTCTATACTAAGCCTAACTTAATTATAACTATATTAATAAGTAGTAATTAGCGCGTTATTTATATTTATTATTATTATTATTATTATTATTAATATTATTATTAAGCTAACTATAGGGCTCTCTATAGCTAGGCGCTCTATACTTATAATATAGTTATATATAATAACTTACTATATATTAGAAATAAAATATAAGAATATAATAGTTAAAAAAAAGTATATTTAAGTTTATATTTAAGTACTTGTTAGAATTTAAATTCTATAGTTTAAAACTCTAGTTACTTACTATTAACTAAAGTTATCCTTAATAAAACTATACTTTTAATTAAATATTAAGCTTTATAGTAACTATTTAAAACTCTATAGTAGCTCTTAAGACTATATAGAATTTATAGTTTTAGCTTTAGTTATAATTAATAACTTTTTAAATAAGTATATATATAGCTATATATAGTAAAGCTAAGTAAGTATTTAGAAACATACTTCTACTATAATATAATATAGTATAACTTTATAGCCTTAGGCCTACATCTTATTACTAGTACGTTAATTAAATTAATAGTAGTTATAGGTAGAGAACTTAGCTTAAATTCTATTATCTTTTAAGTAAAAAGAGTACTTTAAATTAAATCTTAGTAGAGATTCTAACACCTAGCTAAAATATTCTACTAATATTATTTAAGTACTAGTATAAGTATATATAGTAGAATAGTAGATAACTAATCTAATTACTTAGAGAGCTTAGATAATAATACAAAAGAGACTAGTAAATACTTAACTTATATATTTACCTTTAAGGCTTAGATAATAGAACTTCTACTCTTAAGTAATATCTTTTTATAGCTACTTAGTAGTAATAGTAATTATAATTATAATAATAATAGTACTAGTACTTATACTTCTAATAAAGTAACTAATATAATATATCTAATAATACAGCTTAGTCTCTAAATAATATTAGTAATAGCTATATAAGTAAGTATATTCTATTATAGAATAAAGCAGCTCACTAAGTTAAAGTAAAGAGTTAGTACTTTAGCGTTAATAAAAAGAGACGCTTAAGTACGCTAGTTTAGGCTTAGCTACTTAAAGTTTCCTTAATAATATAATATAATCTTATATTAATTTATTTAACGTGCTAGTAATCAGACGTAGATATAATACTATTAAGTTATACTATATTATATTGCAGTAGAAGTGTATTCCTAAACACTTACTTAGCTTTACTATATATAGCTATATATATTCTTATTTAGAACTTTTATTAATTACTACTAAAGCTATAAATCTTATATAGTTTTAAAGAGCTACTATAGAGCTCTTAGCTCTAAGTAGTTATTATAAAGCTTAACGTTAAAAGAAGAGTATAGTTTTATTAGAAAAAACTATAGTTAATAGTAGATAACTGAAATCTTAAACTATAAAATTTAGATCTTAAAAAATATTTAAATATAAACTTAAAAATTCTTTTTCTAACTTTAATATCTTAATATCTTAAGCTTTATTATTATACTTATACTTACTATCTTTAATATATTACTATAAATTATTATATATATCTATATTTTAAGTATAAAGCGCTTAGTTAAAGAGAATTTTATAATGTCTTTAATAATAATTATATTAACTATAGATACTATACTAATAGCTACCTATTAATATAGTAAGAATAAAATTAATTCTAATATAAACTACTTTAAGGGTAACTTTAATTACTAAGTATAAGCTTATATATAGCTAGTTAGCTTATCTAACTTAAGTATAGAAGAGCTTAAGAGCAGGTTTAATAAAGAACTATTTAGAATTAAACTTTTCTTTATTAGTACTATCTTTATATTAGCTAAGAAAGATATAAGTTTAAAAGATAAAGCCTTTACTTATATCTAGAATATAAGATTATAGTAGTTATATAATATAGTTATAGCTAAGAGCGTAAAAACTAATAAGTAGAATAAATACTTTTAAAATATTTATAAAGGTTAATTTAAAAGCTAGCTAAACTTTATCTATATTATTATCTATAAACTAAAATAGATATAACGTAGTAGATAATTAATTTAGCAACTTAGATAGTTTAGAA